TTCACTGGGGGCGAGGGCGGCGGCGACGTGGCGGCCGCGGGCGCGGGCGCCGTCGCGGGCGGCGCGAACGAGCGGCAGCCGCTGCTGCGGCCGCCGAGCGCGAGCGCGATGGACGACGCCGGGGGAACGTTCGCGGACCAGGACGACGACGACGACGGCGGCGGCGGCGGCGGCGGCGGCGTCCGGATCAAAGACGGCATGAAGCTCGGCCTGGGCGACTTCATCTTCTACGCCGTCCTCGTCGGCCGCGCGGCGATGTACGACCTGTTCGTCGCGCTGCTGTGCTACCTCGCCGTCGCGGGCGGTCTAGTGTACACGCTCGTCGAGCTCGGACGACGACGGAGGGCGCTGCCGGCGTTGCCCGCGAGCATCGCGTCGGGCGTCGCGGCGTACCTGGCGGGGAGGTACGTCCTCGAGCCGATGATCTACGACGGCCTGCGCGCGTCGTCTTTAGAGTAGCGCAGCGGCGACGACGCGCGCGCGATGGTCTTTATGTCCAAACGTAGCGTTAGCACCTCACACGATGCGATGTCTCGGCGGCGGTGTTAGTCTATTTTTCTCGGTTCTACCTGCTGATGCTGACACGACACGACGAATGCGCGAGAGGTTCAATCTGAGGCGCGCCCCGCCGCCGACGTCGGCGCCGCGCCGAGCCCGGTCGCCATGGAAGCCGCGCCGTTCGAGGGCGACACCCCCGCGTTCGAGCGCGCGCGCGCGCGGCACGACGCGGAGAACCGATGGCTCGTCCGCGAGTTCGGCGCGCTCTTGGGCGCGTCGCGGTCGTACGCGAAATCGCTCGCGCCGACGAGCGGCGGAGGGTGGGTCGGCGACGCGAGCGAGGGCGTCGGCCTCGGCGGCATGCTCGCGGGCGCGCTCCAGGCGGGCGTGGAACGACTCGCGGTCGGCGACCGGAACGGCGCGAACGGCGGCGACGGCGTCGGCAGGGTGGGCGCGTTTGGCGGGGCGTCGAGCGCGGACGCCGCGTTCGCGAACGCGCTCGAGCGCGTCGGCACGGTCGCGGCGTCCACGACCGCGGACGAGGAGATGGCCGGGCCCATGGCCGCGGCGGTCGGCGCGCAGCTGCTCTCGCCCGTCGCGGACGCGCTCAGGGAGATCGGCACGCTGCGGAACTCGCTCGGACGCCGCGTGGACGAGTGCCTCGTCGGGAGGATCCGCAGGTTCGTCGACGACGACCTCGCCGCGGTCGCGACGGCGAAGGAGAAATTCGAGCGCGCGCGCAGAGACTGCGACGCCGCGCGCGCGCACTTCCTCCGCGTCGGCGGCAAGGACGCGAACGACGCGCTGGACAGCGCGAGGGAGGCGCTCGAGGCGTCCCGCGCGAGGCTCGCGCTGGCGCACACGCACGCGGAGGGCGTTCGGAGATACGTTCTCCTCGAGGCGACGCGAGAGACGATGACGGCGTTGCGACGGTTCTTCGACGACGCGGCGAGCGTCGTGGGCGAGAGACTGCGCGACGCGATGGCCGCGTCGGAGGAGTACGAGACGGCGTCCAGAGCGAGGGCGGAGATGAACATGGTCGGCGCGGCGTCCGCGGCGGCGAGCGCGCTCGCCTCTCGCGGCGGCGTCAGCGAGGAGGAGGAGGAGGAGGAGGACGACGGGGACAAAGTCCTTGCCGCCGCCGCCGCCGCCGCCGCCGCGAGCTCGACCATGAACACCGGGCGGAGCGCGGACGTCTCGATTCGCAAGCAGCTCGCGGAGGGGACGCACAGAGACGGAGGCGGCGCGAGCGGACGCCGCGCGCTCGGGGTGGGCGTCATACGACGCGGGTACCTCGCGCACAAGCGGGACGGTCCGAGGTGGGCGGGCGGGGGATGGAGCCGGAGATATTTCGTCCTCGACGGCGCGGGGCGGCTCGTCGTTCGAGAGGAGCGAGGACGACGCGAGCGCGAGCGAGAGAGAGAGCAGCAGCAGAAGAAGCAGCGCGGGGGCTCCGCGAGCGCGCCCGGGGCGGACGACCAGACGGCGGCGGCGGCGGCGAGCCCCGCGGCGGAGCCCGACGCGGCGTCGCCGGCGGCGGCTCCCCCGACGGTCCCGGTCGTCGACCTCTCGGACGACGAGGTCGCCGCCGCGACCGCCGCCGCGGCCGCGGCCACGGCGATGAACCATCCCCCTCGCGCGCGCAAGCGCGACATGATCGCCCCCATGGCCGCGTCCGCGATGCGAGGGATCGGCAGCGGCCTCGGCGCGGCGTGGAAATTCGTCGCGACCAACGCCGCGCCCGAGCCCGGCGCCGTCGACGCGGAGGAGGACTACAAAGACGCGGTCGACCTGCGGACGTCGTGCGTGAAACCCGGGCCGGATCCCAACGATCGCGCGTCTTCGAACCGGCCGTTTTGTTTCCGCGTCATCTCCCCCGCGGTGTCTTTGTCGCTGCAGGCGGAGAGCGAGGAGGAGATGCGAGGTTGGATCGCGGACCTGCAAGGCGTCATCGCGGAGCTGATCAGCCTGGGGCCGGGGCCCTTCCCGCGGCACGCGCGATCGGGGTCCGCGGTCGGCGACGTCGGCGCCAGCGATGGCGGCGGCGGCGGCGCGCGCGTCCCCGAGAACGACGCGCGGACGCGCGGAGAAGACCCGAGAGAGACGCTCGCGTCGATACCCGGCAACTCGAGGTGCGCGGATTGCGGCGCGGCGGACCCGGATTGGGCGTCGCTGAACTTGTGCGTCGTCGTGTGCCACGACTGCGCGGGCGTGCACCGGCACTTGGGCGCGCACGTGTCGAAGGTCAGATCGCTCGCGTTGGACGCGGACGCTTGGACGCCGCCGGTGATGGCGCTGTTCGAACGCGTCGGGAACGAACGCGCGAACGCGATTTGGTGCAAACGCCGACCCGACGCCAACGCCGACCCGGTGGCTTCGAATTGCGCGACGCGAGAGGAAGCTCTCGCGGCGATATCGAACAAGTACGTCGCGAGAGCGTTCGTGGACGCCGCGACGGCGGACCCGGGCGCGATGGAAGCCGCGGCGGCGGCGTTGGACTGCGCGGAGGTGCTCGCGCGCCTCGCGGCGGGCGCCGACGCCGACGCGAAGCGCGCGGCGTTGCGCGCGGCGGCGAGACGCGGCGAGGACGCCGCGCCCGTGATCGCGCTGCTCCTGAGCAACGGCGCCGCGGTCGCGGGCGAGGACGACGCCAACGTCTCGGTCGACGCGACCGAGCAGGGGTCGTCCGCGCGGACGCTGGCCATCGTGCGCGTCGCGATGGAAGCCGGGTGCGGGCTCGACGGCGTCGTCGTCGGGTTGTTGCGCGCCGCCGCGGAGGCGCGGGGGGCGCGGTTCCAGGTGTCGCCCGCGGCGGTCGCCGCGGCGGCTGCCGCGGCGGCGGCGGCGAAGAGAGTTTCGTCGGGGTCGTGACGCGAGCGCGCGCGCGCGCGTCGTCGTTAGTATTGCGTAGGTTCTACGTCGCCGTGTTGTAGAGGTATCGTATGCCGCCGCCGGCGTTTTCTGTTGATGATTTGGAAATCAATTCTCGACGCGAGTCCAGTCGCGCTCGCGAGCCATTCGCCTATGCGCGCGGCGTCCGCCGCCGCGGCGCTCGGGCCGGCGGTATCTCGCCCGAGACACCGCCGCCGCCGCGGCGCCCCTCCGATCGCCGCGCGCGCGTCGGACGACCTCGGGCTTACCCTCGAAGCCCCCGGATGGTCGGGAGGATACGGAACCGGAGGAAGGGTATGGAGCTCGTCGGACGTGCTCATCGAATTCCTCCGAGAGAACGACGACGTCGTCCGCGACGCGTCCGTGGTCGAGCTCGGGAGCGGCACCGGCGCGGTCGGGATCGCCGCCGCGGCGCTCGGCGCGCGCAGCGTGATTCTAAGCGACGGCGGCTCGGATTCGCTCGTGCGGCTCGCGAAGGACAACGCCTCGCGAAACGTCGCGAGCGGCGCGATCGACGGCGAGAAGACGACGATAGACGTCGCCGCGTATCGATGGAACGACGCGGCGCCGCCGCCGGAGATCATCGCCGCGGCGCCGTTCGATTTGATACTCGGGTCCGACTGCACTTACAGCGTCAGCGCGCACGGGGCGCTGTGCGACGCCGTCAAGGCGTTGCTCGCGTTGCGCGGCGGCGGCGGCGAGGAATCAGAAAACGGCGACGGCGGCGGCGGCGGGCGCTGCAGGGTCATACTCGGGCACCAGCATCGGACGTTCGCGGCGTTCCTAGCGGGAAGAGGGTTCGCGGCGAACGGGTGGGGACGAGACCCGCACCTGGACATGTTCGTGGAAACCGCGAGAGGACGAGGACTCGTCGCGAACGAAATACAGACGACGAAATTGAGATGGCACGGTCTCTTAAACGTGACGCTGTTAGAGCTCACGATAGCGTAGCGCGATAGGCATCCTAGCGTCGACCTTCTAAGGTTTACCATCACGCAATCTAACTAACACGACGCGCGCGATGCGATCGTCCGCGGTCACCCATCGTCGTCGCACGCGTCCGCGCCGCCGAGCTCGAACGCGCACGCTTCGTTCGTTCTCAAATCGAACACCTCGACGACGGCGCCCCCCCCCGACTTCCCTCGCAGCGCCGTCGCGACGACGTCCACGCTCACGAACACGCGCGACGCGGGCGGGGGCGCGTCGGCGAGGTCGTCATCGCCGCCGCCGTCGCCGTACGCGGCCTGAACGTCGCGCGTCAACGCGGCGCCGCACGCCGCCGTCGTCCTCAACCACGCCAGCGGCCGAATCATCCCTCCGCCGCCGCCGCCGCCGCCGCCGCCGTCGCCGCCGGAAGCCTCCGCTCGCAGCCACGCCACGAGCGCGCTCGGCTCCCCGTCCCACGGCTGCACGAACCCGACGCTCGCGCGCCACGACCGCGGCGCGCTCCCGCGCTTCCACGTCCCGAAAACCAACCCGCACACGGCGTCGTGACGCGCGCCGGGGGCGAGCGCGTCGGCGGCGGCGCACGCAGCCTCCGCGAACGCGACGACGGCGCCGGGCGGGAACGTCATCAGCTCGATCCGCGACCGCGCCTCGCGGATCGACGCCTCGCGCGCGTTCGCGGCCGCGCGCTCGGCGTCCGCGCGGAGGGCTCGCGCGTTCGCGACCGCGGCGGCTTCGGCCGCGAACGCGCGCTCGCTGAAGCGCGCGGCGTCGGCGTCGGCGTCGGCGTCGTTTGCCCAGAGCGACCATCCCCGAACGTCCACGCCGAGGACCGCGGCGGTCGCTCTCGACGCCCTCGCCTCCGCGGCGTCGTCCGCTTCCCTCTGCGCGCGCTTCTCCTTCTCGCCTCGCTTCGCCCGCGGCGGGTGACGCGTCGAGCTCGCCCACCCGGGGTCTTCTTTAAACCCCCGCGGCGGCGCGTCGCAGTTCACGTTCAACGCGCGCAGCTCCGCCGCGGAGTATCGATATCGAACGACGCCGTCGCCTTCGCCCTCGCGCTCGACCGGGGCGACCGCCGCTGGCGACGCTTCGAGGACAGCAGCCTCCTTCGTCTCCATCTCGGCTCTCTTGCGCGCGAGCATCGCTCTCAGGTCGTCCACGTCGTCGTCCGTCGACGGCGCGGCCGCGGGCGGCGGCTTCGTCGCGTTCGGCGTGAGCGGCGCGGACGCGCCCAACGCTCGCATCTCCTCCACGGTGAGCATCGCGCGCGTCTCCGACTTGGGCGTCTTCGTCTCAGGTTTCCCTCTCGCGCTCGCGTCCGGCGGCGGGTCGCGCGCCGGCGCCGTCGCGGTCTCGCCCCTCGCGGGCGACGACGGCGGCGGCGCGCGAAGGTCGTCGCGAAGGTCGTCGGGGAGCGCCGTCCGCGTCGCCGCGGTCTCCGCGTCCGTCGCCGCGTCGCTCGCGCTCGGGTCGAGCGGCTCGCGTCTCGCGTCTCGCGTCGTCGTCGTCGTCGCCGCCGCCGCCGCCGCCGTCTCATCGCGCGGCGGCGTCTCGTCGACCGCGTCGTCGTCCTCGTCGTCGCGCCGATCCCGACCCCGATCGCGCTCGCGCTCGCGTTCGCGATCCGCCCCGTCCGGCTCCGGCGCTTCCTCCGCGCGACGCGCGTCCCACCCGTCGTCCTCGGCGGGAGGCGGTCCCGGTGGCGTGCGGTCCCGACGACGGTGCCACCCGCCGTGACGCGCCGACCGCGCGTCCCGTTCGTCGCGGCGCCGACTCGTTCGACGATCGCTCGTCGGCGGCGGACGCGACGACGGCGGCGCGCCGAGGCCGTGACGCTCCCACAGGCGCAGGTACGGATACGGACGCGACACGTCGAGGTGGTGGAGGACGATGTGGCGATCGCGCCCGGGAGCGCGGGCCTCCCAGGCGGCCATCTCCCCGCCGCCCGGCGCCGCTCGCTCTGACGCGACGACGACACCAGAACGCGTTCTGTCTGGTTGTTGACTGAGGTTCGGACGCTTCATCGAACGCGAACGCCGCGTCACTTCGAGGCGCGCGGCGACGATGCTCCCGCTGTTCGACGCCGCGGGCGACCTCGCGACGGAGACGCTCGTCTTCGCGAACGAGCTCCGGACGAACGAGTCGTTATCCCTGGAACACGTGCGCGAGATCAGCGGGTGCGCGCGTCTCCCCCGGCGCGGCGACGAGACGTCCGCGTCCGCCTCTCCGACGTTTATTCGCGCGCGCAGAGTCGCGGGTGCCCACCATTCATTCAGATCTGACCCCAACCCGCCCCGCTCCCCTCCGCGATCCCTCCCCTCGTCCTCCATTCCCCCCCAGCGCCCGCCTCGCCGTGTCAAAGTACACCGCGAACCCGACGGTCGCCGCGGACGCGGCCGCGAGGACCGCCGCGGTGGAGAAGTACGTGCCGCTCCTGGAGTCGCTCGTCCGAAAGAAGGACAACGTCGCGCTGGTGAATCAGTCGAGGAACTTGAGGTACGGGTGGAATAGCCCGCTGGAGGGCCGCGGCAACGCGTTCTCGCTCGAGGACATCGAGCACGAGCGAGGGATGGCGTGGATGCTGCGAGCGGCGTGCAAGCGCCAGGAAGCCGTCTGCGCGGTCGCGGAACGACCGCGCGCGCCGCCGACGCCGACGCGACACGAGGAGGACGACGAGAGAGTCGTCCCGATCGGCGGGTCCGTCCTGTCCACGCCCACGGCGACGCCGTCGGTCTCGGTCAACGCGCCGAAGACGACGCCTTTGACCGGCGGCGGGACGCCGAAATCACCCGGCCCGGTCCTCGGCGAGGCCGCGCCCGTCGTCGCGACGATCTTACGCGAAGCCGCGGGGGTGTATAAACACGCGGCGCTCGACGTGTTGCCGCCGTTGAAACATAGCTTGGGCGGGCTGCGACCGAACGAGCTCCTCGCGTCCATGGCGGACGCGATGCGATGCGTGTGCTTGGCGGAAGCGCAGGCGGCGACGGTGCGGCGCGCGGAGGAGAAGGGTACCGGGCACGCGCTGCTGTGCAAGCTTCACATCGGCGCGGGGGACTTGTTCAAACGCGCTGACGTCGCTTTGAACGAACACGTGAGCGACTTTAACTTCTTCTCGCGGAAGCTCCAGGCGTACATCTACCTCGGGCAGGCGATGCACCGCGCGCGGGCGTACAGAGCGCTCGCGGAGGAGGCGTGGGAGGCGACCGAGGTCGGCGAGGCGATCGCGCTCATGAACGAGGCGGATAAGCAGTTGCAGAGAGGACGCGACGCCGCGAGCGAGACGGATTGGTGGCGACACGCCGCGCTGGAGGAGTCCGAAGCCGCGGTCGCGCTCAGGGGGAAGTACGTGCGAGAGAACGAGCTCGTGTTCTTCGAGAAGGTGCCCGCGAAGTCGAGCAAGCGGCTGCCGGAGGGGAAGGTGATCGTCTCCGAGATCGACCCTCCGATCTCGGAGAGCATGCAAAACCTCTTCGTCGAGTGACGAGCGACGCGCCGCGACAGACGGTTGCAAAGGTGTTTCCGTACTTCGTAATAAAACGCAACGCGCGCCACCCCCCAGCCCAGTCTCCCTTCCTCCCTTCCTTCTCTCCTTCCCCTGGTGCGACTCAGCAGCACACCCAGTAGCGATTCTCCCATATAGTCTCCCGCTTGGACTCCGCGCGGTACCACTTCATCGGCCGCATCTCGTATCGCGGCGGCGGCGGCTCGCAGCACGTCCGCATCACGTTCTTCACCGGCCCCAACGAAAACGGGTACACGTTCTTCGGCACCCCGCGGAGGTAGCTCACCTTGTCACGACCGCTCGATACCTCCCACGTGCTCTGCCCCGTGACGATCAGGTACGCGTGGAACCCGAGCAAGGATCCGACGAACAGCGCGAAGAAGAAGAGGAAGACGCACAGAAACAGCGGCCCCGCGTTTTTCGCGAAGAGCTCGCCGAAGGTGTCGTGATACCTCAACCCGGTGCCGGATATGTGCAGCGCCCAGATCACGCACGCGGTCTCCGTCGCGAGGTACGACGTGAACCGCGCGTGGTTCTTCTCCCCGACGCACGACCCGACCCAGAAGCAGTGGTGGTCGAACTTCCGAACGCACCGTCCGCAATCGTGGCAGTGCTTCGTTCGAAGGCCCTGCCACGCGTCGCAGTGTTTGCAGTTTTGCCCGACCGGCATCGGGGTGTCGTCGTCGCCGTCGTCGTCGCCCCCGTCGTCCTCGCCGTACGTGGGGATCTCGCGCGTCAGGATCTCCGCGTTGCTCGAGTCGATGTACGAGGGGCCGAGGAGGTCGCGGCTCGAGGACGCGCGCCCGCCCGCGGGTCTCGTCGTCCCGCCTCCTCCTCCTCCCGCGCCGCTCTCGACGTCCCCGCCCGGCGCGTTCAGCGACGCGACGTTTCTCTGCACGCTCAGGAACTCCGCGGCCTGCGCTTTCTCGTCCTCCTCGACGTAGCCCGGGTTACTGTTCGCGAGCGCGAGGTAGAACGCGGCGTTTACGATCAGCGAGAACGCGACGCCGGTCTTGTACGCGTCGCCTCCGTCCGTCATGTCGTTTTCGAACAGCGACAGGAAGTACACCACGAGGACGTGGATGACGACCCAGACGATCTTCGGGAACAGCGGGCTCGCGCGGGGCTTGCGGAGCATGCGCTCGCGCCACTTGAAGAAGCCCCCCGTCGTCCATCTGAGCTCCGCCGGGTCGTGCACGCGTTTGGGAAGTCGACGCGGCAGCATCGCGCGCGTCGAGATGGTAGGCCGCGGGCTCGTTATTCTGCTCGTCAAATAAAAATATCCTGCCGCCCGCGCTACTGCATGCCTGGCGCCAATTTTCGTTGAGCCGAGAGTTCCGGACGACGGCGCCGCAGTGACGTTAAGTGAACGATGATGAATAAATACCCGCAGTTGTCATGCGAAACTCTCAGAGTCGCTAGTGTCTGCTACATGATCACCCTCCCCAGCGGCTCGCGCGCGTTCAGGAACTCCGCGTCGCCCGCGACGCCCCGACCCTTCTCCGCGCCGCCGCCGCCGACGTTTTCTTTCCCCGGCGCGACGAAACCCGAACCCTTGACCGCGCGCGCCGCCGCGGCGGCAACCTTACTCCTCCGGTTCGCCTTCGGCGTGTTATCGTACGCCTCCCTGACGCTCGCGAGCGCGGCGGCGGCGCCTCTGACGGAAGCGAGCGCCGCCGCCGCTGTCGCTTGCGCGCGAGCGACAGCCGGGCTCGCGGGCGTCCCCGCCCCCGCCGGCGTCCCCGGCGCCGCGCGCGCGTTGGCGCTGTATAACGGCTGCGTGTGGCGCGTTATCGACGCCGCGGGAGGCGACACGAACTCCCCCAGCGGCGACGCGGACCGCGCCGCGGGCGCGGGAAGACGCCGCGGCTGTTGCGGCGACGGCGTGTGCACGTTATCGAACGCGTTCGCCGCGGCGGCGCGCGACGTCGGCGTCGACGGATCGTCCGCCGCGTCGCGTCCCTCGCCCCCTCCGCCCGCCGCGGGCTTCGACGTCGACAGGCTCGGCTCGTCCGCGAACACGTTCAAGCTCAAGCTCGCGGCGTTCGCGCCGATTCGCGTCCGCAGCCGCGACACGATCGACTGCTGCTTCCTCTGCGCGAGTCTCCAGCGATTCTCGCCCTCGATCGCGCTCGGACTCTCCGCGCCGCCCGAGCCCTGCACGCTCGCCGCCGCCGTCGCGACGCCTCTTCGCACGCGCTCGAGCTCGCACTCCGCGGCGGACGCGCGCTCGTTCGCCTCCTCGAACGCATTCTGCATCTCCCGAAGCCGCGACTCGGCCTCGCGAAGGATGCGCGCGTGGTCGCTCAGCGTCGACTCCGCCTCGTCCCTCGCGCGTTCCGCGTCGCGGCGCGCGCGCGTCGCCTCCCTCCGAGCCGCCTCCGCGTCTGCGAGCGTGTCCGCGGCGTCCGCGGCGGCGTCCTCCGCGCGCTCGCGAGAGTCGTCCGCGGCGTCCGCGATGAGCTCTGATCTCGCGGCGGCGGCTTCCGCGGCGACCGCGCGCGCGAACGCCGCGGCGGCGGCGTTTTGCGAGCTCGCCGCCTGCGCGTCCGACGCCGCCGCGCGCGCCTCGGCGTCGGCGGCGGACGCCTCCGCGAGCTCCGCGCGCGAGATGGCGGCGGCGCGCGCGGCTTCCGCAGCCTCCGCGCGTGTCTTGAGCTTGGCCGCCGCGGCTTCCGCGGCGGTCGCGCCAAGGCGCTCGGCGCGCGCGGTCTCCTCCGCGGCTTTGACCTTCGTCGCCCACGCCTCCGCGGCAGCCTTCTCCGCCGCTCGCTTCGCGTCCTCGACGGCTCGCTCGCCGCGCGATCGCGCGTCCTCCGCGGCGCGCGTCGCCTCGTCGAGCGCGCGCTGCATCGACGCCTTCACCTCGTCCCTCGCCGCGGTCACCGCGCGAAGCGAATCGCTCTCCGCGTCGGACAGCGCCCTCGAGATGGCCGCCTCCGCGGCGCGTTCCGTCTCGAGCGCGCGCGCGGCGGCTTCGTCCGCGCGTTTCATCGCTTCCGACACCTTTTCGTCCGCGCGTTTCATCGCTTCCGACACCTTTTCTTCGGACAGTTTCATCGCTTCCGACACCTTTTCTTCGGACAGTTTCATCGCTTCCGACACCTTTTCTTCGGACAGTTTCATCGCTTCCGACACCTTTTCGTCCGACAGTTTGATCGCCGCCGCGTGGTCCGCGTTCGCGGCGGCGACCGCGGCCGCGGCGGCCATCTCCGCCTCCGCGACGCGCACCTTCGCGGCGGCGAGCTTCGCGGCGGCGGCGCAAGCCGTCTCGTCCGCGCGCTCTCGCGCCTTTTCAATCGCCGCGGCGGCGACGGCGCGCTCCTTCACGACGTTCGCCTCCGCGTCGCGCAGTCTCTCCGACGCCTCTCTCGCCTCAGCCTCCGCGCGCGCGGCGCGCGTCTCCGCGACTTTGGCGGCCGCGGACGCGGCGGCGGCGGTCTCGCGCGCCGCCGCCGCGCACGCTTCCGCGGCGACCCTCGCCTCCGCGTCGAGCACCGCCGTCTTCGCCGCCGCCGCCGCCTTGGCCTCCGCCGCCGCCACCCGTCTCTCCGCGTCCGCGCTCGCGCGCTCGGCGTCCACGACGCGCGCCTCCGCAGCCTCGATCGCGGCGGCGGTCGCGTCGCGCGCGCGCGCCTCCGCAGCCTCGATCGCTTCCGCCGCGCGCGCGCGCTCGAGCGTTGCGTTCGTCTCCGCGGCGGACGCGCGCGAATGCGCCGCCGCGACGGCTTCCTCGGCTTCCTTCGCCGCGACCGCGCGCGCCTTCTCCGCGGCCGTCGCGGCGGCGCGCGCGTCTCTGACCGTCCGCGCCGCCGCGGCCATCGCGCGCGCGCCCTTGGACCCGTCCGTGATCCCTAACGCTTCGGCAGCTTCCGCCTCCGTCTCCGCCGCCGCCTCCGCGGCTTCCGCGCGCATTTCGCTCATCTCCGCCGCGGCTTTCGCCTCGCCCTCGGCCAACGACGCGCGGTGCGCTTCGAGCTTCGCGTCCAACGCCGCGGCTTCCGCGGCGGCCGCGCGCGTTACCGCGCCCTCGAGCGCGGTCTCCGCGCGTTCCGCGCGCGCGCACGCCTCGAGGGCTTCGTTTTTGGAAACCGCCGCGGCGCTCTCCGCCGCGCGCGCCCTCGCGAGCGCGTCGACGACGTCGACGTTCGACCGCGTCCGCGCGTCCTCCGCGCGGTCCGCCCTCGCGATCGCCTCCGCTGACGCGTCTTTGGCGGCGTCCGCCTCCGCGGTCGCCTTCGCGAGGTCCGCCTTGAGCGCGGCGAGCGCGGACGCCGCCGTCGCCGCCGCCGTCGACGCCGCGGCTTCGATTTCGCTCGCGCGCGACTCCGCGGCGACCGCGCGCGCCTTCGCCGCGTCCGCGGCGTCCCTCGCCGCGGACGCGTCCGCGACCGCGATGGACTCGTTCGCCTCCGCGTGCCGTAACCGCGCCTCCGCGTGCGCGGCTCGCGCTTCCGCGGCAGCCTTGGCGACTTCCGCGGCGCCGACGCGTTCCGCGCTCTTCTTCGCCGCGTTTTTGACGGCGGCGAGTTCTTCTTCTCGCGTCGCCGCGCCCTCGTCTAATCGTTTCGAGACGTCTTTCTCCTTCCTCGCGAGCGCTTTCATCGCGTCCTCCGCGCGCGCGACCGCATCCGTCGCATTCTCCGCGACGGCGTCGACGCGAACGCCGAACGCGTCCGTCGTCTTCGCGTTCGCGGCGAGCTTTTCGTTCGTCGACGCTTCGTACGCGTCGCCGACGACGAGCCACCGGTCCGCGGCGGCGGTCAGCTTCGCCTCCGCCTCCGCGACGCGTTCTTCCATCGCCTTGGCGTGCGCGAGCGCTTTTCGTTCCAGCGCCTCGGTCTCGCGCTTCGCTCGCGCTTCGATCGACGCGACGCGCGCGGCGGCGTTTTCGGCCCGGGTCGATCGCTCGAGCGCGAGCGACGTTTGCAGCGCGGCGGCTTTCGCGCGCAGTTTGCTCAGCGTCTTCCGCGAGCTGTTCGACGGCGCGAGCGCGTGCTTGGGGCGGATGATCAACTTCGCGACGGGACGCGGCGACGGCGCGGCCGGGGTCATGCCGCGGGATGTCGTCGCCGCCGGCGGCGGCGCGACCTCCGTCTCCGTCGTCGCATCCTCCGTCGTCGCCGCGACGGCGACGGCGACGGCGGCGGCTTCCTCCGCGTCCGCCGCCGCCTTCTCCGCCGCGCTCGCCGCCGCCGCGCGCAACGCGGCGACTTCGCCTTCGTTCTTCGAGCAAGCAGACTCGAGCTTCGCTTCCCACTCCGCGTTCAGAGACTCCATCGCGTCCTTCACGCGAGCGGCGACGATCGCCTCGATCGAATCCTCCGCCGCCGCCGCTCGCGCCGCCGCGCGTTCCGTCTCCAGCTCGCGCACCGCCTCCACGGTGAGCTGTTCTGCGTGCGCGTAGTCGTCCTCCGCGGCCGCGAGCTTCTCTCTCAGCGTCGCCGCCTCGCGCTCCGCGCGTTCTCTGAGCTCGCGCTCGCTCGCGACGGCGTCATCCGCCTCCGCGCGTTGCACGTGGAGTTTCTTATGCGCCGCAGTCGCCGCCGCGCGCGCGGCGGCGAGGTCCGCGCTGACGTCGTTCACTCTCGCTTCCATCTCCCTCCGCGCGTCCTCAACCTTCGCGAGCGCGTCGCTTTTCTCGCGCGCGAGCGCGTCCAGCCGCGCTTCCGCGGCGGACGCGCGCGCGGTCGCGAGGTCGCGCGCGTCCGCGGCGGCGGCGACGTCCGCGCGCGCGGCGACGACGGCGGCGGCGTCGACGCGCGCCGCGTCCCTCGCCTCGTCCGCGTCTTTCCTCGCCCACGCGAGGTCCTCCCTCGCGGCGGAAATTCGCGCGTCGGACGTCGCGAGCCTCGCGCGCGCGTCCTCGAGCTCGCATCGCGTCGCGTCGAGGCGTTCGAGCGTCGTCGCGTTTTCCGCCGCCGCCGTCGTCGCCGCGCGCGTCGCCGCCGCCTCCGCGTCGCGCGCGTCTCTCGCGTCGTCGCACGCCGCGCGCGCGAGCTCCTCCGCGGCTTTCGCGCGCTCCTCCGCGGCTTTCGCGCGCTCCTCCGCGCGGTCGCGCTCCGTCGTCGCGCGAACCGCGCGATCCGCCTCGAGGTCGCGTTCGGTCGCGGCCGTGGTCGCGTCGGAGACGGCGCGTTGCGTCGCGGCGGCGTAATCGTCGCGAAGGATCGTCGCCGCGTCTTCCGTCTCTCGCCGCGCGCGCTCGGCGAGGAGCGCCCTGGACGCGAGCGCCTCGGACGCCGCCTCCGCGCACTCGACGTTCTCGCGCAACGCGCGAATCTCATCGCTCTGGGACGACGGGAGGGCGGGGGAGCGGGCGTCGGCGACGCGCGCGTCGAGGGGGAGGGGGGGGGGACGACGCGCGCGGTTCCGCGTCGGAACGCGCGACGGTGATGGACGACGGAACGGCGCGCGTGGACGGGACGACGACGGGATCTCGGGGCGCGGTGGGTCGGGGGGGACGACGCGCGAGGCGCGATCCTCGGCGGCGCGCACCTGCGTCTTGATGACTTTCCGCGCGCGTCGATGCTCGCGCTCGCGTCCCTCGTCGACGCCGCCGTCGCGCGGGCCGTCGCGCGCGCCGCGCGTCTCGAGATTTTCCTTCCCCCCCTCTCGAGACGCGGTCGCCGAGGGCGCGCAGTCCCCGGCGCCCGCGCGCGCCGATTTCAGCTCCGCGCGCAGCCGCTCGATCGTATCGCACTGCGCCGCGAGCAGACGCGTCGTCGCGTCGTACTTCCCGCGCAGCGTCTCCATCGCGGACGCGTCGAGGTCCGCCGTCGCGCGCGTCTCGTCGCGCGCGCGCGGGACGATGTGGTCGGCGATGACTCAACTCCGGAAGCCCGGCGAGCGTTTCCGAAGTTCCGCCGGTTCGCTCAACGGAAAAGTTCGCGAAAATAAGTTAGTGCAGGTTATGGGACGCCACCATTCGCCCGACCGGACGCGCGCGACGACGCGACGGGTCGCGCGTCGCCACAGCGACTCGCGCGACGCACGTCGACGCGAGCCCGTTTCCGCGAGCCCGGCGACGCTCGCGCGCGCGGCGTTTCTTCGCGACCGCGTTCACTCGGGCGGCTCTGGCGACCGCGTCTGGTGTTCGCGTCTTCCGCGTTTGAAGCGCGCCGCGATCGATCGAACTATCGATTGATCGATTTCGGATCGCGCGATGTTGTGCGCGCAGTTCCACCACGACGTCGCGCGGAGCGACGACGACCCCGGCCCTCGATGCGGTCACACGCTGACGTGCGTCCCCGCGGACGGCGGCGGGCAGCGCCTGATCGTCTTCGGAGGCGCGACCGCGCTCGAGGGCGACGGCCCGAACGGCAGCACGAGCGGGATACGTGAGTCCTCTCGCGCGGCGTGCCCACGGCGCCCCGCCCCGCGCGAAATGAAATCTCGCGCGCGCGTCTTCTCGCGACGCCGCGCGATCTCGCGCGACTCGGTCGAACGCGCGCGCGCTTTCCATCCCGCGCGCCCGCGCGGTGTTCGCGCGCGTCTCCCGCGTCCATCCCCCGCGCGCGTCGCCGCTCTCGCTCGCTCGACCCCTTCGCGCGGCGCCGTCTCAACGAACGCGTCCTCCTCCTCACGTCCTCACCTCCCGCGTCTCTTCCATTCTACCATCCTCTCTCATCACGCAGGCCTCGCCGGCGCGACGTCCGACGTGCACTCCTTCGACGTGCGATCCGGGATTTGGACCAAGATCGAAGCCTCGGGCGAGGGCCCGTCCCCTCGCGCGGCGCACTCCGCGGCGGCGGTCGGCAACATGATCGTCGTCCAAGGCGGCATCGGCCCCGCGGGGCTCGCGTCGGAGGACCTCCACGTCCTCGACCTGCAGGGCGCGCCGCGGTGGCACCGCGTCGTCGTCCGCGGTCCAGGCCCTGGACAGAGATACGCGCACGTCGTCGCGTTCGTCGCGCAGCGATTCTTGGTCGTCCACGGCGGGAACGACGGGTCGAAACTGCTGGGCGACGCGTGGTGCCTCGACACGACGTCCAAGCCGTACGAGTGGAGCAAGATGAACCCGACGGGCGACGTCCCGCCGCCCCGCATGTACGCCGCCGCCGCGCCGAGGGCGGACGGGCTGCTTCTCCTGTGCGGCGGCCGCGGCGCGGACAGCGCGCCGCTCGCGGACGCGTTCGGTCTGGCGCGTCACCGCGACGGGCGGTGGGAGTGGGCGGCCGCGCCGGGGGAGGCGCCGACGGCGCGGTATCAGCACAGCGTCGCGTTCATCGGCACGCGGCTGCACGTGTCCGGCGGCGCGCTGGGGGGGGGCAGCATGGTCGACGACGCGTCCTCGCTCGCGGTGTTGAACACGTCCGCGGGGCCGAGCGCGGGGTGGTCGTTCGTGACCGCGTCGGGGGATAACAAGGGGAGCAAGGCGGCGTGCGCGGCGGCGTCTCGGCGGTGTCGGCACGCCGTCGCCGGCGTCGGGCCGCTCGTGTTTTCGTGCGGCGGGTTGCGCGGCGGCAATCTCCTCGGCGACATGTACGTGTCCGAGGAGTCCTTGAGCGAGAGCGGGATGACGCGCGCGGAGGCGCTCGCGGCGCTGAGCGAGGTGATCGACGTGAACGCGCCCGCGTGGAGGGACTGGCTCGCGGACGTCGGGCTTTTGGACGACGCGACGCGCGCCGTCGAGATGGGGGGGTTGCCGCCGTTGAAAACCGAGACGACGACGACGACGACGCGCGCGACGTCGTCGGACGCGAGCGGGAAGAAGAACGGCGGGAAGAACCAATCTAATCGGACCGGCGGGTTCGGGACGCCGCTCGGGGGTTCCTTCGCGGTCGACTCCCCCGGGAGCGACGACGGCTCGCCGCCGAACATCGGCGCGGCGTCGCTCGCGAAGCTCTCCTCGGACGAAGCCGAAGCCGCCGTCGCGCTCGCGGAGCGCACGTCCGTGTCCTTAGACTCCCCGCCCGAAGCCTCCGGCGGCGGAGCCTCCGCGCGCACGCCGTCTCCCGGGTCCGTGTCTAAGCGAGCGAATAGCACGGGTGCCCGGACGCGGGGGACGCCCGGGACGGACGTGCGGCTGCATCACCGCGCGGTCGTGGTCGCCGCGGGCGCGGACTCGAGCGGAGGGTTGGGGTCGCTGGTCCGGCAGCTGTCGATCGATCAGTTCGAGAACGAGAACAAGCGGATCGGTCCGGGGGTTCATTTGCTGGAGAGCGATAAGAAGAGCGGCGGCGGCCCGGGGAGCGAGAGAAAAACGCCGGCGATGATGGACCCCGGGTACGGCACCCCCGACGGGAGAGGCGGGTTCGACGCCGAGGACGACGGCGCGGACGACAGCGTGCACAAGAAAGTTCTCGCGGAACTTTTGCACCCGCGGGCGTGGGAGCCCCCCGCGGACCGGTCGTTCATCCTAGACGCCGCGGAGATCGACGAGCTGTGCGCCGCCGCGGAGGAAATATTCGCGAAGGAGTCCACGGTTCTGCGCTTGAGAGCGCCGACGAAAATTTTCGGCGACCTGCACGGGCAATTCGGGGATCTGATGCGTCTGTTCGCGGAGTACGGCTCGCCGTCCACCGCGGGGGACATCGCGTACATCGACTACTTGTTCTTAGGAGATTACGTCGACCGCGGGGCGTTCTCGCTCGAGACGATGTCGCTGCTCCTCGCGCTGAAGGTGGAGTACCCCGAGAACGTGCATCTGCTGCGAGGAAACCACGAGGAGGCGGACATCAACGCGTTGTTCGGTTTCCGGATCGAGTGCATCGAACGCCTCGGCGAGGAAGCCGGATCCATCGCGTGGAACCGCTTCAACACGATGTTCCAGTGGCTCCCGCTCGCGGCGGTGATCGAAGACCGCGTCGCGTGCATGCACGGCGGCATCGGGCGGTCGATCACGCACATCTCGCAGCTCGAGGCGCTCGAACGTCCGCTCACGATGGACAGCGGCGGGATCACGCTGATGGACGTCCTCTGGTCCGACCCGACGGAGAACGATAAGATCGAGGGTCTGCGACCGAACGCGCGCGGTCCCGGGCTCGTGACGTTCGGCCCCGACCGCGTCCGGAAGTTTTGCGAGACGAACGATCTGCAGATGATCATCCGCGCGCACGAGTGCGTCATGGACGGCTTCGAGCGGTTCGCCGGCGGGTTGTTGATCACCGTGTTTAGCGCGACGAATTATTGCGGCACCGCGAACAACGCGGGGGCGATTCTCGTCTTGGGGCGCGACCTGACGCTGTATCCGAAGATGATCCACCCGCTCCCGCCCGCGGCGTTGTACGGGATGGAGGATGAGGACGAGGAGATGCTCGGGTCGTGGCAGATGGGGTTGAATCGCGACCGGCCGCCGACGCCGCCGCGCGGGCGGTCGCAGCCGTTGGGCGCCGCGCCCGCGGGTGGGAGCGGCGGGCCCCGGCCGGGGTTGAAGTTTTTCTCGTGACGACGCGCGGCGACGGCGACGGCGCGCGCGCGCGTCGATTGTTAACAATTGAGTTGATTCTTTACACGCGCCGCGCCTCGCCGCGCTCGCTCCGTTCGCCGCCGCCGTTCGCGCTCGCGAACGGCTGACTCGCACGCTTAGTACTCACTGTACACGTCCCCCTTCTCTCTCCCTCCGCTCTCGCTCGTCGCCGACCCGACCACCGACGACCGACGCGACGCTCGTCACGGCGACCGGACCCCCTTCCGCGACCGCTCCTCGTTCTTCAGCTGCAACAGAAGCGACGGGTTCTTGATCTTCACGAGCGCGTTCACGTCCGCGAGCCTCGCCTGGCACAGCGCGAGTCGCCCTTTCATCGCGTTGTATCGATACGTCACGTGCGCGCGCGTCGCCTCCTCCGGCGTGGAGTCCAAGTCGATCGACAGCAGCTCCACGAACTTGTACTCCATGTTTTGAATGAAGTCCAACCTCGCGCCGCCGGTCTTTTGCATCACGAGCACCGCGAGGAACGCGTGCGGTTGCTTGATGCAGTTGTTCAGGTTCCTCTGAATCACCGCGGGGTAGTCTTTGAAATCCACCATGAGCCTCTGCCCCTCCTGCAACGCCGCGTACGCCGCGGTGTCCAGGTCGTGCGTGTAGTGGAAGAACAAGTTGCTCTCCGAGCACAGCTCGATCTTGACATTCGTGTACGCGCCGTCCGGGCCTTGCACGCAGATTTTCACTCGCACCGCCTCGAGCGTGCCCACCTCCTCCGGGGTCTCGAGTCCGTCCACGCTGCGAAGTTCGAAGGGCACCTCGCGCTCGTAGAAGACGCGCGAGCCGTCCGCGCACGACGGGTCCGCGTCCTCGAGCTGCGAGAAGTCCATGGACGACTGCAGCGTCGCCGCGAGGGCTTTGTCGTGCAGCCTGGGGAGGGGGTGAGGGGTGAGGGGAGGGGTGGGACGCGCGCGTCAGCGTCGTTCGTCGCGAGCAATTCGATTCCGTCCGCGGAATTGTCCGCAAGGTGTGGAAATGGGGAATGCAAAATTAATTAGCGGACGCGACGTCCGACGCCGTCGCCGCCGCGGACGGCGCCTGGGACGCGACCAGGGCGGGGCGCGCACAGGTAGTTATCGGCAGCCATGATTGCCGGCGAAGTGCGAAACGCGAGCTCGCTCGCGCGCTCGAATCTGACGCGCGGCGCGTCGGAATCGTTCGATTGCTCCTTCCGGAATTGGTGACTTGGATCCGCGGCATCAGACGATTGCGCTGCGCCTGGCTGCCGCGTCGCGTCGTCGTCTCCGAGGGGACGAGAGAAGTTTCGACGCCCGCCCCGCGCGCGCGACGCGAGCGCAGACGACATGGCGCAGGCGGCGCCGCCGCGCGCGTGGTGGGCGGGGGCGCGGTGCTCGGCGGGCCCGCATCGCGCGCGCGGGCGTCGATGCGCGACCGCGGCGAAACGCCGCGTCGACGGTGCCGTCGCGCGCGCGTCGTCGTCGTCGTCGCGTCGATCGTCCGCTCGCGACGACGACGACGACGAAGACGACGACGCCGCGGACGACACCGCGGCGCCGCCGACGCCGACGCCGAGCTTCCGCCCCGCCGCGCGAGGCGCGCGCGTCGCCTCGCCCGCGACTGGCGCGACGGACGCGACGGGCGCGGGGCGGCGGCAGCAGCGCGAGCTCTTCGCGGGCCTCAGCGCGCAGCTCGGATTGTACGCGTCGCTCGGGGATCTCTCCGCGGTCGACGCGTGGCGGTCCGGCATCAACGCGGCGCACGACGCCGCGGTCGCGAAATCGGACGCGACCGCCGCGGCGAACGCGAACGCGAACGCGACGCGGCTCGCGCTGACGCGCTGCGGCGTCTGCGGCGCGCTCGGGCACGACGCGCGCGGATGCGTCCTCGACGCGACGCTCCGCGCGCGACCGAACCCGAACGAGACGACGACGACGAAGACGAAGACGACGACAACGACGCGGGGCGCGAGCGCGTCCGGTCGACGCCGAGGGAAAGATTTAGTCGCGTACTACGAGCAGAAGTACGGCGGCGCCGACGCGCGGCGCGCGCGGAAGAGCGTGGACGCGCGGGGCCGACCGACGGAGGAGGACGACGTGACGTTGTGGACGAGCGGCCGCGAGGCGAGCGTTCTGAGCGCGTCGAAAGTCTCGAATCGCTGCGGCGTATGCGGCGAGCGCGGGCACAACCGCCGGTCGTGCCCGGTCGCGCTGTCGTCCTCGCCCGCGGTGAAGCGATCGCTCGCGACGCGCAGGTGCGGGAAGTGCGGCGTGTTCGGACACGACGCGAGGACGTGCTGGGGGCCGGGGACGGCGAGGGACGACGGGAAGGAGACGGTCGCCGCGAAGTTGTGGCTGCTTCGAAGGCGCGAGTCGACGTCGGGGTGGTTGTCGCTCTCGGAGGCGTGCGAGACGGTGGGGATAGACGCGAAGTATCGCGTGAACGTGAGGAATAAGGCGACGCGGTTGGAAGAGGCGGGGTGGGACGCGGAGGACGACGACGACTTTTCGCGCGAGGATTTCGACGGCGAGGATTTCGACGGCGCGAGCGACGGCGCGATCGACGCGAGGGAACGCGAGCTCGCGACGTTAGCCGCGGAGGACATGATCGCGGACCCGACGCTGTCCGCGGAGGATGCCGCCGCGAAACGGGGGTTACGACGACACCGGGCGAACTACGTGGGCATATTACGGCGGCGGATGCTGGACGGCGGGCGGATTAAATCGAATTTCCCAGCCACGCAGCCGTGCAGCATATGCGGCGAGCACGGTCACAAGAAGACGACGTGCGGGCGACCAGAGGCGCGTTATTGGGCGGCGCGCCGGGATCGTAGGAATAACGCGAGGGCGCTGATAGACGTAGACCGACGCGACGCGTGAACGAACGCGGCGCGTATTTATTAGCATCGCGATCGACGAGAGACAAAACCTCTAACCTCTAAGTGAGCAACGCGCGCGTCGCGTCCATCTCCTCCCTAGTACACCGCTTAAACTCCGCGCTTATCTCGTGCACGTCCGTCCGTCCGTCATCGTACGCCAACGACGCGAGGTACTGCTTCCCCGAGCCGCCGTCGCCGTCGTCGTCCCCGGCGGCGGCGAGCTCGAGCGAGACGATGCGTTCAACCTTACCGAAGCACTCCACGTGGATCGGATCGTTCGTCGCTCGCGTGAGCACGTCGAACACGTGCACGTAACACAGCGAGTCCAACACGAAGAACATCGACGGTCGCGCGAGGGACCAGCGCACGCACACGATCTCCCCGCCGGTGACGCCGTCCCACCGTCGAAGCGCGAGGCTTCCTCTCGCGTCGACGTACAAACCGATGGAACCGTTGACGTGCGCGGCGAGAAACGCGCGTTCAAACACCGGGTTGAAACTGATCGACACCGCCGCGTTCATCGGCGCGACCGCGGCGCCGCGACCGGGCTCGAGCGGATCGCACAGCGCGAACGCTCTCGGGAGCGGCGCGACGCCGTACCGCGCCCCGCGAAGGACTCGCCCGGACTCGGTGGCGACGAAAAACTCCGACGCGAGCCCGGCTCGATTCACGACCACCGCGTCTCTCACGCGCTGCCCGCCGCTCCCGCCGCGGTCGCCCTCGCCGCCGTACCTCAGCTCCGAAGACGCCCTCACGAGTCGGACGCGAGACCCGAACCGCATGCCCATGTCCGACAGCGCCGCGTCCGCGGCTTCTCGTTTCGTCAGCGTCGAGACGAGGTACGAGTTCGCGACGCCCCAGCAGTCGACGGCGACGACGTGGAACTCGCTCGTCTTCCCGCGCGCGTCGTCGCCGGTTCCGGTCGCGTCGTCGTCCCCGACGGCGTCCATCGCGACGCCCACGGACACGATCGACCCGCCGTCCTCCGGGAACGTCGCGGAGTGCGCTTCCGTGCAGTACGACGGCCGTCGGATCGCGCCGCCGCGGAGGACGGGGAATTTCTCCGACTCGTCCGCGGATCCCGCCTCGCCGCCGCCGCCTCCCGCGCGGTGGTGATCCTCCAGCTCGCGCAAGTCCCACGCGCACAACGCGCCGTCCTCGGTGCCGCAAAACGCGAGCGCGCGCGCGCGCCCCGGCCCCCACGCGACGCACGTCGGCGTGCCCTCGCATCGCATCGCCGCCGACGGCCGCGGCGTCGCGGCGGCGGCTAAATCCCAAACCAACAGCAGCCCGTCCCCTTCCACTCCGTGCGCGCGCGCGTCGCTCGGACCGTACGCGATGAGCAGCGACGCCGCGCCGGTTCGCGTCCCGGATGGCGCGAACGCGGTCGCCATCACGCGGCGGTTCCTCGTGAGCGCGTCGTCGTGGAGAGCCACGTACCCCGCGGTGAGCGAGCCCGCGGCGCCCTTCACCGCGTTGGGCTTCATCTCGCCGTTCGCGCGCCGCATGACGCCGCACGTCGCGCCGCTCGCGACGCGCCGCTCGCGCAGGAGCACGTCCGCGCACGCGCCCGCGCGCGCGATGAACGCGCTCAGGCGCCGGTCTTTGCTGTGCTGCAGATCCCCGGTCGCCCTCGCCCAACGCGTCGCGGTTCTCGCCGCCGTCGCCCGCCTCTCCTCGCGCGAATCGACGCCGGCGACGCCGCGCATCGCCTCGCACCGCTCGCGGCTCGTCCCGAGGTCCTCCGGGCACTGGCTCACGACGTCTCTGCGGTCGCCGAGCTCGGTCTGCGTCGTGAACTCGCGGACGTCGTCGCCGCCTCTCGTCTGCGTCGTCGCGAGTTTCGCGTTGGACCCCGCGCTCGATCCGATCCCTCGAAGATGCATCGTCCGCGCGTCCATGGGCGCGACGTCCACGATGCTCTCCGCCGCGCACGCGGCGTCTTCGTGCGTCAGCTTCACCGCGCGCGCGATGAGCGCGAAGCGTTTGATACGCCGTCGCGCGTCCGTCGGTCTCGTCGGATGTCGCGCCGCCGTCGTCGTCCCCGTCGCCTCGGAGGAAGCCGACGTCGACGCGCGCTCGCCGACTCGACGCGCGCGCCGACGCCTGTACGCGCGGTTCATCGCCGCGCACTCGTCGCCGAAGCTGAAGCCGCGCGCGGGATGGATCGCCAGCGTCGCCGGCGCGGGCGGTCGCGCCGCGTGGTATTCATCCCTCCGCCTCGCGTCGTCGCGTCTCGCCAGATCCTCGGGATCCTCGAACCCCGCGGGCGCGGCGTTCCTCGGCGTCGCGGGAACGTCGTCCTCGAAGTCGTCCTCGTACTCGTCCTCGCTCGACCCGTCGTCGTTCTCGTCGCTCTCGAAGTCGTCCTCGTACTGTCGCGGTGGCGAGGGGGTGTTGGGGAGCGCGGGGTCATCGGGCGGACGCGGCACCCGGGCGGGTTCAAAAAACGGACGAACGAAGTCATCAGCGGCCGACGACGCGACGACGCGACGACGCGACGACGCGACGGGACGGGACGGGACGTCGCGGCGGCGCACCTCGTCGTCCGCCATCCCGCCCGGCGCGACCGCGCGCCTCGCGCGCCTCGCGCGGTCCCGCGAGGACGCTCGGGGCACCGAGACGCCGCCTCGCCCGGTCGCGTCGTCTTGTGACGACCGCGGGAGCGAGCGCGAGCGCGCGGGGCGTTCCGGTCGCCCGAACGCGCTGGACTTCGTTCATCGCGATCGCGACCTCTAACCTCCGCCCTGATATTTTTTTACCGCACGTGTTTCTGCCCTTCGTATGAGCAACCAGTCAGACGCGAGCATATTCGCCGTCGCCTGACGACCTTTCGCCACCGAAGCGACCGAATAAAAAATAACATCGCGGCGATTGCCTACAACCTGCGCGCGGAGAACGACGGCGCGCGACGGCCGCGGCACGCACGCGCGCGCGGGGAGGAGAGAAAAGGCGTCCTGAGATCGTGTTGGCACCGATGTCGAACCCTAACGGACCGGGGGGGGTCCTCGGCGCGGACGACGCCCTGAACGCGGACTTGATGGAGAGCTTCCGGGATACGGTGCGATTCGCGACGACGATGCCGTCCGACAACGACACGACCCTCCGCCGGAGACGACGCGCGCGGCGCCGTCGACGCGCGTCTTTCCCTCCGTTCTCCGCGCCGACGTTTACTCACGACAGTCTTCCACGCGTTCGAGCGAACAGGGGATGTATAACTTCGCGAGCGAGTTCGATATCCTCCCCGAGCCGACCGGGGTCATGCCGGGGACGGACGCGGGGTTGGACGCCGAGCCGGGTCCAGGTGCGATCGATCGCGCATCCCCCGCCCGCGCGCGCGTCCCCACTCTCGGCGCGTCGCCGCGCGCGCCGCCGCGACCGCGCGCCGCGCGTCTCCACCCTCCACCCGCTCGATCCCGCGCGCGTCCGCGCGCTTCCGCGGCCGTCGCGCGCGGCGCCGACCGCCGCCCCCCTCGCCGCCCCCCCCGCGCGATCAAAACGTCGGGGTGGAGTTCAAAGGCGTCAGGTGGAGTCGAAAGGCGTCGAGGGCGGGGATTGAAAGCGAGGGGTGGGCGGAGAGAAGCGCCGGGCAAAGTCCTTAAGGATCGGCGTTCACCACGCGAACGCGGTCGTATGGGGACCAGTGTATAGAACGCACTTGACGACGCGGCGACGGACTCACCCTCCTCCATCCCTCCTCCTCCTCCGACGACAGTCCCGACCGGGTTAGACTCGCTCGGGGTCGACGACGGCCTCGGCGTGATGAACGACGACCTGGCGCAGCGCGCGGGGGTGAAGCGCGAGCCGATCCCGATAGGAAGTCCGTTCAGAGGCGGCGCGAACGAAGGCGGGCTGATCGGTCAGGGCGCGGTGGCGGCGGCGGCGGAGGCGGTGGAGCAATCGCGACGACGGCTCTCGGACGCGACGACGGCGGCGGGCGCGACCGCGGACCCGTCGTCCCCGCCCGCGAGCGCGATCAAGAAGCAGGCGAGGATCTCCCAGAGTGAGGTGACGCCCACGCCGCCGCCGCCGAGCAGCTCGAAGAAGCGGAAACAGCTCGCTTCCGGTGGGGGGACCGGGGGAAGCACCGGAGGGATGAACACCGCGGAGAAGGAGAAAAACGGGAAAGGCTTGCGGCACTTCAGCATGAAGGTGTGCGAGAAGGTGGAGGAGAAGCACAAGACGACGTACAACGAGGTAGCGGACGAGCTCGTCGCGGAGTTCTCGAAACCGGACGACCCCAAATTCTGCGCGGATCAGGCGTACGACGAGAAGAACATCCGACGACGCGTGTACGACGCGTTGAACGTGTTGATGGCGATGGACATCATCACGAAAGAGAAGAAGGAGATCACGTGGAAAGGGTTGCCGCAGATCGCCGGGGGCGTCGGAGGCGGCGGCGTCGGAGGGGGGGGCGGAGGAGGGGGCGACGCGGCGGAGTACGAGAAGCTCCTCGCGGAGAAGAAGCGCGTCCAGGCGTCCATCGAGAAGAAAAACGCCCACCTGCAAGAGCTCGTGGAGCAGTACAAGTCGTATCAGGCGCTTCTGCGGCGAAACGAGACGAGAGCGACGCGCGGGGAGACCCCGAACGGGATTCAGCTGCCGTTCATCCTCGTCCAGACCGCGCCGACGGCGACGGTGGAGATCGAGATCTCCGAGGACCAGCAGCTGGTGCACTTCGACTTCAACGACGCGCCGTTTCAGATCCACGACGCCAACTACGTCCTGCAACAGATGGCGCTGAACGAGGACGGGCTGTCGAGGTTGGACCTTCATCGCGCGGAGGAGGGCGCGGAGGGCGGGGTCGGGGGTGGTGGTGGTGGGGGTGATGCTCCGGCGTTCGCGGAGATAGACGGCGCGGATTTCGCCGCCGCCGCCGCCGCGGCGGCGGAGGTGGAGACCGAGACGGCGTCGCCCGGCGAGGCGCGGCGGGGGACGAGAGGAGACGACGCCGACGACGGCGGACGCGGCGGAGGACGGTCGACGCGGAAAAAGTGAGACGCGTCGTCGGTCGGTCGGTCGGTCGATGCGCGGACGCCTTAGCCTTTTTATTCGCACGTTGACGAATCGACGAATCGACGAACGAGATGAAGCGTCGCGTCGGTCCTCGGTGAAACGTGGCTGGCGTCGCGTTCACGAGCGTTGACGTCTACGCGCCGCGCCGCCGCTCCCCCCCCCCCGCGAGATCGTTTCACTCATTCACAGACGCGTCGATCGATTCTCATCTCTCCCAGACGCGTCACAGCCGATCGATGATCGCCTTGATCTCGTCGTTCCCGTAACGCTTGTACTTTGGCCCCACGCACGCCATGTCGACGTTTGTCGTGTTCACCTTCTCCTCCATGACCGCCTTCAGCGTGCTCAGCGCTAGCGTCTCCGCCTGCTCCAGCGTAAAATCATCCTTATACTCCTCCTGGAGCGTCGTCTGCGCGCCCTCGCTCCCGCTGCCGATCGCCTTCGCCTTGTACTTCAGAAACGTCCCGGACGGGTCGGTGTGGTACAGCTGGTACCCCTCGTCCTCGTCGTACCCGGCCACGAGCAGCGCGACGCCGAACGGCCGCGACATCGAGTCCTCCTCGCCCGTGCCAAAGTTGGCGCCCAGATCGCACAGCGCCTGCGTGAGCGCCTGCGCCGGCATCGGCTCGTTGTACGTGAAGTAGTGGTTCTGCGCCTGCACGCGTCCGTGCTCCACCATGCTCTGCGCATCCGCGGTGAGCCCGGACACCGCGCACGCGATGTGGGAGTCGATCTCCATGATCTTGTCGAGCGACGACGGTTCCATGAGCGGGGAGCTCATTCGTTTCTCGACCGCGAGGACGACGCCGTGATCGGTGCGGATCGCGATCGCGGTCGATCCGAGCTTGATCGCCTCGATCGCGTACTCGACCTGGAAGAGGCGTCCCTCGGGGGAGAACGTGTTCACGCCGCGATCGTACTCGCTCCTGGTTTGGAACATTGCGCGAGTCGACGACGCGCGCGGACGGTTCGCTTGTTGACCTAACTAAGGTGCCGCGGCGCAGAGTTTCTCTCAGATCCGAGCCGATCTGCTCCTCCGCGCGCCGATCTCACCGACGGGGGTTCCGTTCTCGCGCGACGTTCGAGGGCGTCGAAGGCGGGGCGCGACGTGTCGTCGCGGCGTGGAGTTCGACGAAGTCCTCGCGCGTCTCCGCTTGTGACGCCGACGGGAACGGAAGAGCGAAAGACGGACGGACGTTCGGCTCGTCGACTTTCGCTTCGCGTTTCGCGTTTCGCGTTCAAAAGATGTTTTCCGCGACGACGACGCGCCGCAGTGACGAATGCGCGGCGGCAGCACACTGCGCCCGGAGCCTCTCCGGGCGTCGTTCTGCCCGGCGCGCGCGCGCGTGAATCGCGCGAGGGCGCGCCGACTCGTCGCGAGAGCGACGATGACGCTGCCGGAGAAGGGCGGAGGCGACGACAAGGGCGGAGGCGTCGACACGTCGAAAACGACGACGTCGTCATCCTCCGACGTCGCGCCCATCGACCTCGGCGAGGACGAGGAGGCGTGGCGCGCGGCCGCCGCGAAGGGCATCGCGGGTGGGGGCAAGATCATCCCGCAGAAGTACTTGGTCGGCGACGAGGAAGACGCCCTCGCGGCGCTCATCGCGACCGGGACCGTGGACGTCCGCGCGAGAGCGGAGCACTCGGGGAAGGCGCCGATACATCTCGCCGCCTGGCGAGGCTCCCTCGCGACCGCGCGGGTGCTCTTGAGCGAAGGCGGGGACGCGCTCGTGAACGACATCAGCATCGGAAAATACAACTACGGCAAGACCGCCATCTTCTACGCGATAACGCGGTGCCGCGACGACGTGGCCGCGTTCCTCCTCGAGCGCGGCGCGCGGTGTAAGATCATAAACAACAAAGGGCAGTCCCCGTACTCGCTCGCGTTGTCGCACTGCACGCAGGAGACGTGCGACTTGATCGCCGCCGCGGAGAAGCGCGAAGACGCCGCCGGGGAGCCGTGGGTGAACTACCGCGAGACGCACTCGGACGGGCTGTCGTACGGTGATTTAGACGTCAGGTTTTACGCGGAAGAGGCGGCGGAGCCCGGCCGGGGGTTGAGCACTCGGGCGTCGCGCCGCGGGAAATTCCAGAAGCTGAACAAGTCGCGAGGGGAGTTCGCGAACCTGTCGCGCGGGGGCAAGTACGAGGACCCGTTTCCGTCGACCGCGGTCCCGCGCGCGCCGGCGGCGCCGACCCCGGAAGAGGCGCGAGCGCGGAAGCAGGCGCGAGAGGCGGGGTTGTGGTCGACGTTCGAACGCGCCGTCGCAGGCGTCGTCGACGCGTGCGCCGTCGCGGGCGTCGTCGACGCGTGCGCCGTCTCCCCGAGCGACGACGCGAAGCATTCGAGAGAGATGTTCGAGATCGTCGAGGCGCTCATCGAGGGCGGCGTGAGCGGCGGCGCGAACGCGGTGACGGGGCGAGCGATCAACGTCCTGCGCGTCGCGTTGAGAGAAGCGAGGGACGAGAGCGCCGCGGCGGCGACGTTGTGCGCGGTCGCCGCGACGCCCGCGCTCGTTCCGCGCGGACGCACCGAGCCCAAACGCCTCGCGCGGCGGCGACGAGCCGCGGGGAATGCGCTCGCGTGCGCGGCCGCCGCGGTCGCGAGCGAGATGACGCTGACGAACGTGTCGTGCCGCGACGTCTTCGAGGCGTGCGGCGGCGCCGCTTCTTTCCAGATTTTATCCACCGCGGTCGGCGTCCGCGGGCCGTACCCATCGCGCGACGCCATCGCGGACGCGGCGAAGCGCGCGTGCGCGGGGTGCGACGCGCGCGAGCTCGGAGATCTCGTCGAGGCGACGCGCGTCGCGGCGGCGAATGCGGCGGAGGACGACGACGACGTCGACGCGTTCGCCGCCGCCGCCGCCGCCGCGTGGGACGCGCTCGCGGCGGACGAGGACGGCGTCGCGCACCTCGCGTCCGGGCTCGTGGCGTCCGGGCTCGCCGCGTCTTCGCCGCGCGGTGGCGGCGCCGAGAGTGTCGAGCGCGCGCGGTCGCCCGCGGCGCTGGCCGCGGAGGCCTCCGCGGCGTTGACGCCGCTTGGCGCGCTCGTGCCGTCGTGGCGCGCGCCCGTCCTCGCGTCGTTCGAACGCGCCGCGGCCGAGGCGCTGTCGCGGTCGGAAGATGAAACGTCAACCGACGCCGAGGCCGACGCCGACGCCGCGACGAGCGTGTTCATCACGCGCGCGGTGCACAGACTCGCCGGCGCGTGGGTGATGGACATCACGTGCGCGTCCGTGCCGTCCGCCACGTTCCTGACGGAGCGTGAAATTTTCCACGCGTTGCTGCGCGAGGAAGCCTTCGTCGCCGCGGCGGAGTACGCGTCCACGAACCCCTCGCTCGTCGGTTCCTCGGACCCGCGCGACCTCCCGTCGATCGACGAGACCGACGCGATCGACGACGCCGGCGCTCCCGGGCTCTTGCGACCGACGCGGCCCGCGGTCTTCGTCGCGGACGTCGAGGGACTGGCGCGGTGCCGCGAGGAAATCTTCGGCTGCGCGTTGCGAGCGGAGACGCCTCGCGACGCGGAGGACGTCCCCGTCGTCGCGATCGACGTGGAGTGGCGCGACCCGCGGCCGGTGTCGACGGTGCAGCTCGCGCCTTTGCGCGCGGACGCGACGTACGTCGTGGACATGGTCCCGAAGGAGGGCGACGAAGAGAACGACGCGTTCGTGGTCGCCGCGGCGGCGTTGTTGCGCGACGTGTTGCGAGACGCGCGCGTGAAGAAACTCGGCTTCGGCTGGAGCAACGACTGGCACCGCCTCCGAGCCGGTCTCTCGCGGTTCGAGAGCGCGTCCGGCGGCGGCGATTCCGGCGGCGATTCTTTGCCCGCGTCGCACGAGCGTTGCGGGTGCGTGGACCTCCAGACGCACCCGGATCTCGGCCTGAGAGAGCTCGTGCGCGACTCGGCGCGGCTGCGCGCGGGCGGGGGCGGGGAGGCGACGACGCTGGATAAGCGCGAGCAGCGGTCGAACTGGGACCGACGGCCGCTGAGGGGGAGTCAGATAGCTTACGCGGCGTTAGACGCGGAGGTGTTGCTGCGGTTGGACGGGTGGCTGTGAGCGGTAGAGCGACTTTTAGACGAAATAACATAGTGATGAGCGACGAGCAGCCTCGCGATCTCCTAAATCGTCCCGCGCGCGCTTTTCTAATGCGAACCGAGTAGGGTGCTGAGTCGGACCCGAGGGAATCAGATCGCGCCGCGCTCGGACGGAGACGCTCCGGAGACGCCGACGTCGTCTCGTCGGGAGTTCTCTGGCCTCGCTCAAACCGCGGCCGCGGCGGCGGAGGGCGGTCGACGCGTCGCGACGGACTCGACCGTAGTCGAGGGCCCTGGGAGAAAACCTCGCTCTGGCGGCGAATCTGAGGCATTAGATTGCGCGGCTGGCCGGGCGGCTCGCCGACGGCCGCGACTCCCCCGCGCGAGATGAAGTTCAAAATCGTCACGATCCTCCCGTGCACCGCGGACGAGTACATCACGTACAACGACACCTCGGAGTACAAGAAGCTGCAGCTCGAGACGACGAACTCGTTCGAGCGCACGAACGTGACGACGTGTAAAGACGGCGTGTGCACGCAGGTCATCGTGAACAAGCCGTCGATCGACATCCCGAGGGTCGTGAAGTTTATGATGAAAGGCCGCGAGATGGAGTTCACGGACACGCGGACGTGGGAGGACCGCGTGAAAAAAGAAGGACGGTTCCCGCTGACGCAGACGTTCCTTCAGACGAACAACATCACCGACCGATGTTTATCCAAAGGCACGATCACCGTGGAAGACGTCGAAGTGGCAGAGGAGGAGGAGGGGGCGGGGACGAAGGCCAAGAAGGCGGGCGGCGCGAAGAAGGCCCAAGAGAAGAAAACGAAACGGTGTTCGATCACCGCGGAAGGGGAAGTCATCGTGCGCATCGGCCCGCTGTCGAACTTCGCGGAGGGTCAGGTCATCGAACACATGCGCGCGGCGTACGGAAAATTTCCCGGGATCGTCGAACGATGGAGAGAGATTCTCGCGGAGCGAGAGAAGACGAAGGCGGCGAAGGCGGCGGAGGAAGAGGACGCGATCTCCGCGGAGAGACTCGTCGCGGAAGACGCGACCGTGTCCGAGGACGCCGAGGACGCGGTCATGACGGACGCGTTGGACTCGACGGCGACGACGGCGACGGCGACGGCGACGACGGCGCCGGCGCCGGCGCCCGCGGCGGACCACGCGCAGCCGCTGTGGACGCCATGGTGGGTCGCGGTGGAGTACTCCAAGCGCGCGTTCGGCGCGCTCGCGTCGACGTACACGTCCGCGTTCTCTTCCGGGGCGCATCCCGCGCCCGCCGCGCCCGCGCGCGCCGCGCAGGAGACGCAGCCGGAGAGCGCGCGAGCGCACAAGCGACCGAGAGAGGAGGACGCGGAGGACGTGGACATGCTCGCGGACGACGCGTCGAGCGCGGAGGGGAGCCAGAGCCAGAGCCAGAGCCAGAGCCCCGACAGCGTCCTCAAGGGCGACTCGACCTCGCCGATGGAGGCGTGGAGCGAGCACACGTCGAGGATCGCACGCCCGGGTCTCGAAGAGCCGCGCTCGCCGAAGAGCCCGCGGACGAGCGAAAACTTGAGCCGATCGCCTGGGAAGATAACGCTCCCGCAGGACGAATACCTGTTCTGACCGCGAGCGCGCGCGTAGCTCCCGTAGATATATATCGTAGAATTAAGCCAACAAACCGCTACTATGTGTGCTACCACCGCCGCCGCGCGCGTCCTTCCCCTTCCCCTCTTCTCTCGTCGTCGTCACTTTTTGTGTTGCGCGTTGGCCAAGAGCGTGTACAACAGCGGCACCTTCCTCGAGGTGTCGTTCTCTTTCACGCGCATCTCCCTCGCGAGAAAGTCGCGGTCGAACGGCGGCGTCTCCGGCTGCCCGCTCTCCGGCAGAAGCACGCTCAGGGTGCTGCGGTACCGATTGAACACGAGGTACTCGCGGATGAGCTCGTTGATGACGAGGTTCTCGTTGCTCAGATCGGGCCGCGCGAACGACGTTCGGTCCTCGAGCGCGTTCGAGACCTCCGCTCTGAGGTGCGCGCGGACGTTCCCCAGCGCTCCGCGGTTCTCGAGCGTCTCTCGGAGGACATCCGTGAGTTCGTCCACGGTCGCGCCGCCGGCGGTCATCGCGGTATCGAGAGCGTGCGGCGCGCGCTCGTGAATGCGGGCGGCGTTTGAACGGGGACGACAGTCGCGTGGAACTCGAACTGGCCTTGGAACGGTCGGCCGCGCCGCGCGACCAGACAGACGACTGGCAGACTCTGGACTTGAGTTGGCGCGAAGTGCTTCTTTTTCGAGAGCCTTTTTCCCCTCGTCGACGCGCCATTCCGCGCGGCGCGGCGACGCCTCGTAGCGCTCGCGCGCGCGTCATCGGGCGGGAGGCGTCCACGGAAGCGGCCGCGAGAGCGCGTCGGGCGTCGATCGCGGCGAAGACGGGGCGACGACGCGGATCTCGGGGGAATTCGCTCGCGCGTCTTTTCGTGACGCCCCGCGCCCCTCGCGGCGAGGAGCGCGAGATCTTCCCGCGCGGAGAGGATGGTGAAGTTCACCGTGGAGGCGACGCTGGCGATGAACGCCGCGATGTACCTCGAAGACAAGGACACCGTGGCGTACAAGACCTTCCACGTGCGTCCCCGCTCGCGTCGTCCTCGCTCCGCCGCGCGCGCCCCCGCGTCCCTCTCGGAGAAACCGACGACGGATGAGACGCCCGCGAAACGCCAGCTGTCGAGAACCGAACGACGATACTTCCAGCGGGTCGTCGTCCCTCTCGTCGTCTTCCCGACGCTGACGTTCTCTCGCCTTCCTTCCCTCCTCGTCGTCCTCCGCGTCGCAGGCGGATAAGCTCGGACAGCTCGAGAGCGAGATCATGTCGCACGAGGTCGTGAACGGCGTCGTCAAGGTTGTCGTGCGAACCGTCCCGGGGATCCAGCTCCCGAGAGTGCTCAAGCCCGTGCTCCGCGGGAAAGACGTGGAATTCACCGACACGCGCGCGTACCCGCTCGCGGCGAAAGGGAAGTTTCCGTTCCAGCAGTCGTTCCACACGGTAAACAACATCACGGACCGCGCGCAGGTCAAGGGCGTGATCACGATAGACCGCGCGCGCCGCGCCGCGGGCGGGTCGGACGCGACGACGCTGAGAGTCGAGGGCGAGTGCGTCGTGCGAATGGGCGTCGGCATCAGCGGCAAGGTTGAGAAAATAATCGTCGACAGCATTCGGAGAGGGTACCTCAAACTTCCCGGGATCATCGAGGAGTGGGCCGCGGTCAGGCACCTGCACCTGGGCGTGCGCGAGGGCGCGCGGTCGCTGTCGCGCGGGCCGGTGCCGACGGCGCCGCGGGCCATCTCCCGCACGTCCTCGGCCGACTCGTTCAAATCCGCGACGAGCGCCGAGCTCAGCGAGTTCGGCTCCGCGTCGTCGCAGTCCGCGCTCGCGGGCGGTCCCCAGGGTGGGTCCGGCGCGGGCGGGTCCGCGGGTTTCGTGCCCGCGCTGCCGCTGCCTCCGGCTACGCCACCGGAGCCTCCTCGAGGGCCGTCGTTCGCGCGAGGCGCGAACGAGGGCGGCGAGGCGATACCCCTGCGCGGGTCCATGGGCGCGGGGGCGGGGAGCTTCGCGGACGCCGCGACGCCGCTGAGCACGCGGCCGGGGGGGGGCGTGGGGTCGTCGAACCAGTCGTTGTCCGAGCTCGACGAGGACGGCGCGACGTACGAACGGTATCACGGGTTCGCGAGTCTGGATTTGTTGCGCGCGGGGTACGACGGGCGGAGCCCGCAGACGTTCCCGCTGTCGCCGGAGGGACCGGCGGAGCGAGGGCTCGGGAAGTTTGGCAGGGCGTTGTTTTGCGGCGGCGGCGGCGGCGGCGGCGACGCCTCGACCGGCGGCGCGGTGAGGCTGGGGGATAACGACATAGACAGCGCAGACGGCGACGGCGTCGCGCGCCCGAGGGTGGTGAAGCGCCGGGGGGCGACGAAACGGAGCACACGGCGACGGGGGTTCTTCCGAAAACTCTTCGCGTGTTGCTGTCGACCCGGGACGCCGCTTCTCTCGGACGGAGAGAGCGACCTCCCGAGCGAGGGCACGGGGTACTCGTCCGCGGAGGACGAGGACGAGGGGTGGACGGACCCGGACCGGGATTCGATGCGGACGCCGTTGAGCCCGCACCGGTCGCGGTCGCGGATTGGGGGATAGAAGAGCGCGCGCGCGCGGTCGACCCGAGTCGACGACGCCGGCGCGAATAAAATCGAGCAACGCGCAACGCAACGAACGACGCAGTCTACTAGCTTAAGCTTTGAATAGAGAACGACGGTTCATCACGACAGACACGAGGCGCGCGCGCGCGTTCCGACGATGCCGTCTTCCGTCGTCCGATGCGTCGCCGTCCCGACGCGTCCGTCGTCGCGCGGGCGTCGCGTCGCCGCGCGGGAAGGCTTAGCACGCGGCGCGCGAGCGGACGACGCTGCTGGAAAACGACGACGATCATCGCTGACGCGGACGGCGACGAACGGCGACGGAGTCGCGGGGGAGGACGCGTCCCGTCCAAACGCGCGCCGCGCCGCGACTCGCCGCGTCGTCCTGACGTCCGCGCCCGCTGGTCTCATCGCGCTCGCGGCGTCGTCGTCCTCCCCCGCGCGCGCGGCCGTCGCCCCGGTGTGGGGATACGCGGACGCCGCGAACAATCCGCTTCGATGGGGCCAACTCCGAGACGACGCCGGCGCGCTGGCGTACCCGGAGTGCGGGTGCGCGGCGTGCCAGCAGTCCCCGATCGACCTCCCGTCCGTCGCGGCGAAGCAGAGCGACGCCAGAATCGGCGCGCTCGGAGACTTCCTGACGCCGCCGAGCGGCCCGGTGACCTTCGCGGTGTCGCAGAAACACGGCGCGCCAAACTACGTGGTGACCTCGACCGGCGGCGCGTCCCCGCCGGCCGTCGTCGTGGACGGGATCACGCACGCGCTGTCGTCGCTTCACTTCCACACCCCGGGGGAGAACACGATCGACGGCGCGGCGAGTTCGATGGAGATGCACCTGGTGCATCTGTCCGAGGACGGGGACGTCGCCGTCGTCGGCGTGCTGCTGTCGCGCGCGACGGAGGCGCGGCGGGCGAACGGCGAGGTCTCGAAGCTTCTGAAGCGCGTGGACGCGGACGGCGGGAAGAAGAGAGTGAAGGTGGACATGTCGTCGTTACTGGACTACGACAGCGGGTTCTGGCGGTGGCAGGGCAGCCTCACGACGCCGCCGTGCAGCGGCGGCGTGCGGTGGTTCCTCCAACGCGAAATTTCCGCGGTGGAGTGGAAGCAACGCGAAGCGTTCAAGCATCACGTCGGGTCGTTCCCGGGGAACGCGCGCCCGACGCAGCCGCTGAACGGACGCAGTGTTCTCGTGTATCGACCAGCTTAACGTATCTCATGTCGTAGCCTACTGTATGTGCTAGAAGGTACCTAAGTGTTATCTAGACTATCGTCTATTGCGTGTGCGCGATGTCTATGGTTTCGAGCTCCACGCGATCGCACGCCTCCCTCCACGCCGTCGCGAACGAAGACGCGGACGTGCTTCCTAGCAGCCACGACGGAAGAAAGTCCTGCGCGCGCGAGAACGCGCGCGCGGCGTCCACGAGCGTCGCGGCCGCGTCGTAGCCTCTGGACGCGAACGTCGCGGCGACCGCGTCGAGGAGTCTAGCCTCGGCGTCGCGGACGCACGTCGTCGCGTCGGCGTCGTCGTCGGCGGCGGCAGCCTCCTCCGCGTTCGGGCGATGGCTCCACGCGTGCGCGCGAGCGGCGGCGTCGTATGCGGTTCGTAACGCGTCCTCGACGTTCGCGTCCATAACGTCGTCGTCGTCGTCGTCGTCGTCGTCGTCGTCATCGTCCGCGCTGCCGCCGTCGGACTCCTCGGGCGCCGGCGGCGCCGCCGCCGCCGCCGCGCCGCCTCGCGTCAACGCCTCGCGAAGCGTCCCCGCGCCTTCCATCGCGCTCGCGTAGTTCACGCTCGACGGCGTCCGCGCGTCCGCGTGAGGATCCGGCTTACCCGCGAAGACGCCGGCGTCTTCGCCGTACCACCCCGCGTATCGAGCCCTGACCGCGTCGGACGAGCGATCCATCCAATTCTTCCTTTTCCCCGCGGGCGCGGACCTCGCCGTCTTCGCCGCGCCCGTTCCCCCGCCTCTCGCCGAGGGGTCGCTGTCTAGCTTGCTGACCTGCACGCCCACGCCGCGTATTTGGTCCGCGGGGATGTTCAAGTCTGCGAGCAGCTTCGTCGCGTTCGACGCGAGCGCGGCGGCGGCGTCCGTGAAGGACGACAGCGTGATCGTCCGCGTCAACGAGTCGCACGCGCCGTGACCGATGTTGCCTTTCATCATCGACTCCGGCGCGTTCGCGACCGCGCGGAGTATTTTCAACGTCAGCGATTTACCCTTCACGCGGACGCGTTTCATCCGCGTCGCCACCTCGGTCGCGAGCTTCGTCACGAACGCGACAGCCTCCGAGGCTTCGACGAAGCGAACGCCCCACGTGACTTGCGCGCCCACGGATCGCCTCGGCGGGCGCGCTTCCCACGCGCGGGTGTCCACCCCTCTCGCGGCGTCGCGCAGCGCGACGCCGGCTTTCGGCCCGAGCGCGCGCTGCAGGCTCGTGAGCGGCGCGGAGACGACGTCCGCGCACGTGAGCTCGAGCTCGCCCCCGACGCCGCCCCCGCCCCCGACGCCGGCGGCGGCGAGCTTTTTCAGAGCCCCGCGTCCTACGCCGGGGAGCTCCGCGGCGGGCAACGACGACATGAACGCCGGCGCGGCGGCGAGAGAGACGTGGAACGCGCCGTCCGGCTTCGCTCTCTTGGTCGCGAGGCGCGCGATGAGACGGTTCGGCCCGGAACCGACGGACGCCGCACACCCCGTCTTCGCGAAAATCTTCCGTCGAACGTCCTCCGCAATGGCGCGCGCGTCCTCGCCCGCGTTCGCCCTCTGGGTCACGTCCACGTACGCCTCGTCCACGCTCACGCCCATGACGTGCGGGGTGATCGCGTGTAACACCCTGTATACCTCCAGCGCGATCTCGCTGTATTTTTCAAACTCGTACGGCATGACGACGAGCCGCGGACACAGCGACTTTGCGTGCCCCACGCGCATACCGGCTTTGCATGAGAACGCGCGCGCGGCGTAGTTACAGCTCGAGAGTTCGCCCTGACCGCCGGAGCTCCACGAGACCGCGATCGGGAGGTCTCTCAGCTCCGGGCGGCCGAGAGCCGCCACGGCGGCGAAGAAGCAGTCCATGTCGACGTGCATCACGAGCCGCTCGCCGTTCTTCGCCGCCGGCGGCGGCAGCGGCGGCGGCGTCGTCGTCTCGTCATCCAGGAACGTCTCGTAGCGCGCGCGCCAGCTCCCGATGTAGTGCAGGCGCGACGCGCGGAAGAACGTCCCCATGAAATGTTCGGGGTCGTCGTGCGTCGTGCGCTGCTTCATGTCCAGCAACGGTTCGTTCGACCGCAGCGCCGTCGCGATGCGCTCGCCGTCGAGCGATCGCCGTCGATCGTTCGACGCGTCCCCGTCGTCGATCTCGCCTCCGCCGCGCACGCGCCTGCGCTCCTCGTCCGCCATCGCCCTCGCCGCGGCGACGCGCTCGTCGCCGATCGCGCGAGCGTCGCCGCCGTCGTCGGCGTCGCCGCCTCGCTCGTCCCCGCCCTCCATCGTGCGGCGGTGCCTCGCGCACTGCGTGCGTCAGCTATTTTCTCTCGGAGGAGCCAGCAACTGAACCAAAAAAATACTCCAAGCGTTCGCAACAACCTCGCTCTTCGTCACTTCCTTTCCTCGCGCGCGACGATGACGTCGCGTTTCAAGTCGTGGTCCGGGCGAGCGGCGGCGCGCGCGTGGAGAGATCGGCGGCTCGGAAGCACCGCGGTCGCGAGCGGCGATGCGGTGAAAGTTCGGTCAGGCGCGTGGTCGACCGGCCTTTCGCCTTTGAAGAACCCGGAGGTGCTTCCGTTGCTCGCTGCCATAGCGGCCGGCGGCCTCTTGGTGGTCACCATCGTCACGCACGACCTCCGAACGAACCCCGAGGTCCTCATCAAGAAGAAAGGGCGCGCGATACAGATCGTCGAGGAGGGGACGCCCGAGTACGACAAGCAAGTGGAGTTCGCGAAGAAGAGCTACGACCACTGGCTTCGCAGAAGGCTCGTTGGGTTGCGACCCTGGATATTTCCTCGCCTCCAAGAGAGGATCATGGGCGTATCGCGCAAGGACCCGACGATCGACTTGACGCAGGACAAGTGGAAGAAGATCGCGGAGAAAGAGCACAAGAAGAAGTGAGCGAGCGAGCGAGCGAGCGAGCGGGCGAGCGAGCGAGCGGGCGCTTCGTCGTTCTCGCCGAGGAATTTTTTTTGTCTCGTTGTCGAACAACGTCCCAAACGCACGCGTCGTCTGTCTCCTGAACTATGATAGGATCCCTCTCGCCTTTCGCCGCGCTCGCCTTAAAACTCGTCGTCGTCCCCGCCGTTGTTGAACTCCTGCTTCGTCGCCTGCGCGTTGTAAAAGTCCGCCACCTGCTCCGCGCTCGTCGCCGTCTCCGGGGTCTTGTCCTCCCTGACGCGTAAAAACCGCGGAAACCGTAACGCGATGCCCTTCGTCGAGTCGACCAATCCGTGCGCGGCCATGTGCGTCGGCGATATCGACAAATCCGCGGCTTTCACCTCCCACACCTGCGACGCGGCGAACCACACGTCCGGGGCGACGGACTCGCCGTACTTGTAATACCCCCGCGGCGCGTCGATGACCGTGTCCTTCAGCGAGTTGGACAACGACTCGAGCGCCTCGTCGCTGAACCCCGTGCCGATTTTGCAAATCGACTGCAGCTCCTCGCTCTCTTCGTCGTAGCACGCGAGGAGGTATGCGCCGTACACGCCGGTTCGTTTCCCGCGGCCGTGGAACGCGCCGATCGGGACGAGGTCTAACGAGTCCCCGCAGCCTTCCATGTAGTCCTTCTTCAGTTTCAGCCAGTTCAGCGATCGTTTCGACGGCTCGTACGTCGCGTCTAGCGTCTTGACGATGAGACCTTCGGTGTTTTCCTTGATGGAGTCCTCTAAGAACACCTGCAGCTCCTCGACGTCCCTCGAAACTTTCGCGGTCGCGAAGAAGAACTCCCCCGGGACTTCCTTGAACGCGCTGTACAGCGCCTTCCGTCGCTCCATCATCGGCTTCTGAAGCAAGTTCTCGCCGTTGAGGTACAGACAATCGAACGCGTACAACGCGACGTTGACTTTGATATCCTTTTCGTCGATGTTTTTCCGCCCGCGCGTGGAGAGAATCTGAAACGGCAGAATCTTCCCCTCCGCGCGGTCGAACGCGACAGCCTCGCAGTCGATGACGACGGACTTCACGCCCTCTTGTAAGTACGTCGGCAGCGCACGAATCACGTCCGGGAACTTCGGGGTGTTGTCCTCCTGGTTCCGCGAGAAAATTTTCACCGCGCCGTCTTCGCAAAGGTGAATCTGCGCGCGTTCGCCGTCGTACTTATACTCGCACGTGAACTCGACGTCGCTGAAACGTTGAAGCACCTCGGAGACCCCACACGTCGGCTTCGCGAGCATCGGCTTCACCGGCACCCCCGGTCGAAAGTGGCACCGCTCCGCGAGCTTATCGATCCCGCCGTCCATGAGCAACGCTGGCACGATCTCGTCGAAGGACGGGCACTCGCTGAAGACTTGCTTCAAGACGTCGACGGCGGCGCCGAGGCGGTCCGCGAGCTCCGCGTGCGTCTTTCCGTCGGCGCACTTCCCGTCCTTCGTCTCCGCGTGAAGCACGACCGCGTGCGCGAGCGCGGTCGTCACCGTCTGCTGCGCGAGCCCGATGCGGAGCTTCCCCTGCAGCGAGCGCGTGACGTATCCGGCTTCGCACTCGCGCGCGGCGACGAGGAGCTTTTTGATCTTTCCCTTCTTCTGATCCACGCTCTTCGTGCCCTCCGTCTTCGCGATCGCGCGGAACTCTTTCAACACGCCCACGATCGTCAACTTCGGCGGCGCGAACATCATGCTCTGCGTGCTCCTGGACATCATCGCGACGATCCCGAGGTCGCCCTCTTTCGTGTAGTCGCTCTTGATGGCGCTCTCTTTCCGTCCCGTCGCCTCGGCGAGCATCTTGATGAGCGTCGCGTCTCCGATGCCCAAGTCGACGCCCTCGTGCTGCGGCGCGATCGTGTTGGACGCGAGGTACACCGCGGCGAGTAAATCCTCCGGCGTCCCCGCGGCGAGGATCGTCCGGAACGCGTTCGTCAGGAGCTCCGCGATCTCGAGGCGTTTCGTCGTCTCGGAGATGGATTCGAAAATCTCCGCGAGGAACAGGTACGGCACGGGTTCGCCGGATTTCCACGTCACCGGCTTCGCGGGGTCGTAGGATAACAGCCGGCCCGCGGCTTCGACGGACTTGTCCCCGACGCCGGCGGCGTTCGCCTCCTGCTTCGCTTTCTTCTTGGACGACTTCTTTTTCTTGGTGGCCGCGGCGGCGGCGCGTTTGCCGCCGGCCATCACTTTCGCGATGCCGTCTTCTTTTTCCTCCTCGTCCTCGTCCTCGACCTCGTCCTCGACCTCGTCTTCGTCGTCGTCGTCGTCGTCGTCGTCGTCGTCCTCTTCTTCCTCCTCCTCCTCGTAGTCGTCGTCCTTTTCCGCCTTCGGCTCCGGCTTCTCCTCGACCGGCGTCGGCGCTTTCGCCGGCGTCGGCGCTTTCGCGGGCGCGTCGTCGACCTCCATCGGCGCCTCCGCCGCGGGCGCCGCGCTCGGCTTCTCCTCCGCGACGACGGGCTCTTCCTCGGTCGCCTCGACGACGCGCTTCGGCTCCGCCGCGGCGGTCGCCTCCGCCTCCACCTCGGACTTCTTCTGCAGGCGCGGCTTTTTCGTCGCGGGGGGGACGTTCTCGACCTCTACCTTCGCTTCCGCGGCTGCGAAGAGCGCGAGGGGGTGGGCCTCAGCGCGTGGCGTCGATTCAAATCGATCGTGTTCGGGCGGAGCGAAGACGGAGCGATCGAGATCTGCGCGCGCGATGGGGACGCGCGACTCCGGGGACGCACCGTCGGTCGCGGGTTTCGCCGCGGCGGCTTTCGCGCCGCCGCCGAAGAACGACGCGATGCTTCGCTGCGGCGCGGACATGTCGTCGCGCAGGTGTGGCGGCTCGCGCGCGCGACACTGATGACGAGGACAGGTGCGTTCAAACGTTTTCACCTGCACTGTTTTCGTCGTCGTCGCGCAAGCCATGAGCATCCACGATCTCACTTCGATCGGCGCTCGCTCCTCGTCCGCGCGCGCGCCAGGGATGGCGTCTCTCGGGTTCTTCGGCGCGGGCGCTGTGGACGTGTCCGATAGCTCGGACTCCGACGCCGAGGAGGAGCCGCCGCGCGAGGAGGCCGCGGACGCGACGAAGGCGGACGGCGCGAAAGACGCCGACGACGACGGCACCGCGAAGAAGGACGACGACGACGACGCCGACGACGATTCGAAGAAGCCGTCGTCCTCCGGGCTGCCGTCGTTCCTGGAGGTCATGAAGAACACCGAGGGCGTCGCGCCGTCGTTCACCCGCGAGGGCGCGATGCTCGCGAACGACGGGAAGCCGCTCGACGCGAGAGTCGCGAAGGTGGCCGCGAACGCGCACGGCGGCGATCGCGCGGGGTTCGCCGGCTTCGCGGGGGCGAAAATCCCGGACGGCCCGCTCGTGGCGAGCGTCGACCTGGGCGTGACGCGCGTGCGCGAGATCCCCCCGAGGGTTGCGGACCGGCTCTACGGCGACAACGGCCGCGGCCTGACGGAGATGCGCCTCCAGACGGGCGCGAGGCTCACGCTGCCGCCGCCGGATGACTTTCGCACCGAAGACGAAGCCCCTCGGCGGGTGATCATCTCCGGATCGATCGAAGCGGTGAACGCGTGCGTGGACGAGATCGAGGACATGGTGCGACAGGATAAGCTTTCGATGACGAAGAACGTGATATGCCCCGCGCACTGCGTCGGGACCGTCATCGGCGCCGGCGGGTTCTCCATCAAATCCATACAGAAAGAGACCGGGTGCGTGGTGAAGATTCTCGGGGACTTTGGTCGCGGCGGGCCGATGACGGACGAACAGATTCGCGCGATGAGCTCGACGCAGGGGGGCATCGATCGGTACGGCGTCGCGACGGACGCGCCGGAGCGCGTCGTCACCGTGAAAGGGCCGCCGAAGATGGTGCAGAAGGCGGTGCAAATGGTCCAGGCGCGGATCGACATGGCGTTGCGAGAGAGCGGGTGGGTGACGCGAGATAGTTTGAAGCGCGAGCGGGAGGAGAGGGCGATGTTCGGCAAAGGGGCGAAAAAGAAGGCGGCGACGACGGAGTACGGCGACGCGGACGAGTGGGAGATACCGGAGGAAAACACCGCGGTGGAAGAAGTGCGAGACGTGGATGAGTAGCTAGTTTTTTAGTTCTATGACAACAGCGCCGGCGGCGGTCTAACCGAGCCCGGTGTTTTCGTATCTCGACAATCGCCTCATGTTGTCGTCCATCTCCCACATCGCCTTCGCTTTCGGCGCGCGCGGGTCGTGCGGGTCCAGCATAGAAACCGCCCCCGCGGCGTCCGGGGCGTCGTTCACGGCCGCCTTTGCGTTCACGTTCGCCGCCTCCTCCTCTTCCTTCGCTCTCTTCGCGGCGGCGAGCTTCGCGGGAATCGACGCGTCGCGCCCCGCGCCGCCCCTCGGCGCCATCGGCGGCGCGGCGAGGTACGCGTCGTCGTCGTCGTCGTCGTCGATCGTCTTGCGGCGCGTCGCGCCCGCGCCGACGTTCTGACGCTTCATCGCCGCGGTGAGGTTCGGGACGACGGATAAGTCGTCGAGAAGCGCTTCCTTTCGCGCGCGCTCCTCCTCCGCCGGGTCGCGGGTCCTCCCTCGCGCCGCCATCGCGTGCGCGTCCAGCCGCGCGTCGTACCCGGTCGCGACGTCCCTCGCAGCCGCGAGGTTCGCGACGCCGAGCGACGGCACGCGCTGGCGCCGCGGCGCGGTCCCGGCGACGCCGCCCGCGGTCGTGACCGCGCGCAAGAGCTTGTCCGGATTTTGCGTCAGCTCCGCGCGTCGCCGCGCCTCCGCTTGCCTCCTCTCTTCGATCAGACGCGCGTTCACCGCGTCCGCGGTCTCGTGCCCGGCGGCCGCGAGCGCCGTGGCGGACAAGCCCGCGGTGTTCTTCAGCGCCTTGACGGGCGCGCTCGTCGTCGCCGCCGCCGCCCTGCCGCGGTATTTCCCCGCGCCGATGGAATACTTTTCCGGCGCCGACGTCGCCCACGACGCGAACGCGTCGCCCGCGAAGTACAGCGACCCGACGTCGAACGCGTCTTCGTATTCGAGCACCGCGGCGCGCACGCCGCCGTTCGATCGGTCGCCTCCCAGGGTCACCGCGGCGGCGTCCACGGCGTTGATCGGGACGCGCGTCAAATCGTTCAGCTCTTCGATGAGGCGCGTCGTCGGCGAGCAGCTCGACGCGTCGTAGCCGAGGACGTCGACGCGGCCGTCCGCGGCGAGGAGCTTCGCGAGCTGCACCCAGAACTGTCTCAGCTCCGGTTTCACGAGGTTTCGTCGCGTCGCGCGCAAGCCTTTGACGAGCCCGATCGCGCCTGGTTTGTGGTGCGTCATCAGCCCGATGGAGCTCAGCGTCCCTTCGACGCCGCCGCAGCGTTCGCGGCACTGGTAAATCATCTTCTCGAGCGTGCTGAACCGCCAGTCGAAGTACACCGCGGCGACGCCTTCCTCGACGCACTCCATGAGGACGTCCGCGAATAACATCCGGCTGCTTATCAAGACTAATCGCTTCGGCGCGGTCGCGGCGATGCCCTTGAAACTCGTCAGCGCGCCTTCGACGGTGATCGCGGAAGAATCCGCGGTCGCGCTTCCGTCGTCTTTCGGCGGCTTCCCGTCCACCCACCCGTCCGGCCACGTGATCGACAGAAGCACGAGCGACCCGAACGTCGGGTCCACGAGGAGCGTGTCCGTGTCGAGTTTCACCTGCAGCGTGGAGACGACCATGTCCAGCGGCGTGTCCCCGGGCTTATCCTCGATTTTGAGCTGCACCGCGTTCGTCTTCGCGTTGAACCCGCCGACGCGGCACCGATCGTGGTGGACGTCGAGCTCGGTGGCAATCTCGGACACGAAGTACTCCTGCGTCTTCGTGATGGCGAACTCCTCCGGGTGCATCTCCACGAGCAACTCGATCGTCACCGCGGGGGCGTCCCGCGTGTTTCCGACGTTCGTCCGCGCCACCGTGCGCACGAGCGCGGCGCTCTTTTGAAACTTTCGCGCCAGCGCGCTCTTCGCGTCGGCGTCGGGTCCGAGCACGAGACTCGCGGGGGCGACGGCCGCCGCCGCCGCCGCGCGCTCGCGCTCCACCTCGAAATCGAGCTCGGTGCGCCACTTATCGCGCATCGCCCTGCCGCCGTCGTCGTTGGATCGCGTCGGCGTCGGCTCTTCTTCTTCCTCGCCGTCGACAGCCTCGCCGCCGGTGACGTCGCCGCCGCCGTCCTCTGCTCTTCGGCGGAAATACGCCGCGTACGCTCTGCCGACGTTTCGCATCTTTTTCCCCGCGGCGGTGTGGACGACTTCCATTCGCTTGTCGTATTCGATCTCCTCGTCGGTCTTGTAAAACTTCGACGTCACCGGGTCGTGCAGTCGTTCTTCCTCCGGGATCTCGTAAAACTGCGGCTTGTCCGGGAGCTCCGACCACGGCTTCAGCGCGGGAAGGTTGAAATACAACGACATCGACCTCGCCCCCGACGCCGTCGGCGCGAGTCGGAGTTGCTCCTCCGTGAGCGCGTACGACTCCGGCTGCGTCATCGAGATCGACGCGGTGACGACGCCGACGCCGCACGTCGAACGCAGCGCGGACATGAGCTGGTCGTTCTCCGGAACCGTCGGGTCGAAGTTTAAGAAATCGAGACGGTTCGCGTAGTTGTTGTACACTACGTCCGCGGACTTGCGAACGAGCTTGCACATCTCGTCCAGGAAATCCGCGACGTCGCTGTCGATCATCGTCTGCATCGTGAGCGCAAATCCGGTGACGAAGCTCACTTTGCCCACCTTCGTGGGGACGATGAAGGCGATCGAGTCGACCTGTTTCAGCCCGCTCTGGGTCATGAGCTTCGCGCGCGCTTGCTTCAGGATGTCGCGCAGGCTCGAGTGCTTGTGATCGTACTGGATGTACGCCACTCTCGGGAGCGTCGCGCGGTCGATCACCTGCGTGCCCTTCACCTTGGAGCTCACGACGACGAGCCGCTGCCACTTTCGCTCTTCCGCGTCGTGCAGCGCCCCCGTGTAGTTCGCCGCTTCCGCGAGCTGTTTCGCCTTTTCCTCGGCGAGACGCGCGGCGGCGTCCTCCCTCGCGCGCTCCTGCTCTTGACGTTCAATCTCCATCTCTTGCATCGTCTTCTCCTGCCTCCGCGGCGTCTCCCCGGGCTCGAGGCCGTCGAGGGCATTCAGCGCCATCCCGAGCTGGTTCATCGCGTCGCGGCTCGCGGGCTTCGTCGCGAGCGCGGCTCGGTAGAACTTCGCCGCCTCCTCGATCCGGCCTTGCTCCATGCAGAGCAAGCCCATGTTGAAAAGCGCGGGGTAGTAATCGCGCTTAAACTTCAACGCGAGAAGGAAGTGCTGCTCCGTGTCCACGGCGTTCCGTTTGCTCCACTCCACGACGCCGATGTTCGTGATCGCCTCGGCGTTGTCCGGGTCGCGCTCGAGCGCGAGGAGATACTTCTCCACCGCGCGTTTAGGCCGCGCGCGCATCATCTGAAGGTTTCCGAGTTTTATAAACGTCGCGCAGTGCTTCGCGTCGATGTCGAGGCACTTCTCGAAGCACTTCTCCGCGGCGTCGATCGCGTTATCGCGCGCGTAGAGCATCCCCAAGTTGAAGTGCGACTCCAACGAGCGATGCTTCAGCTCCGCGGACTCCTTGAAGTGCTTCTTCGCGTCGTGCATGCGCCCAGTCTTCGCGCAGAGGAGACCGAGATTATACCGCGGCTTGAAGAAAAACTCCTCCTTCTCGAGCGCGGCGTTGAACGCCTTCGTCGCGGCTTCGAAGTTCCCTTCGAGCATGTGCGCGACGCCCAAGTTCGCGTAGGCGACCGCGAACAGCTGGTCTTTTCGAATCGCAACCTCGAACGCTTGCACGGCGGCGTCGTACTTCCCCATCCGGGTTAACAAAACCCCGCGCGTGTTCTCGTAATGCGACCGCGACTGTTTCTTCTCCGCCGCGGTCAGCGCCTTCATCGCGTCGTCGAACTCGCCGTACATCGCGTGGATCACCGCCATCGCGTGCAACGCTTCGGACTGCGAAGCGTCGCGTTCTAATATTCTTCCGATGACGAGCTCCGCGTCGTCGATGTGCCCGGTCTGTATCGCTTCGGAGATGCCGAGGATGTCCGCCTTCTCCGTCTGCACGACGACGCCGCGTCGGTCCTCGTCTTCGTTGTTCGGCATCACCATCTCGTAGAACGAATCCCCGCCCGCGTACTTGAGCAACAGCCTCTGCTCTCTCCAGTGCCCGTACCCCATGTAACACATCACGAGCAACGTCGCGGCGAACGCCGCGGCGGCGATGTAGGCGTGCTGCATCCCGAGCGCGACCGTCGTGCTCGCCTCCGCGTCCGGGACGAATTCGTACACGGTGACGTTCGGGATGCACCCGCGGCGGTTCACCGCGTCGTCCACCGCGGCCGTGAGCGCGCCGTCCGCGCGCATCCGCGGCGTCTCCGCGACCCACGCGGACGGACCGGAGAGGTACGTCGCCGGGCACGCGACGCACGTCGTCGACGCGGCGGCCGCGGAGAAGAAGTAATCGTCGCAGTCGACGCACGCGGATTGCCCCGTCGCCGGTTGAATCGTCCCCGCCGGGCACGCGGCGCAGACGTCCGTCCCGAGCGCGGCGGCGACGTACCCGGCGAGGCACGCGGCGCACGACGTCGCGCCTCGCGACGCCGCCGCGGTGCCGAGCGCGCACGGCGTGCACATCGCCGCGTTCGCGACGGAGGAGTAGGTCCCCGTCGCGCACAGCTCGCAGACGTTGGTCCCGCCCGTCGTGGAGTACACGTACGTCCCCGCGGGGCAATCGGACGACACCGCGGCGGACAGCACGGTCGCGCCGACGGACAACGTCCCCGCGGTGATCGCGGCGTTGATCGCGGTCGTCACGCGCGTCAGCTCCGTCGTGTTCCAGCCGCCGCCGAGGGCGACCGGGAACAGCGCCGCGTTGTTCACGTAAAAGTCTAGAATCACGGAACCGGAGGTGACCGCCGTGATGACGACGTCGGCCGCGACGGACCCTCCGCCCGCGCTCGCGGCGACGCCAGCCTTGAACGTCGCCTCCGCGGTCGCGTCGAACGCGGCGACGGTGCCGTCGATGGAGACTTTCATCGTCGGCGGCGTCACGCCCGCGGCGAGCGCGGGCGGCACCGGCGGCGGCGGCGGCGACGGCGGCGGCGGCGGCGGGCTCGGCGGCGGCGGCGGCGGCGGCGCCGTCGTGCACGCGCCCGCGCTCGTCCCCCCGGTCGCCCCGAACGTGCTCAACCCGGAGCCGCACGCCGTCGGGAGCTCGTTCCCCTCCAGCGGACAGTACGTGTCCACCGGGCACACGACGCACGTCGCCGCGCTCGTCGCCGCGGTGACGTTGCTGTAGTACCCCTTCCCGCACGCGACGCACCCCGCCGCGAGGCTCACCGCGCCGGCGTTCGGTCCGTAATACCCCACCGGACACTCCGCGCAGGCGGCTAACCCGCCCGCGCTGTACGTCCCCGCCGCGCAAGACGTCATCGCGCTGATGTCCGTCGTGTCCGGGCACGCGAACCCGGGCGGGCAGGACGTGCACTGCGCGCTTCCCGCGGCGGCGAACGTCCCCGCGACGCACTGCTCGATGGACGTCCCGTCCGCGTTCGGGCACGCGTACCCCGGCGCGCACTGCGTGCAGTTCGCCTTCCCCGCGACGGCGTACCACCCCGAGTCACACCGCAACATGACGTCCTGGTCCGTGTACGGGCAGTGGTACCCCGCGGTGCACGTCGTGCATTCGCCCTGTCCCGCGAGCGCGAACGTCCCGGCCGCGCACGCCGTCGGCGAGACGTTCGGCGTCGCGCACGAGCTCCCGGCGGTGCACTCCACGCAGTGGGTGTAGTTGCTCCCCAACCGATACGTCCCCGCCGCGCACAGCACCGGCGACAGCTCGGGCGCGGGGCACGTGTACCCGTCCGGGCACGCGTTGCACACCGTGTCGCCCGTCTCCGAGAGCGTCGGCTGCCGCGTCGTCTCCGCGTGGTCGTACGGCGACGCGGTGAACGCGCTCGCGTTTAACGTCCACCGCGAGTACGTCCCCTCGCTGCAGTAAAAGTTCGCGAGGCTGCTGATCGCGCTGAGCGGGCACCGCGTCCCCGCCGGGCACGCGTCGCAGCTCTCCGACTGCTGCGTGTCTTGGTACGTCCCCGGCGCGCACGCGGAGCACGACGCGCTGCCGGCGGCGGAGTAATACCCCGCCGCGCAAATCTGCGGCGTCGCCGTCGCCGTCGTCGCGCACGCCGTCCCGGCGAGGCACGTGAAGCACGCCGCGCTCGCGGGTTCGCTGCTCTGTCCGACGTCGCACGCGCTGCAGTTCGTCGCGGACGCCGCCGCGTAGTATCCCGCCGTGCACGCGATCGGCCACTCCGTGTTCGCAGTCGGACACTGAATCATACAGAAAATGTTCACCGGTCAGTTGAAAGGGGACGCGATCACGTGTTGAAACCGAGCGATGGGTGAAACACGTTTGCATAGAACGCGCCTGATGCCCCTCCGGGCAGCTCACGCACGCGATCGCGCCCTCCCCCGAGTACGTCGCCGCCGGGCACGCCTGCGGGGTCTTCCAACCGATCGCGGGGCATATCGTCCCGTTCGGGCAGTTCAGACAGCTCGGCGCGCCGCCGGGGCCGTACTCTCCCGCGTCGCACGCGTTCGCGTTGGTACCGTCCGGGCACTCGTATCCCATGGCGCACGGCGGCGGATCGATCGTGTTCGAGGACTGACACGCGCTCCCGGCCGGGCACGTCGTGCACTGGTTTTCGCCGCCGTCCCACGTGCACTGCACGGTCGTGCCGGCGATGAGCTGCTCGCATCCGCCCAACACGACCGTGTTCTCCGAGGTGATCACGCACGTCATCTGTCGGCGGCGATGGATGCCATCGGTCAGCTGAAAGGGACCCGCGCGATGCGATCAAACGTCGCGTTGAAACCGAGTGATGGGTGAAAAACGAACGTGGTATGTTAGACTGCTAACGCGAACGGCACCTTGTGCGTGACGACACCGTCCTCGTCGATGAGCGCCTGGGGCGTGCACACGGACGACGCCGTCCCCGCGAAGTTACACGTCCCCGGGTCGTTCGAGATCAACGCCGCGCCGGACGTTTTCGTGTTGAACGCGCACTGCGCGGCGACGACGTCGGAGAACCCGTACGCGTCTTGCACCTGCTCTGGATTGAGCGTCGTCGAGCAGCTGAACGGGACGTCCGGGAACCGGCACAGCGCGGAGACGCCGCTGGCGTAGGTCCCGACGCCGCAGTCTACGCACGAGCCTCCGGACAGCGCGGTCCCGGGCGCGCACGTCTGCAGCAGCGAGCGTCGTCCGGCGGCGAATGCGGCGGCGCGGGGAGGAGAGCGACGCGACGGCTCTGCGACGCGCGAATCGTCGTCGCGAGCCGCGAGCCGCGGCGCCTCCGCGAGCTCCGCGCGCGCGGCCGACGGCGCCCCCGGGGTGAGGTCGAGCGCGGCGACGACGCCGGCGACGTTCGCGAGCGCTAGCATCGCGAGGACGAGCGTCGCGCACGTCGCGGTCACCGCGAGCGGCCCGACGCGGGGCGCGTCCGTCGTTCGCGCGTCGTCCCGCGGGCCGGCACCATCCCGCGGCCCGCGTCGTGGTTGTTCGCTCGACATCTCGGCGTCCCCGACCCCGACGTTCGCGCCGCCCTCCTGGCCGACGACGAGCGCGGGCCGCGTTCTCTGGCTAGTCTAAGCGCGCGCGCGTCCTCCACCGCCGCGAAGACCTCTCCGCGGCGGCTTCCGACGTCCCGGCGCCGCGCGTTATGGCGCGCTTTAAAATCGATCATCAGTCGGCTCGGATTATCGGAACGGCCAACGGCTGGCGTTTTACAGGTGCGTTTTACACTGATGATGATGAGCTACCGCGCTCTACTCCGCTTCGATGGCCTCGCGGAGCTGATACAACAGCTGCGCGCCCTCCGCCTTCGTCGCGAGGACGCTGAGACTCTTCCCCTTGTCGCCCTCGCCGTACCAGCACGCGACGGCGAGGTCGCCAGGCCCCGCGACGCCGCCCCACCCGTCCCCGCCGCCGACGCCGTTCTCCTTCTTCTCCTTCTTCTCCTTCTTCTCCTTCTTCTCCTTCTTCTCCTTCTTCGCCTTTTTCCGGTCGCGTTCGTCCGACGCGTGTCCGACATCCCGAACCCGCGCGACGAGCACGACGCACCCGGACGTCACCTTCCTCATCGCCGCGAGCGTGTCCTTCTCCCAGCACCCCTCCGGGGCGTCCACCGGGCGAAGAAGGTTCGCGCTCGACGCCTGAGCGGAGATTGGCTGCCCTTGCTGCCGACAAAGCACGCTCTCGATCTCCCTCTTGGACGCGCGCACCACCTGTTTCGTGAGGTGCGGGAGCAACACGTCCAGCCCCTCTTGCGTCGCGCGGTAGTCGCACTTCGCCCCGGGCGCGGTCTGCCGCTCGAACGCCTTCACCCCCGCGGCGACGACTTGAAGGCCGCCGCCGCCGCCGCGCGCGTCCGCGCTCAAAAGTTTCTTCGCGCCGCCGGACACGAAGTACAACCGCTTCGGTTTATCGCTCTCGGCCTCGCCCACGCGTCGCGTCACTAAACCTCGCGTCAGGAGCTCGCGCCCGCGATCGGTCATGCCGTACTGCGACTCGATAGAGGACGTCAGCGCGTCGTTCGAGACCGTCGTCACGGGCGCGACGCGTTTGGACTCGTTCCAGTCCGCGCCCTTCTTCCCTTTCTTCCCGTCGCCGTCGTCGCCTCCCCCTCCCCCTCCACCCCCTACCCCCCCCGCGTCGTCGTCGTCGTCGCGCGCCGCCGCCGCCGCCTGCATCTCTGCCGGGAGTTCCGCGACCTTATCGATCGCGACGATGAAGAAACCGCCGGTGTCGTCCAGGTGCGGCAAGATCCGGACGCAACGATCGAGACGCATCTCCGACGCGGCTTTCCCCGACGGCGGCCACATCGTCTCGCACACGTTCCTCTGCCTTCGTCCGTCGCCGTTCGGGGTCTCGTGCCACCCGAAGACGTCCCCGACGTGCCACGTGCGCATGCCCGGCCGTCGCTTCAACCCCGGGAGCTTCTCGGAGACGTCCACGAGCTTCAACGACCCTTTGCCGCGTCGCAACAACGCGGCGACGACGGCTTCGTCCTCGAGCGGGTTCAGCGAGCACGTGCTGTACACGAGCCTTCCTCCCACCTTCAGAAGCCTGACCGCGTGCGTCGCGATCTCGAGCTGCAGCCCGTGAAGGTCCACGCCCGAGCCGGGCGTCCACTTCTTCCACAAGTCCGGGGATTTACGCAGCGTCCCGTCGCCCGAACACGGCACGTCCGCCAACACGCGATCGAACAGGATCGGTCTTCTCTCGTCGCCGCCCTTCCCCGCCTCGATCAGGAACGGGAACTTCTGCGCCTGGTGGTTCGTCACGATCAACGCCGGGGAGTTGCTGCGCTTCGTCTGGTGCGTCAAGAGGTTCGCGCGCTGCAGCGACGCGTCGTTCGCGACGACGACCCCGGCGGGCGCCTCGGCGCCCGTCTCGCCGCTCGCCTTGTGATGCAACATCTCGAGCAACTGAAACGTCTTGCTCCCGGGCGCGGCGCACATGTCCAACACCCTGTGCGACGGCTTCACGTCCAGCAGCAGCGGCGGAATCATGCTCACGGCCTCTTGCCGCGTGATCGCGCCGGTCTCGTTCGCTTGCACCAAGAAGCGATGCAGCGCGCGAAAGTCGTCGGATTTTTTCAGCGCATCCTTGGGCACGTCCACCTGCCACGCGAGCGCGTCGGGGTACCATCGCAGCGCCCTGGGCGGGCGCGTCGTGTGCGCGCGTATCCCAGGGAAGAGCGTCTTCTCGAGCGTGTTCCGCGTGGACTCGCGGAACTTCCCGGACATGTTCACGCGGAACGTCAGCGGCAGCGGGGTTCGGAACGCGTCCATCATCGATTCCCACTCGTCTCGGGGCACGACGCCCTGGTGCTGGTAGTACGCCTCGAACTTGTCGTTCCGGAGCTTGGACGCGTCCGCGAAGCCGTCGCCGCCGCCGAAGCCGTCGTACCTCTCCCCGAGCTCGTCGTCCGCGAGGTCGCGCTGGCGCTTCGTTCCCGCCGCGCCGCCGCCGCCGCCGCCTCCGCCTCGGCCTCGGCCGCCGTCCCGGCCTCGGCCTCCGCCGCCGCGACCGCCGCCGGGAGTGAACCCGCGACCGGCGCGACCGCCGGGGCTGAACCCGCCGCGGCCGCTGCCGCCGCGTCCTCCTCGTCCCGCCATCGGGCCGGTCATTGCGATGCGACGCGAGCGGTGCCCCCGCGCTGTGCCGACGGCGTCGTTCGACATCCGACTCCACGCGACCGCGTCTGCCCGATGCACTGGCTGACTGGTATCGAAACGTGCATCAGATGTTGGCGCGAAATCGAGTTCAAACCTCGCGTCCGCGCGCGTCGCTCCAGAACGCTCCGCGCGGAGCGGTCCGAGGCGGCAGCCGAATCTATCTACACGCATCCATGGCACGCGAGTGCGTCGCGCCGCCGCCCGCCGCGGACGAGCGCGGGGACACCCACCCCGTCGCGGCGGACGAGCGTTTGAAAAAATCCCCCGTGACAACGACGATTCTCCCCGAGAAGAGAAAACGCGGACGGCCGCCGAAGCGCAAGCCGTCGGACTTCGCCGCGGACGCCCCCGCGGCGCCTCAGACCGCGTCAGGGGGCGAGCGTCCCGGGAAGAAGGAGCGCAGACGCGTGTCGTCGCCGCGCGAGGTGCGCACCGCGCGGATCGCGTTCGGATTGTTGTTCGTTGTTGGCACACCAGCCCTAGGCACTTCTTTTCTGTCGCGTCGTCCGTTCGAATCTCACTCGCGTCGCCGTCGCCGTCCCACCCCCTCCGTCCATCCCCGACAGCCCGTCGCCGCGGAAGCGTTCCCGGCGTCCCCCGGATGCACCACCCCCCAGGCCGCGGCCGTCGCGGCGGTCGTCGCCGTCGCCGGGGACGCCGCGGAGGCGGACGCGCGAGACCCGTCGTCGGAGGGTCCGCGCTCGCCGTTGGACGTGCTCGTCGACGCGGCGTCGCAAGGAAAGCCGACGCGTCGGCCGTCGGGCGGCTCCGACGCGGTCAAGAAACTCCTCGCGCGCTCGCCGCTGCGCCCGATGCCGCTGCTGTACGCGGACCGCGGCGTCGGCGACGGCGTCGTCGACTACGACGAGATCGCGGAGGACGAGACCGTCAATCCCACGGAGGCGGATGGCATCTCGCGTCCGACGGGCTTTCACGGCTGCCTCGTCGCGGAGCTCGGGAGGCTCGCGGGGCTCCCGGACGGCGCGCGGTACCGCCTCGCCGCGGACGCGGAACAGCGCGAGGCGGACGAGAAGCGCGCGCACATCGCGCGCGCGGAGGCGGCGGAGGAGAGCAAGGCTCAGCTCGAGCTGACGGTGCGCGCGTACGAAGCGGACGCGAGCAAGTTGAGGACGGCGCTCGCGAAGACCGCGGCGAGCGCGGCGGCGGCGGAGATGAAACTCGAGGAGATGGAACAGAGACTGCGGGACGTCGATGAGAACCGACTTTCGGCGGAGGATAGTGTTCATCTCCTCCTCGACCTTGGCGCGGAGAAGACTGCCGCGACGGAGGAGAAGCTGCGCGAGCTCCGGGCGGCGGCGACGCGCGCGGAGGCGAGCGCGAAGGACGCGATCGCGAGGGCGACGACGCGCGACGAAGAGATGGCGAAGCTCGAGGCGGAGCTCCGCGCGAGCCGCGAGGAGACGACGCGAGCGCTCGAGGAGGCGAGAGCGTCGAAGCTCGCCGCGGAGGCGAAAGCGGCGGAGGCGGCGAAGTTCCGAGCGCAGACGGAGAAAGCAGTCGCCGCCGTCGAAGCCGCCGCCGCGGAGGTGGTCGAAGAGGGGGCGCGAAAAGAGGTCGCGTTCCAGCAGCGCCTCGACGCCGCCGTCGCCACCGCCGTCGCGGTCGAACGCAGACGCGCGGAGTCCGAGGGCGCGCGGAAGTTTGGGCACGGCGGCGCGTGCACGCCCGCGGGGGCGCTGTCGCGATCGCGCGAGGGGACTCCGGGGTTGGTGCTCACCGCCGCGCACACGCCGTTCAGCGCGGCGGCGGCGTTTTGTTCCAACGCGCAGACGCCGTGCACGACGACGCAGACGCCGGCGGCGGCGGAGGACGACCGCGAGCCGGTCGCGCCGCCGGCGCCGGGGCCGGCGCCGGCGAGCCAGGCGGACCCACCCGAACGCGGGTCAACCGGGGTGAGGAAATTCATCGCGCGGCATTTCAAGGATCTGCACGGCGAGCCCGCGTCGTTGTGCTCGCTGTTGGAGTCCTCGGAGCAGGCGAACTTCTCCGCCGAGGAGGTGTTGAGCGTCCTCGCGAAGCTCTCGGTGGACACGCCGCGGCGCGCGGCGGCGTACATGGTCACCATACACGAGATTTGATACTACGTCTGTGAATACCTACGTTACTAGACGAACGCACTACGCTCCGCATCTCTTCGCGTCTCGGCGGATGACCGACGCGTGCCGCACGTTCCCAGCGTTATCCACGAAGTACGTGGTGAATGACGTCGCGTTGACGTGGTGCGCGGCGAAACCGTGATACGAGCTGTCCGCGTACGTAAACGCGTCCCCTCGCTCTCGTTCGCTTCGCAACGCGTGCAGGCCGTATCCTCCGATCCCGTTCGTGATGAAACGCGTCGCGCTCTCCCCGTCATCGCGCTCGACGCACGCGACCTGCGCGGTGTGGTCGTGCCCGTTGATCCACGCGTCCACGCCGTGTTTGACGAGCAGCTCCCTCAGCGCTCTCCGCGTCTTCGCCTCCGCCGGGTACTTCGCGTCGTCCCTCTTCCCCCTCTCCGACGCGCTCATCAGCGGCCGGTGGCCAATCACGACCCTCCACGTCGGCTTCTCCGCCTTCCCTCCGCCGATGTCCGCCGTCGCGTCGCTCAGGACGCGCTCGAGCCACGCCCACTGCGCGTTCGCCGCGTCGTATCCGGCGACGTTTTTGTTCAGGTCTCCGCCGAACCGCCGCCCGTCCCTCCATCCCGGGGACGCGTGTTTCCCCTCCAGGCCGATCCAGTCGACGACGATCGTCTGCACGGTGACCCCCGCGCCTAGGTCCGCTCCGTTCGCGTCCACGCCCGCGGGTTTCAGCCGCTCCACGCGCGCGTAGTACGGACTCGGCATCCGCCACCGACCGTTTCTGTCGCCGTACTCGACTTGCGCGGCGACCGAGCCGCGGTGGTCGTGGTCCCCCAGCGCGGGGTACCACGGCGATATGAACGTCGGTTCCGTCTCGAACACGTCCTCGAACTTCTCCTTGAACTGCGCGTCGTCGACGTCGCGCACGCCGGACTGGTAGAAGTTATCCCCCAGCGTCGCGACGAACCGCGGCAGCGACGCGGGATCTTTTCCCGAGCACAGCATCGCGCGCGCGACCGCTCGCGAGTCCGTCCCTCGCAACCCGCGCACGCCCCAGTCCCCGAGCGTGAAGAACGACAGCGTCTTCGGCGGCGTCGGCGGCAGCGGCGTCGTCGCGCCGAGATCGTCGCAGTTCAGCCACGGCGCGCGCCTCGCGTCGAGCGCGCGGTCGCGCGCCTCTGGCTCGACGCCGTCGTCGTCGAGAGGCGGCGCTCGCGGCGGTGGCGCGTCGCGGTCGTCGTCCGTCAAGATGAGCGGATGCGCGCTCGCGCCGAAGTTGACGTCGTCTTCCAGTATCGGCGCGTTCGGGGACGCGCTTCGCGCCTCGGGCGCGCGACGCGCGTCGTCCTCGACCCAGCGCTGGGGGTCCGACGACGACGAAGACGACGATCGCGCGAGCGGTCGTCGTTCGCCCCTGAGCCCGCTCGCGGCGTTCGTCGCGGAGGCCTCGTCCTCGACCCACTGGTCCGCGCTCGTGGTCCGGACGTACGCCGCGCTGATGAAGACGAGCGCGAAGACGCACGCGAATGTCTTCCTCGCCATCCTTCCCTTCCGCGGCGGCGCGCGACGCATACTGACAAGATGATGACGCAATGACAATGACGCGCGAAGTCCCGAACTCGTCACGGCGGATAGGTTTTAGGGCAACGTCACTCGCACTCTGCGCCACGCACGAGACGCGGCGATGGCGTGCACCTTGCTCGTGACGTGCGCGCGCGGAGGCGGCCTCGCGTCGCCGTCCGTCGCGTCGACGTCGTCGACGCGGCGGTCGTCGGCGATGGCGTCGTCCCACCGCCGCGCGGCGTGCGCTTCGGTGACGTCGTCAAAGGATTCGACGGCGGTGCCGTCGTCGTCGTCGTCGTCGCCGTCGAGGCGCGACCGCCGCTTCCGCGCCCCTTCCCGCCGCGGCCGCGCTCTCGTCGTCGTCGCGTCCACGCGCGAGGACCCCGACGGATCCAAGCGCGCGCCGGACCCGTCCGCGCGCGGGACGGTCGACGCCGCGGACGACGACGCGTTCCGCGAGTGGCTCCTGAAGTCCGAGATGCCGAAGACGGGAAAGAGAGCGCTGCGCGCGCTGTCGTCGCTGCCGCTCGCGATATCGGAGTTTCTCGTCATCGCCGGGTTCTCCGCGCTCGGGACGGTGATCGAGCAGAACAAAGGGACGCAGTGGTACGTCACGAACTACCCCGTGGACGATCCCGCGCTGGGGTTCATCGACTACCCGCTCATCTTAAACCTCGGACTGGACCACATCTACACCGAGTGGTATTTCCTCGGCCTCCTCGGCGCGCTCGCGGCGTCGCTGACCGCGTGCACGTTCACGCGTCAGCTCCCGGTGTGGAAGGTGGCCGCGGACTGGAAGTTTCTCGACCGCCCGCGGACGCTCCTGAAGATGGATGAGGCGGAGACGCTGCCGCGCGCGCGGAGCGAAGATTTAGCCGACGCGCTCGCGAGACGCGGGTACCAAGTCTTCGTGAAAGGGAAGGCGCTGTACGCGTTCAAAGGCCTCGTCGGTCGGCTCGCCCCGATCGGCGTCCACGCCGGGTTGCTGCTCACCCTGGGCGGCGCCGCGTACAGCGGCCTCGGCGGGTTAGGCGGCTCGATCATGGCCCCCGAGGGCACGAGTTTCGTCATCGGGGACGGGTTACGACGCGGCGGGAGCGTCTTCGCGCCGCGACCCGCGGCGGCGAAGGACTCCGTCGTCGTGAACGACTTCACGATCGAGTACTTACCCAACGGTCAGGTCTCGCAGTTTTTCAGCGACCTCTCCGTCGTGGACGCGAAGGACGGCAGCGAGAAGCAGCGTAAGACGATCAGCGTGAACGTGCCGTTGCGTCAAGGCGGGGTGACGATGTATCAGACGGATTGGGAGATCGCGTCCGTGCGTCTGCGCGTGCTGAACGAGGACGACGGCGGCGCGACGGCGGGCGCGGAGGACGCCGCGCTCCCGGGCGCGGGCGCCGCGGGCGCGGAGGACGCCGCGTCGTTCGCGGCGAAGGCGCAGGCGCGGCAGGGCGACCTGGGGCCGGCGCCGGAGACGCTTTTCCCGGAGGCGCGCGCGGACGGCGACGCGTCCGCGGGCGAGACGCTGTCGCTGCCCATGGCGAACCTCGAGGGCGTGGGCAACTTCCAGGGACGCATCTGGGGCGCGTTCTTGCCGCTCAACCCGGACGCGTCCCCCGGGACCCCGGAGGCGCGCGTCGGGGTGTCGCTGCTCGCGCGCGACTTTCAGTCCGTCGCCGCGTACGCGAGCGACGGGTCGTTCGCCGGCGTCCGACGCCCGGGTTCGGGCCGGCCCATCGTCGTCGACGGCTTGACGCTCGTGATCGACGACGTGAAAGGGTCGACCGGGCTGGAGCTGAAGACGGACCCGGGCGTGCCGTGGGTCTACGCCGGGTTCGCGGGGCTCATGGTCACGTCGTTCCTGTCGTTGCTGTCGCACTCGCAGGTGTGGGCGGTCGGGGAGGAGTCGAGCGGGTTGTTACACGTGGGGGGGCGGAGCAACCGCGCGAAGGAGGAGTTCAAGACGGAGCTGGACGAGGTCTTGAGCGAGGTGCCGGAGTACCGGTGACGCGCGCGATGTGATGACGCGGGGGAGAGAGAGAAGAAACGCGGCGCGTTAGGGCGTTGTAGCCGTTTCGTCCTTACGATATCACGTCATACTCAGCCGCCGAGTCCGAGTCGCTCGCGAGATGACAGAGAGTCTTTTCTTTTCGTCGACGGTTCGTCGTCGTTCGTCGTCAACCGTAGATTATTAACAATTGGGGCCGCTTCCAGCGCGTCGCCGCGCCAGATCTCGTCCGCGCCCCGCGTCGGGTTCGTCGCCCGCACGACGCGGCGCGATGCCGGAGGGTAAGCGCAATGAGCTGACGGACATGGCCGCGTCCCTGCGCGCGTTCGCCTCGAAAGGGAACCCCACGAAGGAGGCGAACGCGCAGCGACGGCACCTCTTCCAGAGGATCATTCAGTACGTCACGATCGGGATAGACATGAGCCCGCTGTTCAGCGACGTGATCATGAACGCGCACACGACGGACATGGCGACGAAGAAGATGCTGTACCACTACATCACGCACTACGCGCGCGTGAAAGCGGACCTCGCGCTTCTCACGGTGAACACGCTTCAGAAGGACGCGAGGGACGACGACCCGGTCGTGCGCGGGCTCGCGATTCGAAGCATGGCGTCCCTGCGCGTCCCCGACCTCGTGGAGTACCTCATCGAGGCGATCCGACTCGGGCTGAAGGACGCGCACCCGTACCCGCGGAAGACCGCGTCGATCAGCGTGTTGAAAGCTTACGACCTGGACGAGGACGCGCTCCGGGAGACGGAGATCTTGGACGAGGTCCGACGCATGCTCGCGACGGACCGCGACCCGGGCGTGGTGACGAACTGCCTCATCACGCTGCGGGAGATCGACGGCGAGGCCGCGGTCGCGACGAAACAGAACGTGTACGGGCTCATAAATAGGATAAAAGACTTCGGGGAGTTCTCGCAGGTGACGATCCTGGAGACGGTGGCGACGTACGTCCCGAAGGACAAGTCCGAGACGTTCGATGTCATGAACGCGTTGGAGGACCGGCTGCAGCATTCCAACTCCGCGGTCGTCCTCGCCACCGTGAAGGTGTTCCTCGGCGTCACGCTGCAGATGCCGGACGTGCACCAGCAGGTGTTCGAGCGCCTGAAAGCGCCGCTGCTGACGCTCGCCGCGGTGGGCGCGTCGGAGACGTCCTACGTCGTGTGGGCGCACCTGCATCTGCTGGTGACGCGCGCGCCGCCTCTGTTCGTCACGGACTTCAAGTCGTTCTTCTGCCGCGCGAGCGACTCCCCCGCGGTGAAGAAGCTGAAGATCGAGATGCTCACCGCGGCGTGCGACGCGTCGAACGCGTACGATATCGTGACCGAATTGAGCGAGTACGTCGGCGACGTCGACGCCGCCATCGCGCGAGAGAGCGTGAAAGCCGTCGGGAGGATCGCGCTCGACGGCGACCAGGACGTGAGCGGGATCGTCGACCGGTTGCTGCAGTTCTTAGACCACGGCACGGACTACGTCACCGCGGAGACGCTCGTGATGATCAAGGACTTGCTGAGACGGCACCCGAAGTGGGCGGACGAGTGCGTGCTCGCCGTGAGCGCCGTGGACGCGGAGTCCGTCACGGAGCCGTCCGCGAGAGCGGCGATCGTGTGGGTCATGGGGGAGTACGGGCACGTCATGCCCGAGGCGCCGTACGCGCTCGAACCGCTCGTGGACGAGTTCGAGACGGAGGAATCGGAGGAGGTGAGGTTGGAGCTCCTGAGCGCCGCGGCGAAGTTGTTCTTCAAACGCCCTCCGGAGATGAAGCGCACGTTGGGGAAAGCGTTGCATTTAGGGTGCCAAGACGCGAACCAGGACGTGCACGACCGCGCCATGATGTACGCGCGTCTGTTGCGACACGATCCCGCGGCCGCGGGTCGCGTCATCGGTTGCGAGAAGGCGACGATCAACCGGTTCACGGATATCGACAGCGCGGATAAGCACTCGGAGACGATTTTCTCGGAGTTTAACACGCTCTCGGTGTTGTACCGGAAGCCGGCGTTCTTGTTCACGGAGGACGCGCCGAAGGTGATTCGACGCGCGCCGTCGAGCGCGTCAGGCGGCGATGGAGACGGGGGGAAAAGCGGCGGCGCGGGGACGAGCGCGATGTTAGACGCGAGCTTGATCGATTTGAGCGACGGCGGCGGCGGCGGGGGCGGCGGCGGCGGCGGGTCCGCGAACGATCTGAACGACCTCCTCGGCGGCCCGTCCACGAGCGGCGGCCCGTCCCCAGCGGGGGGCAACAGCGCGAACAACCTCCTCGATCTGATCGACGTCCCGCTCGCGGCGGCGACGAGCGCCGCGCCGCCGCCGCCGCCGTTGACGTTGACGCTCACGCCGGCGCTGGACGCCGCTACGTTTCAGCGGAAATGGGGCGCGCTCGCGGCGTCGCCCGGGTGCGTCGGCGGGCCTCGAACGTTACCCCTGGGGCCGCGCACGCCCGCGCTGTTGACGACGCCGCCGCCGCTGATGCACCACCTCGCGCGGCTCGGGTGGCTCGCGATGGCGTCGGGCGGGGCGCCGCCGGCGTTGAAGTTTTACTTTTACGCGCAGCCCGTCGACCAGAGCGAGCATTTCCTCGTCGAGGCGACGGTGGACAGCGGACGGTGCGTCGCCGCGACGACGATGAAGACGGACGCTTCCCCCGCGGTCGCGGCCGCGGGGGAGGCGTTGTTCGCCGCCGCGTTAGCGTCGTTCGGGGCGTAGCCTATTCGCGCCGTGTCGTAGTAGAGCGCGCCGCGTTGAATATCACGATACAGTAGACCACAGAACGCGACGCGACTTCTCACGTGTCACGCTCACGTCTTGTCCACCGATGACTGGCGACGTCTGCTTTCCGCAATTCGTCATCTTGGAGAGAAAAAGGTGGCGCGAAGCGTCGCTCGAGTCGCCCGCGGGTCACAACGACGCTCGCGCGATCTCGAGGTCGAAGAGCGCGCGCGCGCGATCGCGTGTTCGCAGCGACCGACACGACGCCAACCGCGCGTCTTCGCGCGATATCGACGCGTTCGCGACGCGGGGGGGCGACGATCGTCCCGCGCGGGAGCGCGCCCGAAAAAGTGCGATCATTTTGGCGCCGGCGCGGTGGGAAGGATGCGGGGTTCGTCGCGCGTCGCCGCGAGGGCGCTGACGCACGCCCTCGCCGGGTGCTCGGGCGCGTCGTCGTCGCTCGCGCGTGAATTCGCCGCGCCGCCGACGGCGTCGCTGCCGCAGCTCCTCTCCGGGGGCGCGCCTCGTCGCGCCGCGCCGTCGCCGTCTTCTCTCGCGCGCTTCGGAGATTCGGCGGATTCGACGCGATCGCCCGTCGCCGCCGCGCGCGCGCACTCGACGACGTCGCGGTACACGTACGACGCGAAGAAAGGCTTCGCGGACTGCCAAGGCGACGACATGGCGTTCGTGGAGGTCGACATGGGGATGGTCTCCCACGCGCCGACCGCGGCGTCGTGTTGGAGCGACGACGGCGTCTCGTACAGCAGCGATCTGACCAGGGTGCGGCACTACCGCGTGTGCGTCACGACCGCGTCCTCGCGCGGCGCGGGGACGTCCGGGCGAGTCGAGCTCACGCTCGTCGGCGACGAGGGCGTCAGCGAGGCGATCCCGCTGGAGTACGAGCGCGACACGAACCCCGGGTTCGCGCGAGGGAGCACGCTGCCGTTTCGCATCACGACCTACGCGGACACCGGCGCGCTCGCATCCGCGCAAGTGCGCCTCGTGCCGGAGATGTCTCAGGTCGGGCACGGGTGGCTGCTCGACAACTTCAGTCTGACGAGCGAGGAAACGGGGCAGAAGTGGACGTTTCGCAGTAAGAAATGGTTCGGCGCCGCGGACTCCGGGGGGAAGGACGGACCGCTGCAGCAGCTGATGTCGCCATCCGCGGAGACGGAGGTTTCCGCGGAGGCGACGAACCGGCCGAAAGTTTTCCTGGACGTGTCCGCGGGCGCGGCGTGCGTCCCTCACGTGGAGAAGACGAAAGAGGGCGCGCGAGCGGTGATGCAAAGAGAGTGGGGCCACGGCGGCGAGGACGCGTACTTCGTGAAGAAGGTGAACATCAAACGCGACGACGACGGCGACGGCGTCGACGACACGTGCGTCGCCTTCGGCGTCGCGGACGGCGTGTACATGTGGCGCCAGCTCGGGATCGACGCGGGTTTGTATTCTAGGAAACTCATGGGGCTGTGCTCGGACGCGTTCGCGACCGTGAAGACGACGGAGGACGACAGCTTCAAGCCGCAAAAGTTACTCGAAGCCGCGTACGAAGGGTGCACCGCCGAGGCGTTGAAAGGGAGCACGACCGCGTGCGTCTTGACCGTGGACGCGACGCACGGGGTGTTACGCGGCGCGAACATCGGCGACAGCGGGTTCATGATCGTCCGAGGCGCGCCCGGGGAGCGCGAGTGCGTGCACCGGTCGCCGCCGCAGGAGCACGAGTTTGGCCGGCCCTTTCAACTCGGGCACCACGAAGCGTCGGATAAACCCTTCGACGCGATGCTCACGACGTTTCAGCTCGACCCCGGGGACGTCCTCATCATGGGATCCGACGGGCTGTGGGACAACCTCTCCGAGTCCGAGATCGTCGAGCTCGTGGAGAAGGTTTTCGTCGTCGATCGAACATCCGGCGGGAAGGGCGCGGAGAACGCGAGGGTCGCCAACGCGGCCGCGCGGGAGATTGTCACCGCCGCGTACGCCGCGTCCATGGATAAGCGCCGGTCCACGCCGTACTCGCTCGCGGCGACGGAGTTCTTCGACATGGTGTACTCGGGGGGGAAGAAGGACGACATCACCGTCGTCGTCGCGAACGTAGGTTGAAGAGAGAACAGAACAGGGCGCGAGTCTAATAAGTTGAAATGAGATTACGATCGATCATCGAGCCATGCCAAACTCTCGCCGGAGAGCCTCGTAATCGCACGACACCGAGGGGTAATCCACCGGGCGATGCACCGGGTCCCGCGCGTGCTGAAGCTTCCCCACGACGCGTTCGAGCGCATCGACCTCCGTTCGAAGGTGCGGTCCATGCCGCCACCGCCGCGGCGTCCCCGAATGCGCTGGCGGCGGCGGCGGCGGCGGCGGCGGCGAATGCGAATACGGCGAGTACGGGGTCATCATCGCCGGATGGTACGGCGTCATCATCGGCGCGTGGTACGCCACGGGACCCACGTGCCCCGGATACCCCGCGTGCCCCAGATACCCCACGCACCCCGCGAACCCCCCGCGCGTCGGCGTCACGAACGGCGCGCCGAATCCCGCGGGCTCCGCGTACGTCGTCGCTCTCTGACCCTGGTACGCGTTGTCCGCCTCCGCGCGAAACGCGTCCGCCTCCTCTCGTAACCGCGCGTTCTCGCCGTCCGTCTCCTCCCACAGCACGCTCGCGGCGTACAGATCCGTCTCGAGCTCTTTGCACTCCAGCGCGAGCTCGTCCGCGCGCGCCTCCGCGGCCATCAGCGCCGCTCGAAGCGACGCCTCGCCGCCGCCGCCGCCGCCGCCGCCGTCGCGGCCGAAATCCGCGTCCTCCGTCGCGACGCCGGCGTCTCCTTCTCCTCCGCCGTACAGCGCTTCCGCGTAGTACCGCAAGTCCGCGATCGGTTCGTCCATCGACGTCGTCGCCTCCTCGGCGGCGACCCCCGCCGCGCCGCGTCGATTCGTCTCCCCCGCCGCGCCGCGTCGATTCGTCTCCCCCGCGCTTGAGAACGACTCCTCCCCCGCGAGCCACCGCGCGAGCGCGTCGTCCATGCGTCCGTACGACGGGTCCCGCGAGGCGTCGCGCGCCGTCGTCTCTTCCGCGGTCGCCTTCGCCGGGGACACGGACGCGTGCCACGCGTTGAACCGCTCGGCCGTCGTCGTCGTCGACGACGACGCGGGAGTCGCCGGCGCCGGCGTCGCGTCCTTCTTCGCATACACTGGTTCCCATACGACCGCGTCGGCGTGGTGAACGCCGATCCTTAAGGACTTTTCCCGGCGCGTTCTCCCCGCCAACCGCCAGCACCGCACCGCCGCGCGGAGACGCCATCGGTCGAACGCGTCCAGGGTCTCCACGCCGCCGTCGCGCGTCGGCGGGCACGCGCGGCGGGCCGCCGCGCGCGCTTCGACGTCGTGGTCGCGCCGGCGCGTCCGCGCGATGGCCCTCCACTCCGACAGCGCTCGACGCGACAGCTTGCGTCCCGCGCGCGTCTTCCATTTGCTCTCCAGAAACGCGAGCAGCGCGGTCCTCGCTCGCTCGCGCGGGGACTCCGTCTCGTCCTCGTCCTCGTCCTCGTCCTCCTCGTCCTCGACCTCGTCTTCCGTCTCCGCGTCCTCGACGTACCGCGGCGTCGCCGGCGTCGGCGCGCGCGTCGTCGGCGCGAAGTCCAGCGCGCGCGCGGTCGCGCGCAGCGGCGACGCGCCTCGGCGAATCGTCGCGTCGTTCGTCGTCGTCGCGACCGCGCGCTTCGCGGGCGACGGCGACCGGCTGCTCGCGACCGCGGCGTTCACGCACGCGACGATGCTCTCCGCGGTGACGACGCGCGGCGGCCGCGACGCGCCGCCGCGCGTCAGCGACACGACGTCGTCGTCCACGACCCGTCGCGGCGTCGGCGTCGGGCCCGCGTCGACGCTCGATCGCGGGAGTAGAGGACCGAGCGAGCGCTCGCGCGCATCGTGCGCGCGACGACCCCACTCCGCGAGCGACTCCGCCGCGGCGACGTCCCGCCCCGACGTCGACGGCGGCGACAGCACGAACGCGGCGTCGAGCGGGCCGTCCGGGGTCCACCCCGCGTCCGCGGACGACGACGACGGCTTCATCGTCGCGTCCGAGGCGCGCGCGCCGGCGTCTGTCGCGCCGCGCCAGCGCGAATTCAAACTTCGATGATTCGTCTGCCGCTGCCGCCGCGCGCCGCGAAAACGTCGCGCGCGCGGTTTCGCGGCGAGACGCGCACACGTCCGCGCGCGACGCGTCGTCCCCGCGCGCGCGCGAGGGCGTCTCGACGCGCGCGTCCTCGCGTCGTCGAACGGCGTCGAGTCGCGGATGGAGCGCGCGGTGCGGTCCCGGTACGCGGTGCGGCTGCGGCGCGCGGTGCCGACCGCTGCCAAATCCACGTCGCGCGGCGGTCGACGCGTCCGACCCCGCGTCGCGCGTTCCGCCGCGCCGAAAGACCCGTGGTGGCGAGACCCGGAGACGGGACGACTGAACGGCGTCGCGCGTCGTTCGCTCGTCGCCGCCGCCGCGCAGCTCGCGTTCGCGGGCGTCGCGCTGGCCGCGCAGCGCGCGTTGAGCGAGTGGCGCGCGCGCGGGCTCGAGGCGCGTTGGCGGCGCGGCGGCGGCGGGACGTTCGCGGAGGCGTGGGTCGACGAGCAGCGCGCGTGGAGGGAGCCCGGCAGGGGTCGGGGGGGCGACGACGGCGACGGCGACGATGCCGGTGGCAGATGATGTGATGCCTCATCGTACTGCACATCACGCGCGTCGGCGCCGACGACGTACGTACTGTACACGTAGTCTACCGACGCGACGCGACGTAATACCTGTATCAGTCCACGTCCGCGACAAACATGTTCGTCTCCGCGGTCCACACCTTCCCGCTGTCCAGGACGATCTTCTCGCTCACCGCCGCGGACTCGACGCACACGAACTTCTTCCACGCGTCGCCGATGTTCAGCGTCTCGTGCGGGTTCCACACGACGGTGTCCGTCCACCCCCGCGTGTTCTCCACGCACACCGCCGCGCCGGTGCCGACGTGCAAGTCCGTCTCGGGCTCCGTCTTCAGGAACACCTTGTCGCAGAGCGACGTCCCGAAGACGACGTCGCCCGCGCAAATCTCCGGGTGAACGACGTTCGGGTCGATCGCTTTGTCGATGTAATTCTTCCCTATCAACCCGCGCGCGAAGACGTTCGGCGACGTCGCGTCCGCGACCTCGATGTACGTGTGAATCGCGGCGGTGAAGTCAAACGGCGCGTCCTCGTGGCGTCCCTTGCGCTCCTCCGCGAGCGGGTTGCGCACGGAAAACTCCATCCGGAGGCTCTCGCGTCGAAGCGTCACCTCGTACGTCGCCTCGAACGCGTGGTCCCACATCTCGCGCGTGTACTCGCTGTCCCGTAGTTTGAACATCACGGACGGCTCCGGGTCGTCCGGGTTCGGGTCCGCGGAGGAAGAGATCACGGTCCAGTCCGAGTTACGCGCGAACCCGTGCTGCTGCATCTCGTCCGACGGGCCGAACCGCGGGAAGCACAGCGGCGCGCCGCCGCTGATCGGTTTCGACTTGTCGAACACGGCGTCGGGGCGGACGTACAGGACGTCGTCTCCGGACGGCTGGCACCTGATCGGGTACGCGACGGGACGGACGGCGGGTGAGCGCGCGTCGCGATCGATCGAACGATCGTGTTTTTTTCTCTGAAGGAACTCCGACACGACGATCTGATCCTGATCCGACCGATCGCGCGCGAGGACGAGACGACGACGACGACGACGACGACGACGACGACGACGCGCGGGGACGACGGCATCGGACGCACCAGGACGTGACGCACGCGCCGAAGAGGTACACCTCCGCGCTGCCGCCGTTCTTGTGCGTCAGGACGCACTTCGGGAGCCCGCCCTCGCCGGCGACGAACTCGACGCTTCCCGGGATGGCGAACGCCGCGTTCGCGTCGTCGACGATCCTGTCGTTCAGCGCGGACGCGCGGACGGTCGCGGAGACGCCGCGGCGAGCGGCGGTCGCCCTGCGCGCGTCGACGGCGACGCGACGTCCGGGCGCGACGCGCGGCCGCGCGCCGACGGACGCGAGCGCGGCGGATGACATGGACTCTGCGCGACGACGAGTGCGGCCGCGACGACCGCGAACTCGGGACGCTCGTCAGCGAGAGCGAGACACGCACGCGCACGAGAGGCCGACGTCATCGTCACGCGCGGGGACAGGACAGATAAGACCACGACACGGTCGACGCGTCGTCCGGCGCGGCACACACCCGCGCGCAGGGTCACGCGACGCCGGCGAGCGCACACGCCGCGTCACCGCATCACGCAGCGTCCTCCTTCGACGTCCGCGCGCGAGGCACGATGCTCGCGCGCGCGGTCGCGGCCGTCGCGCCCGTGAGCGCGGCGAGAGACGCGAACGCGAATGCCTCCCGAGGTGGCGTCGGAGGAAAAATCGCGTTCCGAGCGTCCGCGCGAGGCGAGGGTTCGCGCGATCTCCTCGCGCCGAGCCGCCGCCCGATCCGCGCGCGCTCTGTCCTCCCCGCTCCCGCGCGCGCGGGCGAGGCCCTGGACTGGGAGAACGACGACTTCGTCCCCGCGGGGAAAGCGAAGAAGAACAAGAAGAAGCCCGGGAAGACGACGAAGCAGCAGCGAGACGCCGCCGCGAACGCGCCGCCGCCGGTCATCGCGGAGATTCCGGACTGGCAGAACGAGGAGTTCGTCCCCGCGGGCAAGGCGAAGAAGAGCAAGAAGAAGCCGAAGAAGGGCGGCGACGCGAGCGACGACGCCGCGCCGACGCCGCCGCCGGTCATCGCGGAGATCCCGGACTGGCAGAACGAGGAATTCGTCCCCGCGGGCAAGGCGAAGAAGAACAAGAAGAAGGGCAAGAAGGGCAAGGGCGGCGACGACGACGACGAGTCCGAACCCGAATCCGCGCCCGCGCCCGCGACCGCGACCGCGGCGGCGCCTCCCGTGGAGCTCGCGGACTCCGAGGAGGACCTCGCCGCGGCGGCGGCGGGGAAGGCGCTAGCCGCCGCGACGGAGGCGGAGGAGCTCAAGCAAGCGGCGGCGCTGTTGCGCGAAGAGACCGAACGCAAGGACGCGGAGAAGGAAGCGGTCGCGGCCGCGAAGGCGGCCGAGGCGGCGGCGGCCGAGGCTGCTGCCGCCGCCGCCGCCGCCGCTACGGTCGTCGAGCCCGAGCCCGTCGTCGAAGAGGAGGAGGTGGAGGAGATGACGGAGGAGCAGCTCGAAAAAGCGACCAAGGCGGCGATTCGCGAAGAAGAACAGCGGCGCGAGCGCGAGGAGGAAGAGCGACTGGCGGCGATCGACTGGAACGCCCCCGAGGAGGAGACCGACGACGGGAACCCGATCCCGATGCACCTGAGGGACATCTTCGCGAAAGACGCGAAGCCGTCGAAGCGTCGAAGCAGCGGGACGGTGACCACGGGCGTGCGCCTGGAGGGCGTGAAGAAGGCGTTCAAGGGCATGGAGGTCCTGAAGGACATCTCGTGGGACTGCAAACGCGGCGAGAAGGTGGGCTTGGTGGGATGGAACGGCGCGGGGAAGACGACGCAGCTGCGAATCATCACCGGCGAGATGGAAGCAGACGAGGGCGAGGTCATGCTCTCGGACAAGGTGAAGATCGGATACCTCACGCAAGAGTTCGAGGTGAAAGAATCGAACACCGTCCGAGAGGAGTTCATGGCGTCGTTCGGGGAGGAGAGCGAGGTGATCCGGAACACGGAGCGGATACAGAAAGAGCTCGAGAACGAGCCGAGCATGGAGCTCATGACGATTCTCCTCGAGAAGCTCGACGAGCTCCAGAAGAAAGCGGAGCGGCTCGATCTGTTCAACATGGAACGCGCCATCGATAAGATCATGCCGTCGTTGGGGTTCGTCCCGGAGGACAACGACCGGCTCGTCGCGTCCTTCTCCGGGGGGTGGCAGATGCGAATCTCGCTCGGGAAGATTCTCCTTCAAGAGCCCGGGTTGCTGCTCATGGACGAGCCCACGAACCACCTCGACTTGGACGCGATCCAGTGGCTGGAAGGGTACCTCCAGAGCGTAGACGTCCCCATGGTGATCGTGTCGCACGACCGAGAGTTCCTCGACCAGCTCTGCACGAAGACCGTGGAGGTCGAGCGCGGGAAGGCGACGACGTACAAGGGAAACTACAGCGACTACCAGCGCGCGAAACGCAGCGGAAGCGCGACGCAGATGGTGATGTACGAGAAGTACATGAAGGAGGTGACGCGTCAACGCGAGATGATCCGACGGCTCTCCGGCGGCGGCCAATCCGGCCGCGCGAACGCCGCGGCGAAGGCGCTCGAGGGGCTCCTCGCGGACCCGGTGGAGAAGCCGTGGGTGGAGAAGCAGCGCCGGTTTCAGTTCCCTGACGCGCAGCGCTCGTCGAAGATCGTCGCGCGAGTGGAGAACCTCACGCACGGGTACGATGAGAAGACGCTGTTCAAGAACACGTCGCTGCAAATCGACCGCGGCGAACGCGTCGCGATGATCGGCGCCAACGGGTGCGGGAAGTCGACGATGATGCGGCTGATTCAAGGGAAAGAGCAGCCGATCGCGGGCGTCGCAACGCTCGGGTCCAAAGACCTGTGCCTCGTGAACTACTTCTACCAGAACCAGGCCGAGGGTCTGGACACGGAGAAGGGCGTGCTGCAGACGCTCGTGGAAGCCGCGCCGGACTCCGGGCTGAACGACCTCAAGGCGCTCCTGGGGCAGATGAAGTTCAGCACGTCGTTCCATAACAAGCCCGTGAAGTTCCTCTCCGGCGGGGAGAAAGCGCGGCTGGCGCTCGCGAAGTTCATGGTCACCCCCGCGAACGTCCTCCTCCTAGACGAGCCGACGAACCACCTGGACATCCCGTCGAAGGAGATGCTCGAGGAGGCCATCGGCTCGTTCGACGGCACCGTCATCGCCATCTCGCACGATCGGTACTTCTTGCGGCAGATCGCGACGAGGGTGCTGTCGTTCGACGAGGGCGTCGTGAGCGACTACGCGGGCGACTACGCGTACTTCCTCGAGAAGAACGAGAAGGCTGGCGCGAGGGACGCGAAGCTTCAGAAGGCGGCGAAGGAGGTCGAGAAGACGCAAGTCGTCTCCAAGTCGAAGATGTCCAAGGCGGAGAAGGCCAAGCTCAAGAAGGAGAAGGCGAAGGCGTTCGGTTCCGGCGAGGGTAAGGCGAAGAAGTCGAAAAACGCGGGGCGGTGGAACTGATAGGACGAGCGACGCGATGAAGAACGCGCGCGACGTGCGGTATGTAGTAGTTCTTTCGTGTTATGGTACACTCGACGCCCGCGGACGAGCTAAAAGAGAAATAAACCTCCGCTCCGCCTCCGACTCGTCTTCTACTTCTTGTGCGCGACGGGGTCCACCTCCTTCGCGAGCGCTTCGTCGACCGTCCACGGCTTCTTGAACCCCTGCGCCGCGCCAGGTTTCATGTACCTCTCCTCGAACTTTTTCGCCTGCAGCCTCACCTTCTCCATGAGCGCGTACCTGTGGTGGCGACGAGAGAGACGCGCGCGTCAGCGAGGGGCGCGATCGAAGAGACGACGTCGGGAGATGACGACGCCGCGCCGGAGGGTTTTTTAGGGCAGAAGCGCGAGGGCGTCGCGGGGCTCGGTCCGCGCGCGTCGCGTCGCGGTGACGACTCGATCGCGCGCGCGCGCTCGTTCGCGTCGGCGGACCGCGCGGACGGACGCCTCGCGCGGACGAACCCGAGGCGATCGACGCGGGCGAAGGCGCTCACCTCGAGTCGATGTCTTGCTCCTCCCCCCAGAAGTCGTCCCGCTGCGCCTTCTTCTTCAGCGACTCCTGATGCGAGCCGGGGATGATCATCGCGCGAGTGGACGTGCGCGTCGCCCACTGCGTGGCGACCGCGCGGAGGCTGCGCCGCGCGTGTTGCGCGACCGAGCTCATGGTTCGACGTGCGCTGCGGTGTGCGCCGACGACGCGCGCGCGATCTCGTAGGACGACTTCTCCTGCCTTCGTACACGGCACGATTCCGCGTACTACGGCACGCTGACTACTCTATGACTAAATGCCCACTGCGCCACTCGCGCACCACCCGGGTCGCTTTCCCACCGCTAATATAAATCACCCCGGAGCAACACCTTCGCGTGGCTCGAGACGAACTGCCCTCGATGCGGGACGCCGTGAGGGAACACGAGTACGCTCCCGCGGACCGGCCTCCCCCCGAACAACACCTCCGCGTCGTCGTTCGCCTCGGCGAGGAACTCCGTCTCCCCGCCCTCGCCCGGCGGGACGGACGCCATGAAGAGGAGGAACGAGTTCGTGCTGTCGACGTTCGTCTCGTCGTCCCTTCTGACGCCGTCGACGTGCGTCAAGATGTGCCCGCCGGGCGGGTACTCCAAGAACCTCAAGTCGGACAGCACGTGCTTGAACCCTAACTCGCGCGGGAGGTGTTCCAACACCCTCGACGCGAGCGCGGCGTCGCGAAGGAACCGTCGGTCGCAGTACATGTTCGAGGACGCGAGCGTCACGGGCGTGTCCTCTCGCGCGGCGTCGATCTCGGCCAAGAACGCCTCCGGGAAGAGACCGTGGAGGTACATCACGCCGTCGAGACCCGCGACGCCCGCGGGGACGGTGAGCTGGTCGCGCTCGCCGTCGTTGACGTCGCTCATCGTGCCGCGCGCCGCCGGAAGTGACCGGTTTTAACGCTTTTTCGCAGTGCAGCAAAACTCGGCGCCTCCCGCCGCGTGGTGATTCTCACATCGCCCCGCGCCGCTTCGTCGAACGCCAGACGGAGCGCCGCGATGCTTCACTACGGGAAGAGGCTCGGGGGCCTTCCCCTGCTCCTGCGCGCGTACGGCTCGCCGTTCCCGCGCGCGCTTCCGTTCGGGATCCTCAGCGTCGTCGTCACCGCGGTGTGCGTCGGCGTGGACGACATCCAAGATTCGCTCAGAACGTCGTTTCTTCACCCGTACCCGTTCCAGATTTACGCGTTCGTGATCGGGTTCCTCGTCGTCCTGCGCACGAACCACGCGCTGCATCGATACATGGAAGCGCGGACGAACGTCGAGCTCATGGGGTCGAAGTGGTGCGTCCCCGCGGTCGTCCCGCCGTCGTCGTCGTCCGACGCCCCGCGTTCAGATTTAAAATGCCTCCGCGATCGGATCGACTCACGACTCGTCCTCTCTCTCTCTCTCTCTATCTCTCTCTCTCTCTCTCTCTCTCTCTCTCTCTCAGGGCGGACGTCGTCGTGATGTGCGTCGCGTTCGACAGCTTCTCGACGGGCGACCGCGCGTCGCGGTGGCCGTGGAGGAAAGGGAGGCTCGTCAGGAACGACGGCAGCGAGGCGTTCATCGCGAGGCTCGTCCACCTCCTGTCGCTGCTGCACGCGGTGGCGCTGCAGCACCTGCGCGGGGACGAGGAGCTCGATAACCTCGTCGCGTCGAAGCCACGGATCGACGGCGGGCCGGACTTTCTCGAGAAGGCGAAGAAGACGCCGGCCGAGTCGCCGGGGCTCGCGGTCGCGTCGCCGAACGCGCCGCCGCCCGTCGGCGCGCGCTCGCCGAACGCCGAACGGAAGGACGGCGACGACGACGAGAAGGACGGGGGCGCGTCGTCGGACGAGGACAACACGCCGCCGGGCGAGCTCGTGGACGACCCTTTCGCGCACGCGGCGGAGCACAACGTGAACATCGACGACGAGGACGGAGAAAAGATGTTCAGGAGGTGGGCCTCGGAGAAGCGGCATCAGCACTATAAGAAGGGCGTGTACGACCGGTCATCCGCGTTTCTCGTGCACGCGGCGACGGCGGATCGCCGCACGGAGCGGTGGACGTTGCCGAATCTGTTCATGTTGTCCGAGGGGACGTCGGAGTGGATACGGTGCAACGAGTCGATGCCGATCACGGTCTTAGGGGGGGTCCCGGACAAGGAGAAGAAGTCGCTCGACCTTCTCGTGTGCAACCGCGCGTATCTCGTCTTGAACTGGATCCAAAGCCTTCTGATTCACCGGCTCGAGTCCACCCCGGGTCTGCGCGTGCCCGCGCCGATCATGTCGAGGGTGCACCAGGTTATGAGCGACGGGACGTTAGGGTTCAACCAGGCGGATAAGATGGCGAAGACGCCGTTCCCGTTGCCGTACGCGCAGATGCTCACGGCGTGTCTGTTGGTGTTCAACTTGTTCATGCCGATCGTCGTCGCCGCGCACACGAACTCGATGTGGCTCGCTGTGGTCATCGCGTTCATGTCCACGATGGCGTACCAAGGGTTGAACGAAGTCGCGCGCGAGCTCGAGGACCCGTTCAAGCCGACGCATCTGAACGATTTAGGGCTGCCGCTGTTGCAGGCGGACTTCAACTCGAAGCTGCGCGCGGCGAGCCCGCCCGTCGGGCTCTCGACGCCGTGGTTGGAGGAGTGATCGAACGTAAACGAACGAATTACGGACGGGGGGGGGCGCGCGTCTCCACCCCGCACGATTCCCGCGGCGCGCGGCGCGGTAGGGATGCACGAATGTAGAACATTATAATGAAAACGACGCACGAGGCGTGAGCTACTCGCACGGGACACCGGGTCACGTCCCCTTCGCCTTGTCCTTCCCCAACGCGAGGTACGACGGTTGGCGGTAGTACACGATCGCGAGCGCTAAGAGATTGAACCCGACGATGATCCCCGCTAAGATGGCGCAGTTCCCCCCCACGGTGACGTCGTCGAAGTTCAGACGCTCCAGGTGCTCGTTCCCGGTGATGCACGAGGTATCGCCGCTGGAGCACGAGAACGTCGCGTCTTTAAACTCGTTCACGCTCAGCGCCTGGAACGCGTACCGAATGAACGACACCTCTCTCAGCCAGATGAGGTAGATCGGGACGTTGTTCTCGTTCAAGAAAAACCCTGAGAACATGAGGAACAGAATGACGAACGCGGGCGCGAGCTGCGGGGCCATCTCCACGGACGTGAAGCTCGCGGATAGGACCATCCCGAGGCCGATGCCCGCGAAGTTTTCGAGCAACATGATGGCGAGGTACGTGAGGTAATACTCCGTGCCCTCTCGCAGCGCGGTCATGAAGTAAATAACCGTGCCGTACAGGATACCGGGGAAGAGCTCCAACGGCAGCGTCACGAGGAACGTGGAGAGGTAGTACGGCAGCGGCGTGTACATCCGCGCCGCGCGTTCGCGGTTCACGACTTTCAGCTGCGACGGGATGATTTTCGAAATCCCGATCGCGCTTCCGAACGCCTGGTTCATCGCCTGGAAGAACAAGATCCCTGTGCGGTCCTGGATCGACGTCTGGTCCGTCTTCATTCTCAGGTAAACGATACCGAACAGGAGGCAGAAGAACGTGTTCATGATGTACTTGATGCTCAGGCTCGCGACGTCGCGGACTTGCTCTCTCCACGTCCGCGCGAGGAGGAGCGTGAACGGGACCCAAAACGCGGCGACGAAGCCAACCTTCGCGGCGTCTTCGCCTTCTTTGCGCGTCGTCCCCGCGTCGTCGTCGTCCGCGCCCGCGGGCGCGAGCGCGGCGGGCGCCACGAGCGGGTGCAGCTTCACGTCGCACGCTTTCGCGATGCGTTCGATGCGCGCTTTCGTCGCGACGGTTTGCTCCGGGGAGCGATAATCGATCGAGATGACGTCCAGGAAGTGATCCGCGGGGTTGAAGTCCTTCGGGACCGGCTCCCCGAGCGCGGCGAAGTGCGCGCTGCACGCCTTGTGCCCGTCGCCCTGGTACATCGCCCTTCCTCCGCTGAGTAAGACGAGATGATCCACGAGCGCGAAGATCGACGACCGCGGCTGGTGCACGCTCGCGACGACGGTGCGTCCCTTCCTCACCGCGAGGTCTTTCAGTGTCGTCATCACGTTCAGAGCCTGGAACGCGTCGAGACCGCTCGTGGGCTCGTCCATGAAAATGAGCTTAGGGTCGTGCAGGAGGTCCATCCCTATCGCGACGCGCTTGCGTTCGCCGCCGGATATCCCTCGGATCATCTCGTTCCCGACCACCGTGTCCGCCGCGGCGACGAGGCCGAGGTCCGCGATGACGGTCGACACCGCGTCCTCGACCTCCTCCGCGGTCGCGTCCGATGGCAGCCGGAGCTTCGCGGCGAACGTGAGCGTCTCGCGGACGGTGGACAGCGCGAACAGCGCGTCTTCTTGCTCGACGTACGCGGAGATGCGCGACATCTTCGTCGGCGTCGCCACCTCCTCGCCGTTCGCGTAGATCGTCCCGCTCACGCTCGCGCCCGGGCCCTTCGGGACGCGGAACGCGAGCGCGTTCAGCAGCGACGTCTTCCCGCTTCCGGAAGGGCCCATGAGCGCGAGCAGCGAGCCGCCGAAGATGTCGCCGCTGAGGCCGTCGAGGATGACCTTCGCCTCGACCGGGGCGTCCTTCGACTTGGCCTTTTTGGTCACCGAGTACGACACGTCGCGCCACTGAAGCGCGACGCCGTCCTCGGGGACGATCGCGCGGACGTCCCCGTGCGACGCCATCTTCTTCGCGTTCGCGTTCTCGTTCGTCCTCAGCGCGACGGTCACCGTGGACGGCGGTTCCTTGCCGCTCGCGCCGCGGAACATGTCGCGCGAGATTGAGTGTGCGGCGCGCGGCTGTGGTTGTCCCGAACACTCGCTGGATCGCGATCGCGCCACGTCGGCCTAGGGTTCAGTCTAGGTTTAGGGTTCCACGTGCATCCCCGCGAAAGAAAGCACTTTTTCGCGCGCGTAGCCTTAAACGATATCGTGATGTAATTCAAAGACGCGCGATCGATCGCGCGAAGACAAACGAAGACAAAGACGTCGTCGCGCCGGCCGCGAGACACCCGCGCGCGCTCACTTCACTTCCCGTCGTTTTGGGTCTCGACGACGCCGGCTTGATTCCAATCCCTCGCGGTTTTGTACAGACGACCGACTTGCCGCGCGACGCCCGCGGCTCGTAACGCCCCTCGCGCGTACTGCACCCCGGACTTCGTCGCGCGCGCGGCGGCGACGACGACGGGTCCGCTGTACTCCTCCGTCTGCGCGTTCTCCTCTAACGACCGCTCCACGTTCACCTCCGCGGCTCGCCTCGCCTTTTGCACGAGCGGCGTCGCGCGTTTTCGAACCTCGGGGACGACGACCCGCACCGTCTCCGCGGCGTACTTCCCGAGCGTCCCCGCGGTGTCCACGCCCATCGTGAGCACGCGCCCGGTGCCCTTCACCCCGGAGTTCACCTCGGACGTGAGCTCCCCGACTTCCTCGAGGCAGTCCGTGAGCTCGAGACCGCTGAGTCGAACCGCCGCGAGCGTGTCCGGGACTTCTTCGCGAATCGTCGCCGCGAGGTCCGCGATCTCGTTCGCCGCGCCCTTCAGCGCACGCAGCGTCGGTATGAACGCGAGCAGGAACGCGGAGAGCGCGCTGCCGAGCACGCACGCGACGACGCCCGCGGCGAAGGTGAGCGCCGCGGGGGCGACGAACACGCCGCCGTCGAGCGCGGTGGCCGCCGCCGCGGCGTGCGCCCCCCTCGGCATCTGCATCTGCGCCGACGCCGACGGCGACGCCGCGACGACCGCGATCGTGTTCGGCCGCGGCGGCGGCCTCGGCAGCGGCGGGATGCCTTTCACATCGATGAACGACGTCGTCGACGGCGCGTTCGCGGAGGTCACCGCGTCTTCCGCCGCGCGCTCGCGGGTCCTCGCCAGCTCCTCCTCGACGTCGGATTGAAACGGCGGGAGCGCGCGGTCGCCCGCGGATGACGACGACGACGACGTCGCCGTCCCTCGCGGCGTCGGCGCGGAGACGCCGCGCGCGGACGACTTCGCCGCGAGCTGCGCGAGGACTTCGTTCAGAGTCAAGTTAGGGAGCGGCGTCGAAGAAGACGCGGACGCGGACGCGGACGACGCGACGCGCACGGCGCGACGTCGAACCGTCGTCGACTCCGGGGACGCGATCGCGCGCGGCGGGATCCATCCCCCCGCGAGGGACGAGACCGCCGCCTTCGGGGCGACCCTCGCGCCGCGTTTCGCGCAAGACTTCGTCGACGCCGTCGCCGCGGCGAACCCCGCGGCGGCGACGAGCGCGTCGAAGCACGTCGCGTTCATCTCGTGCCGGAGAATCGCCCGCGAAAGCGCGTGATGTTAGCAATTCGCGCTTTTTTCCCGAGGGGAGATGTGCTCGCGCGTCGCGGGTTGGTTTGGCCGAACGCGCGGTTCGAACGCGCGCGGTGCGGTCGCGCGCGCGTGCCTCGAACCGTCCGCGGTCGCGCGTCGCGTGTGTGCGCGCGCGTCCGTCGTTTCGGCTGGCAATTAGGGAGCGGGAAGAGGGCAGTCTGGCGGGGATTTTTCGGCTTCGACACCAGCGTACCAAACCGGGAATCGAGTAGCCGCTAGCCGAGCGCTCGACCAAATTGGATCGATTGCCGCCGCGACGCGCACAACGACGGTCGCCTTGAGAAGGGACCGCGGGTCGGAACGGGACGCGCGACCCGTCGCGCCCCGCGCGGGAAGTCCGCGATGATGTCCACGACCCTGACCGGGGTCGCGCCGCCGCCGGTGACCGCGGTGGAGTCCGCGAAGATCCCGACCGTGGACTACGCCAGGCTGCTCGAGCTGCTCCACGGCGAGTACAGCGCGACGCTCCTGGACCGGCACGCCGCGGCGATCGCGCGCGTGTGCCGCGTGCACGGGAACGGTTTCCCGCTTCGCGACCTCCAAGACGTGATGAAGCTCGTGGAGTACGCGTACGCGAAGACGCGCGAGGGGTACCCCGACGTCTTCGAGTCGTGCCTCTGCGACGCGATGCGAACGATGGCGAAACCCTTCGTCAAGCACACGTGCACGGACGAGGTCAGGTCGTACCGCACGATCGAGGCGACGCTGGAGATGATCGCGCGGTTGCTCAACCTCGAGAACGCGCCGGTGTCCGCGCGGATACTCGCCGCGGAGGCGCTCAGAGCGTTCGCGAGCGCGCACGGGACGCGGCCGGACAAGATCGACGTGGACGCGGAGATGTTCGACGCGAAGGGCCGCGCGAACGCCGCCGCGTCCCTGGGCGCGTCCCTGGGCGGGCTCGGCAGCGCGCCCAAGGTGTCTCCGCATCACCAGTTCTTCACGAACCAGCGGCTCGTGCGCGGCTCCGAGGCGTGCGTGCCCCAGCTCGTCTCCGGTTTGGGCCGAGCGACGAGCGAACGCGCGCCCGACGCGGAGCTTCAGCTCGCGATCGCCAAGGCGCTGCTCGAGGCGTCGCACTACGACAAGAACGCGCAGTCGATGGCGGCGCACGGTCTGTTCGCGAACATCGTGCCGCTCGTGAAGAACATAACCGACATGAATTCGCCGTTCGCGCCGGTCGTGTCCGAGTTGATGTGGAACGCGTTGGAGGCGTCCCCGGGCGCGAAGGTGCTCCCGTACGGAGGGTGGCGGCCGTTTTGCGTCCACCTGTCCGACTTCATCGCGCTCGCGGTGAGACAGTCGCACGGGTGCGCGCACAAGGAGATACGGAACGAACTGCTGATCATCGCGCGGGTGATGGCGGAGGAGCCTGACACGCGAGCGGGGCTGCGCGCGTGCGGGCTCGCCGCGGTGGCGTTGGAGATGGCGGTTCACCCCGAGAACGGCCAGCGCGCGAACGAGCTCGTGCTTCCCGTTTTCGCACAGACCACGAGCGCGGAGGACTTCCAGATGAAGCGGTTCGCGTGGACGCTCACGACGACGCTCGCGGAGGACACGCAAGGGATCGCGGTCGCGAAGAGCGGGTTCATCGAGTGTTTACTCACGTTTCTGCGTCCGCTCACGGGGGAGTACGTCCCGCCGCCGCTGACGCTGCCGTCTTCAAACTCGGACACGGGGGTGAATCGGTGGGGTCCGGAGCGTCTCCGCGACTTACAGGAGCTCGCGCTCAGGCTGCTCGCGCGATTGGCGCCTCTGTGCCCGAACGAGATGATCGCCGGCGGCGCGTGCGACGCGGTCGTGCAGATCGCGCGCGTGGACTCGCCGGCGGATGATTTCCTTCGCGCCGCAGCGCTCGATCTCGGCGCGAAGCTCGCGACGTTGGACGGATTCAAGGACGTCCTCGGCGAGTTCGGCGCGGTCGAAGCCGCGCTGAGCGCGTTCGAGGGCGTCGACCGTTTAGGACGCGCGAGTTCGAACGCGTACGCGTCGTCGTACGACGGCGGCTCGCGCGGGGAGTCGAGGTACTACGGCGCAGAGGAAACCGCGGGGGGCGCCGGGACGTTGTACGGCGGCGCCGAAACCGCGCCGCTGCGTCCGTCCGTGAGCGAGGACCCGGTGAAACTCGGCGCCGCGGGGCTCCTTTCCGTGCTGTGCCACGAGCACGCCGTCAACGCGCGGTATCTGCGCAAGGCGGACGGGATCAACATCCTCAAGGCTGCCGTGGACGCGATGGCGAACACGGACAAGGCGGTGCCGATCAACTTTGGCGCCGCAGCGCTCACGGCGGTGTGGAAGTGCGTCGTCCCGGATGCGAAAAACTGCGCGCACTTCATCGCGGGCGGCGGGATGGAGTCTCTGTTGAACCTTCTGTCGAGGTGCAACGCGAACTTACGGCCGGTCACGCTGTCGCTGCTCGCGGACGTCCTCGAGAACCCGAAGACGCACCTCTTCTTCCACGAGTGGCGCTCGACGGGCGGGTCGCGGAGTTTAGTCCCCGCGGGCGCGTCCGCGACGACGCTCGTGTTGAACGTGTGGCGCTCCGCGGAGGCGGCGTTGGGCGTGACGAACGGCGACGGCGTCATCGCGAACCGCGCGAACCCGCTCGCGGGGGATTCGAGCAAGTCGAGGCCGTTCGACGAGGCGGAAGCGATCAGCGGCGCGACGTACACGGTGCTCACGCGCGGGCGTCTGGAGAACGAGGTCAAGGCGGCGGCGGCGGCGAAGCGCGACGGCGCGGACGGTCTCATGTCGAGGGTGTTCGCCGTGTGCTCGCTGCTCGGTTTCGGTAACTTGAGGGAGTACTGCGGCAGAGTCGACGAGCTCACGCTGTTCACCGTGGAGCGGTACGTGGACTTCAAGGAGGGCGAGGTGTGGGAGCGGACGAAGGAGATCTTCGAAAACGAGGGGTTGGTCCCGACGGGACCGGACCGGCAGGTCATGGACGAGGCGATCGTCACGGCGAGGATGACCGCCGCGGAGCTCGCGGACGCGCAGCGGTCGATCGTCAACGGCGACACGCGCAAGGCGACCGCGGAGGAGGTGGCGTATTACGAGGAGAAATCGACGCAAGCCGCCGCGGACGAAGCCGCGCGGTGGTACAAGCCCGATCGAAGCAAGCTCACGACGAAGGAACGGTACCGCTCGCAGCTCCTGAAGGACACGATGCTGTCGAACTCGTTCAAGGCGCCTACGAGGCAGTCATCTTTATTGCTACCCGGTGTTTAGTAAGATGTATTCCTACCTAGGTTTTCTACGCGGGACGCCGCGCCCAACCCTCTCATCCCTCCATCGCCTCCATGGCCGCGCCCAACGCCGCCGCCGCCGCCGCCTGCTCGTCCGTCAGCCGTCGATGCACGAGCGCCTCGACGCTGCCCCAGCTGAATTTCAACTCCACCTCCTCCACGAGCTCGAACGCGTCGCTCGCGAGCGGACACAACACGGTGATGAACACCGCCCCCGGTCGTAAACCCTCCGCGTGGCGCGACAGCGTCGTCATCGTGTCGTCGTCCCACGTCACGCAATTACAGAAGACGAGGTCCGCGCGGCGCCACCGCTCGAGATGCTCGCGCGCGAAAAAGTCCCCGCGCTCGACGTCGACGCTGACCAGCGCGTTCCCCGCCGGCCTCGAGCCCGGGAGGACGTCCCTGACGAAGTCCTCCACGAGGACGGACGCGATCGCCGCGGTGCACGGCAAGATCTCGACGCCTCGGACGTGACGGAAGTGCGCGCACAAGCCCGCGGCGCAGACGGCTTTTCCGGTGCCGCTTCCGAGGTCGTAGAAGACGCGCCCGCCGTCGTCGCCGCCGCCGCCGCCGAGCGCGTTCACGCCGCCGTACTTGTTCAGCAGCTCCGTGAACTCCACGGTGTCGATCTCGCCGTACACGAGGACGTCGGCGTCCTCCTCCGGCGTCCCCTCGAGCTCCTCGAGGACGATGAGCTTCGCGACGTCGGGGCGGCACTGCTCGAAGAGGTGAAGCAGACGCTCGATCGGCGTGGGCTGACGACACCCCGCGTTCGCCCACGCGACAAGGTCGAAGCGCTTCGCGACGCCGTTCTCGAGCAAGCTCCGGAGGATCTCCGCCTCGCTGCGCTTCTTCGGCGGCGGCGCCGTCGCCGTCTCCATCCCGCGGCGCGAGGATGGAGAGTGTCGTCGCGAGGAGCGCCGAACGTTTTCCCGAAAGCTCACGATCACGCGAGCGACGAGTCTGGTCGAGTCCTGTCAGGGGAACCCTAGATTCGTCACAGTCCGCGGCGCATCACGACCGCCCGTCGCACGTCCGAGAGCACGATGTACGGCGGGTACGGGTACCCCCAGCAGCCCGCGGGGTACGCGCAGCCCGCGGGGTACGCCCCCGGCGCGTACGCCGCCGCCGCGGCGATGAGGCAGCCCTCGGCGATGACCGGGGACGATCTCGAGCGAATCACGCGAACCATTCACGTCTCGGGGATCCGCGGACTGAAAGGGCAGCCCGGGATCGCGCCCGGGGAGGAGATAAGCGAGGAAGACCTCGCGGCGTTCTTCGGGAACGACGGCGAGGTGTTCGGCGTCAGGATCAACGGCCAGAACTGCTGGATCGAGTTCGCGGACGTCGCGGGGGCGATGTCCGCGCTGAGAAAAGACAACACGGAGAGCGGCGGGCACCACCTCCGAATTTCGCAGAGCAAGACGCCGATACGCTCGAACGGGTACGCGAAGGGCCGCGCCGCGCAGACCATCGCCGCGGCGGCGGCAGCCGTCGGCGGCGCGGTGAAGTCCACAGTCCATGCGCCGTCGGCGACGATGTCGTTTTCGAAGGGCGTGGCTCAACAGCAGGGCGTGGGCGGCAGGGGAATGTACGCGCCCCAGATCAGCTTCCCGGCGGGGCAGCTCTCCCCGGAGGAGATCATCGCGTCGATCAACCAGAACATCGCGTTCGCGGTCGAGTTCGAGAAGAAGCAGGCGGCCGCGAACGCCGCGGCGGCGGCCGCGGGGGCGGAGACGAGGGAGGTGCCGCCGCCGCCGCCGGGGGGCGCGGGCGCGGCGGTGGTGAGAGTGTCGGGACTCCCCGCGGGGTCGGCCGCGAACGCGTTCCTGGAGCTCTTCGAGGGCGTCCCCGGCGTGGGGACGATCGATCCGGACAACGTGCTCGTGCCGCTCGACGCGAACGGCGTCGGGTTCGGGCGGGCGTACGTCGAGTTTAGCGGCGCGGAGGCGGCGGCGGCGGCGTTGCGAACGTCGCGCCCGGGCGTCGAGCTCGCCGCGTCGTCGAGAGCGGAGGCGACCGCGGCGTTCACGTAGGGCGCACGTCCGCGTAGCGGTGACGCGTAGTTAACATCGATATGATAGCGCGCTGTATGAGATGCATCGCGCGGCGGGCGGGGTGCGGCGGTGATGAACGCGTCGACGGTTCCACTCGCGCGAGCTCTTCTCGCTTCTCGTTTTCTGTTCCCGTCGTGTCTCTCGGTCCTGTACGTGTCCCGTCGTCTCTTCCGACGAAGCGCGCTTCAGCTGTCGCGTCCGTCGTGGCTTCTTCGCGCCGCGCTCTCACTCGCGGACGCGCGATGCCCAAGTCGGACCGCGCGACCGTCGCCATCGGAGCCGCCGCCGGAGCCATCGCCGCGGGCGCCGCCGCGTACCTGTGCAACCCGTCCGCGTTCGCGTCCTTCTTCCCGTTCGCGCGCGAGCCCGCCGCCCCCGCCGAGAAGAAGCGCGAGGAAGACCGCGCGCGGGAGGCCAACGCGGAAGAGAAAGAGAAAGACGCCGCCGCCGCTCCCGTGGAGCCGCGCGACGACGCGAAGCAGGAAGTCGTCCCCGCTCCCGTGGGACCGCCCGCCATGGTCGATTCGCCCGAGCGCGACCGCCCCGCCGCCGGCGCGACCCCCGGGGTCGCTCCCTCGCGACGCGCGAAGAAGCCCGAGCCCGCCGAGGCGACGTCGCCGAACACGCCGCTGCAGAGCGACCTCGGCGCGATCCGAGACCTCCTCGCGAAGACGCACCTCAGCGAGTTCCTCGCGCAGATGCACGTCGGCAGGCCGGAGTGCGCGCCTCCCGCGCGCGACGTCCTGACGCTCACGCCTTCGGTCACCGTGGACGTCGCGCTTCGCGAGCTCGCGGAGCGCTCCGTCGTCTCCGCGCCGCTCCTTCGCGACGACGGGAAAGACTACCTCGGGTTCGTGAGCGTGCACGACATCGTCCACGCGCTCGTGGCGCACATCTTCCCCCCCGGGCCGATGGGGTACTGCGCGAGCGTGGAAGCCCCGGAGTGGTTCCTCATCGACGACACGCAAGACGCGGCGCGGCGCACGCTGAAGATGATCCACGATAAGGCCCCCGGGTTTTGCGCGCGCGAGCTCGGGTCGATCCGCCGCGGACCGGAAGGCGGCGACGGCGCGTGGATTCTCGCGTCCGGCTCGTCGCGAGGGCTGCGCACGGACGACGGCGACGATCCGAGCATGCTACACGTGATCCAGCACCAGTTCATTCCGAGATCGCCTTCGGTGTCGCCGCTGCATCACCGAGTGGCGGTGTATCGATACGTCGACGACGGCCCCGAGAGCGGCGGGAAGGTGGAAGTCACGGACATCATCTCTTTGTCCGACATCACGCGTTTCTTGATGCGATGGGACCACATCGAGCACTGTATCACGCCGTGTAGCGCCGCGGATCTCGGCTTGGGCGCGGTGCGCGTGGACGTCGTGTCCTCCGACAGCAGTCTGCTGCGATGCTTCGCTCTGATGTCGCGATTCGGCGTCAGCGGTCTCGGCGTGACGGAAGCGAGAGACGCGTCCGGCGCGAGAGCGCGAGACTCCTGGCCGCCGAAGCCCACGATGCTGCCGGTCGGGTGTAAGATCATCGGCAACATCTCCGAGAGCGACCTGAGGCGGATAACCCCGGAGCACCTGGAAGTGCTCGCGATGCCCGTGGGCGCGTTCATCGAGAAACTCAATGCGAAACTCGCCGCGGGGGGCGAGCGCGAGCTGCGCGACGAGCCTCTCGCGAGCGCGCGCGCGCACCCGCTCTTCTCCGGGATGCTCACGCGCGGGGAACTCTCGGACGGCAAGTTGTGCGTCACCGCGAGACACGACGCGAGCCTGCTCGACGTCATGCGCGCGATGGCGAGGAACCGCGTGCATCGCGTGTACCTGTGCGACGAGGACACCGGCGTCGCGAAGAGGGTCGTGACGCACTCGGACCTCGTGCGGTTCTTCGCGATGTTCGCGCCCGCGGAGGACGAGTGAAGCGGACGCGACGGGCGAACGAACGGAACGAACGAGAGAGATGACGAAGACACATTTCGCGCGCGCGCGCCTTTGGCACCGATGAAATACGACGCGGATCGCTTTGACAGTGAGCTAGTGATGCGTCGGCTACGAGACGATTGGGTTCGCTCACTTTTTCGACGCGTCCTCCCCGTCCAAGGAGTCCGCGACCCACGACGCGACCTCGTCGGGCCCGGCTTCACTCAGCTCGGACAACTTCGCCGCGTTGTACGTCTCCACGGCTCTGTCCATGACGACGTCTTCCCCGACGTCGACGCCCTGCTGCTCGCGAATGCTGTTCAGCACCTTTGTGAATTCGCCCTCGCCCATCTTCTCCTCCGGCGGTTCCCTCTCGTCGTCGTCGTCGTCCTCGGACATCATGTTCGACGCGTCGATGCCTTCCTCTTCTAAAATCTGCGTGAACAGATCCGTCGCGTACGTCGTCACGCCGATAGATATCAGCACCAGCGCCCCCGTCTCGAACACGAGCGCGGTCTGCGCCTGGTCCTTCAGCGAGTCCGCCTCGAACGCGGCTTGAAAGAGCAACGACCCGAGGTACGCGTCGATGAAAGCCGTCTTCGAGCTCCCGATGAAGTGCGCGGCGAAAAACTCCGGGAACCGCAGCGGCGTCATCCCGCACACGTACCAGTTCCCGCTCAGTGGGATCGGGAGTATAGGGCACAGACGCAGCAGAAGCGCGGACTTAAACCCTTCCGTGAAGGGAAACTCGCTCTCGGGGAACTCGCGAGAGTCGAACCTCCGCGACAGCGCGTTGAACCACTTGCTCTCCCCCACCGCGGGGTTGTCTTTCCACTTCAGCGCGAGCGCTTTCTCTTTGAAGACCGTCCGTCCGAGCCAGAAGTTCAAGCTCGCGGCCATCGTGCTCGCGAGCGACGTCATCATCGTCCCTCCGAACACGCCGCCGAACACAACCGGGGACACGACGGGCAAGATGAACCCGATGGGCAGAAACTCGTCCGTCATCGTGAGCTTCTCCGCGGCGAACAGGCCGACGTACACCGCGAACACGACCGCGGTGTTCAGTCCTTGGAGTTGGTCTAAGTACCCCTTCAGCTCGTCCCTCGGCGGGAGCCCGAAAAACTCCGTGAGATCGTCGAATCCGCCGACGGCTTGCAACGCCGCGACGCGCGGCAGCGCCAGGCGAATCAACACGCCGGCGATGGCGACGTTCACCGCGGAGGACAGCAGCGGCGCGGCCTCCTTGACCGCGTCGCTGTTCGCGAGATTGTCCCACTTCGCGTTCCAGTATTTCCCAATCTTACCCGCGACCTCCGCGGCCGCGGCCTCTTGTCTCTCCCACTGCGCGTCCGTCCACCGCTCCCCGGGGCCCGGTCGCGCTTTCGAAGCCTCGATCGTCGCCACGAGATCGACAGCCTCGGGGAGGGGGTCGTCCCTCGGGGAGACGTACTTCAGCTCCCCCCACAAGTTCGCGATGAGCTCCGACGTCGGCTTTCTCGGCGGCTTCTCTTTCTTCTTCGTCGCGACGCGCGCGTCCGCGTCCGCGTCCGTGGTCGACGACGGCGACGCTCGCGTCGACGTCATGCGCGTCGACGGTCGTGCCGACATCGATCTCTCCGACGCCTTCCGCCTTCGCACGCCGCGCGGCTTCGACGCGGACGCGCGCGGGGCGCACATCCTCGTCGTCGCCATCGTCGCGTGGACGCCCATCGCGCCGGTGGCGTGTTTCGCTTCGAACGCGCGCGTTCCGTGCGCGCGCGCCGCCGCCAATGCCCTCCTATCCAAAAACCCGAGAGCTCGTCGTGGTCGTTTTCATCGAGCCGCTCGTCGCGTGCGCGAACACTTCGATTTCGCGCCCTCTCGTTCCCGAAAGGGCGCGAGCGAGCGCGTCTCACGATGACCGCGATCGGGGAGAAGCAGGCGGAGATATACACGTACGAAGCGCCGTGGCTGATATACGCCGCGAACTGGAGCGTGAGGCGAGACAAGCGCTTCAGGCTCGCGGTCGGGTCGTTCGTGGAGGAGTACGGGAATCGCGTCGAGATCATCACCTTAGACGAAGAGAGAGGCGCGTTCCCGTCCACGCCGACGCACTCGTTCGCGCACCCGTACCCGTGCACGAAGCTCGCGTTCATCCCCGACGTAGAATGCGGCAAAGAGGATCTCGTCGCGACGAGCGGTGACTACCTCCGGGTGTGGAACATCACGGACGACGGCGTCGCGATGCGATGCCTCCTGAACAACAGCAAAAAGTCCGAGTTTTGCGCGCCGCTGACGTCGTTCGACTGGAACGAGCAAAAGCTCCAGAGGATCGGGACGTCTTCGCTGGACACGACGTGCACGATATGGGATCTCGAGCGAGAGGCTGTGGACTCGCAGCTCATCGCGCACGACAAGGAGGTGTACGACATCGCGTGGGGGGGACCGGAGGTGTTCGCGAGCGTCTCCGCGGACGGCAGCGTTCGAGTGTTCGACTTGAGGGATAAAGACCACAGCACGATCATATACCAGACCCCGGAGCCGGACACGCCGCTGCTCAGACTCGCGTGGAACAAGCAGAACCCGCGGTACATGGCGACGATGAAGATGGACAACAGCAAGGTGGTCGTCCTGGACGTTCGGTACCCCACGGTGCCCGTCGCGGAGCTGTCCAGGCACAAGGCGGCGGTGAACGTCATCACGTGGGCGCCGCACTCGTCGTCGCACATATGCTCCGCGGGGGACGACGCGCAGGCGCTGATATGGGACCTGAGCACGATGGCGACGCCGAACGACGGCGGGTTGGATCCGATTCTCGCGTACGGCGCGGGCGCGGAGATATCCCAGCTGCGGTGGAGTTCGACGCAGCCGGACTGGATAGCGGTCGCGTTTAGCAAGAGCCTGCAGATCTTGAGGGTGTGACGCGGTCGTTAGGAGATCGTTAGCGGGGTGGGTTGTACGAACGAAAGCGCGGGTTAGAATCGAATCGAATCGTTCGTTCATTCCGCGACGCGCTCGCGTCGGAAACGATAAACGTGACAAGTGGACAAAATCCTGTGGGAGCGGGTGAAGATCTCATCACAAACACGCGCGCGCGGCCTCGTCGAGCGCGCCGCGACGATGGGCGAGGAATCCCCCCCCGCGGCGGCGGACTCCCCCCCGCGCGAGAAGGAGGACAGCGCGTCGTTCAAACGCGCGTGGGCGGGCGCTCGCGACGCCGCGACGTCGTGTCGATGCGCGCACCTGTGCCTCGCGTCGCACGCGAACGTGAGCCGAGCGCTCGTGGACGCGATCGCGAAGGCCGCGGTGTTCCAGACCGCGGGGAAACCGTTCGGGGACGCGAACGATCTCGTCGCGAAGCTCGCGACCGATCTCGTCGCGAAGCTCATGAAGTTCGCGGACGACGCGGAGAACGGGAAGAGCGGCCTCGCGCCGAACCTCGCGGATCTGGCCGCGTGGATCAATGAGTGGGTGACGGGAAAGCGCAGCTTCTTCGGCGAGTTCGGCGCGATGTGGTCCAAGGAGAAGCAAACCGAGGCGGTCGAGCGCGTCCGACAGGACGTCGCCAGAGGCGAGTGCTGGCCCGCGGCGGACCGCGAGCGCGTGTCGCGCGAGCTCCTCCTTCGATACGACCGCGGGAAAGTCGCGCACTGCGAAGAGGCGTTCGCCACCGAAGACGAGCTCTTCGAGCACAAGAAGAAGTGCGCGTTTCGTCCGACGCAGTGCCCGAACGAGGGATGCATGGAGGTCCACGGCGCGAACGTCGCGGCTGCGCACGACGCGCAGTGCCCGCACAAGATCGTGAAGTGTCCGAACGCGTGCGACTCGACGAACGTGACGCGTCGCGCGCTAAAGATGCACGTGGATCTCGAGTGCCCGCGGCGGCCGGTGACGTGCCCGTTCGCGCCGTTCGGATGCGCCTCGCACGTGTACGCGGGGACGTTGCGGGCGCACATGAAGGAACACGCGCACGACCACGTCGCGGATCTCGCGAAGAGGGTGGGGCGGATGTCGGACGCCGCAGAGAAGACGGAGGCGAAGGTGGCGGAGATGGCCGTCGCGCTCGCGGACGTTGGGCCCAACTTGGGGAAGGTTGGGAACCTCTCCAAGGAGCTGTTCGACACGACCGCGAAGGCGACGATCGTGGAGAAAGGGTTGCTGGACCTGGAGAAGCTCGTCGTGTCCATGGGGAAGGCGCTCGCGAACCTCGAGGTGCAGGTGAAGCAGCAGCGGAAAGATATCGGGATAGTGATGACGGCGGTGGATCGCGTCGCGAAGGAGACCGCGGGGAACAGCGCGGCGATCGCGAAGTTAGCGAGTCCGGACGCGGCGGCGGGCTCGAACGGGAAGAAGTGAGGCGCAGCGAGCGACATGCCGACGACCGGGAGAGCGAGTAGCGGAGCCGTGAACTGAGAACAAGCTAACGAAAACAGCACTGGCGCGCCGAGGAACTGAATGACGAAACCCGAGTACTGATGAAGAAGTGCCCACCGCTTCCCCACGACGTGTCACTCCGCGGCGCGCGGCGTCGACGTCGACGACCACGACGCGCGGTCGCTCCGTTGCGGCGTTCCCCTCCCTCGCGCCCGCGCGTCGCGACGACGCGCATGCGGTCGCTGACGACGCCGTCGTCGCTTCGGTTTATCGCGACCGCGACGACGAACGCGATCGAGTCCCGCGCGCGATGGCGCTGGCACCACGTCCCTCGGCGTCGCGGTCCCGAGCCGCGCGCCGTCGCCGCGCGCGGGACGCACCGCACGGCTGCGTCCCTCGCCGCCGCGGACGCGGCCGCGAACGAGCGAGAGAGCCCGGGGAAGGTCAAGAAGGAGATGGACGCGTGCTTCGACGTCGTCGAGCGCATGGGAAGAGGCGCGGTGTACCTGGGCTCCGCGCGCGTGCCCGAGGACCACCCGCACTTCGCGATGGCGAGAGACCTCGCGAGGGACGTCGCGACGGCGTACGACTGCACGACCTGGAGCGGGCTCGGCGCGGGGATGATGGAAGCGGTGACGAGAGGCGGGATGGAGGCGGGGAAGCCCGTCGCGGGGTTCATGATCTTATTAGAAGCCGGGGGGCAAAGGCAAGCGTCGAGGACGCATCCGTACCTTCCCCCGGAGGTGTACCACACCGCGAGTTTCTTCTCCGCGAGGAAACACGGCCTCGTGGACGCGGGAATCAGGGCGAATAAGACGGACCGGACCGCGTTCTTCGCGCTGCCAGGCGGCGTCGGGACGCTCGATGAAATTTTCGAGGTTCTCGCGCTCCTTCAACTGAGACGCATCGGGAGCGCGCACAAGGTGCCGTTCGTCGTCATGAACTACGACGGGTGCTTCGACGGGTTGATAAAGTTCCTCGAAGACGACATGGTTCGGTACGGCAGCCTGAGAGACAAAGAGCTCGAGCCGCACTGGGTCGTGTGCGACGACAACGCGGCGGCGATGAAGTACCTCGAGACCTTTTACGCCGACGAGAACTGACGACGCGTCCAGTCGTCGATCGCAGCACAGTGCGCGTGCGCGTGTACCGTGCGTGTAATGCGGTACCTAAAGCTATCATATCTACGTACGACGCGCGTCCGTCGGAGGCGCGTCACTCGCCGACTTTCGCGAAAATCGGTCGCCCCGAGTCGAACAACGTCGACCAAAAAGCGTTCCCCGCGACCCGCCACCCGGCGCCGAGGTCGCGTCTCGTCGCCGGGCACAGACCCCAGTCCCCGCGCGCGACCTCGTTCATGAGCTGCGAACGGCTCCATCGCGCGTGGCCGTTGAACACGTGCACTTTCGGCACGACGATCTCGTCGTCGTCGTCGTCGCCGCCGCCGCCGCCGTCGCCCGCGGCGTCGTCGTCGTCGTCGTCCCCCGCGGCGTTGAGCGCGTCCCCGACCGCCTCCGCGAGAACCTCCTCGACGTACTCCGCGGCGTCCGAGCCGCGCTGGTGGTACACGTACGCGCGCTCCGCGCTCGCGCCCGCGCCCTCGACGTCCGCGTCTAACGGCAGCGCGATCGTCGGCGCGGACAGCGTGCTCTCCGCGGCGGAGGACACGAGCAGCACGACGCGCTTATCCCTTCGCACGGGGCCGCCGACGTACCTCCGGACGTGCGGCATCATCTCCAGCGACAAGTCCCCGAACGTCTCGTCGTCGTCCTCGAGCTCGAGCAGCGCGGCGGCGTCGTTGCTCATGGACGCGTGGACTTCTTCGGTCTCGCTCAGCGCGGCGGCGAGCGCGGGGTCCGCGATCTCGCCGTCTCGGCCATCGCTCGCGGAGGACGTCGTCGCGTCTTCGTCGTCGTCGGCGGCGGCGGCGTCCGCGAGCCGCCGCCGCGGTCGACCTCGCGCTTCGTCGTCGTCGTTTTCCTCCTCCTCCTCCTCCTCCTTCTCCTCCTCGTTTACCTCGATCTCCCCATCGTCGTCGTCCTCCTCCTCATCATCATCGTCCGACGTGCTCAGCCCTTCCGCCTCGAGGGGCTTCTCCTCGTCGTCGTCGTCGTCTCCGCGCGAATTCCTGGTCGCCTTCTCGAGACGCGCGGTGAGGTTCACGCCGACGAGGACGTCGGTCCCGCCCACGCCTCGTCCCGGGACAACCTTCGTGATCAGATACACCGCCTTGTTCCAGTGCGCGCGCTTTCGGTTGAACACCCACCGCAGCCACTGGGGCGCGTTCGCGAGCGATGATTCGTCAAACTGCGAAACGTTTCGAACGAGGAGCGTGCCGGGGACGAGCAGCGCCGCGAGCGACGCGCCGCCTTCGCCGCGCACGTGCGTTAAGAGCTCGGACATCGACGGCGGGGCCGTCGCGTACGTCGCCTTGCACACCGAGCACGAGAGCGATTTCGCGCGCTCTTCCGTCCCTCCCCCGCTCGACGCGGTCGTCAGGATCCGCCACGTTTGCCACTTCAGCAAACATCGCGCGTGCACGTGCGCGCTCGTTCCCGTGCATCGACACGGCGTCACGAGAGGCTCGTCGTCCGAGCCCCCATCGAAGCAGAAGCGGCACGACGGGATGCTCCCTTCCGATACGCGCGGCGTCCGCGTCGTCGCCATCCCGCCGCGGCCACCGCCGTCGCTTGAGGATAACTTATGTCGGACATCGCGACGTCACAGGCGCCTTATCAACATTATTCTTTTGCGACGCCTCGCGCGGCGGAGTCGCTTCGAGCGTTTAACTCGTCGATAAACCGTCAAACACGCCAACCGCACCGCACGAAGGAGTGGTGACACACTTTTGATAAAAAGCGCGCGACCAGAAAAAAGGAAAAAAAAATCGAAAAAAAATCCTGAGAAAGATACAGGAAAGATATCGCTCGCGCGGTACGTCCAGAGCGCCGCCGCGCGACGCGTATCGCGCCACCCCGCGGGGAGGCATCGAGCGGCGAGCTTCCTGATATCGCTTACGAGCGTTACCCGTCCGGCGTGAACCCGCGGCGCGCGACGTCGAGTCACCCGCTCGCGCGAGCGAAATGACGACGACGGTCGAGGGCGTAACAAACTTACCCTCGCCCGAGAAGGTTGAAGCAACGAACTTGCTTCGTCTCGACGAGGCGTATCAAGGACGCGCGATGTTCGTGAAGGTGAAGTGCGTCGACGGCGAGGCCCCGAGCCAGCTCTCGCATCACCCGGAGCTTCGATTCCGGTTCCCCCCGCGCGTGCGCGACGAGCCGCCGGTCATATTCAACGGAGTCAGCATCCAGGTGCGAGGGTTCTTCTTCCGCTCGGTCCGCGAGATTTCACTTTCGAGGCGACGCGTCGTGTACACGTCCTCCCCCTCGAGGCATATCGCTTCTCTCTCTGAACGCGTCGCGCCTTCTCTTCTCCACGCGAGCGCAGGCGACGGACGACGTGGAAATACGCATGCGCCGCGACCGCGCCGGGTGCTTCGTGAGCACGGACGAGATCTTCGTCTTTCACTCCGCGCCGTTTGAGATTTACTGCGAAAAAGAACGCTGGGCGACGGGCGTCTTGACGCGCCGCGCCGCGGAGGGCGCGACGACCTCTCCGAAATGGACGCTCGAGCTGTCCCCGTGCGTTCCCGTCCTCACCGGCGACGCGCCGCTCGCGACGTCTCCCGCGAGTGCGAGCGTCGAGCGCGCGTTTTCGGTCGACTCCGTGTGCCGCCTCTCGCTCGAGGTGTGCCTCGTCGGCGCGTGCGACGGCGATCACGTGTGCATGACGCGCGTCGCGCCGCTGCAGGCGTGGAAAGTGAAGTCCGCGCGGAGCTTCGTGCAGCGCCCGAGCCTCGGGGCGATCAGCGAGATGTGCGTCGAGTGGAGCGACTCGGACGACGGCGCGAGGCCGGAGGACGACGGCGGCGCGGCGCCGCCGCCGTCGTCCTCCTCCGCAGACGAGCTCGAGCTCGACGACGCGGTCGTGGACGAGACCAGCGACGGCGACGGGCACGGCAGCGGCGACGAGGCCGTGTCCGCGCGGCAGTGGAGCCTTGTGCCGTGGAAGGGGGAGCTCAGCGTGTTCGACCGCGCGGAGCTCCTTCGAAACGTTCGGAAGCGATACGAGGATCTGATGCACGAGTACCACAGCAGCGGCGGGGGGGACAAAGAGCTCGCGTCCGAGGACTTGTTCAAGGGCGAGCTCACGTGGTTCAGCGCGGGCATACGCATCGGCGTCGGCGTCGGCCTCGGCGTGTGCCTCGGCGTCGGCCTCGGCGTCGGCGTGTTGATCAACGGCGTGAAGGTTTCCCGCGACCGACTAAACAGTGTGAGGCAGGCGCTTCGGTACAAGTGAGACGTGCCGTGCGTAGTGGGGGGGGATGCGCGAGTTCGCGCGACTAGAGTGTATAACAGCAGCAGCGATGCACGACGACGACGACGACGACGACGACGACGACGGACGTTTGAAGTCTTCAAGAGCGCGTACGTTTGTAAAACGAAGTTCGTAAACCAGTTACAGCACCGACCGCTCACCCGTTCGTGTACCCGAGCTGCATGAGAAGCTGCACCAACCACTTCTGCGTCGCGATGTCGTCCTTCAGACACGCGGTGAAGTTCGGGTCGCGGAGCTGGTCCGGGAAGCACTGACGCAGGCACTCGCGCGCGCGCGGGTTATCCGACAGCCGCAGGTAACACCTGATGATGTGTTTAAGCAACCGCACCGACGGCTGCTCCGTGAGCATCGTCACCATCCCCCCCAACACCGTTCCCACCGCGTAGCACCGTTCCGCGGTCGCGCATATGTAGCTCAACCCCACCTCGTCGGACAAAATCTTCTGAACGATGAACGTCGCGACCGTCTTCGAGAGCTCCGACCCTAATTCCATCGTCCTCAAGCACAGAGGGATGATCTCCGTGGAGAGGAGGAAGTTGATCACGTCCGTGTCGTCCACCTTCACGAGCGCGCCGATCACGCCCAAGGACGTCAGCCGCAGGTACTCGAACGGCCGCGTCTTGCTCACCGTGTTCAGGAACGGGTACAAGAACAGCGGGATGTGCGCGTTCAAGAAGAGCGCGCGCGTGTCCGGATGCGACGCGACGCACTGCAAGAGCGCGAGCGCGTTGCACACGCGGTTCGACGCGTGGTTCGTCAACGACGGCGGCGACAGGAGCGGGTATATCGACACGATCTCCTGAAGCAGCGCGGGGATGACGCCGAACGAGTGCCACAGGATCGGCGCGAGGTCCGTGAACATGTCTCTCTTCTTGCTCAGATCGAGGAGGGCATTCTCCCGCGTCTCCGGGTCTTGCAGAGCCGCGACGAGAGCCTCCATCGCGTCCCTCGGCCGGGGGCTGCCCTCCGCGCCCGGTTCAGTCCTCGATCGACCACGCTCGCGCGCGCTGTTTTCGCGTGCGTGCGGTCGCCCGCCGCGTGGGGGGTTGTGCCTCGGCGAGGGGATCGATCGGCTACTCGAGAAAATCGTCGCGTTCGCGCTGGCCAGCTTGCGCGCTGGCGCGCTGATGAAAATCCTAAAACGTTAATTCATCGTCGTGCTACTTCGGTCGCTTCACCGGGAACCTCCCCTCGTCCTGCCGCGTCCACATCATCGCGGACGCTTCAACCCAAGCCGGGCTGACGACGTGCTTGAGGTACTGCAGCCCCCACATCGCCTTGTGCGTCAGGTCCGTCCCCACGCACTTCGCGACGACGTGCGTCGTCGACGTCCCCGGCTCGGAGACGACTCTCGCGCCGAGACGCTCCGCGAGCCGCCACAGCGGGTGCTCCCTGGGCGTCAGCGTCTTGTCGTTGTGGTCGAACACGCCGGAGAAGACGATCTCCACGCCGCGCAGAACGTTCTTCCGCTCGTCCGCGAGGAGCTTCGGGACGGTGACGGGGATGCGCGGGTCCACGCTCGAGGCGGCGGCGGCCGCCGCCGCCGCCGCGGACGTCGTCGCGGTCTCGCCCTCCGTCGACCGTTTCCCGCGCGCCGCGTCGTCGTCGCTGCTCGACGCGTCGTCCGCGGCGGCCTTCGCGGCGGCCTTCGCGGCGGCGGCGGCGGCGGCGCGCGCCTGTTTCTCGGCTAAAACCTGGCGCGCGGCGCGGCGAGCGAAAAACTCCGAGTGCACGCGCGTGAGCACCTCCAACACCGTCGCCAGCGTCCCAGACTTCTCGCTCTCGTCCACGCCTCTCTCGAGGAGCGACGGACCGACGACGCCGAAGTTCTTGCACGCGGACGGGAAGTACATGTACCGCTCGCACACGATCAAATTTTCGGAGTATCCCGTCCACACCTCCGCGGTGTCGTCTAAGATGACCGCCGCGGGCTCCGTGCCCGCGAGGACGCCTTCGAGTTTTTTCTGCGGCGGCGATTTGAACGCGCCGAACTCGTCGAACCCGCCGAGACCGATCACCGAGCCTTTTATCACGTTCCTACACGGGTCTAGCAGTCGGCGTATGCTGTCCGCGTACGGCTGACTTCCCATCGTGCTGATGTGTATCTCGAACATCGCGGACGCTTTGTGAAGAAACGTCTGCACCCCCGGACGGAGCTTCGTCCACAACCCGATGTGGTTCAGGCGATGAAGCGTGCGGTCGTTCGAGTCTTTCGTCGACTCCAACCGCTCGATCTCGAGCAGACCCCGCTGTAGGCGCCCGCCGTCCTTCGACTCGAACGACTCCGAGTTCAGGAGCGTGTGGTCCAGGTCCAACACGAGCGTCAGCCGCCTGCGGTCGAGAAGCGCGTGGAGGGCTTTCGTCGCCGCCGCGGACGGCTTCCTCGCGCTCGGCGGCTTTTGTCTTCGCGCCGGCGGTTCCCGCGGCGCCACCGCGGCCGACGCGCGCGTTCGCGCGCGCGGGTCGTTCGGCATCGACGCGTCGACGTCGATGACCTCCACCGGCCGCGGCGCTTCTTTCGCGCCGCCGCGACCGCCGCCGTCCTCTGTATCGGAATCTTCCGCGCTCCCCGGAGTGGCGTCGTCCTCGTCCTCGTCTTCGTCCAACACGATGAGCTCGCCCGAACCTCGCTGCGCGACTCTGTTCGTGTTCCGGGCGGATTTCTCAATCCTCTTCCTCTTCCTCTTGCGTCGCCGCGCCGCGTTCTTCGTCTTCTGCTTCACGTACGCGCCGTTCGCGCCCGACGTCTCCTCGGAGGCGAGGTCGACGACGACCTCGGCGTTCGGAGGCGGCAGCGGCGCGAGAGCCGATTTCTTTGGGAGCGTTCGACCTAAACCCTGGTGCGGCGGCGGTGGCAAGGGCTGGAACTTTCTCGTGGTGGGCGGAGGAAGGGCCTTGGGCGGCGCCGGCTTTTTCGTCGCGTTCGCGCCATTCGCGCCATTCGCGCCATTCGCGCCCGCTCCCGGCGCCGGCAGCGGCTGGAACTTGCCCGACGTCGGCGGCGGGAGCGCCTTCGGAGGGCGCGGAACCGTCAACGCCGCGCTCGGCGGGGGCAGCGGCGTCACCCCACCAGAGCCGTTCGTCGCGTTCACGCGGCTCCGAGTCCTCGAGCTCGGCGACGGCTGGCTCAGTACAATCTCGCCCTCCTCCACCTCCGACGCCGACGCGACGCTCGCGCGCAGTCTATCTCGAGCGTTGCACGCGTCGAAAACCCGCTGTAGCGTCTCGAGCTCGTCCATGGCGTCCGCGCGCGCGGCTATATTCTTGACTCGCGCGTCTTCATCGCGTCTCACTTCGCGCGTCGCGTCTACGAGCGAGCTGAGCGCGTCGTAATCTGGCACCTCCTCTGCCGCCCGCCGGGAAAAGCTGGACGAGAATACGGGGACGCGATCTTCTCCCGGGTAAGGTTAAGTTGTCCAGATCAGCGGTCAGCAGCCCGACGAACGAACGGCTTCACGGACAACGCGGAGACGGAGCGGTTCTCGTTCGAGCTTCGTGACGTCCTAATGTCGCTATTCAACCTATCAAATCTTGAGCCGCTTCCCGCGTCTCCCGCCGTCTACCTCCCCCTCTTCGTCGCCGTCGCGCTTCTTCGCCTTCGCGCTGCCCTCTTCTTCGAACGCGACGTCGAGCTTGTTCGCGGCTTCGCCGTATTTTTCCTTCATCGCTTTTTTCACCTTTCCGAGCTCGGAGTTGATCTTCTGGTCGCGCTGCGCTTCCATCGCTTTGATGCTCATCTTCCCGCCCTTCCCGGTCGAGCCTAGCCCGCCCTTGCCTCCTTTCCGCGCGTCCCCCGCGTCCGCGTCATCGTCCGTCTTCTTCTTCTTCCCGTCTTCGTCCGACTCGGACTCGTAAACCGCATCCGCGTACGAAGACCCGCCGACGTAGCACTCGTTGTACCCGTCATCGTGCGCGAGGCTCGCTTCAGCGCGGCGCTCGAGCTCGAGCTTCAGCGTCGCCGCATCCTTCGGCGGCGCGTGTTTCAGAGTGAGCTTCTCCTTCTTCGCGCCGCCGCGTTTCGCTTCCTCGTCCGCCGCCGCCTGCTCTCTGTCGCGTTGGATGTTCACCGAGTTGGCGGCGATCGCGAGCGCGAAGTCCGGGCACGTCTGCAGGTACGTCCCCGCCGCGTTCGGGTCCCACCTCGTCCGAGCGCCGTCCTCGTCGCGCACTGTCCCCGCGGCGACGTATTCGTCGTAGCACTTCTTAAACGCGTCGATGGATTTAAAGTCCGGAGCCGGCGGCGCCGGCATCGGACCGACGAACCCATCCGCGTCCACGGCGACGCCGCCGGCGTCGACCTCGCCGTCCTCGGTCGGTCGTTTCTCGGCGTCGGTCGCCGCCGATTTCGCCGTCCGCGGAGCGATGGACGCCTCTCCTTTCGCGTCGCCGCCGCCGAAGTACGAGGCCGCCTTTCCGCCGTCGCCGTCCGCGGTCGTCTTCTTCGAGACGGTGGGTTCGTAATCCCGCCCGGCGTCGCCGAAGATGTCCTCGTCGTCGGAATCCGCCGCCGCCGGTTTCGAAGGTTTCTCGGACGCGGCGCGGAGCCTCTCGAGCTCCGCCTCCGCCGCGAGTCTCGCCTCTTTCTTTCGCATCTTCTTCCCGCCGTCCGCGCCGAGCTTCTCGCGCTCTTCCCGGTTCTTCTTTATGCACGCCGCCGCTTTCGTTAAGATGTCCGCGTCTTCCCAGCAGTTGTACATCTTCTCCGGTCGCTGCTTCGCGAGGACCCGCGGGTCGTCCTTCGAGCGCATCGTCGTCGTCGGCATCTGCGGCTGATCCCCGCTGAGGTCGAACGTGTACGACATGCGCCCGGACGCGAACTTTTCGTTCACGAACACCTCCCCGTTTTCGCGTCGTCTCTCCTTCTTCAGAAACGCGAAGACGTTCCTCGCCATGTCGGAATGAAACACCGCGGGCTTCCCTTCTTCCGTGAGAAAGTCCTCGTCCGGGGCCGCGAACGGGCACGCCGCGGCCGCGCTCGAGGGCTCGGCGACGCGCGTGACGACTCTCGCCTTTTCCTTCGTCTGCTGCTGTTCGAACTTGTCGTCCTTCTCGCTCTCGCGAATCTCCGCGCGCACTTTTTTCAGCAGCGCAAAGTCGAGGCCCTTCACGAGGTGCGTGTGCTCGACGTCGCCTCCCAAGAACTTGCTCTCCTCGATCGAGAGCTGGCGGAGCTCTTCTTGCTGCGAGATCCCCGGGACGCCGCCGCGAACGCCCTCGAGCGCGGCGCCTCCGCGGTCGCCTTCGTAGTCCGCGTTCGTCTCGTTCCTTCGTTCCTTCGCGCGATCGCGGTACGTCGGGCCCTCGGGCTCGTCCGTCGTCGGCTTCGGACGCGGCTTCGGCTTCGGCTTCTTGAATTCGCCGCCGCCGCCGCCGCCCTTGCCGCCGCCGCCGCCGCCGCCGCCGCGGCTCGGCGTCGCGTGAACGCCGCCCCCGGCCCGGGGGGTCGCCAACAACTTTCTGAAATCGTCGTTCGAGAGGTTCGGCCGCGACGGCTTGTTCGCGGGCGGGAGCGGGTTCGCGATCTCCGGCGCGAGCGGGTTCGACGCGTCGTCGCCGCTCATGACGCGCGGGCGGCCCGCGTGCGGGGGCAGCCGGCGTCGCGCGTGTCGAAAGTGGGCGAGATCGCGCTCGGCGCCTGCCTCTCGTGGAAGATTCTCCCTCGGCTAGCCCGGCCAGCGTCGGTCGGCTGTATTTTCAACGCGAGCGTCTCGCGCCGCCGCCGCAGTCCACCGCGTACCCACACGATGGGGTCCACGAAGGTCAAAAAGTCGAAGCACGCCGAGGCCGAGCCCATGCAGGAGCCCGGCAAGCGCAAGCGCAAGGTGCGAGCGCGATTCGCGCCCCCGACGACGTCCCGACGCGTCGCGCGCTCGCGGCCACGAAACACCGCGAATCTCGGCACGCCGCCACGGGAGCCGCGAATCGCTCCGAAAGCGCGCGACCGCCTCCGCCGCCCCTCCTCCCGCGCGTCGCGAGTCTGACCCCCCACCCCCGAACGTTCGCCGCGTCCGCAGGAGGTCGAGTCCGCGAAGAAAGCGGCGAAGGTGGAGAAACCCGCGAAGCAGTCGAAGAAGAAGCTCGAGGAGGACCTCGCCGCCGCCGCCGCGCTCGCGGCGAAGAAGAAGAAAAAGGCGGCGGAATCGTCCGACAGCGAGAGCGACAGCGACAGCGACTCGTCGTCCTCGGACTCGTCGTCCTCGGACTCGGACTCGTCCTCCTCGGACTCCGACGCGGAGGACGCCCCCGCGCCGGCGACGCCGTCCGCGTCGAAATCCGACGAGGCGAACGAGGACGCGTCCCCCGAGGACGATCCTCTGCGCGTCTCCAACTTTAACATCTCTCGAGAGGTGTGCGCGCGCCTGGAGACGAAAGGGATCACGTCTCTGTACGGCATCCAAGCGCAGACGTTCCAGCACGTCCTCGACGGGAAAGACATCGTCGCGAGAGCGAAGACGGGGTGCGGGAAGACGCTCGCGTTCGTCCTCCCGATCGTCGAGGCGATCAACCGCGAACACCCGGTGCCAGCGAACGGTCGCCGCGCGCAAGGCCGAGCCCCCGTCGTCGCGCTGCTCGCGCCGACGCGCGAGCTCGCGAAGCAGGTCCACGCGGACTTTCAACACATCGGGCACGCGTTCAAGCTCACGGCGATATGCGTGTACGGCGGCGCGCCGTACGGGGACCAGCAGCGGCTGTTGCGCGCGGGATGCGACATCGTCATCGGCACCCCGGGGCGGATGAAGGATCATCTGGAACGCAAGACGCTGAGCTTCGATAAGCTCCGCTTCCGCGTTTTGGACGAGGCGGACGAGATGCTGAACATGGGGTTCGTGGAGGACATAGAGATGATCCTGAACCACGCGAAGGATAACGAGAAACTTCAGACGCTGCTGTTCAGCGCGACGTTGCCGAAGTGGGTCGCGGACATCTCGCGAAGGTTCCTTCAGCCCGACCACGTCACCGTGGACCTCGTCGGGGACGAGAAACAGAAGGCGTCCGCAGCCGTGACCCACATGCTTCTGAACTGCCAGTGGAGCGAGCGCACCGAGCTCGTGTGCGACTTGATCCGCGCGAAGGTACCCGGGGACGGCCGCGTCATCGTGTTCTGCGACACCAAGCGCGACTGCGGCGAGCTCCAGGAGGCGCTGCAGAAGGAGCTCGAGAAGGGCGCGAAGGCGCTCCACGGCGACGTGAACCAAGCCCAGCGCGAGGTCGTCCTCGCCGGGTTCAGGGCGAACAAGTTCCAGACGTTGGTCGCAACGGACGTCGCCGCGCGCGGGCTCGACATCAGCGGCGTCGAGCTCGTCGTGCAGTGCGAACCTCCGAAGGAACCGGAGACGTACATTCACAGGAGCGGACGCACCGGGCGCGGCGGCGCGACGGGCGAATGCGTGACGCTCTGCACGCCCAGGAACGAGTGGGCGATCCCGAACATCGAGCGCAAGGGCGGGTTTAAGTTTCAGAGAATCGCGCCTCCGCAACCCGCGGAGATGGCCGCCGCGGCCGCGAAGATTGTCATCGCGCAGGTGCGCGCGGTGGCCAAGGGCGCGGCGAAGATGTTCATGGACGCCGCGAAGGAGCTCCTCGAGGGCGGCGCGGGCGAGCACGACGAGGGCGCGGATCCGACGGAGATGCTCGCCGCGGCGCTGGCGAAACTCGCCGGTCACGGCGAGCTCCGAACGCGCTCGCTCCTGACGTCGCACACCGGGCAGACGACGCTGCTGTTCGCCGCGGGCGGGACGACGGAGATTCGAACGCCGACGTACGTCTGGAATTTTTTACGCCAACGCCTGGACGAGAGCGACCTTCAGATTCGAAGGCTGACGTTGTGCGCGGACAGCAAAGGCGCGGTGTTCGACGTCCCGAGCGAGCTCGCGGACAAGTTCACTGCGCTGAGCGAGAACCAAGAGAGCGGTCCGACGCCGATCGCGATCACCGTCTGCGAGGAACTCCCGGAGCTCGTCGTGCGCCCGGGGGGCGGCGGCGCGGGCGGTGGCGGCCGAGGAGGAGGCTTCGGCGGCGGGAGAGGCGGTAGAGGCGGGTTCAACGGCGGGAGAGGCGGTCGAGGCGGGTTCAGCCCGGGTGGCCGGGGCGGTCGAGGCGGATTCAGCCCGGGCGGTCGCGGTCGCGGCGGGGGTGGGCGATTCGGAGGCGGCGGCCGAGGAGGAGGACGGGGCCGCGGTTGACGGACCCGAAATTGAATTTCAGCGCGCATTTTTTCTAGTCATCTCGAGCACGCGCGTATTGTACTGTACGTGTCTGTACGGTAAGGTTAGTTGTTTAATATCACACGCGATGCAATCAGCATCGTGATTCACCGCATCTTCTTCTTCCCCTTGCCCGAATCCCCGTAAAAGTCGTCCAAACTCGTGTCGTACTTTTGCATCACGAGCTCCGAGCGCACTTTCCTCGTCGTGTCCGTCGCGACGCCGACGAGGATGAGCAACGACGTCCCCGCGAAACCCCGGAACGTCGTCAGCCCGGTGATCCCCTCCACCGCGGTCGGCGTCAGCGCTAAGACGCCTAAGAACACGCTTCCGAGGAGAGACAAATTCGAGAGCACGCGCGTGATGTAGTCTCGAGTCGTCGCCCCCGGTCGCACGCCCGGGATCGACGCGCCCTGTCGTTTCAACTGCTCCGCGACATCCTTCGGCTCCAACTGAAGGAACGTGTAGAAGTAGTTGAAGAAGCAGATGAGCGCGATGTTCACCGGGACGTACGCCGCGCCGCCGGGGTACACCGCCTTCGCGGCGCCGATGATGACCGGGTTCGGCGCGAACCGAGCGATCGTCGCCGGGAGCGCGAGGAGCGAAGACGCGAAGATGATCGGCATCACCCCCGCGGAGTTCACCTTGAACGGCAAGTACGAGCTCTTCGCGAGGCCACCGGCTTGGAACCGCGTGGAGTAGTTCATCGGAATCTTCCTCTCCGCCTCTTGCACGTACACGATCCCGAGCGTGCTCAGGAAGAACGCGCCAAAGAACACGGGGAGAACCGCGTTGTCGCCCTTCTCGCCCGCCTCGGACAACGTCTGCCCGAAGGACGACGGGAGCGAGGACACGATGTTCGTGAAGATCAGCAGCGACGTCCCGTTCCCGAGCTTGAGCTCGTTCAATACCTCGCCGATGTACAGCAGGATCATCGCCCCCGCGGTGAGAACCGCGCTGGACTCGACTAACCACCCTAAGCTGAAGTCCTCGACGTACGGCCGGACGTACAGGCACTGACCGACGGCTTGCACGACCGCGAACGCGAGCGCGCCGTAGCGCTGGTACTGCATGAACTTCCTCCTGCCAGCCTCGCCCTCTTCTTTCTGGAGCTTGCTCAGGCTCGGGAACACCGAAGTGAGGAGCTGCGGGATCGACGAACGCGAGCGGCGCGGGGGTCAGTCGGCGTCGCGAGCTCGGGGGGCGCGCGGGAGGGAGGAGGGCGAGAGGAGAAAGGGTCGCGCGTCGGTCGGTCGCGTCTCTTCGTGGCTCAGTTTCCGTTGTTCGTTTCACGGCGCTGACGGGCGTGCCGCCGAACCTCAATCGAACGAGACCTAAAAGGTCGCATCACCACCACGGAGACGAGACGCGACCGACGCGCGTTTCGTTTTCTCGCGGGAGAAAAAAACGAGCCGACGACGGACGGCGAAGAGAAAAGCCGCCGTCCCGTCGGCGGAGGAGAGGACGGGAGCGGACTCGAGAGACGCGACGCACCTGGAAGATGATCGACGAGTTGATGAAAGGAACGATCCCGAGGGAGAAGATCCCGAGCTTCGAGATGCTCCCGCCCGTGAGCGTGTCGACGTAACCGAGCATCCCGCCGCCTCCCGCGAGCGACTCCGCGAACGCGGCTCTGTCGACGCCGGATATCGGAATGTAGGTCCCGATTCGCGACACGACGAGGAGGGCGAGGACGGTCGCGATCTTCTCCGGGAGTTTGCCGCCCATGAACTCGCCGAAGAAGTCGCCGCCGCCGCCACCGGGGACGTTCATCGCGTTCGCCCTCGGTTTCCCTCGCGTCAACGCCATCACGGAGCCGGAACCTTCGAGCTTGCGCGCGTCCGTGTTCCACTCGTTATCGCCGACGTCCCAGCCCGCTCTCGTTCCGAGACCGAGCGGGTCCCAGACGCCGTCGGTGCCCATCCCGGGCATCGTCGCCGCGCCGATGTTGGCGACCGCGCGCGTCCTGACCTCGGATCCTCGCGCCGCGGACGCCCCGGAACCTCGCGCGGACGCGATCGTAAACCTATACCCTATCCGCGCTCTCGTCGCCTTGCTTCGACCGAGCCCCCGGGGGAGGCTCAGGCGCGACGAGAGCGGCGCGATGGCGGACGCCATCTTCGCAAGCTGCGAACGGCGACGAGAAGACGACCACGACGACGCTGATCACGACGACGTGCGGCTCGAAGTGAGGTCTGGCGAGGCCGACGTGGCGTCATCAAAGATCTCGCGAGGCATCGTCAGTCAGTCGCGCTGCAGAAAAACGCCGCGCGCTCAGTCATTATTTCAAAGTGGCGAGGCGTTGGCGGGAAGGAGCCGCGGCGCGAGCGCGATGGCGACGCCGAACAAGCGCCCGCCGCACGTGTTGCATCTCTACCACGAGATCAATGCCGCGGCCGCGCACGACCTGTCCCCCGCGGACCTCGACGCGAAGCTCGAGGAGGCGTCCGAATTCCTCGCGGGGTGCCTCGCGAGCTACAAGCCGCCGTCCTCCGCGTCGAAGGCCGAGGTCGAGAGCGGCAGCATCAGCGACTACGACGGGAAGACGCTCAAGCTGAACGCGGCGATGAAGAAGGTGACGATAGCAGCGAGCGCGCGTTTGAACCTGGACGAGATACAGACGTACGCGCTCATGCGGCGGTGCGTCGACGAGGACAAGTCGACGACCGAGCTGCCGACCGAGTGCGACGACGATCTCGTCGAGCGTCTGACGGACTATTACTTCCGCGAGAGGCTCGGGATGTTCAAGTGCATCCACGCGCTGCTGCTGCATTCGCACGAAGAAGACGCCGCGGAGACGGAGGACCCGTACGCCGCCCCGAAGCTTCGGTGCTTGGAGCGCATGATGAAAAGCGACCTCGAGGCGAACCTCGTGACGACGCTGTGCGCGCACATGCGCGGGGAGACGCCGATCCGCCCGTCGGCGACGTCCGCGTCCACGAACAAGGCGTGGTCTAAGCAGGCGCTCGAGGAGACGATCGTCATGCTCGAGTGCGCGTTCTTGGTGTACTTCGACGGTAACGCGTCTTGCGACGCGAAGCGATTCGCGGAGATGGCGACGGCGTTTCGACGCGGCGCCCTCGCGCGAGCGCCCTCCGCGGGCGCGGAGCTCGTTCGATCAGCCGCGCCCGGGTCCAGCGACTCTCGCCAAGACGCGAAGGACGACGACATGACGGATGCGCACGCGAGGGCGTTCACGGACACGCTGCGCGCGCTGTGCGCGGTCGTCCTCGTCGCCGCGTTGGACTTGGAGTCGGTCGTCGAGCTCGTGCGCGGCGGCGGCGGGGGCGGGTCGTCCGCGGACCTCGGCGCGACGCATCCGCTGCTCAGCGAGGGCGCGCTGCGAGACGTCTCGACCGCGCTGAAGGACTGGCCGAGCGACGCGTCGCACGGACCGGTGCTTCTCGCGTGGGCAACGCTGCTCGCCTTGGCGCCGAGCGCGCGCGGGGAGGAGTCGACGCTCCCGGACGAGGCGGACCCGTCGCGCGCCGCGTCGAGGGTCGCGGGCGAGGCTGGGTACGGCGCGCTCCTGTCGCTCCTGCGGTTGGAGCAGTTCCGACGGTCCGAGGAGGTGATCGTGGAGCTGCAGAAGTCCGTCCTGAAGAACATGTTCACGTGCTCGCTCGCCGCGTTCGACGCGCTTCCGGTGCACAAGCTCGCGGAGAAGGAGCTGACGACGTTGATCGACGTTTTGACGGAACTCACGAGCGAGCAGCCCGGTCTGTGCGCGCAGTTCTGGGGCGGCGCGACCGCGGACGGACTCGAGGCGCCGCTGATGTCGCTGCTCGTCGGCTGCCGAGAGCGGCATCCCGTGGACGCGGCGCCTCTTCTGAGGGTGCTGTTCGCGTTGGCCGAAGGTCCCGAGTCCGCGGAAAAGGCGCTGCGTTTCTTGACCAACCTCCCGACGGTCGCGCTGCCCGCGCCTCCGCCGGGCACCGAACTCGCGCGCGCGATCGTGCCGCTCGGGGAGGATGGCAACCCCGCCGTCGAGTGGATGGACGCGACGACGCGGTGGGAAGACGAGCGCGGACAGAGCGAAGAGTGGCGGCGGAACGACGCGCAACCGCCGTCGCTTCCGCCTGGACCGGTGTACGCCGCCGCCGCGCTCGCGAGCACGTACCTCCCCGGCGCGTGCATACCTCAGGGCACGCCGGGCGTCGCGATGGCGCGCGACGGATCGTCGACGTCCGCGACCGCGGTAGGGTACGGAGGCGACGACAGAGACGGCGACGAGGCGATGACGACGACGGCGCCGAGTCTGAACGGCCCCGGCGTCGACATCATCCGCTGGCACACGCGCGCGGACGGCGTCCGCGTCCTCATCGCGCGCGTGTGCGTGCTCTCCACGATGGGCGGCGCGTCCGTCGGCGCGAAAGAAGCGCACGAGCTCGACGCGTCGCTCGCGTTCCTCGGCAGAGTGCTTCGCTCCGCGCCGAGGTTCGCGACGAATCTCGTGTCGCTGGACGTCTCCGCGGTCGTCCCCTCCGGCGCGCCCACGTCGCTCGTCGCCGCGCTCGCGGCCATTCTGACCGCGTCCACGACCCCGGGCGACCCGTGGGCGACGCTTCCGTGCTCGAGCCGCGATAGCGACACCGAAGTCGCGCACCCCGGTCTGATGCGAGCGGCGCTGGCGCTGTCCGTCGCCGCGCCGCTCGCCGCGGCGGCGCCGACGTTCGCGCTCGAGGAGCTCACGTCCGCGCCGTTACTGCGCGCGGACGGGTACGACGGCAGGGACAGCGGCGCGCTCGCGTCGATCAACGCGCGCGGGCCCGCGGTCGGGCTCGCGATGTTCGAGCACTCCGTCATCCCGTCCGAGCGCGCCGCCGGGGTGTACCCGCTGACGACGGCGCTTCTGAGGGTAGCCGAGAGTTTCCTGTGGGCGGGCGCGGGGGCGTCGCACGCGATGACGCCGTTGCTGCAGCACGTCGTGCAGGAGGTTCTCGTGCAGCACGGCACGTGGCGATACCGGCGAAGGGCCGATCGCTGGTCGCTCCACGCCGCGGTCGCTCGCGTCGTGACCGCGGCGTTGGCGCCGAGGCCCGGTCCGGAGAACGCGGCGAGGCGCGCCGCGGTCGCGGGGTACGTGTCCTCCGACGCGGGCGCGGCGGCGGCGCTGCTCGCGCCGTTGGCGCTCGACGCCGCGGTGCTCGGGCACATGCACGACGGAGGTCCCGGCGCCGCGACCGCCGCGGAGGTCATCGCCGCGGAGGAAGCGGTCGCGGCGACGTTACGCGCGCTGCCGCAGCTGTTGTCCGTCCTCGCGGACTCCGTCGCGAACGCGGCGGCGGCGGCGGAGATGACGCGCGCGCCCGCGGCGCTCGGTTCCGGGCCTCTCGCGCACGCGCTTCTCGTGGACGCGCCCGGCGGCGGCCCGCCGCTCGCGGCCGCGGTCGCGTCCTACGTCGCGTATCCGTACGCCGCCGCGTGCTGCGCGCTCGCGTTTCCCGCGCTCGCGGCGATTTGCGCCGCGGCGCCGAACGAGCCGCCGCTCGCGTGCGCGCTGCCTTCGCTCGCGCCGTCATCCTTGTCCGCGTCCGCGTTTGCGCTCACGATGCACGGCGAGCCGCGAAAGAAGGACGCCGGCGCGGAAATGGATCCTCGCGCGGCGATCGTCCGCGCGCTGACCCCGGACGCGGCGAGGTACGCACCGGGAGAGGCTCTCGCCGCCGCCGCGTTCATCACCGCCGCCGCGTCGTCTCAGCCGATGCTCGCGGAGAGCATGCTGCTTCCTGCAAAGCTCTCCCCGACCGGCGAGGGCGAGGACGGGTGCGACGTCGAGAGCGCGCTCGACTCGCTGTGGACGGTTCTCGGGAACGCCAAAGAGCTGCGCGAGGAAGATCCGCGGCTCTTAGCCGCGTCCGTGAACGCGATCGTGTCCGTGTGGCGAGGAGGGCGACTGCTCGCGGGGGCGGCGGGGACGCTGCGCACGCAGTCGTCGTTCGCGTCTCGCCTCGGGGAGTGTCTGCCGAGCGTCTCGGCCTCGAAAGTCCTGGACTTCGACGGCGCTGATACCGACGCGGACGACGATGGTTCGTACGACGACGAGCGTGAAGCGTTCCAGTTATCCGCCGAGGCGGCGGCGCTCACGCTGTTAGCGTCGGAGGCCGCGGACGTGCTGCACGGATCGCCGGGCGAGGGGATCGAAGAAGCGTTCGAGAAGTGGTGCGGAAAGGACGGGGACGACGAAAACGCGTTTTGTCTCTGGATCAAGCGGTGGTGCGTGATGGTGGACAGGCCCGGGGTTTTCGCCGCGGCGCGAGCGCACGCGCAAGCGGTCGTCTTGAAAGCGGCGGCGAGCGCGGAACGCGCGAAAGCGGCGGCGGTCGCCGAGGCGGCGAGACAGGGTCGACTCCCTCGAGCTGTCGCGGGATCGTCGCCACTCTGCGACGCGTCCCTCGAGCACGGCGCGGTCGCCGCGGCGGACGCGCTGCTGTCGCACGCCTCCGCGGCGGACGCGGTTCGTACGGGCGCGACGAGAGCGACGATTCTCGAAGCGACCGCGGCGGCTGTGCTCGAGACGAGACCGAGACCCGCGCACGATCCGCTCGGCCGGCTGTTAGAAGCCGCTCGAGAAATACAGTTAGAGCGCGCGGCGTTAGCGCCCCCTCCTCCCGGCCCGCTCCCGGGCGAGCGAGCGGAGTACGGCGGCGATTTCCTCTTCAACGCGACGTGGGTCGAGGCCGCGACGGGCGGCGCGAGTCCCCCGGAGGCGGCGGGCATGGACGAACTCGGCGACGACGACGCCTTCGGCGCGATGCAAGGCCCACTTTCGTCGTGCGGCTACGACGCCGCGAAGGCGCTGCGGCTCGCCGGGAGGGCGGCGGCGAGGAAGTCCGCGCAGCTCGCCGCGTTGTCCGCGTTTTACGACATGATGACCGCCGCCGCGGGGCCGATGCGCGACGTCGCGAGCGACGACGACGAACACGCTTTCGAGGCGGACCAACGCGAGAGCGGTCTGCTGTCGTCCTGGCCCGTCGCGTCTCGGGCTTCAGCGGTGCAGACCGTCCTGGAGAACCTGCACGCGGCGCTGAACGCGTCGAAGGGCGACGCCGCGGATCACGCCACCGCGTTCGCGGCGGAGCTCGCGCACCTCCTCGCGCTGCTCGTCCGCCTCTGGGCGCGCGCGGTGAACGCCATCGGCGCGAAAAAGGCGCCGGACGACGGCGAGACCGAAAATCTCGACGCGTTCGCGACCGCGGCGGAGGTGTCCGCGATGGCGTCCGACGCGCTGTCGCGACGGCCGGAGGACGTCGTGGCGTGCGACGGCGCCGCGAGCTGCGTCGTGCGGCCGCTTCTCACCGCGGTGCTCGTGAGCGTCCGCGCGTGGAGGACGACGGCGGCGACGACGTCGTCGACGCGCCGCGCGGGGTCCGGTCTGCGCGAAGGGCACGAGCTCGGGAACCGTCTGCTGCCGTTGACGCCGGTGCTGTGCGCGCTGTCCTCGAGTCCCGACGGCGGCGCGGACGCGGTCCTCGCGCTGGCCGTCTTGCGCGAGATGGCGGACGGCCTCGTCCCGGCGTCTTCGCTCGCGGACGCCCTCCGCGGACGCGCGCTTCTGCCGCCGCTGACGCCGCCGCCGTTCGAGGCGTGCGCCGCGCCCGGGGTCGACGGCTCGCGCGACCCGCTCGCGATGTCGTCTCTCGTCGCGCTTCCGTTCGAGCGTCTCGGCGACGCGTCCGCGATGGCGTTGCGACCATTCTTGGACGTGAACGCCGCGAGCGGCGGGTTCGGCGACGGGAAGGAAAACGTCCCGGAGAACTACGTCGACGGCGGCTCGAAAGTCTCCGAGTCGGGCGTCTCCTCTCGATCCGACGCTCACGGCGGCGCGGAAGTCGCCGCCGCGCTGCGGACGTGCCTCGCGCTCGGACGCTCCCCCGCGGGCGCGGAGGTGCTCCAGAGCGTGAACTACGCGTCCGAGCTGTCCTCGCTCCTCGTCGCGCTCGGGTCGACGCGACCGCCGCCGCGCGCGTCGTCTTCCGCGTCGCACCCGCTCCCGCGGTGGACCCCGCGCTGGGGCGTCGGCGGTCCGTTCAAGAAGGGCGACGAGGTCTTCTACCGCGACAAAGCGGCGCCGGACGCGCACGCGAAAGCGACCGTCGTGCATGCGGACCTCTCCGTGAACCCGCACGCGTACGTCGTCGACGTGAACGGCGCGGAGCGATCCACGGAGGCGAGCAGACTCGCGGCGCGGTCGCGCGTCCGCGCGTCCTTCGCCGGGGGGCACGGGCACGCTCACGAGACGCGCGACGCGACGTCTGCGGCGGCGACGCCGAGCGAGCTGTACTGCCTCGCCCTCCGCGCGGCGGCGACGCACGCGGACGTCCTCGGCGCGCGGCGAGACGTCCACGACGCGTTCGTCTCCGTCGCCGTCGCGCTCGCGGATCGATTCGAAGAAGCGCTCGCGCCTTCGACGTTGAACACGGAGACGCTCGCGGAGGCGGAGTCGACCGCGGGTTTCCTTCACTCGCTCGCGCTCGCCGCGAGCGGGCCGTGGCAGCTCGCGGCGCCGACGCACCAGGTCGCGATGCGCGCGGCGGCGGTTGATTTCCTTCGATTCATCGCCGCGCCGCCGCCGCCGCGCCGCGGGATCGGGTGCCAGCCTCGCTCGCGACGCGAGATCGCGGCGGTGCACCGCGCTCCGCTCGTCGGAGCGGTCACCGGGTGGTTTCACTCGTGCGCGATCGGCGCCGTCCCCGCGGTCGCGCCGACGCCGGCGGCGGCCATCGCGGCCGCCATCGCCGCGTCGTCGGACGAGGCGGGCGGCAACGCGCACTCGGAAGCCATCGCCGCCGCGTTGTACGCGACCGCGGCGAGGTGCGCCGCGTTCCTCGCCTCGTTCCCGCGGTCGAACCCGAACGCGGTGTGCGGCGAGGAGGCGCTCTTCAACCTCTCGCAGCAGGCGGACGTTCTGAAGACTGAATTCGAGCGCAAGAGCGTCGGCGAGGACGCGCAAGGCCGGAAGGCGGCGTTTAAAGACGCGATGACGCACGTCGCCGGCGCGCTGCGGGATCACTGCGAGGTGCTCGAAACTTTAGAAGCGGACGAGGATCCGGTCGGGTTGTTGCCGCCGAAGCTCCACAGCGCGCGGTCGTTAGTGTCCCAGATGAGCTGGCGGCCGACGCCGATGGACAAGTTCGCGTTGGAGCGCGAGACGCCTCCGAAGTCGTGAGGGAGCAGTTTCTAGATTTTGTTTTCGTGCTGAATAAGGCCAGAAGAATAGATTACTCGCGTTGACTCTTCGCGCTTCCCCGTCCGTCGGCGTCACACGCTCTCGCGCTTCGCACGCGCGGTCGCGTGAACGTCTCGCGAAATGGTCTTCGCGGAACCCTCCGCGTTCGGCGCGGACGGCGACGGCGAGAAGCTGAAGAAGAACCGGTTCCTCTCCACGACGAAGGAGGTCGAAGATTTGAACCAGTACTGGTACTCGAACCGAACGATCGCCGCGATGGCGAGCGACGTCGAGGACCAGTGCTCGTCCCCGGACTCGAAGGCGTGCTTCCTGTCCACCCCGAGCGTGTACTTCTCCCTGAACAAAGACACGCGCGCGCGGTCGTGGTGCTTCGACCTGGACACGCAGTGGGCACGCGAGCCCGGGTTCGTGAAGTACGACTTCAACGACCCGATCGGTTTCGACGGGTTCGACGACCTGAAAGGGACGTTCGACATGGTGATCATCGACCCGCCGTTCATCACCAGGGAGGTGTGGGAGAAGTACACGACGACTGCGAAGGCGCTTCTGAAACCGGGGGGGAAGGTGCTGGCGAGCACGATACAGGAGAACGCGCCGTTCGTGAAGGAGCTCCTGGGCGTGACCCCGCAAGTGTTCATGCCGTCGATACCGACGCTCGTGTACCAGTATCATCTGTACGCGAGCTACGAGTCGAAGTTTCTCGCGGAGAAAAACCCGGAGATCCCGGAGTACGACTGAGCAGGCGGCGCGCGTGCGCGCAGGTGGACGACGTGGGAGAGCGCGACGCGCTCGGGACGCGTGAAATGATGAATAAATAAATGTAGCCGCGTTGAATTCGCCTTTCCGTCACTTCTTCTTCGGCGGCCTCGACGCTTTCTCTTCCACGCCGGACGTCCCGAACCTCCCCCTGAGGACCGCGAAGACGTCTTCCATCTCCACGCCCTGCAGGTTCAGAAGCACCATGGAGTGATACAGAACGTCCGCCATCTCGCTCGCCGCGCGCTCCTTACCTTCGTCGTTTTCAAGCGTCTCGCACAGCTCCCCGGCTTCCTCGCGGACCTTCTTACAGAGCAGCTCCGGGTCGTCCAGCAGCCGCCGCGTCCACGACGGCTTGTCCCCTTCCTTGACGACATCCGCGCGCCGCGCTTTGATCGTCGCCTCGAGCTCGTACAGCGTCGTCATCGCCTCCTCGTGGCCGTGCGCGCCGCCGCCGTCGACGAAGGCGGCGCCGTCCTCGCCGTCCACGCGGGAATAATAACACGTGTGCGCGCCCGTGTGGCACGTCGGTCCGTCCGGGACGCCGAGGTAAATCAGCGAATCCTTATCGCAGTCGATGTGGATGGACTTCACGCTGATGAAGTTCCCGGACGTCTCGCCTTTCGTCCACTGCGCCTGACGCGAGCGAGAGAAGAACGTCGCTTTTTTCTGCGTAATAGTGCTTCGCACCGCGGTGCGATCCGCGAAGCCTTGCATGAGAATCGCGCCCGTGTCCACGTCCTGCGCGATCGCGACGACGAGACCCTTGTCGTCACACTTCAGCCCGTCGAGAAACTTCTCGATCTGCTCCGGGTCGGCGTCCGCGGCCATGACGTTCGGTCCGCGAGACGCGCGAACGAGCGGTCCCGTGCGGCCGAGCTTGCGATCGGCCGACACCGCGATCGGTCCGCGCGAATTCTCGGCGGGCGCGGCGCGCGCGGCGCGGACGACGAGCATCCCGCGGGAGACGGCTGAGGCGGCGAGGCACGCGGCCATCGTTTTGGGGGATAGGGCGTGCGCCGAGCGCGGAGGAGTCTGTCCGCGCGGAGAGCGGCCGCCGACACGAAAAGATAGCGGAGCGGCGCGGCGGCTCGGCGCGTGTCGACCAGTCGGCCCGCTTCGACTTCGGCTCGTGTACGTGAAGTACTTCCGTATGACTAAATGCCCGTACGGAACTTCCGTACTGTACTGAGACTCTACAGTATGACTTTTTACCCTGACGACGACATATGATATCGACCGTTGGCCGGTTGGCGTCGTCGACTTCAAAATAAAACTTTGGACGACGAAATCTGCGCCGCGGGGCGCGACACAACGAGGGGCTCTCGCACGCGCGATCCTTCGCGCCGTCCGCCATGGCGCAAAACAACGGGTTCTTGTGCAATGTGGCGAGCTACAGCACGATGGTATGGTACGACACCGCCGCGGCGTCTAACACGGTCACGATGGAGTTCATGACGCCGATAAACCACGCCACGAACGGCATGCTTCTTTGCTCCACCGCGACCGGGCATTCGTGGACGCGCGCAGCCGGGGGGACGACTGACTTCGGCGTGACGTCGCTGAAATCCGGCGGCGACCAGCTCGCGACCGCGGCGACGACGTCGACGTCCAACTCAGACGCGAACGCGGCGGTGTGGAACCACCGAGCCGTCGAAGTCGGCGTCGCCGCGGACGTCCTCGGCACGGACTCGTACTACGCGTCGTCGTACAGCCGCGCGAGGTACGACGACATCACCCTCGACGCGGTCGGGACGTCCACGACCGGGCTGTTCCAAGACCCGGTGTGGACGACGACGGAGGACGCGCGTCTGACCGCGTCGAGCGCGGTGATCACGAACATCGACGCAGCGTCCACCTCGAGCGCGAAGGTTGCCCAGATGCAGACGCTCGCGGAGTTGAACCGCGCGAACGGTAACTGCGCGCTCCTGACCGGGTCGTGGACGGCGAACACGCGGTACGAGCTGGTGTTCACGGTCCCGAACCCGACGCAGGCGAGCGGGGCGACGAATTTAGGGTGGTGGATGGCGCCGATATCGTACGCCAAAGAGGCGACCACGGAGGCTGACGGCGCCGGCGGCTCGATCGCGACGTCGAGAATCACGTACACCGTCCACGGGCACAAGCACGGGAGCGTGTGCACGACGCGGTACACGGTGGCGACGGCGTTGGGGACGGTAGAACCGACACCCAGCGGCGCGGGGACGACGATAACGGACTGCACGGCGGCGCCGTACTCCGCTTCGACGCACGCGTTCGGGAGCACGTTCGTCACCACGGGCGCGTGCGTCGCGTGCACGGGCGTCGGCGGCACGCTCGGCGCGGGGGCCCCCGCGACGGCGTGCACGTGTCCTTCGACGAAGACGACGCTCGTGGCGGGTCCGAACGCGTGCGGGAACAACTGGAGCCCGTTGGGGACGGCAACCTCCGTCGCGACGCTCGCGGCGGAGCTGTGCACGTCGTTCACGGCGATAAAAACCGCGCTCGCGAACGGTCCCGCGTCGGCGGCGACCACGGGCGTCGGCGGCGGCGCCTCCGCGGGCGCGCACGCGGTCGCGAATGCGCACCTGGACGCGTTCATCGACGCCGCGGGGCCGCTCGCGGACAGGCAGGACGTCATCGCCGCGAACGTGACGTACCGAGCGAGCATGATGTACGACGAACGCGCGTCGAACGACCCTTCGCGGAAACGCGGGTTGTGGCCAAACTGCGCGAGCGGGTGCGACGATTACGGACGATACACGGACGCGTCCGGGAACACGGGGACGACCGCGGAGGTGATCGACGTGCAGTTCGACGCGGTGCACGCGCTGAGGCTGATTGGGTACGTGCTGAATTTGAAAGGGTACTCGTGCACGGCGCTGTACGACTCGACGCAGACGGAGCCGAGCATCTACGGGTCGTACGACGCGGAGCCGCTGTGCGACGCGTCCGTGCCGTCGTGAGCGCGGCGGCGGTGATGTATCGTGATGCTTAAGGTTATGAGAACTCGTCTAATATCCCGTCTACGGACACGTCAGCGTGCACACGCGCGTGCCGAGCTCGGAGAACAAGTCGACCGTCGCGCCCGTGCCGCCGACCGCGGTCAACCCTCGATTTTGCATATCGAGCGAGAACACCGAGGACGGCGTGCACGGCTGTCTCGATACGAGTTGCCCGGAGAGTTTCCATCGATACACCGCCGGCTCCGCCCCCGCGGCGGTGACGTGCTCGCCCGTTAACTTTATCGTCTGCGGCGCCATCTCGGTTTTGCTCCGAGACGCGCACGCGCCCGCGGCGAAACTCCACATCGTCACGCATCGTCCTCCGCACCCTAACGCGGCCCAATTCTCGGCTTTATCTAACCCCACACACCCTACCCACGCGCCGCCGCCGACGCCGACGCCGCTCTCCCCGACCCCTAATCCTTTCGCGCGCCACACGTCGATCACCTGCGTGCACTTCCCCGACTTCACGTCAAAGATCCGCGCGGTGCCGTCCTCGGATCCCGTGACGGCTTGGTTGCACGACCCGCGGCTCGCGACGCAGTGCAGCGCGTCCGCGTGCCCCTTGAGCGCGAACGCGGGCGATTTCTTCCCCTCGGTCACGTCCCAGCCGTACGTCACGCCGTCCCCTCCCGCGGCGAAGAGGATCCCGCGCGTCGCGTCCGCCGCGAGCGCCGTCGTCTCCGGCACCGGCCCGAGCGCGCCCCGGCCTCGGCTCTCCTGCGGGTTCGTGAACGACGCGACCGGGCGCACGTCCGCGCGGCGGCCGCGGTCGCCTTCGACGCCGCCGGTCGAGCCGCTCGCGTCGCACGCGGCGCTCACGAGGTCGGCGACGCGGTACAGGTTCGTCACGCCGTCCTCGCCCGCGGTGCACAGCAATCGCGAGTCCGCGTCCCCCGCGTCGGGCTCGTACGACACGACGCTGTACACCGCGCCGTCGTGCGCATCGACGATCACGCGCGGGAGCACGGCGGCGTCGTCGTCCCCGCTCGCGTCCGCCGCGCGCGCGCGTCCGAGCGCGTCGTCGAGGTTCCACACGCTCAGCGCGCCGCTGCTGCTGCCGCAGGCGAGGTACCCCGCGGACGCGCCCGCGCCGGCGAAGAACACGGTCGCGTACACCGTCCGCGAGCTCGCGGATCGTTCTTCTTTCACGAGCGACGCGTACGCGCCCGGGTTGTACGGCGCGCGGCAGTCGAACATCGTCGCCGTTCGCCGCCTCCGCGGGCGTGCCGCCGCGCGATCGTTGTGCCGATCACGAGGATTTCGCCGACCGCGCTCGTCGCGACTCAACGAGTTTTCGGACGACAAATTTCAAATCCGCGTCCACAAGCGAGAGCGCTGGGCGACGACGCAGGTCCCACCGCGCTCGACGGAGCGCGGCGGCGGACGCCATGGACGATGCGAAGACGATATTCATCGTGACCGGGTTCGACGCGAGCGAACAGGTGCGCGGCGGCCTGGAGCCGACGAGGCGCGAAATCGTGGCACCGGTGCCGACAACTCCCGCCCAGATCTCTCTCCTCTCTCTCTCTCCCGCCTCCCCTCCCCCTCACCGCGAACCCCGATTCCCCCGACCATCGCAGCGCGAGATCTCGACCTTGGCGGAGATCGTCGACGCGGTCGTGGACAACGAGTTCACCGCGGAGCGGCCGTTCGATTACTGCGTCGCGAAGACGACGGCGTCGCGAAAGTACGAGCTCGCGAGGACGCTGGGCAAACCGATCGTGACGATGGCCTGGCTCCGCGACAGCGCGTCCAGCGGCGCGCTGCTCCCGACGGACGACCCGGCGACGTCGAGAGCGTACCGACCCGCCGCGTTCCTCGGCTTGAACGTGTGCGTCACGGGGTACACGCAAGACCAGCGCGCGGACTTGGAGGCGAAAGTCGTCGCGAACGGCGGCGCGTACTGCCCGGATCTCGTGAGGGACGCGTGCACGCACCTGGTCGCGTCGTCGACGACGAGCGCGAAGTTCAAGCACGCGAGCAAGTGGCCCGGAGTGTGCGTCGTGAAGAGAGAGTGGGTGGACGCGTCCATACGCGACGGACGCAGAGCGGACGAGAGCTTGTTCGTCGTCAGGAAAGAGACGGAGGCGGAAGCCGCGCTCGCGGCGCTCAAACGCGAACGCGAGGAGGACGCCGCGACGCCGTGGGACGCGTGCTACCTCCTCGGATGCAGGGTGTGTCTGTACGACCTCGGCGCGCCGAAGACGTCCGAACCCGCGAAGAGGGCCGCGCGGCTGCTCCGACGAGGCGCGGGCGCGGTGACGACGAACCCGGCGAAGGCGACGCACGTCGTCGTCTCCAAGTCCGCCGCGGTGGGGTCCCTGAAAGCGATCAAGGAACACCGGGATAAGGTCGTGTACACGTCGTGGTTGGAAGCGTGCGACGTCGAGATGGACGTCGTGGACATGGACGAGCACTTGGTTCACGCGGAGATGTTCAGCGGGGGTGGGAACGCGGCGGCGCGGCCGATCGCCGCCGCCGCGGTCGGGGAGAGATTCAACCTCAGTCAAGAGGCGGCGTCGCAGGGAATGTCGAAAGGGAAATCGAAACCCCGCGCGAGACCGGCCGCGGAACAGGAGGAACCGCGCCGGAGGGAAGGTCCCGCGTCGCCGAACCCGCTCACGCGCCAGGCGCTCGCGGCGACCGCGGCCGCGGAGGCGCAGGCGCTGTCCGAAGCCGCCGCGGCGAAGGCGACGGAAGTCGGCGATCAAAACGTCCCGCCGATAGAGTCGACGCGCGCGAAGGTCAACGCGAACGACGTCGGGTGCTCGTACGACCCGGCCACGGGAACGGAGCTTCCGGCGACCGCGATCGCGATTCCAGAGACGCGCGCGGCGGCAAAAGACGACGGCGAGGGAGAGGGAGAGGGCGGGAGCGGCGGCCCGTTCGAAGGCATGAGCATCGGGCTCAGCCGTCTGTTGTCCAAGGAGGAAGACGACGCCGCGCGCGATTTCATCGCGCACGGCGGCGGGATCGCGGTGACGATGCCAACGGAGAGCGACGGGCGGTGGGCGAGTTCCGCGTCGTCGACGTCGTACGTCGTCTGCCCCGCGGCGCCGACCGCGGAGGAGCGAAAGGTTTTAAACGCCGCCCCCGAGAGCGCGCGCAAACACGTCACGTGTCACTGGCTCGAGAGGTGCGTCGAGGCCGGGCTCGCGATCCCACTCTCGGGGGACGCGGGGCTGAACCCGGCGTATCGACCGTTACCGTGCGACGCGCCGTTGGAATCCATGCAGCGCTTACGCGTCAGCACGTCGCTTTACGACGAGAGCGTCAAGGAGTCTGTGCACATGCTTTGTCGCCTGTTAGGGGCGAAGTACACGGACAACTTGCGCAGGAATAAAAACACACATCTCGTGGTGCCGACCGCGGAGGGGACCAAGTACGAGGCGGCGAAGAAATGGGGTCTTCACGTCGTGACCGTGGAGTGGCTGCACGCGTGCGTGAAAGCGGGAAGGAGGGTGTCCGAGGTGGACTTCCCCCCCCCGCGCGCGCCCGACGACGACGCCGACGACGCCGGCGCGGAGCCGCCGCCGCCGCCCGCGCCAAAGTCCGCTTCGAAACCCGCGCCGCCGCCGTCGAACAGCCAAGGAGGGACGCGCGACTTGTCGAACGTGCTGCGCGCGTCGCAGCCGGCGCCGCGGCCGTCGTCCTCGGCCGTCGCGGCGCCGCGACAGACGAGCCGACCGTCGTCGCAGACGGTTTCGCGAAAGCGTCCGGTGTCACAGACGGCGGCGCGCGCTCCTCGGGACGCGCCGGCGCCGCGACACGACCTCGGCTCGGACGCGACGACGCAAGGTGGCCCGGGCGCGGAGTCTCCGAGCGATCCCGACGGCATCCCGCCTCCGGAGGTTGCGATCGAACGCGCGAGGGCGTCTCACGAGAGACCCGCGACGCTGCCACCGGATGGGAGCCAGTTCGTCGCGAACCTCATCGACGACATCGCGGGAGGTTTAGGGTTCGGTGGCGCGGGGGGCGAGACGCAGTACGACGCCGTCGCCAACGACGGGTTCGACGGGTTCCGCGTCCCCGAACCGGTCGCGCAGGACGGGTGTTCGACCCCGAAGACGACGCGTTGCGGGGACGCGCGCGGGGAGACGGCGAACGGCTCCGCGGGGCGCAAGAGAGCGCGCGAGGAGCAGTCCACGAGCGGCGCGACCGGCGACAGGACAGGCGGCGGCGACGGGACTGGCGGTGGCGGGAGGGGTGATCGCGTCCCGATGTCCCAGGCCGAGATCGAGTCGCAGCATCAGATGGTCGGGTACGCCGAGGACGGGCCGCCTTCGCGCGTCGCGCGCAGGGGAGGCGGCGGCGGCGGCGGCGGCGGACGGAACGACAGCGGGCTCGTGAACTCGCTCTTAGGCCAGGGCGGGGTCGTGGGCGGATCCGGTGGGGGCGGGAAACCGGGTGGGGGTGGCGTCGCGCGCGCCGCGGTCGTGCACGCGGAGGATTGGGCGTGAGCGTCGCGTCCCGCGGCTTCAAAATAAATTGACTGAACAGCTGCAGTTCGTCCCGGGAAAAAAAATATTCATCGCGCGCTCGAATTTCGACCAATCATCAGGCCCCGGACTACAACGAGGTACAGTACGTGAACAGTAAACCATCCGGAACATTTTTAACTCAAAATCGACGGTTTAATTTCGCTCGACCGGCTTTCGCGAGCTGCTTGCTGCAAATTTTGCTGGCCCGTGGACCGTCCAGCTGGCACTGCGACCGCTTGTGGGTAAGATTTCCCGTGAAGCGATCGCGCGTCGCCGGCTTCCCGGCACTGTGCAAGACACACGCCGACTCCGTCGCGTCGTCTACCTCTCAAAAGTAACCCAAGCAAGATGGCCACCATGACCATGTCCGCCACGTGCGCGCAGCCCCTCGCGGCTCGCAAGACCTTCGGCTCCACCGCGAAGCTCGCGGCGACCCCGAAAGTTCGCGCTGCGAAGCGCAACGTCGTCACCCGCGCCGCGCGTGACGGCCCGGTCATCATCGGCCTCGCCGCGGACTCTGGCTGCGGCAAGTCTACGTTCATGCGCCGCATGACGTCCCTCTTCGGCGGCAAGGCGACCCCCCCGGAGGGCGGCAACCCGGACTCGAACACGCTCATTTCCGACACCACCACCGTGCTTTGCCTCGATGACTACCACCTCAACGACCGCAACGGCCGCAAGGAGTCCGGCCTGACCGCGCTCAACCTCAAGGAGCAGAACTTCGGTGCGTCTGCGTGCCACGCATCCCCCCGCCCGCTCTCGCGCGTCCGCGAGGGCCTCGACGACGCTCTTCCGGCGGCTTTCCGGTCGCTCACGAAGCGCGTCAAGTTTTTACTCGAACGGATATTCTTAGGGCTTATCCATCGCACGCGTCTGAGATCGCGCGTCCGCGCGCGGTCCAATCGCGTCGACACGCCCTGGAAATCGTCCGAGGAGACTCGTTCGGGTGTTCCGAGCTCGCGCGCGTCCTCACTGGGCGTGCAACGGCGCCGCGGACCCCGCTCGCGCGACCGATCGTGGGCGGTCCTGCTCCCCCGTTTTTTCACGTTGCCACAAAACGTTTTCAGTCCAGTTCGCTGACCTCGCGTCTGCACCCCGTGCGTCGCCGTCCTCAGACCTCATGTACGACCAGGTCAAGGCGCTCAAGGAGGGCAAGGCCGTCGAGAAGCCGATCTACAACCACGTCACCGGCGTGTTCGACCCCGCGGAGAAGATCGAGTCCCCGGACATCCTCATCCTCGAGGGCCTCCACCCCTTCGCGGACGAGCGCGTTCGCGACATGTTCGACTTCAAGATCTACCTCGACATCTCCGACGACGTCAAGTTCGCGTGGAAGATCCAGCGTGACATGGCCGAGCGTGGCCACTCCCTCGAGTCCATCAAGGCTTCCATCGAGGCGCGCAAGCCGGACTTCGACGAGTTCGTCGACCCGCAGAAGCAGTACTCCGACGTGATCATTCAGGTGCTCCCCACGCAGCTCATCCCGGACGACAACGAGGGCAAGATCCTGCGCGTGCGCATGATCATGAAGGAGGGTGTTGAGAACTTCGACGCGCCGTACCTCTTCGACGAGGGCTCCACGATCTCCTGGATCCCGTGCGGCCGCAAGCTGACGTGCTCTTACCCGGGCATCAAGTTCTTCTACGGCCCGGACACCTTCTTCGGCGAAGAAGTCTCCGTCCTCGAGATGGACGGCCAGTTCGACAAGCTCGAGGAGCTCATCTACGTCGAGTCGCACCTCTCCAACACCTCCACGAAGTTCTACGGCGAGATCACCCAGCAGATGCTCAAGTACCAGAACGGCCCGGGCTCCAACAACGGTACTGGACTCTTCCAGACCCTCTGCGGCCTCAAGGTGCGCGAGCTCTACGAGCGCATCTCCGAGAAGGAGGTTGTCGCTGCCGCCTAAGTTCGCATCGTCATTACACGCGTGCTATGGTGGGTTGGGCCGAAGGATTCGGCGGTTGGTGTCGCGAGTTTTGGTGTGCGAGCTGAGGGCAAGACACGATCTCGCGAGGGGGTGGTTCGCAGCGCCGATTGAGACAAATCGGAGCGGCGGCTTGGAAGTGGTGTATAGAGAAGTTTAGAAATACCACGGATTTCAATGGTTGTAAACACACACCTATTTTTTCAATCCACAACGTACTTTCGAAAGTACCTTCGAAGGTACGGAAGTACGTACAGTACACGTACGTCTTCAGGACGAGAACTCGCCACCGCGAAAAGTGAAAAAACTACTCTGAATAAACAAAAGCTATATTATCTATCTAAACGGTCGCGTCGCAGACGCGCTCGTTTCGAGCGTACGCTCCCTTCGTGTCGGTTAGTCGGGTTATTCACCAGAAGCACGAAAGAAGAAGCGTCGTTCATGAATCACGATGAGTGCATCGCTCGCGCGTGTTTTCGCCTACGCAGCGAGCTCGTCTTGCATGAGCAGCGCGACCGAGGCGAGCGTCCACTTGACAGGGGGCTCCTTCTCGGGGTGTTTCATCGTGAACGTGGACACCTGCGCGGAATATACGTTCGCGCGCTGCATGTTCATGTACACGGGGCACATGTAGTACCCTTTCGTGTCGTATTTGTCCGTGGTCACCGGGATCACCTTGATCACGGGGAGCAAGCAGCGAAGCTCCTTCGGATTGGAGTCCTTGAGTGTGCCACCCTTGCTATCCCACCTCGCGCCCTCCATGGTGAGACCGTGGATGTACGTGCCTTCCTCGGAGTATTCCGTGACATCTCCAGGGTTCAAGGTGGTCACCTCGGTGATAAATTCCATCACGTCGAGCGGGAGCTGGTTCTCGCGAGCGTACACTTGCTGCACCGCGGTGATTAAAGCCTTCGCGTTGAAGAGACCGGGGAGCCACACGGACTTCGGGCGCTCGATCGTCTTCGCCGTCCACTTGTCGAGCTGCGCGTGACGTTCTTTTACGTCTCTGTACCAGCGCGTGAGAGAGTACACCTCCTGGACGCGTGAGGACATCTGCTTCATCCAGCTCGGTGGGACGGTGTTTCTGTAGATGCCGTTTTGCACCATCTCCATTGCATCAGACATGTTTAAGGCGCCGTCCAAACCGAGGGTGAGCTCCTCGAGCGAGCGCTTGATGAAAATGAGAAGGTCGGTCATGCGCGTCGCCTCCTGGATCGCGCATACGACGTACGGGTTCTTATCCGTGACGCGGCTTTCGATGTCGATGACGATGAACGGCTCGGGGCATGTGTCGTACATCGACTCGACACCCTTGCGCACAATGCTCTCAAAGTCGTCGCCACCGCCACCACCGCTGCCGCCGCCGCCGCTGACGTCTTGGATGGTGTTGAACAGAATCTCGCCCTCGGTGGTGAGCAACGAGAGCTGAGCGTTGAAGTGGAGTCCGTAAATGGACGGCGTCTCAGCCGGCAAGTTGTTTTCGACGTAGGTCTTCAAATCGGCATATGATCCCAGCGTCGGATCGGGAGCCATGAGACCGGGCGCGAGCTGCTTCTCCGGCGGCGTGCCGTCCTCCGCGGGAAGGAGATCGGGCGTGATTAGGACATCGAGGTATGAAATACACAGCCTGCGGTCCATGGCGTCCGTGATGTGGCCGCCATAAAAAACTTCGCCGAACATGTACCGGAGATCCTCCCACGGAGTGTTCTCGTTGCCTTCGAGGTAGTTGTACAACACCTCCGTGCAGTTGACGAGATCGCCCATGTTGAAGGAGTAGCCGCGGCAGTAACCAAGACCGGATCCGAGCCCGATGCCGATGCCGACGCCAAACTTCTTACGACCGAGAAGGAGGGAGTGGTAAAAGCAAAGCGCGAAGAGAACCGCGGTGTGCACCGTCTTCTTCTGTAACGTCGTGGAGCGATCGAGGACGTCTTGGCTGAACGGTGCGAGCGCGCGTCGCATGTTCGACTTCAAGTCCGAAGGAGGCTCGTTGGAGATTTTGATGCATGTCTGAAGGATACTCTCGGGGACGATTTTCGCGAACGGAGCTCCGTTGATGGGCTCCGCGCTGAAGAAGCACCGGAAATCCTTGTGCGCTGACTCCGCCGCGATCTCGAGCTTTCGCTCGAGCGAAGGGATCCAGCCTTGCATGAGATGCACGTTGTCCAGGAATACCCAGCCACCGCTCTTGGTGTACTTATCCAACACGCCCTCGGCAATGGGTTCCTGACCTTGTCCCATCGAGATAATGGTGAGCTGGCCGTTCTCAGAAGTTTTGCCCATATCATTTGCCATTACTTCGATCTCCTTGGAGGGGGAGTAGCCAGGGAAGAGGATGAAAAAGATGGGCGTGGAAGGCCCGGTCTCTTCGTACATCTTCGCGGCGTCGAAAGCATCTTGGTTAACGTACTCGCTCCCCATCTGATTCTCTACGAAGTTCGTGAGCGCGCCCGTGATGCGATCAGATCTCAGCGCCCGAATGAGCAACAGCTTTTGGAAATCCGTGAGCTTCTTTTCCCACTCGCCCGGGAGTTTCTGGGACTCGGCCATCTCGTGCAAGCCCCAGTACATCCAGTCCTCGCCTCTCTTTTCCATGTCACGGGATATCCCCTTGAATGTGGACATCGTCTCGAGGCCTTGGAGCGCGACCCACTGCGCTTCGTTCATCCAGAGCGCTAAATCATCCGGTAGCGGCGGAGGCTTCGGACCGTTCACGCCCTTGAGCAGGGCGTTGTACTCGAAAGAGTCGAGCTCGCCGGCTTGGAGCAGGATGGAGAACGTGAGCAGAGTAGACACGATCAACTTGTCTTTGTCGAACAGACCGCGACGGGTGAAGTTAAACACCGTGTACGTCGTCGTCTCCAGCAATGCCTTCAGGCGTTTTTCCATCTCTTCCTCCGTGGGTTCGGGGGTCGCATCCGCTGCTTTGCCTTTGCCGTCTGCTGCCGACTTCTTCTTCGAAGGAATCAGCGTCGCGAGTAGATCCATGTTCCAATCGAACTTACCCATCACGCGTTTAGCGACTGTCCTAAAACTGATCTTGACCTTCCTTTTCCGTCCACCAGGCGCGATGTCAATTCCGCGGCTGAACACCGTGACAAACGCATTGAGTGAAAAGGCGTAGAATGCGTGCACCTTGTTCAAAGAGTTGAGCATGAAGAAGAGCAGGGCTCCGCGCGCGGCGCACACGCGGTACTTCTCTCGCGAGATGTTGATCCGCTCTTCTGTCTCTTGGGATTCTTCAACTTTGAGCACGATTTCATCCGCGACTCGTTTCGACTCTTCGAGCGACTCGATGAGCTCGACGTCCTCCGTGAGGTCGCCCTCCGCGTTCGCGAGCTTGAAGAGCAACGTATCTTCGAGTTCCTTGAGCTTGATCGTGAAGTCGTTGTTCTGCATGATGAGCGCAGTCTTCGTCTCTTCGAGATCGGGTCGTTCTTTGTTGACGACGAGCGCGAGCAGCTGGTCTTCGAGGCCGTCCTGAGTCACGGTGAAGTTGATGAGCGTCGTCTCCGCTTGAATCTCGGGAGGATAGTGCGGGTTGGACATCTTCGTGTGCAGGAACAGCTTGAACTCGGGGTGATATTCGACGTCTTTATCGCCCATTTTAACGTAAAGGGATCGACCCTTCTTGTACGTCGCGCGGGTCACAGTGGGCATGAGCACGGCGTCGATGGTCTCGCCCATGTTTTCGATGAGCACGGAGTGGCCCGCCTCGATCGCGCGTTCCATCTGCGTCGCCGTTTTGGGAGCGCCCATGCGAACGACGACCAGGGAGTTCTTGGACTCACGCTCTTTGATCCAGCCGATACCTTGCAGCTGAGGGTCGCACATGAGTGGCCAACGTTCCGTGTTGCAAGTGATCGTGCCGTTCTCGGTCGACGTGCGGTCCGAGGGAAGACCTTCACCGACCCAGCCAGCTGTCGTCGCGGCGTCCACGAGCACGCGAAGCACGTCGATACCCTCGGTCATGGGAATATTGCTGTCCACGATTTTCTTCGAAAACGAATCGACAAGCTTGGTACGGAACTTCGCCGTGAAAGGACCCGCGTACGTGACGAACGCGGCAGCGTAAAGGCAGTCTCCCGCCAGAAGCTCGTTGTCGATCTTGAGTTGAGCGACGGTATTTTTCCACTGCTCTCCGCTCGCAGCAAGGGCGTTGACGAGGCGGTTCGCGAGACCGAGCTTGATGTCGAGCCTCTCCTTCTCGTCGATGGCGCCGTTCTTTTCAGCCTCGGCTTCGTCGAACTGACGCTCGAGATCGGCCACGAGCGCGTTTAGCTCCGCGACCTTGGCCTGGACAGCGGCGAGTTTGGTGTTCGCTTCCTCGAGCTGCGCGTTCGCCTCCGCGAGCTCGTTGCGCTTGGGCTCGATCATCGTGATGACGTCAAAGTACTTGATGATGTTGATGGCGAACTCGCAAAGACCCGCGGCGGCTCGAGACTTGTTGTAGATCGTGTCTCTGTTGAAGTGCTCGAGCTCGAGGTACGGGCGGCACGCGTCGACGTTCTTTTTAGGAACGTTGCCGTCGTCGATTTCCTGTTTGAATCCCTTCAGGGTCTCCATAAATCTATCAACGTTGGACATCATCTTCGTCGCCGCGCCCCACGACTTATCCTTGGGGTTGTTCTGCAGGAGGATGATGATGACCGCGGTGATGTCATCGACGCCAGCGGGAGGTTTCTTCAGCGATTTCGCCTCGCCGAGATCCTTCTTGTTGAGCGTGTCGAGCGCCGCGAGCGCCGCGTCGACGAGCGGCTCCGCAGCGTCGAGATCAGCCTGCACGGACACCTGCTTCGCGGAAACTTCCGTGGCGATGACGCTACACTTCTCCGCTTCGATCTGCGCCGCGTCGTTTTCGATGCCGGCCTTTTCTTTCTCGACCGCGACTTGGGCGGCGAAGACCTCCGCAGAAGCAACTTTTTCTTCGACTTCGACAGCTTTCACCTTCGCTTGCTCGACGAGTATGTCGACGTCCTTCTGCGTCCTCATGAGCTTGGTAAGACCGTTCGAGAGGCGGTCGATGTTCGTCTCGGTTTCTCCGCGCTTCGACGCGAGAAGAGTCTTGTAGAGCTTGATGAGCTCGAGGAACGTCTTCGGCGTGGTGTACACGTGCCTGCGCTCTTGGTCGAGGAAAGTTTCCGACACCTTCGCGACGAGGCCGAAGGAATACGGCATGAACTCGATGATGCCCTTGGTAGCGGCCGCGTCGCCGAGCTGGACGTCGCCGAGGAAGCGATTGGACACGCCGAGAAGCGCTTGTTCCGGCCACGGCTGGAACCAGTCGATGACCGTGGAGTTGATCATCGCCAAGAACCGTTGTGCGCGGACGCGGAATTGCTCGCCGACGGGGGAGCACGTGAACACCATGTGAAGGTTCTCCCTCACCTTGTTGATGAAGAAATCCCAGCACGACTCGCGGCTGTCCGGAAGGCCCGCAGCTTTGACCTCTCCGCGCATGGAGTTAACGATCTCGTCAACGTCTTCGACAGGGAATAGGTCGGGGATTTCACCGGAGGAGAGCAAATCGTTGATGAAGACGAGAAACTTTTCATCCGTGATTTGGCTGTCCGTGAAGAGGAACATCACGCCCTCACCCTTAATACCGGCGAGCTTGTACATCTTCTGGAGGTCTTCTTTGAGAGAGCTCGTGTTGTACGAGCCTGAGATGACGATCATATACGTCGACATCCCGCACAAGTGCGCGGAAAGCTTCGACAATGATTGTTTCCCCGACCCTCCGACGCCGACGAGAAGCGCGTGACCGCCAGGGTTCGAGATTATGCGGCTGATTCTGCAGACGTGCTTCATCGCATCCTCGAAGAGCACGAGGTCCATCGTAGCGTTCGACTCGTTGTACTCCTCGAGGGTATCTTCGAGGATCTTCTGCAGCTTGGAAAACTCGTTGATGTCGTTGTAAATCTTCTCGCCGACACCTCCGGCAAAGTGACAGAAGATTAGTGGCTTCGCGTTATCTTTCTTGTAGTAATCCTCGATGCCGGGAATTTTGAAATACTTGCCCGCGATGCTCTGCGCATTTTTGTTGTACGTGTTCAGGTCCGCGGTGGTCACCAGGCGATCCGCGTACACGCGCTCAGACTCGTGCAGCCAAAGCTTCGCGAGTTTGTCCACGTTGTTGAAGTGCTCCGGCGTGGAAAACAGCAACCCTTGGAAAACATTCGTGAGGTGCCTCACCGTGAACTCGTAGTGGAAGTTGACCGCTGTTTTCCTGAAACTCGCCACCACCTTCTCGTGGTTAGCAAGCGACGCTTGGATGATCTTGCTGCCGAGCTCCAGGCAGTCCGCGCTGAAGTGCTTCAAGTGCCCGGTGAGGAAGGTGCCGTAAATCGTCATCAAGGAATCCTGACCCGGGAAGTCCACCGCGAGCGTCATGAAGAGACGCTGCAGACGCGGGTTGATGGTGAACGCACCCGCAGTGGGATTCATACACGCCACGTATTGCGTGTTGTGGATGACCTTGGGCGTCAGCTTCGCGCGATCGAACCAGTGTCCCCAGCCGAGGTGCTGGCGGATCTGAGAGATCGGCATCGCGGTGTCGTAAGCGTCGAGCTTCGGCATGTTAAGATCGTCGACGAAGTAAATGAGCTTGTTTTGACCCGGAGGGCCAAAGTTCACACCGGCCTTCTTTTCCAGCTGCGACTCGAGAATTTTCTGGAAGGACAGAACATCCGTGAAGTAGTTGAAGGTGATGTTCAAACTCATGATTCCCTCGGGCTGCGTCGCGAGTTTGCCCTTCACGAGCTGCGTCTTGCCGGTGCCCGCAGGTCCGACGAACATGATCGGAGCCCGAAGGTCTAACATCATGTCGAGGAAGTACGTAAAAGAGGACGTTTCCGGCGTCGGTACGAAAACAGACGTCATCGGCGTGAGTTGCGAGTCGTATTCAACTTCAGGCACGAGATCCGCCCAAGGTGCAAACTTGCCCGTCTTCGCGTTGATGTAATAATCAAACACCGTGCCCTTGCCGGGGAGTTTGATCGTCGTCCACTTGCGTTTCCACCACTTGTCGAAGTCCCTCCTGTACTCGATGCCATCCTTCGGCGCGAGGCCGCCGCCGAAAGCCCAAATCATCGCGAGCACGAAGTACGTCTCGAACGTTTCTTGAGTAGCCTTCGCGTTTAGATTCTCTGGTTTTAGCATTCCCTCTAGTATATTCACCAGAGTCGTGCAGAAGTTCATCGTCTCCAACGGCGTGATGTGTTGATACGACTTTTTCATCTCGAATATCGACTCTGCGACATACTTCTCCACGAGCTCTGTGATCCACACGGTGGGCTGCTCAGGGTCTTTCCACTTCGCTTTCTCCGCGTATGGCGGCACGACGCGTTTTATCCACGAAGTGATCATGTTCTTCCACTGCATCTTTTCAGAGACGTACACGATACCCGCGCGCGTCGCCGTCGCGGGCGTCGCGAACTTGAGGTTACGAATCTCGAACAGGAGCTTCATGTGCGGCAACAGACGGATCCGCTCGTTCGAAGGGAGCGTGAGAAGTCGATTGTCGTCCATGGTGGAATTCATGGACTCGATCCAGTTCGCGTCGAGATCACCGTCAAGAATGATCCACTTCGGATCCTCGTCCGGAATCGTCGCGAGCTCGCGCATGTAGTAACTCATCATGCCATCCTTCCACTCCCGCGTCGTCATATTGACGTACCCGTAAAATTCTTGCGTCGAGATGGACTTCGGGTTGATGTCGCGAATGACAACCTTCTTTTTGTTGTTCGGGCGGAGGTAGTCGTTCACGATATCATCCTCCTTCAGGTCCACACCCTTTTGAATCGCTTTCGCGAGGACGCGGTACGCCTCCGTGCGCCCACCGCCGGTCACTCCCATCAGGAAAATGCAGTGTCGAATCGCGAGCAGCTCGGACAGCTGCACGACGCGAAGAATGAAGTCATCTTCGACCGTGAGGCCCATCTCGATCGTGGTCGCTTCGATCACCCTCTCAAAGTCCATGTCGCGCTTGCGCGGCGGGTCGACGCCGAGGAACAGATCGCTCAGCAGACCCATGAAGATGACCATATCCGCAGCGATGATCTTCGGGATGTTGAAATCTCTCAGCGCGCGTAAAAGCACGTCGGATTCGTCCTGGCCCTCCTCCGCGCGGAGTAATGAACCGGCGACGACGAGCACAGACTTGATAGCACGCAGGCCCCAGTCGTAGTGCGTCTGCGGCGAAAGCATGTCCTCGAGGAGGTAGTACAACGACGCAAATTTCTTCGCGAGCATCTTTGCCTCGACGAAACCTTCGGCCATGAGCATGTTCTCCATGATCAACTGTCGATCAGGCACCATGACGGTGATCGGGCGGAAAAGTGCCTTGAGGGACTCAGGAAGCTCCGCACGGCCAATGTAACCGGGATTCATCGTGATGAAGCCGGAGCAGCCTTCTTCGAGAGGCATCTCCACACCGTCTGCGGCGGTGAATTTCCAGTTTTGGATCGCCTCGTGCTTCTCACCATCGGCGTCGACGTACTCGAGACCGCGACCTGGCAAATTTGCCTTGCGTTTCTGCGCGTCCGTGACACACTTGTACTGCACGGAGCACACGGATAACACTTCGGGGACAAGACGGTTGAACTCATCGAAGCAGCCCCAAGAACCAGACGCGGCCAAACCTTTGAAAATATCGCCCATCGTGCGATAGTCCATCTCGGGTGCGCAGTTGAACACGTACATCGACTTGCCGAGTTGCGCGGACAGATCCTTGGACGTCTCGGTTTTTCCCGTGCCCGCGGGACCGGCGGGAGCGGTCCCCATAGACAGCCAGCATGCTTGCGTCGCGGTGATATACACGCGATCGGTAAGCGGAGTGATGACGAGGCGCCCGCCGTTGCCCAGGTACTCATAACCATAAGGAAACGACGCGTCGCAAATGCGAATCACGGCGTCGTCGATGTCCGTGTCCCAATATGTCCGCAGCTGAGACATCCACTTGAAGCAACCCTTGCGCACTTCGTTGTTGTCTATGAGGCCGATGACCATGTCGCGCGAGTGGGCGTCAATGGTGATCATGTTCATGATCTTCTGTCGCTGCGGTTTATCGAGGTTGCGTTTCGTGCTCGCGATCAAGTCGCTGAGTTGTTGCACTTGCTGCTCGCTATATTTTTTCATCGCCAGTGGATCGTGGTTCAGGGTGTGGTACGCGTCGTCACTGTTGTCCAGCGCCTCGAACGCCTCTTCAACCTCTGAACACCAATAGATCTGGTTCACGACGAGGCCGAGCTGGGACGACCAGTCAAAGCACCACTCGTGACGAGGTTTAGGGTTGCAGTACGCCTTCATCGCGTCAAAGCAGTGGAGCCGCAGTTCGCTCCGCATCTTGTCGATGATCAGGTTCATGTACTCCTCCACCTTGCCTTCGAGTTGAAGTCCAGACTTGAACTTGATCGTCTCCTTACCGACACACGAGATGATCTCCTTACCCGTAGGCCGCGTGTTCCCGGACGGGCTGTCGAGCGTTAGCTTCTCGATCGCTTGGAAGCACTTGTTCATGTGTGTCATCACTTTCACCGGGTTGTTGCCGTTGGAAAGAATGTCGAGGAGATCCGCAGTGGACACGAAGTAGAAGCGCGGGAACGCACGGCGCTTCGATTCCATGTAGTCCGCGAGCGCTTTCTCGCAAATCTCGAGTTCGGACTGTTGCTTCTCGAGCTCCTTAAATAGACCTTCTTTGCACGCCGACGCGACGACATTTTTCGTCGCACACGCCTCTTTCAAAATGCCCTTCACGACGTTGTCGATGGACTTGAATCGCGCGGCAGCTTCCGGGAGCTCCTTCTTTACCTCATCGGAGTGGATGAAGAGGGACTCCAGATAGGCCCAGGTGCGCTGAATTTCGGACAATATCTGGTTCACGTCAGCCACAGTCATGAGTTTCTTGTGCCAGCCCGTGATCTGCCCCTCGAAAGTCTTCATGTAGCGGTTCGCCAGCATGCCCTGCACGAGCACCTGGTTATCTTCCAGCGCCTCGAAGTCTTCTTCACCGAGCTTGACCGTCTGGATGTCCGTGTCCTTGTGTTTCATCATGTACCATTCAACCTTAGCCCACGTCACGTCGAGCTTGCCGAGTGAGACTTCCATCTTCGCCTCCTTCTGCGCGCAATCGACAATCTCGCCGACTTCGTCCTCAAACTTGTGCAGCTCGAGGGCGAGAAGGGAGTCGAGACTAAAGTTGCCGTCGATGACGAAATCCTTACCTGTGGCGGACATGAGCGACGACCAGTGACGATCGCGCATGTCGGGCGATCGCAAATCAGCGACGAGCGGTACGGAGGTGAGGAAGTTCTTGACAGAGTCGTCCAAACCTTTGAACGCTTCGTATTCACGAATCTTCTTCGGGAGGGTTTTCACATCCTTCTGGAAAGCCTTCGTGTCGTCCTCCATCGCCGTGGTGTTTATGTCGTTCCACAAGGTCAAGCGCCACTTGGAGAACTGTTGTTCCACCAGGGCGGAGAAGTCCCAGACATCCCGAACCATGACAAGTTCTTCGCGGCACTCTGCAACGGTTTCTGTTGCCTCTTTGATTTTCTCCGGGAACTCAAACATGTTTGCCAGGTTCGTGAGATGATCGATCTCTTTAGACAGAGCGGTCATCTCCTCGTTCGCAGCGTCGAGCATGGGGTACGCGGTCTTGAAACCGGTTTCGTACTTGAAGATTGGACGATTCGTGAAGTCCATGCGATAATCGGTAACCTTCGCGGAGAACTCAGAAATCTGCGCCGCGATCTCGTCCCCGCGGAGCTCCTGAATCGGCGCGACGGTCTCCTTGACTTCGGGAACCATCTTCTTAATTTCCTCCCACTGCGTCCTGAGGTCTTTCATGCGATCTTCAAGTGATTTCGTCGAGACTTTCTCCTTCGTGAGCACATTCAGAGTTTCCGTGATGCAATCCAGCTCGAGATCGATCCCAGCCTTGCGCGCTTTGATGTTGTACAGCGCGGACATCACCTTCATGAGGAAATCGAAAGACTCCTTCAGCTTCTCCGGGTCCTCGGCCATGCCAAAGGCACCCTCGGTCTGGTTAAAGAAAGACTCGAGGTCATCGATCTGTTTCTTCACGCCCGTGGTCATGAGCTTCACGAAGTCATACCCGTCCGCGAGCTTGACGGGGTCAATCGTGGAGACGACGTCGAAGCGGTTGCCGCCGGCTGATTTGACCGTCACGAGTTCGCCGCCATGAATGGTCGCGAGCTCCCCCGTGGGGTTGCAGAACGCCGGGTCAGCCCGGTACACAAGCCTGAACGTGTTCGTCTCGCAGTCGATGATAAAGGCATCGTTTACCGGATCTTTACCGCTCATGCCGCCGTATAACATCATCGAACCTTCACCAGTGGCCTGTAACATGGCGAACGCACGCGCACAGGGCACCGAAGCACCCGCGAGCGGGATTGATTCTGCCGTCACGGTATTCCTGTCGGTGGTTATCTTGATGAACTCGTCGAGGATGGTCTCTTTCTCCATCTCATCTTTGTAGACGCCACCGAAGACGTAAATCACATCTCCCATCGTGCACATGGCGGCACCTCTGCGAGGGAGGAAGTTATCGCCCACGACTTCGTGTTGCTGCCACTTCAACGAACCCGCGCTGAGATCGATGCTCACGAAATCCTCCAGGGTCACGAGCTCGCTCTCACCGCCGAAGATCATGATCTGGTTCTTACCGAAGGCAGTGAGCGCGGATGCGCTGCGAATCAGGATCGGTCCCTTCTCGATGCCATCGTCTTCTTCCGGCTCTGGTTCGGGTTGAGTTTCCTCCGCAGGCGCTGCTCCCTCGCCTTCCGCGGGCGCGGCAGCCTCTTCGCCTTCTGCGGGCGCGGGGGCTTCCTCACCTTCCGCGGGCGCCGCAGCTCCCTCGCCTTCCGCGGGCGCCGCAGCTCCCTCGCCTTCCGCGGGCGCCGCGGCATCTTCGCTCTGAGCTGGAGATTCAGGCAGGCTTGGCGGGAGTTGCTCGGCGACTTCCTCGGATTCCGCAGGCGGACTCGGCGGGAGCTCAGGAGCGGCTTCGGCTTCTTCAGCCTCCCTTTCTTCCCCATCCGCGTCCTCTCCCTCCGCAGTCTCCGGTTCCGGCTCCGGCTCCGGTTCCGGCTCTTCTACGACCGCGTTCGGGTCGACGCGCAGCGGGAGCGGGGCGAAATTGGGCATTCCCTCGTGCGCCGTCCACTTTCCGTCGACGAACGTGTACAAATCGTTCAACTCGTTACCGTTCTCCAAAAGTGCGCCACCGAAGACAACCACCTTGCCGTTCGACACGGTCTGACCGTGATCCCTACGCGGCGTCGGCTGACCATCCGTCGACGCGGTGTCCCACGACCAGGTTTGTCCTTTCGTGGTGAGCACGCTCACGCCGCTGTCGTTGCCGCCGAATAGGCACATCCTGTCGTTGTCGACCGACGAGAGCGTCCCGAGCTTCCTCTTGAGAGGCGCCGAGCCGAGAGTGCGCTTGTACGTCCAAGGATCTGTGAAGTCCATGTAGAACGGCGAGCCACGAATCGGGATGATCTCTTGCGGCTCGCCGAGGTCGTCGTACCCGACGTCGATGCGGTAGCGTCCCGTGGAGGGGACCGAGTAGAAAATCTCGTGCGTGCCGTTGTCGAAGTCGACCTGGCGCACAGAACCTTTCGGCGCCTTGGGGTCGTCCTCCTTCGTGACTTCGACGACAAATTCGTCCCCGCCGGAAGTCCTATTCGCATTACAGGTGTCCTTCGCAAGGATGCGGAAGGGAATTTCGATCCCGTAAATCGCCTTCGTGTTCGAGTTGACACCCGGACCGAACGCAATGCAGTTCGCCGCGGACGTGTTCGCGAAGTACCTGAATCTCATCTTGTTCACGGTCCATCCTTCGTTGTTGATGCTGACGCGCACCTCCACGTCCATCGCTCCAAAAGCTTCAAAGTTGGGCGTGAGGCACGTGATCTCGTTCTCGTTGACGAATTTACCCTCCGCGGTGGCTTCGTTCTTGCCAGCGCTAAAGCGAATCTCAATTTTGCCTGGTTTGAACTGGAGACCAAAGATGGTGATCTCGCTCTCGCCAAACACAGGGCCGATGTCGGGCACGACCTTCGAACACGCGTACGGGGGACCGATGATCGGGCTCACGTTCAGCAGCCACGTGTCGCCTAGCCAACGGTTGCTCCAGCCTCCGAAGAGTAAGACTTTGCACGTCTTCGGGTCGTATGCCATCGCGGAGTCTTCGCGCGCGCACGGCGGCGTGCCAATCGCGGGCGGGTTGTTCCACACCATGTTCCCGCAATCCATGACTTCCACGTGATTGAGAAAATCGTTCGCGCCTTTCTTTCCGGTGAGACAGAACATCTTAAAGTTAGGCACGGATTCGATCGCGCTGAGCTGATGGTTGGAAATTTCCCTGGTGTACGCCGGCGGCACGCCCACGCCGTCTTCAATCCACGTCATAGTCTGCAAGTCGAGGTGGTGCGTGTCCCCGTGCATCACCATGTTGTCTTTTCCGCCGATGACGACGAACTTGTCAGGGAACCACGTGCTCTGGTGATCGAAACGCGGGGTGGGACCCTTGCCTTTCAAAACGGGCTTGGTCCACTTCGGCGCGACGTGCTCTTCCGCTTTTTCGTCCAGCGCGGTGCCAAAGTCCAGGACGAAGAGCTCGTTGCTCGACTTCCCGTGACCGCCGTATCCGCCAAAGATGAACAGCTGTTCCCCGACTAAAGTAGCGGAGTGGTGCGCTCGTGGGGACGGAACGTCCTCCTCGCCGCCCTCGCACTGCAACTCTGTCCATTCCTTCTTCTTCGTGTCATAAACCCACACGTCCGCGTACCGCGTCCGATGGTTCAGACCGCCGAAAAACACGAGAAAGTGCTTCACGACCGTGCACGTGTGCCTCGAGCGCGGCGGCGGCTTGCACGCGTCGCTGACCTTCTCCCACGACAGCAGCTCCGAGTTGTTCAGGTCCAGGGTATACATGTCGTTGAAAGCGCTCGGCGTGCCTGCGTGTCGTGGGGAGAGGAAGGCGAGGCGGTGGTCAGTCGTCGTGATCGAACGATCGGACGATCGATCGCGTCGTCGCATCCCGAAAGTTTACATTGACGCCCGGGAGACGCGCGATTGCGTCGATGCGACGACGCGCGGACGCGCGTCGCATCGGATTCTAGACCACATGGTCATGGTGAAGCTAAAGCGAACGTACCATTCTTGCGACCGGTGCCTCCGAACACGTACGCCTTGGTCCCCGCGACCGCGAACGTGTGCCCGGAGCGAGCTTCAGGAGGCGTCCCTTTCGTGGGCGCTTCCTCCCATGTCACGGACTGCGAGGATGGGTAGGGTCACGTCAGCGGTGAGATCGTCGCATGGGGCCGGGATGAAGCGCGCGGTCGGGTCAATACGCTGCGGGGGGGGGCATCACGCGCGCGGGAGGGCGCAATCCGGGAGTCAACACCGCGAGCGGATTTCATTTTCTCCCGCGAGCGGTTCCCAACCGCGCGAGACGCGAGATGCGGGACGCGCGCACCATGGCGTGTGCTCAGGCGCTTCTGCCGCCTGCGACCGCTGATCCCTCACCGGGCGCGGTCCTCTCGTCGACGATTCACTGAGAACGCCGCTGAAGCCCTCGCCTAGGCCGTCAGCGCGTCAACCTATGCGCGCCACGCCGCGCCCAAAAATGGCTCTGTCGCGGGGCAAGGCGCGCCAGCGTCAAACGGCCGCTCGCGAACAGAAAGTCTCGTGAGCGCCAACGGCAACGGAAACAAACACCATCATCACCCCGGTGCTCCGCACAACGCGGTGCCCGTTGGACCGCGGCGCACGGCGGCGAGGCGCACATGGACACCCACATGGATGCGGGCGCGAACCTGCGCAGCTCGCTGGATTACGACGCCTTCGCCAGAGCCGGGGAAGGCGCGGGCGAGGCATCGTCGCGAGGAGGCTCGAAACACCACCACAGCGGATGGTTGCTAAAACGCTACCAAACCGGAGGGCCGGAGGTGACGTGGCAGAGGCGCTGGTTCTACCTCCTGGACGACAGACTGTGAGCGACGTCCTCATCTCACTCGTGTCGGCCGGTGCCTTCCCGTTCCGCGGAACTCACGACGCGCTCCCCGCGCACGAACCGTCCGATCGTTTCGTCACGTTCGATCGTTTCGTCACTTCGTCGCATTCTGATCCTGACTCGTCTTCCCAACTCGCCGCCGACCCTCGTCCCGCAGGTGCTACACGAAAACCGACGGGGATTCGCACGAGAGCGCAGTCGTGAAGTATATCCCGTTAGACCGGATACCGATACGGGCGAACTCTAAGCTCGGGATATCCGCCCTGAGCGCGAAGTCCACGCCGCCCGGCTTGCGTCTCGCAAACGGGGGGACGCCGAGCGCGCGGTGTTGCTTCAGCATACAGTGCGGCGAAGTATCGCACGTGCTCGCCGCGGAATCACCCGCGCTCGCGCAACGATGGATGGATAAAATCAACAAAGCGTGGATACACTACACGTCCAAGAGTTCGCGTCATCTCACCACGACGTCGATGGGAGAGCGCGCGGTGCACGACCAGTCTCGTCTCTTCGCCGAGATCGAGCGCTGGCGATTGGAAGCGCAAGAGACGAAGATGGAGGCGGAGAGACGAGAAAGTGAGCTGAGATTAGAGGCGCACGAAGCGACACAGCAAGCTCGGAGATTGACGTCGCTAGTCGAGGACAGGACGAAGTATACGGTGTGGGTGCAAACCGGGTCTGTGAAAGGCTCCGGGACGTCCGCGAAGCCGACGATTTGTTTGATTGGCACGCACGACCGAAGCTCGGGGGATTTGCCTCTTGAAGCGACTGGGCCCCACCGCGACGGCGCGTTCGATAGGCACGTGCTCACGGAGTTCAAAATTGAGTGCGGATACGTAGGCGACATCACGGACATCTTAATCGGACACGACTCGACCGGGTACGCCCCGTCGTGGTTTGTCGATTACGTCAAAGTTCGATGCGACCAGGATAAATCGTCATGGAGGTTTCCAATCGGTCGTTGGTTCGACGAGAGCGGCGAAGACGGCGCGACATATCGCCAAATACCCGCCGCACCCCCTGGCGCGTCGGATCGGGATATGAAAGGGTCGTGCGTGTACTTTGTCACGACGTACACATCGGAGCTTCGCGGCGCGGGGACGGATGCGAACGTGTTCCTCGTCGTTCACGGCTCGAAGGGAAGCACAGGGCAGTTGCGGCTAGCTCGTGGGAAGGACGATTTCAATCGCGGGAACAGGGACCAGTTCGTCGTCGAGGGATTGAACGTGGGCGAGATCTCGCACATCGACATCGGGCACGATAACACCGGTCACGGCCCGAGTTGGCATTTGCAGCAGGTGGAGGTCACGCCTGAGGGAAATACGTTGATACCGTTCCCGTGCAACGAGTGGCTCGAGGACGACCACTCAATGCGCACGCTCGTGCCCGATGACCCGGTGAACCCGTCATCCGCGCGCGGGATGGTCCGTCACCGCGTTGTCGTGTACACGTCGGACGTGCAAGGCGCGGGCACGGATGCGAGCGTCTTCATCACGGTCAACGGCGATCGTGGCGAGAGCGGACCTCACGAACTCTTCTTCGGAAAATCTGACTTCAAACGAGGCGCGAAGGACGTGTTCACAATCGACGTGAAAGACGTCGGAGCGGTCCGCACCGTCGTGGTGAGCCAAGACGGGCGCGGGTCGAGTCCGTCGTGGCACTTGAACTCCGTGGAGTTGCGGAACGAGAACACCGGCTTGGAGAACGTCTTCGTTTGCAAAGAGTGGGTCGAGTCGGAAATTCTCGGGCAGGGCGCTTCCGTCTGCCTCGACGTCACTCGGAACGCGCCTCAATCGAACCACATCCCCCCGCCCGACGTGCGCAACTTGCTACCATCCGCAGTCGCGTCCACAATGCCGGATGTGCTTCCGCCGACTCGCGCGTACAAAATCATCGTGAACACGTCGGACCTCCCTGAGGCGGGCACTTCAGCGGGTGTGTTCGTCGTGATGCACGGTTCTCTCATGGACTCGTTAGTGTGTCAGTTGACCGCGGCTCCGGGGAGGAACTCTGACGTCTTCAAGCGAGGGTGCAGAGACGAGTTCGAGGTCCAGATACCTGGAATCGGAGAGTTGGTCGCGTTGACCGTCGGACACGACTGCGGCGGCACCAGTCCGGATTGGCACATCGGCGCGATAGAGGTGATCGACGTCGAGACGTCGAAGCACGTCTTCTTCCACGTCAATAGATGGATATCGAAGGGCGGACAGCGCGTTTCGGACGGAATGTCATCAACGCGCGTGGAAGCTTCACTTCTCGCGCATGACCCGTCCGCCCCACTGAGCAAGTTCACGATAACCGTGACGACGGCCGACGTCAGAGGTGCTGGAACGGACACCCCGGTGTACATCGAAATCCACGGAACTCGAGGCGGGAAGCCAGAGTCATCCGGTCCATTGCTGCTGAACAACGAGGAGAGCTTCAGCCTTTTCGATCGCGCGGCTGTGGACGAGTTCGACGTCGACGCGCCAGACTTCGAAGTCATCACGCACATTAGTCTGGGGCACTCTAGCGCGGTTACAGGGCACGGGTGGCGCCCTTCTCGCGTGGAAATTCGTGGCCCTAAACTTTCGCACGCGGTGACGTTCAACATCGACAAGCACATTCCAGTCGAAGGCAAGGGTTTGGTTCTGGTGGATTTAAAACCCGTGATTCGTCAACCGAAGTCTGCGGCTCCGATCACGGCCGTGGCCTCGGGAAACCCCGCGAATGCGAAGTACAGAGTGACGGTGAAGACCGCAGACTGCCGAGGCGCGGGGACCAAAGCGGACGTTTTCATCACGTTCTTCGGACCGGAAAGAGATGAAAAATCTGGAGAAGACAGGGTGATCACCGGCCCTCACGCGCTCGTAGCCACGCGAGATGCAGAAGATGACGCCGTAACCGAGGCGAACAAGCAATTATTCCAGCGCGATGCGTCCGATGTATTCATTATCGACGTGCCGTTCGCGGGCGGTGAGGTTGAGTTGATCGAACTTTCACACAACAGTAAAGGCGGGCCGTCGGGATGGTGCGTCGATTTCGTCCACGTCGAGTGCATGACAACGGGATCGCAGTCGCACTTTGACATGGATGGAGAGTGGATTTTCCCGAGTCAACGGGGCGCAGGAGTGATGGTTAAGACGAAGGTGCCGAGAAGCTCGGAGCGAAGCCTGGAACCCTCCAAACCGTACTGCATATGCGTGCACACCGCGGATATGCGCAACGCTGGGACGGACGCGAACGTGCACATCATCTTCCACGGCAAAGAAGGGAATAGTAAACGCATACCGTTAGACAACTCTGCGGTTGTCATCTCCAAATATGTCAAACGTAACAAGCCGGAAGATTCCTGGTACGACCTATTCGAGAGGAATTGGGAAGATGTCTTCGTGATCGACGTCCCGAGCTCGATCGGCGCGATCGAGGCAATCACGATCGGGCACGACGCGGGCGAGCACAGTAAGAATCGGAGGAAGAACACGTGGTTATGCAACTTCGTGCGGGCGATGGAACTCTCAATCGAGGACGCGAATGCGATGAGAGAAGCTTTCGAACGCGGGGAAAAGCCCAGCGAACCGACGAACATGGTCAGTCCGACGCTTTATTTCAAGTGTGGAATGTGGATCGGGTGGGCGAGCAGTGACAAACTGCTTGAACGACGGCTGCCGGGAAGTGAAATAGATCCCAGAGTTCCGCGCGATGCTGACGAAGAGAGCGACGGATACTCCGACGCGGAGGGGTCGGGCGTTAAGTCTGCTTCCGATTCTGGTACGCCAGATGGCTCTCATTCCGGTACGCCTCGTGGTTCTAATACCGGCACGCCCCCTCCCTCCTCGGCGCGTGTCTTTCACCACGAGGCGAAACCGGCGGTGTTCTCTTTTAGCGGCGCCGGTCATGACTCGACCGAGGATCAAAATCTACGTGCGCATTTGAGTCCTCGAGATCTCAAGGAAGGCAGTCGCTCCGGGGATGATTCACAAGATGCGCTTGCAAAACAGAGCAAAGCCGACATCGAAAGGAACGCGGAGTTCGAAGCGGTGAGAGCAGCGATGATGAAGAAGAAATTGACACCGTCCCCTGCGAAGCCAAGAGTAAGTGGTGGCTTCGGAGGTGGTCGGAGTAGACTATCGAACTAGCTAACTTGTCGGCGTTAAACGATCAGAGCGTGACATGCACTTTTTGGCCGTCACTGCATCGCGTCGACGTCATACGAACTTCCACCGTCGCGTCATCATTCCCGGCAGATGCAACTTGCAGCATGTGTTGCGTGGAAACGAAGTCAGCAAAAAGCCGGTCCTCTCCATCCGACTCGCTCGACGGGATGACACCCCACTTCCCCTTGCCCCATGGCGTCTCGAGCACGCCGTTCTTCAAAAACGTGAGACCTTTCGCACCACCCCACGAGCCGGATTCAACTTTCGCGGCCCGATCCGTCACACGCCGCGCGAATGTAGACTTTCCGAACAAGTTCGCCTCCTCCTCTGGCTTCGGACGAGCGACGCATGGCTTCGCGAAACTCGTTCCCTCGCCCCAGTTCCACATCGAAATAGCGTCGCGCTCACCTTTGATGTACTGGTCGATGAGCGTGACCATACGCTGTGGCTTCTCGGGATGATAGTTGACGTGCACGCTGACTGGTCGCACGGAACGACCGGCGGCGCCGTCGTATAGCTGCTTGTCGTACCGCATGTACCTGAACAAATATTTCGTGTTTTCGAAACACACGTAGTTCATCACTCGCTGAGACACCCCCGCGGGAGCCGGCCCTCCGTTGCCCGCCGCCCCGCGATCCGAAGACCACATCCACACCTGTTCCTCGTTATACGCGGTCTGATCCCAAGTGTTACGCTCCGTGGACATGCGTTCGGCTAACCTAGAAACCATGCGCAGCGACTCCTTCGTCGCCGCTAAATAAAACAAACCACTGTTGCGCGCGACGATACGGCGCATCGGGACACCTCCCGCGCCCGCGTGCTCGAATCCGTACGCGGAGACGTCGTCCCACCCGTCCGTCATGCCTTCGACGTCTGAGTCACCGTAAATCGCGGGAGCGTCCACATGTACCCTTTCGGGGTCATCCTTAATGGATGGAACGACCTTTCGAGATCCCCCGAACGGGTTTCGCATCCACACGATGTCCACGTCTGAAAGCAACACCGAGACTCCAACGGAGAGGAATTCTCGAAGAACTCTAAACTTGAGCCCGGACGTCGCGTGGTTGTCCGTGGACCCTGTCAACGATGTCAGCTCGCGATGGTAGTACGGCGTCCCTCGCGCTCTACACCACGCCGCGGTATCCTTATCGAGCGCGACGACGATCGAGTTTGTGATGTTCGCAGTTGCAACCGCGTCGAGGTACAAACCGAGCATGTAAAAGATGTTCTTGTTCGAGACCGCCACCAAGACTTGTCGGTTTATCGCGACTTTTCGCACGACTTTGCAAAGATCCGCGAGCCCAGCTTCGCACCCGACGGGGAAGTCACCTGCGGGCGGCGCGATATATCGCAACGCTCGCGGCGTAGGCCCTCTTCGGTCGCGCGGCGCGATTGCCGCGCAGTTGCCGTTGTCGTCGCCGTCGCCGATCGGACCATCTCTAAGGACGACACCTCTCGCAGAGTCGAAAGTTTCCGTGGTCAATATCTTGTTCGGATCTTCCGCGCGGGAGACGTATGTATCTCCGTACCACGGCTTTCCCGGGAACCCCTTCGCCGCCTCGGCGATTGCACCACCCGCCTTCCACGAGGAGAAACATTTCGACGGAAGCACTCTGAACGTTGCACCCGAGCGTTGGCGCTCGTCGTGCGCGGGCAACAGGAGCTCATCGCTCAGGGCAACGTCCGCGTCGACGGCGTTATCATTCCCGGTCGCTAGCCACTCCGCGAGTCTGCGCGATTCATCCGTCGCGTGCATCAACACGAGCGATGAGAGCACGTGAGGCATAGCCATCGATTGCGAATATTGCGACCACCCCATCGCTGGATCGCCCATGCCGACGACCTGCCCGAGCATCGACGCGTGATGCGGCACGCCTTCGACGTCCGCCCCGCGCTCATTTGGGACGTTCACGAGCGGGTTCGCGCCCCGGAGGACGACTTCGTGGGAGACTAACAGCACGTCCGCGCCGAGCGCGAGAATAGCCGCAGCGACGGCGAACTGCGCGCGCTTCGCGTTCTCCCCGGCGAACGCGCACGGAAGGTCCGCGTTTCGCGCCGCTCTCATCTCCGCGTCGTCTTTCGCGACGACGACGACCGCGCGCGCGCCGGTCTTCTCGATCGCGTTCTTCGCGACGTGAACCGCGCCCGGACCCTTGGCGTCGTCGTCGCGGAACGCGAGGAGCACCGCGCGCTCGCCGTCGGCGGCGGCGGCGGCGGTCGGGAGCAGAACCGCGAGGGCATCGCACAGTCCGGGGATCGTCTCCTTCGCTTCGCACGTCGACGCGGTCGCGCGGGGGATCGCGTTGACCGTTCGCTCGTCCGACTCCGCGTGCGCGCCGGGGAGGCACTTCCCGTCCTTCCTCGCGTTCGTCCTCGCGCTCGATTTCGTTTGATGACGTTCCGCCCATCCCGACGGGACGTACACGCGAGCGCCTTCGCTCGCGGTTCCAGACGTCGGCGTCGACGTGCGAATCTCAAGTGCGGGCGCGAGTGGTGCCTTCGGCGGCGACGACGACGGCGAGGGCGTCGCGTCGACGAACGCGTCCACGCCGCGCGCGGTGCTCTCGCGCGTCGTCGCGTATCGATCTGCGAGATCGTTCGCGAGCGCGCGCTGCCTCTTCTGGTGGCTACTCAAGAGGCCGGTCAGGGCCCCGAACACGATGCCCGCGAGGATCACGAGCCGCACCGCCGCGCGGCTCCGCGCGGCCGCGGCCCCGCGACTGACCCCCCTGGCGGCCATCGCGCGCCGAGGACTGAGAGCGGACGACTTCACGTCCACGTTGCTGACATGATACGACGTTTCGCGATCGAACGTCGCGTCGTTGCTTTGTCGTCTCGGAGTCTTCACTTTGGCTCGCGCGCCATGGCCGCGTCCGGAGGAGATCCAGGGACGAGCGCCTCCGGGCGGAAGCGTCAGAGAAACGAGAATGCTTCGGAGGAGGAGGACAAGGAGGACGAACCCACCGCGACGGAGGAACCGCCGCCTGATGAGGAGCGGTCCACTGAAGAGGAGGACGACGACGCCCCAATCGAGATTGACGAGGACGACGACCCCGTGGAGTTGCTCGTCGCGCAAGGTGTGAGCGAAGAAGTGGCGAGAAGAGCGCTCGAGAACGCAGATGGCGACGTGGACGAGGCGGTGATGGAGGTGATTCGCTTACGCGAGCTCGAGGAGGAGGAAAGGGACATGGCTAAAGGGATGGAGGAGTCGCTGAGAGAGGCGGAGGAGGAAGCGACCAAGAGAGAGGCCGAGCTCGCGGAGAAGAAGCGTACTGCCCCCGCGGAGTATTTCGCCGGTTCGTCGTTCCTGAGTCATCTCGGCGTAGACGCGAGCGAGCGATTACTCCGTGAGGAGTCGTCGAGTCGTGACGACGTCATGCAGCTGCTCGACTTTGAGAGGCAATGCAAAAAATGGTACCGAGGGAACGGGAAGGAGGTGGACAGCAAGTTCGCCGCCATCGCCGCGGAGATCGTGGCGAACCTCCCCGATGTCGACGCCGCGAAGGAAGAGAGCGGCGAGACGGATATGCTCCACAGCTTGATCGTTGCGCATCTGATGACGTTGAGAGAGGCGGTTCTCGCCCATGTCCCCGAGAAGAGCGGTTCCGTGCCGGAGATTTTCTCGCCGACGAAGACGGCTGATGAGATAGAGGAAGTTGACCTGTGTGACAGCGATTGATCGCGACCACCGGTACAGTAGAAAGTTAGCTACATACATAGGGCTACTACGCTAAGCGTTCTAGCTAGAGATCTAATTGCGCTTTTTGCTCCTCGCCCGCGCTGTGACAGCGCATACGCCGTTGATAGGAAGAACTCGCGTGAACACGTCCGCCACACCGAGGAAGAGCAGTATGCTCACGACCTGTGTGCCCATGAGCGCGTACCTGCTGATGCTATGCCCGATGTCCGCCCAGCTACCTACCGTGGTGATTTGGTAGAAAAAGCGAATAGCCATGCAGTCCGACAACGCGATGAAGATGAGGTACATCCCGAACGAGTCCGCGCCCTGAAGCTTGAGCGACATCAAGAACGCGACCGCAACAGTAAACATCGGCACGAGCACCTTCAGAACGAGCAGTCCGCCCATGAGATACGGATTGAATCTCGTCGTGAATCTATACACGCTGCTCATTTCGAACGACGCGACGCTCGCGATATTTCCAGTCCCAAAAAACGCGGCGTTGATGAGCACAAGAAACACCGCCGCGTGTCTCACGTCCCCAAGGTGCAGGCTACGCGTCGTGGACACGGAGGCGTACGTCACGACATCGCCGACGTCGCATGTCATGGCTATCGAGTGTATCTGGTAGTACCGTTCCAGGGTCATCCAGGCCAGCGCTGCGGCACCGAGGATGGAGTAGAACATGGACTCGTACGAAACGGAAAACAACGCGTACACCGTCGCGGCGGCCAAGTACACGGAGACGAACCTCGGCGTGAATTTCCGCGGAGATAACAACGGAAGAGGGATAGCCCCTACCGCGATGAGCCACGCCGTAGCGTGGAGTCCGTCCGGTATTCGCTCCTCTGCAGTCTGTAGACGATCGACGGATATCACAACGCAACTGGAAGCCGCGAGCAACATGAGCTGCACGAGGAAAAGTTTAAATCCATCGCGGCAACTACTACCACTTGATTCATCGCCGAACACGTCCAATGGGCGCACGACGAAGTGTGCCAGCAAACTGAAGACGCCTGAACAGACTGTTCCTGATACGACCATCACGATGTCGTTCGATAAATCCACGGGGAGCATCGTGAAAGGTGCAAGCGCAGCCGCGGCTGTCGCCGCCACGACATGAGCAGCCGAGCTGCGCCGAGCAGCACGACTCTGGGCCAACCCTTCTTGGGCGATTGCTACAAACGAAAACCATACCGCAAGCGTCGTGAATGCGACGCATGCAATGCAAAATAACCCCGTGTATATCCTGCGGTCGTGGAAGCTCTGGCACAGAACTTGCGTCAAAATTATGGCGACTACGGTGACGACGACACCCCACACGTCAACTCTTTTCGCGGTTCGACGTCGTGTTCTTGATCTCGAAACCGAACGTAACGTTGTGAAACAGTGCCACGCGAAGTAAACTGGAAGGTTGAAGTACGCGTAGTACGTCACCGGCGAGCTTCGCAGTAATAGAACGCCCGATGTCGCGATTGAAACCACCGCCGCCCCCGCCGTCGCACGCGTTTTCGAGGACGCCTCACCAACCCGGGATACGCCTCCCCTCTCGACCCTTAAGTGAACACCCAGAAACGCCATCCAACTCAGAAAGCATGCGGTGATGACGCCCATGAGTAATACTTTATCGTACGAATGTAAGTACGCGTTTCCCCAGACGCACTCGAGCGACAACGCTTGCGCTCCTTCAATCGCCGTCGCGTGGTCCCCTCGCGCGTGCGCCAATTCCAACCCCGCGAGCGTCTCGTCGGCGTTAATCAGCGGCGCATACGGTCTAAATCCAGTCGGCGAGACGTATGCCATTATCGAAGTCGACGACGTGACGGAGACCTTTCGGCGGTACACGGAGAGCATCTGCGCCGCGTTGGCGACAGCGGCGCCTGAACGTATGTCCGGCCGAGCAGAGTTGAGATACGACACCGGAAGCACCCCGGAGTTGTGTTTCGGCGGGGCCATGCCGAGTAACGACGCGCCGAGCGCCGCGACGTCGGCCTGGTCCACGTCGCACCTCGTGGCATCCTTTAGCCCCCATTCCATTTCCGGCGTCGGCGCGTCCTTCCCTCTCGGTCGACAGGCGGCGTTCGTTTCCTTCGCGTCGGACGCGGCACCCACCCCGGCGCCCCACGCGATGAACGGCGTCTCCGTGCACTCCGGATCTCCGTCCCCGTGCCCACCGCGGCGATTCATCCCGTGGTCGGCGGTGAACACGTACGCGGTGCCGCCGCCGTCCTTCCCGAAGCGCGTCTCGAACGCCTCGTGCACGCGCCGCGCGACGTCGTCCACCGCTCGGACGGCGGAGAGGTATCCTTCCCCGTGCGGCTTGTGCGCGTGCCCGGCGCTGTCCACCCCTAGAAGATGCAGCAAGAACACGACGCGATCGCCCTCGAGCGCGGCTTGTTCCGAGCGAACGTTCGCCCCTGACCTCGCTTCCTCGTCGGTGACGTTCCCTCGGAGTACCTCCTGGACGCGGTCGAGGACGTACTCGTCCAGCGCGGCGTGGTCGCTCGACGCCGCGAAGTCCTCCATGGCGTCGTCGTACGCTCGAGCGCGGATGTGCGAGATCCCGGACGCGAAGAGCGGGACAACGGATGGCGCCCCGATCGCCCAGGCGGCGGATGATTGATTCAGAAGGTGGTCAAACTCCACCGCGTTCGCGTGCCAACCTTTCGTGATCGCGCTCGGGTCTTCGTAAAATCCGGCGAGGAGGGAGACGAGCCCGGGGCGAGATTCCGTCGGCGGACGCGCGTGACTGACTCCCCAACGCCCTTCCTCGCGAGCGATGCGGTGCAAGAACGGTGCTCGGGGACTTGAAACTTCAGCGTCCGCTCCAGGCTCGGTTTCGAGCTCGAAGAGGCGGTCCGCGCGCAGTCCATCGGCGACGATAACAACGAGGCGTTTAGCGGACGGCGCAAAGTCCGCGGACATCGGCTCCATGCCGTGCACAAGAGGAGTCGCGAAGTGGACGTCGATCATGGCGTACATCAGGAGCGCGTGAAGAGCGACGCCGAAGGCGACTAGCCGGAAGCGGGCTGAGGTATACATCGCGCCTTCGGTGCCGCCGCCGCGCGGCACCAAAGTGGTTCAGAAGAAATCGTTTTACAACACGACTGTCAAGTCTTGTGACGAAAAAAACAGCTAGTGTCATCACCGTGCCGATGGCTTGACGATTTCGTCGGCATCGTCGTCATCTGCCTTCGATTTCGGCGGAACGCCGTCGATGTCGTCCTCGTCGTCGTCGCCGATATCGTCGTCGTCGTCGTCCAGATCACCGGGCATGGGCTTGACGTCGTCCACGGTGATTCCAGAGAGCCCCCCTCTCACATCCTCGGCTTCCGGTCCGTCCACCACCACAATTTCCTCATCATCGTCTCCCTCTTCCACAGCATCAGGATCCACTGGTTTCGCATTAACCGTATCCGATGTCATAAAAAGTGCCGCCTCTTCTTCCTCCTCCTCGGCCGCGATCATTGACTCGGTTTTCTCCCCGGCGTCGCGCATGTCGAACGGCGTGTCCACCGCCGCCGCGGCACCGCCGTCCACCGCCATGGGTGCAGTATCGTCGTCTTCGTCGTCCGGAACTCTCAGAGCCGCGGATTTGTCCACCTGTCGTTGCGAATCTTCTAAAAGTTTCTGCATCCGCTCTCTCTGTTTCTTCCCCTTCTTCTGCGTCTTCGTCTTTACCGACGCAACGGCGAACACGTGTTCGTTCGATTCTTTTCGGTTCTTCATGAGCTCCTGAATCGCCTCCATTTGCGTCTTGGAACCTAGCGCTTGGACGTACAGATCGATGGAACGACCTGCGTCTAAGAAGGCGTACGGCACGGTCTCGCCGCTGTAGATGTTGATGGGCGCGCCGTAAGGGTGTGGGTCGTCTTCGATGAGGTGTCCAACGTTCGGTTCTAGAATTTGCAGCTCGATGGGGAACCGGTACCGCCAAAATTTTTGATGTACCGCACTTACCTTTACCTTGACTTCAGCCCCGATCGGTAACGCGTCCCTGACCTCCAGCCAATCAGACTCCGATATTTTGATGAGCCCGTCCGTTTCGCACCCGCAGTCTACTAACGCTCCGTGATAAAGCTCGAGCGCGACGACCGTCCCCTGGAGCTCCGTGCCGACGGCAAGTTTCGAAAGCGTCGTCCTCGTCTTGTCGCCGAGATACGATTTCGCTTCCCTCATGAGACCCGAGGACGGCACCTCCACCGCTTCTTCTAAGGATTCACGATTGAACGGTCGATCGTACTTCCACATGTCTCGCAGCGCCACGTCGTTGTTAACCCCGACAAAGTTTAAAGACTTCCCATCAACCGCGGAGACGAGCTCGTCATTCGGGAGGACGTTCCATCCCCCGTCCTCGATCCATTCCGTGGATTTCTCTCTCTCGTCCGGTGGACCGACTTTCTTCGCCGTAGACCACGTACCAGACTTGGAGAACGTGTACGGGTTCACGAGGTACGGTTTTTCTTCGGAGCCGTCTTGAGGGATGCGCTCGATCGCTTCATCGTCCAGCGCCTCCTCGGTGTCCTTCTCTAGCTGCTTCGCCGCCGCCTCTGCGGCCATGACGCCCGGGAGGTCGTTCATCGCGATGTACAGCGGATCTCGATCCATCGCGCGTTGGAGCTCGTCATCGGTGAGCTTTCCGTCCTCATTCCAATCGGCGTACGTGTTCACCGGGTCGTCGTCCCTGCCGATGAACGCCCCGGGGTCCTTCTCTCCGAGCTTCACCGTGAGCTCCTCGAGCTTATCGAGCTTCGCCTGGCATTCGATGTCGTACGTCGCCTTGTCCGCGAGAGAGAGGTTATGGTAGTTGTCGAGCGCGTCGTTGAACCATCGCTCGACCGCAGACGTGGAGAGGCCGGAGCGTCGCGCGACGTCCCTGACTTCGGAATCGTTCGGCGGGTAGGTTTTGAGCTGCGAAAGGCGAAGCCACCAGATGCTCTGGCAGACGAACAGCGGCCGTCCGGTGAGACCGAACTCGACGAGATCGTTCTTCCCGGGATTCGCCGCGACGACGCCGGTGTCGGTGCCGGTGTCCCCCGCGCGACGCTTGGACTCCGCCGCGGATGCGAGCCTGTCGATGTCACCGAAGCTCATTTCCTCGTCGTCGTCCGCGTCGTCGACGTCGTCGTCGTCGATTCCATCCTCGCTGAGCGCGCTCGCGACGTGGCGATCGCGCGGCCGATGCCCGTACGATGTGTGACGCGGCGCGGACGCGTCCGTCGCTCGCGCGCTCGTCGTCCATCCCGAGACGCGCTCGAACGCTCCGCCGCCTGCATTCCGAGGATTCGACACCAAAGCCCTCGCGCCTCCAGCAACCCTACTTTTGGGAATGCCGCGCGCCGTGGAGTTCTTCCCCGCGAGCGAGCCAGATGGACGCGCCGCCGCCGCCGCCGCCGCGGTGGGACTCGCGCTTGCGAACATTCTGCGAGTCGCGTCGCGTCGCGTGTCTCCCTACCGCCGCGTGGTTCGTCTGTGTGCAGCCGCCAAAATGCTGCTCGATTTTATTCGCAAAAAGCCAGCAAAAAGCGCAGTCTCTCTCATGCCCGAACCAATTCACCGAGGGGTCGTGTGAAGCCTGCGATCAAAAACTCCTGACGCTTTGGGGAGTCAACCCGGCGACGCCTCGACTCCTCGGCGGTCGAAAAAGCGCGTGAGGCGGAGATATTTAACGCGCCGCTCAACACATCGCCGGCGCGCAGGCAACACTACTCCCCACGTGATGGCCGCCCCCGCCCTCGCGTTCGCGAGCGCGCGTGGGGTATCCAGTATCACGCCGTCGCGCCGTCGCGCCGTCGTCGCGTCGCGTCGCGCCTCCGCGCCGTCGAAGCGACGACTTCTCGTCGTGCGAAACGCCGATGGAGAGTCTTCGAAGGCAGCGAAGAAGAAAGGCAAGTCCGGGGTGTTGTTCGGACGCGAGACGACGCCTCCGCTCCCCCCTTCCCTGGACGACGACGATGACGATTTCGACTCCCCAGCATGCGCGATCGCGTTCGCGTCTTGCGACAACGAATCGCACCCTACGGCGACGATCCTCACCGTGACCGTCTCCGCGGTTCCCGGGGTGATGCGGATCTTGAGTTGGCTCCTGAACGGATTAGATCTGGACGTGAACGAAGCGGAGTGGGTCATAAACGAGGAGGAGGGAAGCACGGACGAGAGCCCACCCATGGAGACTGTGGATCTCACGATGCAGGTGACGGAGGGGAGAGGAAAGTACGCGTCCAAGGTGAAGGACACGCGCGGACTCGAGGATCGACTGTCCGAGTACCTTCGGTTTTGCACGCAGGCGGAGAGGAAGTACCACCCGGTCATCGAGCACGGCGGGATTAAGATCGACAACGAGGCCGACCCGGAAACGACGCTATTGACGGTGTCTTCCAGCGAGTCCGGGGCTCGGAGCATGTTGTACGTCTCGTCCACGATAACCGGTCTGGGGTTGAAGATGAACCGCGCGAAACTCCTTCCGGCGAGCGGAAGCGACGGTTCCGTTTGGAACTACAACCTCACGGTGTTCGAGACGAACGGCAAGCTCACTAACGCGCAGATGCAAGGGTTGTTGTACACGCTGTGCTTGGTGTTCAACACGAGCAGCAAGTCCGCGACCGGATCAGGCGGGGCGGGGGACTATCTAGTCGAGAAGATGGTCGGCATTTGAGGCGCGGAAGGTCTCGCGAGAAAAAGTCGTCCATAAATACCAATTCAATTCACTTCATTTCAATTCGACAGCGCGTTGATCGCCGCCCCGAGCGGCCACGCCGCCTCCGTGAGCTGCCCGTTGTACTCCACCTGTTTCACGAGCGTGACGACGTCCTCGTCGTGGATCTTGTATCCCACGGTGAGTAACGAGTGCGCATACGACAAGTCGTGGCAGTAGTACGGCGCATCCTTCGCGTCCACGTCTCTGTACTCAACGGCGATCTGGTCCACGGTCATCTCGCACGCCTTCTCCGCGACTTTCAAGATTTCCCCCGGCGTCGTCGTTCCACTCGGTTCGCCCGGATCGACGAGACCAGCCTGAGTGACTCTGTCGAACAAGTACGAGGACAGATAAAATTTACCCGTCCCCGGCCCGCGAGACCCGTCCCACGCCCCGTTGAAACTGCAATCGGTCTGCCGCACGACCTTTCCGCACTTCGTGTCCGGCGCGAGGACACCGTTCACGACGCGTTTGCACTCCGTCGCGTTCGCCGGGGTAGAGCCTCCCGTCACGTTGTGCGTTTTGCCGCCATACTCGTACGTGCCGCTGTGCCCGGTGGGGACGCAAGGGCTCGGCGCGCCGTTGGCGCTCCCCAGCACCGCCGCCCTCGCGGCCATGATGCCAAACCCCAAGTGCGAGTACACGTACACGTGGTACTTTTTCGACCCGCTCGTCATCGCCTTGAAGTACCCCTCTGGCGCGGCCTTGACGTGTTTCTCTTCCGCGGCGTACGCGAGCTGGACACTGCCGCCGCCAAGATCCACCGTCGCGACCGTGTCCGAGAGGTCGCCGTCGAGGTTACCTAGAAGATAGTTCATCGTCAGCCACTGGAACGCGCCTTCCTCCGCGCCGTCCATTATGGACACGGAGTCGTCGTTGAACGAGAACGGGTAGCCTTTGAGTTTCGCTCTGACCGCGTCGAGCAAACCGTCCGCCTCTTTCCCTGGCAGGAGCCTCAACCCTGCGGTCGCGCGAACTTCCACGGTCGTCGTCGCCCTCCTCGCTTCGGGCACCGTCTTCATCGCGATCTCTAACAGCGGGTCGATGCTGTCCGCGCCCTCTGACGGAAACTTCGCGAACGAGCTCAACCCCGGTTTGAGTTGCTCGAACGTGTCGTCCACGAGCGCGAGCGAGCCGTCTTCGGTTTCGTCGAAGCGATAGACGTGCACCCTGCTGCCGGTGCTGCCCGCGTCGAAGACGATCGCGTACTTGCGCGCGTCGTCGTCGGCGGCGGCGTTGTTCGCGGTCGGAGACGAAGCGCTGACCACCTTGGAAGGAGGCTCGACGACGGTGGAAGGGGGAGACGGGAGAACGTTTCCTCCGATCGGCCTCGCCACGCCGAGATCTCCCTCGCGCGGGTCGACGTCCACCGCGTCCCGCGATTCTACGTGGACGTCGCGCGCGGCAGGGTACGTTCGAGGCGAGTCCGCGGAGCCGTACGCCTGAGAGAGTCTCGCGTCGCGGTCCATCGCGTTGCTCGAAAAGTCCAGGCTGTCGTCCGCCGCTCGTGGCATCAGGAGCAAAACGGCGAGGAAGAGGAAGATCGGCACGGACACCACCGCGACGACGCCGCGGAACTTCCACAGCAGCTCCGCGGGGGAATCCCGCGCGCCTGAGTAACGGCGCCTCATAATGGTCGCGTCGTGTCTCGGCGACCGTGCCCCCGCGGTCGTAGGGCGAAGGCGCAGAAGCATGTGGCCGTGTGGCACTTGCGATCGTCTCTCATCAGTGGCGTATTTATTTTTGTCCACACAGCAGCAGCAGCGCCACAAGTGCACGCGCCGGCGCACGCCTCGCCGCAGGGCGTGCGAGGTCGAGCATGAGCCTGCCCACTGGCCGCCAGCTTTTCTCGCACGTCTGGAGCGAGTTCAAGAGGTTCGCTCCGATGGTGCGCGAGCTCGACCCGAGACGCGTCTTGGCTCGCTCGCGGAGCGCCCCCGTTCGCGCACGGACGCCCCCGGATCTCTCGCTCACCTCGCTCGCCCCCTTCCTCGTCTTCCGACGACACAGGCAGTCCGCGCGTGCTGCCTCGTCAGCGTCGTGCACAACTACGGAGTAGAGGTGACGATGTGTCTCGGACCCAGCATGCTGCCGACGTTCAACAGGTCCGGCGACGTCGTGCTCATGGAGCACGTGTCTGTCATGAGGAACGCCATCGAAACCGGCGACGTCGTGATCGCGAAGTCGCCGAGCAATCCGAGGCACACCGTGTGCAAGAGGGTGCTCGGTCGCGGGGGCGACGTGATTCACGTCCCGAAGGCAGGGCATTTCGGCGGGACGATGCGCGTCGAGGTTCCCACAGGGCACCTGTGGCTGCAGGGCGACAACAAAGACAACTCCACGGACAGTCGCGACTACGGCCCGGTGCCGTACGCGCTCTTGAGAGGGAAGGTGTTCGTGAAGGTGTGGCCCCCGAGCGAGATCGGGTGGGTGAAGAACGAAAAGTGGCGGAGCGTGGGAGGGTCGTGACGTCGCGGAACGAGCGTAGACTAGTGAGTAGCGTAGAGAAAGGCGAATAGGACCACCGCCGCGTCGAAGTGTGTGCACTGTCTCACAGCCAGTTTATGTGCCTGGCCGCGCCAGTTAGCCAGTGCTTCTCCGCTGAGAAGTTTTCCCGCCGAGCGCTTTACCCGCTCTCTGGACGCCTCGCACGCGCACAAACACGCGCACGAGACGCGCGCGTGTTGAGCTCACCGGGCAGAGACACGCGATCAGGTGATTCGGCCCGGCGTGTGCTCCTGGAAGGTCCGCGGGCTCGCGGTCCGCCTCCCCGCGGAGTGACAGTGAGCGGTGAAACGATGGCGGCGAACGAGAACACCACGCCTCGGGCGCGCCCCGTGAACAGCATCTCACCGCTCGTGGGTCGCAGTCCCGGGGAGAGAGTGCTCGAACGATTTAGCGCCCTTCGTCGGAGCATCGGTGGCGCGGTCGCGCAGACGGTACGCGCCTCGCCCTTCCCGATCGGCGGTCTTCGATCGCGTCCTTCTCCCCGCGCGACGTCTGAACTTTTAAAACCAACCTCCCGCTGACGCGCCGTCTCCCTTCTTCACAGGTCCGTGGACTGCTCGCATCGCCCACCGAACCCGGTGGAAACGCCGCAGCATCTCCGATGCCACCGCCGCCCGCTCAGGTGGGTGATATCCCCGCGGATCCGCCCCCATCGCGCGTTTTTTTCCACACGGGAACCCTAGACGATCGTGCCAAGATCTACGTCTTCGATAGGATCTCGTTGTCTCGTCCTCGAAGAACGACCGCCACTGCGGCTACGCGCAGGACACGACATCGCGTCGACGCACGCGAGCTTGCATCTGACTCACGACCAACCGATTATCATCACACGCAGGCTGCGCGAGCTGCCCAGAGCGAGCGCGTCGGACCGAGGCAAAGCCGCCTCGTCGACATCCTGCGCGAGAGCACTGGAAGAGAGAATCTGTCTCAAGAGGAGGCAGAGCGCGAGCTTAGGAGCTTACTGAAACGCGGTCGCGGCGATAACGAGACCGCGGCGATGACGACTCCAGCGGCGGAAGGACCGCCGATAGCTCGAGCCGCGCCAGTTCCGGTCGCTTCCCGAGCCCCCACCGCGGGGTTAACTCGGACGACGCCCGGCGACGGCCAGCACTACGCGAGGGACGATGAAATCAACGTCGAGGACGAAGCGCCATACGGCGACGCGATGCGGAGTACGAGCGAGCGCAGACGGGCGATTGGTATGGCGCTGCCGAACGCGCGCGGCGTCTCGAGGCCTGCCGCGGTCGGTTGGGGAGGTATCGGCGGAGGAGCCCCTCCGCCGCAACAGAGCGCTCCGCCTGCGAACGTGTATCGCAGCTTGTACGGCGCGCCGCAGCACGGTATCACGCCACAGCGCGTGCCACCGCAGTCGTTGTTGGGCACGTCTGCTCCCGGGAGTGGATTACGTGGACCTATTGGGTACGGCGCGAACAGAGGAGCGGGATACGGCACGCGAGTGCGATCACCCCCGACCGCGAGCGGAGCAGGAATGGATTTTGACTATCAAGGCCCTGGTCTTGGGATGCTTTCCGCGGGATCAAAGCGCGGCCGGGACGCCGCGGAGTTTGAAGCGCACGAGCGGGACATCGGCCGCGCGACTGTGCCTAGACTGACGCCTCCGCCGGAGCGAGGCAACATGCCGCCGCCGCCGCCAGTGCACGCTATGGCGGCGCCTAGCAACACCCCGGTTCCTCTGTCCGCGAGGGCGACACCCGGGGCGACCTCTGCGGTGACTACAGATACTGCACGACGTATTCTCCAAACTCTCGACCGACTCGCGGGTCAGAAGGGAGATGCGAGTGGCGTCGCTGCGTCACCACTGCCTAAGCCGCTGAATTTGTCCTCGAGCCTTAACCGAGCTGCGGCCCCGACTTCTTCTCTTCACGGCTTCAGGGGTATTCAGCGAGCGACGCCCTCGAAGGCTTTCGCAGATGCTGAGAAACGTTTACCATCGACGATAGCATCACACTCTAAGCCGGCGTTGGGGGCGATTATCGCCAGCGCTGGCCCCACAGCGGCTACGCCTCTCCAGTTTACGCCCAACGTGCTTTCAAAGGAGAAGACCACTGTCGCCGTGGCTCCCCCGGTTCAACCGATTGAGATCAAATCACAAGTGCATTCGATTATGGCGAGCGCGGTGAGTACGATTGACGATGGACCTGGGGCTGAGCCTGAGCTTCCTCCCCCTTCGATCCCTACGAAGTCTGCCGCACCGAGCACGACGCCGCTTTTCGACGGCGGAGCTCCGACGTTTTCGTTCAGAGATCCTCCCCCACAAAGCAAAGGTGAGGCGATTAACGTGGACGCATCGGCCGCGATCGCGGGAGAACTTCCGAAATATACGTTCGGGGGTGACGACTCAGATGAAATGGAGCTGCCCACGTTCATATTCGGAGACGAGGACGACGGCGACTTCGAGGTTTCGAAGTTTGGATCGGACGACTTGAACCAGGTGGCTGATATCACGTACACGTTCGGTGAGGGTGCGCCAGCTCCTGACACGGCTATGAAGGCGGCAAAGCCAGCGACTTTGTTTACATCTGAGTCCCCCAAGCCGAAGGCCCCCGTCGAGACGAAGCCAGTGGAAGCCAGTGGAAGCGCCGTCGATGATAAGCCAGTGGAGGCGCCCAAGAAAACCGGCTCCCTCTGGGGCGCGGATTTCATGAAGAAGAACCTCGAGCATCAGAAGAAAGTTCAAGCTGCAATCGATGAGGAGGAAAACAAAGCGAAAAATCCTGCGGCGGCGACGACGGCGGCCCCAGCTGCTCCTTCGCCATTCGTCACGGCGTCGAGCACAGGTGATGCGCCTGCTCCGGCATTTTCGTTCGGTGTCGGCGGTGCGTCTACCGCAGCGACTACGACTACTGCATCTGCGCCTTCGACTGGCGGGTTCACCTTTGGAGCCCCTCCTCCTGCAGCGGTGGATGCATCCGAATCAAAGCCCGCGGCCGCCGCGGCTGCCTTTACTTTCGGCGCATCGTCCACCCCGGCGGTGGCTATCGAGAAGTCAGCTGATGTGCCGCCGCCCTCTTTTGGTTTCGGTGCCCCCGCAGCGGTTCCGCCCGCGGTTGAAGAGTCTAAACCAGCGTCTGCTCCCGCCCCGCCGGCGTTCACGTTCGGGGCGAGTTCGACGCCGGCGACTGAAGCGCCGAAGCCGGCCGCCGTAGTCGAACCTCCTTCGCTGTTTACCGCGACGCCGGCGCCTTCTACGTCGCCTCCCTTGAGCGCGAAAGCTCCTCCGTTCACATTCGGAGCAGGGTCGACCCCGGCACCTTCGAGCGTCGCCGCCGAGCCCGTCGCGGCTGAGAAACCGAAGTCTGAGACTTTGCCCAGCGGAGGGTTCACGTTCGGTGGTGCAAGCACTGGCGCCGCTCCAGCTCCGGGAGCGAGCGGCTTCGGTATGCCCGCGACATCAGCTGCGACGGCACCTGAACCGTTCAAGTTTGGAGGATCAACGGGAGCGAGCGCCCCTTCAAGTGGCGCCGCTTTTGGTGCCCCTTCCAGCGGTGCCACATTTGGTGCTCCTTCCAGTGGCGCCGCCTTTAGTGCTCCTTCTAGTGGAGCTGCGTTTGCGTTTGGTGCTCCTTCTAGTGGCGCTACGTTCGGTGCTCCTCCTGCGGTAGTGTCCGAGCCCGCGCCGGTGAGCTCGACTCCGTTCAAGTTTGGTGCCGAGCCAAGTGCCGCGCCTTCAGCGTCGGCGCCCGCGCCCACTCCGGTTTTCGGAGCCGTGTCCACCACTCCTGCGTTCGGAGGCGCGCCGAGTACTGCAGCTGCTCCTACGTTCGCGGGTTTTGGAACATCCGCGGCGCCGGCGCCGTCAGGAGCGGGAGATGCGGCGTTCACCTTCGGTTCCTCGGGGAACGCGGCGTCGACTCCTGCGCCCGCCGCCCCTGCTCTGACACCGTTCGGATCGGCGGCTTCTATGCCTGTCGCAGGAGGCTTTGGCGCGGCCGCTGTTCCTTCTAGCAATCCGTTTGGCAGCTCTGGTAATCTTTCCGCGGCTGCGCCGAGCGGGAGCGCGCCCGCGGCTTCGAACCCTTTCACTTTCGGAGCTCCCAGTGGAGGAGGCGGTGGTGGGTTCGGCGGTGGTTCTGGGTTTGGCGGGGGCACGGGAGCCCCACCCCCCGTCAACGCGCCCAGCATGTTCGGTGGTGCTGGTGCCTCTCCTGCTCCGGGAGGAGGAGGCGGGTTTGGATCGAGTTCTTTCGGAAGCGGTGGTACTGTTCCGCCTCCCGCATTTGGAAGCGGCGGCGGCGCGCTCACGGGCGGTGGGAGCGTGCCACCTCCTGCCTTTGGAGGAGCTGGCGCAACCGGTGGTTTTGGAGGCGGCGCTGGACCGCCGGGGATGCCGATGGGAGGCGGAGGAATGAGCATGGGCGCAGGAGACGCTCCGTCAGGAGGTAGGAAAACGGTGAAGAAAGCGAGACGTCCGCCGCGGCGCGGCGGCGGCGGCGGCGGTAACTGAGTACTGTTGCGCACGAGAAGAGAGGACGCGACTTGTGAAACAAACGAAGTAAATAGAACCACCGACTCGCTGCTATCACGTCTGACGACCCATCGAATTCATCAGCTCGAGCTTGCGCGCGACGGATCGTACATTAGTGCGAAATTCAACCAAACAAAGTGAGGTACCGCAGTCCCTCGTCACTCGCGAGTGAACGCTCCTCGCGACGCCGGCGCTCGCCATGGACACGACCCGGCGCACGCGCGCTCAGTCACGCCGACCGTCCACTATTTAGTAAAGGCCGATGACCTTCCACCAAACGGAACCGATGCCGAGGAACGTGGTGATGTAGAACACAGAGAGGCCGAAACCAATCTTCCACCACGTCGCGAGGGGCACGTAACCCGCGCCGAAGAAAGGAGGCGCGGAACCGATGCCGTAGTGCGTCGTGCAGCCCATAATATTCGAAAAAATACCAAGCACGAGCGCAGAGACGAGCGGCGGCGCACCGCACGCGACGAGCACGGAGAGGAACGCGGTGTACATGGCGCCGATGTGCGCAGCGCCGGACGCGAACGCGTAGTGCGAGTAGAAGTACAGGAGCACGACGACGAGGAACGCGGGCTGCCACGCGAGGCCAGCAGCGGAGACGCCCTTGACGACAGTTTGCGAGAACCACGGGATGAGACCGTACTTGTTCAGGTAGGACGCCATCGCGATGAGCGCAGCGAACCAGGTGAGGGTATCCCAGGCGGGACCCTCTGCGAGGCACTCCTTCCAGGTGATCACGCCCGCGATGAGGAGCGTGGAGAGGCCGACGAGCGCGGCGGCGACGGAACCGACTCCGATCGAAGCGCCGAAGATCCAGAGCCCGACGGTGACGACGAGCGCGGCGGCCATGATCTTCTCGTCAGAGCTCATCGGGCCGAGCTTGGCGAGCTCCTCCTTAGCCTTGACGGGCGCCTCCGGAGAATCCTTCACGTCGGGAGGGTAGAGCACGTAGAGGATGAGGGGCACGGCGATGAGGCAGACGAGGCCGGGGATGGACGCGGCGAGCGCCCACTGTCCCCACGTGATCGTCTGGCCGATCGTCGCGGCGGCGAGGTTCACGGAGAGCGGGTTCGCAGCCATCGCGGTGATGAACATACCCGAGGTGACCGTCGAGGTTTGGAACACGGTCGTCATGACGTACGCGCCCATCTTCTTCTCCGTGCCCTTCTCCGGGTCGGAGCCGCACGCGACACAGAGCGCCTTCGTCAGGGGAAGGAAGATACCACCCGCGCGCGCGGCGAGAGAGGGAATCGCGGGAGCGAGGATCGCCTCGGAGAACACCAGCGAGTACGTGAGTCCGAGAGTAGACTTTCCGAAGATGGACACGATGATGTACGCGATCCTGTTCCCGAGGCCTGTTTTGATGAACCCTCTGGCGAGGAAAAACGCAATCGCGATGAGCCACGGGATCTCGGACGAGAACGCGGAGAAAGCCGCGGCGAAGGGAAGAAGGCCCGTGACCATGCTCACGGCGAGGCCAACCATAGCGGTAGCGCCGAGTGGAAGAGGCTGCGACGGAAGGGATAGAGGAGAGACGCGTCAGTACGATCCCCGGTTCGTTGTTGGTTTCTGAAAGAATTCGTGAATTTGTGAGGGGTCCCTCGTGTGAACTCGATCGATCGATCGCGGGGAGGACGCACGTTCGTGATGATGCCAACGATGGTGCCGACGAAGACGGCGAAGAGGTGCCAGGCCTTAACGGTGACCCCGACAGGCGCGGGGATGCACCAGATGATGAGACCGGCAAGCACGGAGTACCCGAGGGGTTTGAGCTTCGCGCCCTTCCACTCCGCCTTCGGCGCGACCGCAGCGTCCCCTGCTTGCACGATCGGCGCCGGAGTCGCGCTCGCGGTGACGACGCGCTTCGCGGAAGCGCGGTGGGAGACCGCGGACGCGATATTGCGTTGGCGAAGCTCCATGGACGCATCGACGTCGCCCTGGAAGAACTGCGCGGAGCGCACGCCGGCGTTCGTCTTCGTCGCGCGACGCGCGTTGTTGGTAATCCCGCGAGCGGAAGCCCTCGCCGGATTAGCGGCGCGAACGTTGGACGCGACCGGCGCAGCGGTCGCGTTCGCCATCATCATGGCGGACATTTAAACGTCGATACCTTCGATCAGACGGACGGACGGAGGCACACTCCGCGCGTCTCGAACTGGCGCGACGACGCGCGCGATTGCGCGTTCCCGCGGATTACTCTACTGTCACAGAGTTGAAGGGGCACACCAGCCGATCGCGAAGCCGGTTAACGCACCAGAGGGTATCCGCATAAATCGGATTTGGGTTAATTCTCATCAGTTATGCGGACTCGCGACTTCCGAGCTTTCGACCCGCGTGTGCCGTGGCGTGGGCTCGTTTGTTATCCCTCTGGCCGCGTCCGCGCGCACAATCCCCCCCCGCGCGCGTCGTTCCCGTCAGGACGGTCAGCGCTCTCCACACGCCCTCGGGAATCGCCACGACACGCGATCGCGACGCGCTAGAACGGAGAGCATACTCGATACCGAACGCGACTTCCGAGCATGACCTCGATCGCCACGTCGGCGACGACAGCGAACTTAACCTCGCGTCGTCATCACCAGCACGCGCGACGGTCGCCGGCTCGTCAGCCCGCGCGAGCGACAAGGCACGTCGTCAGGGCGGCAAGTGATCATCACGGAGACGAATCCATCGCGCCTGCCACGCGTCGCGCGTTCTTGAACGCCGCCGCGGCCGCGGCGATCGGCGCAGCCTTACCCACCGACCCCGCCCGCGCGGATGACGGGACCACGTTCAAGAACCCGTCCCCGCTCGGGGATGGATTCCTGCGATTTTTCGGCGAAGCGACGACGTCGAGCTCGTACGGCGGGTACGGCGGGAACGAGAACAACTTCGACAAGTTCAAGTACTACTACGAAATCCCAGAAGGCTGGGTCCCGGACACCGTGAACAAAGTCGAAAAGTCCACGAACGGCACGGACTCGCGCTGGGTGAACCCGAAGAACAAAGACCAGAAAGTGTACTGCGTCACGCTCACGGGGTACAACAAACTCAAGGAGGATCGAACCGGCATTCTAGGCGATCTCGCGCTCTCGGACTATAACCTCCAAGACGCGTTAACCGGGGCGGATTCCACCATCGTCAACGAGCGAGAGGAAAACGGGCAAACGTACGTCGACTTCGACTTGCTCGGGTACTTCGGCGCGATATACGCGACCGTGACGGTGTACGGCGGTCGCGTGTACGCTTTATTCTCCATCTGTCCGGAATCGCTGCTGGAATCGGGCTCGGAGCAGGCGATGCGCATGAGGAAGTCGTTCGGGACGATAGCGAAGTCGGACGAGCAGACGCAGTACGACATGGAATTTTACCGGCGGTCGTGAGTTGGGTGGCGCGACTGGTCGTGAGCTCGTGAGTCGTGAGCTCGTGACTCGTGAGAAGTCGATCTTTCCTTTTTATTCGCTGAAAAATGTCGAATAAATCAAACATTTGAAAGCGAGAAAAATCTTCTCGCGGTCAATTTGACCCATCACTCACGCACCGCGCGCGATGAAACTTCGCGATGAAGGAATCTTCGCAGCGTGTGGTTCCGGGTGTCGTGTCGACCGGTGAGCGTCTGATCTCTCGATCGTCCGCGCGCGACGCACTCCCGCTCGCGCGAGACCGCACACGACTTCGTCGTTCTCACGAGCTTCGCGAAGACGCGTTTCGGGCTCACACGCTCTCTCGCACTTCTTCCCGCCGCCCGCCGCCTTCGGTACATCAGCTCGACAGCGGATAGCGAACGACGATGTCCATCTCAACTCTCGCGTCGACGCTCAACGCGACGGCGACGCTCAAGTCTATCAGGTTCGTGCGAGCGAATCCTCGGTCGTTTCCATGAAAGTTGTCTCTCTGTCTCACATGTGTCGTTCGCTCGCAGGAAGACGCACAAGACCCGCGGAGCAGTCGTGACGCGCGCGGCCGGTGCGGCCGAGGACAAAGCGTGCACCGGCAGCTGTGACTCTTGTGGACTTGCAAAGGAAAAGATGCAGTGCGACGGTTCCGGCCGCATCATCGGTGGGATGGGCGCTATCCCGATCTTCTCGTGGTGGCCGATCAAAGCGTATCGTCCCTGCCCGGGACTCATCGAGAGTGGTGGCGTGTACGTGAGGAAGGGACAGGACGTGGACGGGATTCTCTTCGGAGACAAAGGCAAATAAATAAAATAAGCCGGGGGCGCGGACACTGACTCTGCGGCGGTTGCGATGAAATCACAATCATTAATCTACGTATCATCGTATTATTATAAACGACGATGCGATGCTAAATGTAGTTAAAGTCCTCTCAAGATCGCGGCCCCGCTCGAAGGAAGCGACGCGAACAACGTCTCCCCGAGGTCTTCCTCGCGCAGCACCCCACTGGCGATCCGTTTATCGAAGAACCGCGTCTTGACGCTCTCCAGCACTTTCTCCGCCATGTCAGCCGTTACGAGTGCGACGGCGCAGCCCCCCCATCCCGCCCCGGTTAATCGAGCGCCGATAGCCCCGCTCGTAATGAACGCGTCCACTAACTCGTCGAGCTCTTCACACGAACACTCGTACAAATCGCGGCAAGAAGTGTGACTCGCGTTCATCAACTCACCCAACGCCTTCAAAGAAGGGTCCTCCTTGCACTCGTTCGAAAACTGGTGCACGCGCGCGGCTTCCGAGTAAACGTGCATGGAACGATCTCTGAGCTTAAACCCAGTCTTGTTGTGCTCGAGCACTAATAACGACGCGGGGGACCCCGCGAAGAGCGAGTCAAGCGACGTGCCTAGCTTTTCTTCGAGCTCGCCTCGCGAATAGTATCCGTCGTGAAGCTTCTCGCTCGCGGCTTTTTCGGATTCCTGCAAGCTTCCTATCAGCTTCTGTGTTTGCATGAGGGTGGAATACCCAAGAGCATCAGCTTGAGAGGCCCCCAGCTCCATCGCGAGGACGATAGACGCGAGCCTGCACTCCATCACCCTTAAGTTATACCGCTCGTGCGCGGTCACCGCTTTGTTGCTCACTGCGAGACAGTTACCGATGAGAAACACGGAGCCTTCAGGGAGCTGCACGTCGGTCGCACGCACGGGATTGAAATCCACGAGCTTTGCCACCCCTGACTGTCCCATGATGCTGATCGCCTGGTCCATCCCTCCGGATTGCATCCCGCAGTGCCGTTCGCACTTGCACGCGAAGTCCGCGACTTCCGTCTTCGTGAAGTCGAGGTTGAGCGCAGCCATGACCGCGACCGCGGCTGCGCACGTCAGCGCGGACGAACTGCTCAAACCGCTCCCGGTAGGAACCTTACCGTCCACGATTATCTTAAGGCCTACTTCCGGAGGTTTCGCCCGTCCGGATTCTTTAAGGAAGTCGAACACGCCCTTGTACCCGCACACGACGTAGTTCGTCCAGTGAAAGCTCGCAACGTCCACCGCTTGGTCGCAATCCGCGTCGAAGACCTTCGTCGTGTACTTTTCCTCCGTGTTCGACACGGTCAGCTTGTTCGAGGTCGTGTCTACCTTCACTGCGACGATGGTGTCGACCGCGAGGGCCATGGGCAGCACGCTGTACCCTTCGTAGTCGATGTGCTCGCCGATGAGGTTGACGCGGCCGGGGGAGCGCGCGAGCAAGTCGGGTTTCGCGCCGTGCAGCTCCGCGAAGGAGGCGACGAGCTTCGCGTAGCGCCCCTCCTCCTCGGCTACGCGTTGATCGGCGTATACATCTTTGACGCTGCCGTACACCGGGATCGTGCTCATGGTTCACGGCTGTTCGCGCGGAAGGATTGGCGACGCGCTTTGAATTGTGCCTCGAAAATTCAGTTATTTTCGGATTTTACCGAGGAGAGATGGGGCGTTAGATCCGCGCGCACAAGCCTGGGGCGCGCCCTCAAGGACGGCCGCGGGGATGACGGCGTCGTCCGAGAGCTCGGATGTACGTCGGGCGGACGAGTATGCGTCAACTCCGGTGGATGAAAGCGCCGCCTCGACAGCGGCTGCGTCCCGTAACGTCGACGCCCTCACGTTCGACGAGATGCTAGCGCTGCATGTCGGGGAGAACGGCCGCGCGCAAATCCGGCACTTCTTGATATCTTCTGCGGCCTGGTTGCCAGCTGCGTTCCTGACGCTGATGACGGTGTTCACCGCCCGAATGCCAGCGTGGAGATGCACCACCCTCGACGGATGTACGGACGAGTCCTCGGGCGAACTGAAGGACATCTGCGAGCTCGAAGCAACCGAGTGGGAATGGGTGTCGAAGACGGCTTCGATTGTGTCCGAGTGGAACCTCGTATGCGATGAGGAGTGGAAAACTTCCGCGGCCGACTCCATCTTTTTCGTTGGTTTCTTCTTCGGGGCTGGTATTATCGGGCAGCTGGCGGATGTTCATGGACGACGGGTAGCGTTGTACGGCTCGTTACTTATCGCCGGCGGAGCTTCTGTTATAACCGGCGTGTCTTTCGGATACTGGGAATACTTTCTGTTTAAGGTCGTTCTCGGATTCGGGTGCGGTGGCATCGGCGTGGCGTCATTCGTTCTGTGTACGGAACCGCTAGGGGCTCCGTGGCGAGGGTTTTTAGGCGTCGCCACGCAGTATTGGTGGTCGTCGGTGAGCAACTTCTTTTTCGTGATGATTCCTTTTTTTCAAACGTCCAAGTTCGACTGACCGTGGCAACTCTTCTCGCAGGGCATATGCTTGCTGTCTGGCATCGCGTGGATTATATCAGACTGGAGAGAACTCACGATTTTTATTGTTCTGTCAGTCGTCCTGTACTGTGTCCTCACCGCGCGGACGCTAAAGGAAAGTCCGCGTTGGTTACTCGCGTCTGGAAAGCCCGAGGAAGCGCTGGAGAATCTCACCGCCCTCGCGAAAGGGAACGATCGAGAAATTCCTCTAGATGGTCTGCCGCCGCTGGTACGTCTTCAAGACACTTTAAGACAATTATTTGCTGTGGAGTTGACTAATGATGATATTATTCTCGCAGAAGGAGGCGTTGTTAACGGAACCAGTGACGATCAAATCGATATTGCCGTACAAGGCTTTGCGGTGCGACTCTTTTTCCTCCGCTCGTATCCGGGACGCACGTAATCCACGAGCGAGTGTCTCACACTTTACTTGACACCTCGCAGGTTCCGACTTTACGCCATGGCATTCATCTTCATGGTGAACAGCATGGTGTACTACGGACTGTCACTCAACGTCGGCTCGCTGGCGGGCTCGATATATGTGAACAGCTTTTTATCAGGCCTTGTCGAATTTCCCTCGCACGCCTTCGCTCAGGTGAGCAGCGCGAGCTTGACCGTGACATTTTTTCTTGACCCACGCACGCTTGCTTTCCTGATCGACGACTAACACCTCAAGCCTGTCGATTTTTTTCCTTTCAGTGGTCGGTGGAAAAATTTGGCCGGAAAATCACGCTGATTTTCCTGTTAGCAGTTGCCGGGATCGCGTGTTTGCTCAGCGGCTTCAATACGGTAAAATTTCGACTGGTTTTTTACTCGATGAAATTTTATTTTTACGTCTGTTTGATTTTTTTCACAGGGAACGACGCAAACAGCTTTCGCGTTACTTGGACGCTGGGGAATAACCGCGTCATTCAACATGATTTTCGTGTATACCACGGAACTTTTCCCTACCGTGGTGAGAAGTGCCGCGCTCGGTACGTGCTCGCAAGTTGCGAGACTCGGTGGAATCGCGGCACCGCAAATAATACTATTAAAACTCGTGCACCCTTCGCTTCCTTCTATAATATTTGGAGGATTCGCTGTAGCGGGGTGCGCGGCTGCAACAGTCTTACAAGAAACGAAGGGACTTATTCTGGAAGAAACGCTCGAAGGCGCAGCTCGGCAAGCGGAGGTCTCGTCAATGGATCGTGCATTCTTTAGATTACAAGCAGACGAAGAAGAGGAAACGCTTCCGCGAGTGTGAAGGAAGTATTCTAAAATTTCTATTATAAGTCTAGTTTGAGACCTAGCAAAGAGCATGTTTTTTACTCTGTCTTTCGTCGCTTTAAGTCCTTGAGCTTTGTGAACGACGACGATTCCCGCAACCAAAGAACTGCGCCAATTAAGCCAAGAGCGAGAACCCCGCCGCCGAGATGAATCCAAGCATCAAGCGAAGACGTAAAGACGGTTCCAACAGATGTAAAGAAGAGAACGCTGATAACTTCTATTCGCGGAAATAAATCCGCAAGGACTAAGGACCTCGCTCCTTTTAAGCGCACGCGAAGTATGTAATAAATCGCGTACAATATGCGCGCAGACATCGTTAAACAGTTTGCGACAATCAGACCCAACGCTCCAAGATATGCTTGCAGCGTAATCGAACAAATAACGTTAAAGATAGAACTCAAAAGCAAAAATAAATTCGCAGAAGATAGTTCGGATGGAGTCATCACCGCGTGCGTGTACGCTTCCAATATTCCATTGGTCGCGAGGAAGAATACCATCACTGCGAAACCACCGAGCGTCGACGCAGCGCCTTCAGTTTCCGCCCAACGACGACCATAAAGAAAACTTAAAGCTAATCGTGAATACTGAGGTCCATGCAATGCAACGATCAACCCGAGATAAAACGCGAGCTTCAACATCAATGATAAGCGCCTTTCATGGTGATTTTGGTCAGTACAGAATGAAGAAGTATAAAGAAGAGCGTTCGCGCACTTGATATCGTCAGCACTTGGCTTCCCCTCTGATTCTTTCGTATTTTTTCTCGCAGAAAAGGTTATAAATGCAGCTTCCTGCCGAAGAAAGATGATTAAAAAGTAAAGAAAAAAATGTTTGTATACCGCAAAGACAAACCTCGAACGGTTGCAAAATGATTCTCACGAACAGAGAACCAAGTGATGAAACCAAAGCATAGACGCCTTGGGAATCTGCACTCCCGGCCCAAATGAGCACGCCTTTTTCTCCCTCCGCTGATAAAAGTTTCCACATAGCCTGGACTGAAAACGTCCCGATAAGCGCCAGCGTTTGACCTTCGATGTTGCCTGAAAGAACTGAAATGTTAATCTCCGCGGTTGTCGAGATATTCGCTTGTGATTGCTCGTTCGTGTTACCTTTGAAACTGAGAACGCGCACCCCGACTTTCGCAAAATCCATTTGCGTTACCGCGTAGAAAAACAAAATGCACGAACCGTACGCGAGCTGCGTAGAAATTCACGACGTGAGTTTGAATGTTATTCACGCGCGGATGAATAAAACACAAAGTGTTTGTGATATAAATTCCGCGTACCTGTCCGAACGCGAACGCTAATGGCACGTTTTCACTCGACTTCGCTGCGGTTACGAAGAAGAACGTCAACAAACTTCGAGTAAGCGTTGCGATGGTTTCGGTGATAAACCGCAGGCGAAAACGCGAGCGTCTTTGCGCGCGTATGTAAAAAGGCTCCGCCAATAATTCCTGAGTAATTTATTCAAGAAATTAGTCAGTGTCATTTCAGTCATTCGTTTCTTCAGCGTGAGATTTTCAGTGTGAAATTTCTCACCAAGAAAGCTGCGAGTCCATACAAGGCGACAGCATGCGCGTACAACGTATCCTGTGATTCAGACGAGTAAAGGTGATCAGCTCTTCGTCTGGGTATCTACTCCGGGCAAATAAACCCAAGGACGAAAGTGGTGTTCGTCAGTCCGCCGTCTCAGGTGAGGATACCTCCGCGATTGCGTGCGAGCGTGCGCACCGTCGATGAGCTACCGAAAAAGTATACGGCGCTCGGCACCCCGGCGGACAGCATCGCCCCGAGCGGCACTACGAGCCAAGCAGCAGCTTCTGCGAGGTATTTTCGAGACAACTTAGTGAGTCATCGTCTGAAGCGATGAGGACACACACACCTTGGCTTCGCCCTGACTCATCCCGCGTGTCCGCGTCCCGCATCAACGCTCGACGGAAACCCTGAGAGAAAAAAGTTTGATTGAGTCGCGTGCTGCCCTTCGCACCGCGAGGGCCGCTCGGAGATGCTCGTAAAACAGGTACTGTTCCCACCTCGCGACATGTGAGTATGATCGTGGAAAACAGCTGGAAGTGTACCTGATGGCAAGGTCGAGGAATGAAGAAGATCAGAGTGTGCACGTTGGGTTCTCGGGAACGGTTAGAGTGGAGGAGATATGTCGCCCAACACACCGTGGGGACCCCGAATTCCTCTGGAGTGAGCCGCCGCGCGACGAGCACGTTCACGACGAACGGTAACAGTCTCGACACCGCTTGCGTGACTGCGAAAGAGGGCGGATCACGGTGTGGGAAGGAACGTCAGTGGGGAGGACGGGGCACAACGCGCGTGTGCCGACTTTCACTTCCACGGCGCGGACGGAGGTGTAGGCTGACTCTCGCGCGACGCGGGAGGCGAAAAGCCGGGGACGGATGGACGACGTCGGGTGATGCGAGCGATGACGTACGAAGCAAGTAACACAGCCCGACGACGAACCCTGGACCTCGGGAGGTCCCCATCTCGACGGCTCCCCGTGAAATAATGGGCGAACGAATTTTTTGTGGCGCGTTTGATTTCTCTTCGATTTTTTTGCCTTTTTGTTGAACCGCGAGAACGTGGGATTGCACTTTCAGGCGAGCGATCATCAGACTCGGGACGACCGAGGTGTTACCAGTCGCAGCCCGCGGCCCGAACGAATTCGACCTGCGCGGGTGCACGACGACGCGCACCGCGCAAACAACGCGTCCATCCCGCGAGGAGGAGGAGGGGGACGCGTACGCCTGGGTGTTGCCGCTCTTGCATGCGAGTGTCAGCAAGACGGCATCCGAAACAGTCTGTCGATACGCTCGACGAGCGGTCTTCTTCGGATCTCGCGCATCAACACATCATCATCATCTCGCGTCGTCGTCCTCGACACGCGTCGGGGCGAGGTCGACGCCTGAAGGGAAAAGACGGTGGATAAGGAAGATGGCGAAGCGAACTGCGGCTCTCACTTTGATCGCGATGCTCGTAATCGCGTTCTTCGCGTCCGTGAACGGCGAGACGACGACGGCGTCGTCGTGCTTGACGCGACAGGAGACGATCGGGGTCTCGATCACGACGACGAATTCTTCCACGAGCGACGCCCGGTACCTGGGCGTGCTCGCGCACTTTGGCTCTGAAGTCGGCGTGACTGCGGGCGCATCCCTCCCACTCGCCGTCGCGAGTGGGGATAAGCTCGCGTGCGGGTCGATCACAGAAGTATCCGGAGAGATCGTGCTCGTGTGGAGAGGGACGTGCTCGTTCCTCGAAAAAGCCTCGAACGCGCAAGCTGCAGGCGCGTCAGCGGTGGTCGTCGTGACGGACGGGAACGAACTGAGCCCTATGACGTGCGAAGGCGACGCCAGCATCAAGATACCGGCGATGATGGTTTCAAGCGCTGACGGAGACGCGCTCGCGACGCGCGCGGCCGCGGGGGGTACCGTCGCGCTCGCTGTTCTGCCAACCACGGGAAACGTCGACCTCGTCGCGTCGCTTGCGTTGCTGACGATCGCGACGATAACGATCTTATTCGGTTCGATGTGGGCGCGGGCGGATCAACTCATCACTCTGTACCCGAAGTTCGAGAACGGAAGCGGTGGCGGTCCCGGCGAGGAAGAAGGACTTCAAATCACTGGGATGAGCGCACTGTACTTCGTCGTGTTTTCCTCCGCGGTTCTGCTTTTGATTTTCTTCACGATGCACCACTGGGTGTTCACGATCATCAGGTGCGTGTTCTGCTTCGCCGCGGTGCAAGGGCTTCAGGCGTTCTTCTTTGCCGTGCTTGAGACGCTCGCGAAAGGGGACAGGTCCAATCCGAAAGCGTCGTACGTGTTCGCGGTCGTGATTGTCGCGGTTTGGTTTTTCAATCAAAACGCATCGTGGGCGTGGATCCTTCAGGACGTCTTAGGGGTGTCGTTCTTAGTGAACGTCTTGAGACTCGTTCGCCTTCCGAGTCTGAGGGTAGGGACGATGCTCCTCTGCGCGGCGATGGCGTACGATATCTTCTGGGTGTACCTCCAGCCACACTTGTTCAGCGGCGAGAGCGTCATGGTGAAGGTCGCGACGGGTGGGGAAAACCACGAGTCTTTGCCGATGTTATTCCTGTTCCCGCGGCTTGACTACGACGCTGACAGTGGTGGTAAGGAATTCTCAATGCTTGGATACGGAGACGTCATCCTCCCCGGTCTTTTGATCGTGCACAACCATCTGTTCGATAATTCGGCGAACCAGACGATTCGCGCGAGGAACGCGTGGCTGTTCCCTTCGCTCGTGATGTACGTCTTCGGTTTGCTTGTCACATTTGCGGCGTTGCATTTTGAGGTTGGAGGACAAGGTGGCCAGCCCGCGCTATGTTATCTCACACCCACGGTTGTTGGAGGGACTGTTCTTTACGCACGTGCGCGTGGAGACTTTGACAGGATGTGGGCGGGAGACGCGGGCGAAGAAGAAGAAGGGTATATCGCAGGGGAGGGCGACCGCGAGCGCTTGATGCCGCGGTATTCGAGCGTATAGTTGTTATAGTATTCACGAGTTGACTAAAAAGCTAATCGCGCTATGTGTCTTCTTTGGCTATTGATTTCGAGCGGGAAGCGCGACGACTCCGTTTTCGCTTCTGCAAGTGGTCAGGAATAACGTCAGACGGTCTCGTCGCCGTGGGGAAGAAATAGACCGCACCTTGCAGGGTTTGTAATCGCACAACTTGCACGGCGTCGACGCTTGCGTAGCTCTCTCCACTGGGTACCCGCAGGAGACACACCCTGAAATACCCTGCGAAGATAAGGAGGAGGAACGGCGTGAGCTCGTCTCCGGAAGAACGTCACCGAGAAAAAAGTAACAAATCCGAATCCCTAACAACTTCATCTCGCTCGCGTCGCCATCCGTGACCCAGTCGCACCTTGAACACCGCCCTGGGGAGGTTGTTATCCCGCGCGACAACATGAGCCGCGGACATCAGCTCAGCCGCGAGGTGCGGGAGCTCGTCCGAGACCTTCGTCGCCGCCTCTTGCAAGTACGCGCATTTCCTCGACCCGGCGCTCGTGTGCTCCGCCCCGGAGGAGCCCTTCGTCTGCGCACGCAGGCTTTGCGCTTTCATCTCCCCGGAAACTGGTCACCCCGACCGCGCCCTGCGGTCCGTCCGGGCGACGTCGCGACCGAGCGTCGCGAGGGACCGCGCGCGAGGCGCCCGCGGCTCGCGCGCTGTGTGGGTGCGTCCAATACGTGCGAGTACGCCTCTCCGTAGTACGACCCCGCGGCCGGTCGTCGTATGAGCATTTCGGCGTCTTTTCATTGGCGCGAAAGGAAATCCGGCCGAGCGAGGGACGCTCACGAACGCACGTTCGAACAGATTTTTTCATATCTTCGACCGTAAATTCTATCCAACCGACGCGTTGAGATCTCGAACACAACCTCACGCGCTCAGGAGCCCGAGGCGCGCGCGCGAAGACACGAGACGAGTAAGAGCGCCTTAAGAACCGCGCCTCGATCCCGTCGCGTCTTCACGGCAACGTTTCGCGTGGTGTGTCCGCGCGGAACGGAGCGAGGAAACAAAAAATGATTCCCGGGACGAGCGACCAGCAACAAAGCGCCGCGTCCGGAATGGACGAGCGCTTTAACGCCGGCGTCGGAACCTCCGGGAACACGTACGCCGGCAACGGCGGGAACGGACAAGGATATTACTACCAGGACGCGAATCATGGACAGTTCGCGGACGCGGGCTTCGGACAGAGCGCGTACGCGCAGCAACAGCAAATGGGCGCGTACAACAACGTTTCAGGGTCGCAGCCGTACTGGTACACCCACGGCGCTTACCCGGAAGGGGCAAACGGCGCGGGCGTCAACGGCGGTACCTCGAACGAAGTGAGCATTGCGTTACGTGACCGTGACGTGAAGACTCAGCGCAGAAAGGAAGCGAACCGGGAGTCCGCGAGGCGGTCGAAGCAGCGGAAGAAGGAAGAGAGCGAGCTCCTCTCGAGCAAAGCTCAGGAGCTTGTGAAGGAGAGCGTGTCGCTCAGGGCGAAACTGGAGAAGGTGCAAAAACAGGCGGATAAGCTGTACGCGGAGAACATGGAATTGCGGGAGCAGGTTATGAAATCGGGTGGGTCGCTTCCCCCGTCTCCTGAGCGCGTCGTCCCGATGAAGCTCCCCCCGCCGATCGAGCTCCCTGCGTCGCTTCTGAAGGACGTCGACGAAGCCGCGACACGCGCGGCGGCGACGAAGAAGGATCAATCCGAATCTCCCGCCAGTAAAGCGTCGAAAAAGGATGCGAAAGACACCCCTGCCGCCGCTGTCGCAAAATCCGCGAAGAACACGGAAGCTGAGGATGCCATGATGTCCACAATGCGATCGGCGAATGAGGTGTTCGAGAACCCATCCGAGATGGGTATTCCCGGTCTGCTCACGAACGAGGCGAACGTGGCTCTCGGTCTCGGACCTTCCAGCACGGGAGCGGAAGCGGGCGGCATGATGGACAGGGATAATTTGTTTGGACCGAATGGAGCCGGCTCGCTTGAAGACGACGTCTTGTTGAGAGGCGCGCTCAGGCACTCAGCAAACTTCCCGGGCGGAAAGAGTTTCAACTCCACGGGATCCGAAGAGGACTTCATTCACCGGTCAGATGTCGGGCAAGGAGGCTAACTTCACGATGTATAAAATATTACAGCACGCAATCCGCTCAAGGAGCGAGATTTAACACAGTCGAGAGATGAGGAGGTGAAAACGTAGCTTGGGGGACGTAGATTCGGGGGAAATCTTAGAGGTACATTTGAAAAAGACTCAGAGTTAAGTGTAAGAACTCTCCCGCCCATCACAGACGCGAAGCCCCTGGGGCGTCCAGCAACCATACGATATCACCCTTGACGAGCGAAGCGGGGATGAAATAATCATCCCCATCGCTCTTGATGATCTTCGCCGCCATTTCCGCCTTCCCCTCGCCAACTGCAGTGAAGCACTTTGTCTTCGCCGCGTTGACGACGGGCAAGGAAAACGTGATGCGCTCAGGCGGCGGTTTCGGCGAGTCCGCGATGGGCAGGATCCAAGGCGACGCGATTTTCAACAGAGGGTGTTCCGGGAACAGCGAGCAAATGTGCCCGTCCGGTCCGAACCCGAGCAACAGAAGATCGAACACGGGTAGCCCGTCCGAGTTCCTCGGCAGGACGTCGCTCGGCAACGCTTTCAGTCGAGCGTCGTATTCCTCCGCGCACGGCTTCGCGGCGCCTTCGTTCGATTGACACAAGGTTTCATCGATCGCGTAAAGTTGCGATGAAGGAATTGGTACCTCGCCGAGAAGCGCTTTCATCGCGCCCCCGTAGTTACTCTCGGCGTCGTCGTGCGGGACGCAGCGCTCGTCCACCCAAAACACGTGCCAGTTCTTCCAGTCCACGTCCGTCTTCCCCTTCAGACCTCCAAGGAGCTTCACCAAGGATCCGCCCGCGAGGGCAACGGTGAAGGAGCCACGTTCGCTTATCGCTTTCTCCGCCGCCTTGATCGTCAAGCTCGCCAGGGCGTCCGCGACCTCTGAGTCTTTCTGATACGTCTGCACGTCGTTTCCGCCCATCGCGCTCGCGAACGTTTCGCCACCGCCACGTCTGCTCGCCCTGATCGTCGCTCTTCGATGGTGTTTTCGTGCGACGTGGCCGACGCTAATGAGACCTCGTGAACTTAGCGAGAGCGCGCGAGATGCCATCATCAAGCGCTGGAGGGAGTGACGGGCGATCGCCCCGGGGAAAATGACATCACGCGAAAAATATTTGAGTCAGGTCGCGCGCGCGCCGACCAAAAAGAGAAGTTTGACTCCCCGCGCGCAGAAGGTGGCGCGGTCGAGGTGCCGACGGAGACGCGACCGCGGCGCACGCGCCGGATTTTAGCTAGTGGCCCGGGTATCGCGCAGATGTGTTGATTTCGTAGGGTGGCACACTCACGCGTAACAGATGTTGCCCTTACCGGAGGCGATTAGGCTGTCCCTAAACGAGGCCACTTCGCGTTCCGATGCCGAGCTTCTCAGGCGAACGTACCAGGACGTGTTGATATCCTTAGAGGGGCCTTCGGAGGAGCGAGTGGGTCGGGATATCCTCGTGCTGTGTGCTGAGACCGCGTTGAAGGTGAGCGAGACGATATCACGACGCGAACCCGCGCGCACGCGGGCGGGATCGACCGCGGCGACGCCTTTCAAAAAAGCCAAACCGAACGCGACCTTGTCATTCTCCCCTACCAGGCCTCCATCCTCACCAGCCTGTCGTCCACCCCTCGTCCCCTATCCCGCTCGCACAGGTTGGATCATCAGATATCGCAGCAGACGTCCTCGAGATTTACTTCCTCGAAGCGAACAAGCTCTGGAGCGACGATCCCGAGAGCCTTGGTCAACTCGAGCTGAAGGATCAGTTCGTGTGCAGGGCGTGGTATGCGAAAGCGCTGCTGTTATCAGAAGCTACCGTGGGACTGAAGGGAGAACCGCTTGTCGAGAGCGTCCATGCGGCGTTGAAATGCCTGAGCGAGGGTCTCGAGGTCGCATTAGGTGATCCGAGGTACTTGTTTCTCGTGTACGACGCGAGCGTGCATTATTGGAAAATCTCCCGCCCGTTGCAGAAGCCCGGGACACGGAAACACCTCATAGAAACCTCCTCGGCGATCACGAAGGCTCTGGAGAGCGTCTCGGGTCACGAAGAGTGGAAGATTCACAATCTTCGGCTTCACGCGTTATGTCTCAGTGACGGTGAAAATCACGACGACGCCCTGAAGGCAGCTTCTGACGCGCACGAACTTTGCAAAGCGAGCGCACCCTCGCTCGCGCCACTCGCAGTCAAACTGAGAACACACGTGGGAAGCTTGAGTGGTAAAAAGGAAGCGGAAGGTGATGGAGTTGAAGGGGCGATAACGACGCTTCAGCTTGCGCGCTCTGGGATGTTCAGCGATCCGGAGGCGCTGAAAGAGGCGTTGATGGAGGCGTGGAAGAAAGTCGACCCTGCGGCAGAACTTCTCGGCGAAGCTAAGGATGAGTCTTCAAACGGTGCCGACTTCGAAGTCGTGGCTGAAATTGGCTGGGTAGCAGCGCAGAATGGGTTAGTGGAGCTCGCGACTTGGTGCTCACAGCGCGCGCCTGGAACACGAAGCGAGCTGACTTCGAATCTTAACGCCTTGAACGGCCTCGAAGATAAAAGAGGAACGCTCGCACCTGTCGCACTCCAAGTTCACAAGGATGTGGCGAACAGCGCGGCTCAAGTGCTCGCTGCTTTCGTGCGACTTCAAGACGTAGCTGGGATCCAGGACGCGTGTCAGTTGATGTGGATGGCGAGTTTACCGCTGCAACAGCCCGAACAACGTCACCGCTTGACGAGAATCTTTGCGGCTGCGGTGAAGGCACTCGAGGCAGTGAGCTCCTCCATGAACAGGTTACGGACCGCGCTCCATCTCGAGCTCGCGTACTGCTACCTCGCAGAGCATATGGTGGTAGAAGCGAACGTTCAAGTTTCCAAGGCTCTTGCACTTGATTACGTATCCCCGGCTGAAGAGGTTGAACTCACTGAGTATGAACGTCCCCTGGACCGCTTTTTAGTTCCGCTGGCGCGTGTCTTGGCACTGAAAGGCAGCCTCTATGAGGACCCGGAAGGGGTAGAAGACCAAGCACTGCAGCTAGCCGAACAAGCACGCGACGCGAAGACGTTAAAAGTTAAGTCTGATCTTCTCCAACGTGCTGTAGCTAAACTCGTGATGTTGGATCCTTTGCCACCACCGACTGAAGAATTTGAAGGCGACGCGGGCGAGAAGAAACTTTTGAGACGAGCTGCGAAGGCGAGGGCGACGGTCTGGGGAACCATCGCCAAGGTGGCGATGGAGGCGAAGATGACATCACTCGTACATCAGGTCGCAGTTCATGTTCTCGAAATCACGGGCTGGGATCCAGTCCGCGATAAGGACATGATTCTTCTTCAAGTCGAGGTCAACTTTATTGATGGGCTTGCATGCACGGATATCTTAGCGTCCAAAGGGCTGCAATCCGTTCCACCGAAGACGATTGAGACAGAAGGAGAATTCATTGGCGATACGATCGACGAGCTCCAAAATACTGCCACCTCTGCTTTCATTAAGGCCGCTCGCTTAGGAGCGACCGTCTCGGAGAGTTGGGCTGTCATGAACGCCGCGTCGCACGTCTGGAACAACTACATCGCGCTCACGAAGAGTCACCGATACGCCGAGCTCCTTCCCGCGACAGATCCTTTGTTTGCGGAGCTCTTTAAACTGGAGGATTGCGATCCATCTCTGCTAGGAAATTTTGCTCACCTCGTGTCTTCTGGTTACGAGCACGCCGCGCTACTCACTGTGGGGGACGTGGACACCGCGGAGGAAGAGCGCGTGACAGATTATAAAACCCTTTTGGAAATGCACGCGTCTCACACGTTCGAGGTATCCGACGAGATCAATAAGGGTATCGAAACTTGCAAATCCGTGTTAGCTCGAGTGGATGACAAGAATAAGCACAGGCTTTCCGCGATGCAAGCTAGGCTTCAAGTGCGCTTGGGTGCGGCTTTGGACGTCAAGGTTGAGGATGACCCAGTAGCGCAAGTTTGGGCGATGATCGAACAAGTCGCGCAACCTGGAAAAGAGCCGGCGGCGGCTGGTGAAATCGTAAGCCAAGCGATGTCACTCCTGCGTCCTGAAGATAGCGAAGTCGCTGGTGATCTCGAAGTATGGGCTCGACTGGGCGACGCGGCATACAATGCGAAGGCTTATGGACCTGCGATTGAGAGTTGCAAGCAGGCAGTTGAACTCGCGGCAAAATTAGATCCTGATGCGCCATCTCAAATGTGGTATTGGGCAGGTGTAGCCGAATGTGCGTATGGAAATGGTATCGTCGCGTTGATTCGTCCTGAAGTTCAAGATCAAACAGCACAGGATGCTCTGAAACAGAAAGCCGTGGAGCACTTCGTTGAAGCCTCTAAGCACGGCAGACACGCGCTCCGAAGTGACATCGTATACTACGCTGCAAGGTGCTTTTGGAACACCGCCACGGGTTTCATGACTACCGCAGCAACAAGAAGCACCATCGCAGAGCCCCTCGAGACTATTCTGGATGCGTGCCGGGCGACGAAAGTGAACGATTTTAGATTCATGCAGTCCATGTTCCTATTACTCTTCGACTGTCTCGAAGACAAATCCTCGTGGGCTGAGGGTGCAAGACAGATTGAGGCCGCTTTCAGTTTCCTTCCCGATACCGAGCACCAGCCGCTGTGGGAGTATAAGGTGCTGTTCATGACGGTCATGGGTGAGAGTGTTATCGATGAGCTGAGCAAGATCACGAAATACGATGAGGAGATGCAGGCAAAGGTATGGGCAACCGTCGCTGCTCAAGCGAAAGATCCCGTGGACGCGCTCAAGGCGCATAAAAAGGCGATTCACGTGTTGGATAATCAACCCTGGATCAAAGTCGATTTCATGATTGACTTTGCGGAATGGATTGATGCAAGCGGTCAGTCCGCATCTGATGCTGAAGATGTCCTTCTTTCGGCGATGGATATTTTGCTCGAGATCGACAACGGGGGAACAGAGGATGGGGATGGTTTGTTCGAGACTTCAAGGTCGTTTAGCTCGAATACTGGTCGATCCATTCCCGCGACCCCGGAGGCTTCTATGAAGTCGTTAGGATCTAGTACAAAATTCGTCTCTTCGGGAACGCAGCTGCGAACGACATTACGCGCGAGTGATGAGAAGGAGGGACCACAGCCACCCGCGAGACTGGGAACGAAGCAGATGAGACAAATAATTCGTGTTTTCCTCATGCTCGGTAAACTCTCAGGCAATAATTTTGAAAGGTCCGACCACCTGCTCATGGCGCAGCATTACGCACTTCGGATGCTGAAGGAGAGTATTGTCGAAGCGGTCAGCGTCGCAGAGTCACCGTCCGAAAGCGTTGAAGTTTCCATCCCGGAAACGCTCGAAGAGTGGGCGACGTTTCAATTATCCGAAGGGCTGTTGGCGCAAATTCAGAAGAACACGGGCGCACTTGAAATGTCCATGGACTCGATCGGCCGTCCAGAGCTATTCCTCGCACATCTTGAATATCTTTGCGCGGGCCTCGAGTCGTCGAGCAGGCACTTGCACTGCTTATCGGTTTGGCAGCTTGGCGTCTTGGTTGCGAAGGTAGTCGCGAAGAACGATTCGCTTGTCACAGTTTCTCATCTCCGACTCGCGTCGGTTTCAGACGTGTTACTTCTCTCTTCTGCCGCGGTCATGCACGAAGATCTCGCTGGAAACCTAGAAATTACAGCCGAGGAACTCGCTCAGGGTCGCGAGGAGGTGAAGCAACGTGAACGGCTTCAACAACCTTCGACTTTGACTTCAAGAGCACCTCGAATCACATCCCGCCGTGGAACACCTGAATTGCAGTCTACCGCGGATTCATCCAAGCTCCTTCGACCGTTCGCGCTCCGTGACTACTGGCTAGCGCGTGGTGCGTATTTAGTCAAACGAGGGGCTTTAGCTGCGGCGACAGTTCTTCTCCAAGAGGCAATTGGTCACGCCCACGCGCACGACGATCCAGAGGTGGAGGCTAAGGCGTATTTCCATCTTGCAAAGTGCGCTGCCTACGGTAACAAGCCCGTTGATGCGATCAAATTACAACATCGCGGACAAGTGTGCGGTGGAGACGTCGTTTTCTGGGGCGAAAATCTAGCGGATTACACGAAGTACAAGTTGTCCACGCGCAACGGGAAGCTCTCCGCGAAGGAGTCCCTCACGACAGCGCTGAAAATTCTCCGCGGTCGACTTCGTATCTCCAGCCGGGGCAGCACTCTTGACTCGAATCAAGTGATGGCAAATCTCCTCATTGAATTGTGTCACGTCATGGAGGCTGATGTCGTCGACGCGAACGCGACAGAAGGAAACGCGACGGAGCAATACAGCCATGCGATGAAAGCGATAACGGAAGCGATTTCCATCCTTCACGAATGCGGCGGCGGGGGTGATCTCGTGAAGGCCTTGATGACCAAAGTTACGCTGATGTATAAGGAGCCGTCTGTCAGTGGTGATCCACGTCCAAGATTGGAGAACATCAAAACCGTCATTCGCGAGGCTGAGGTGGAAGCAGAGCGACTCTTTACCGCTGCATGCACGGGCTCTTTGAACCCACTCTCAACTTCGCTTCCCGCGGCAAGGGTACTAGCTGCTGTGAAAAATGCCAGAGCTGACTGCTTACTGGAGATCGCGCATGCGGCGAAGGCACATGAAGCTCAGGATAAAGAGAAGAACAGACCCGCGTTTCCATCCTTTCAGGGAACGGATGCTTCTGCGGTGCGAGCATTCCTCGACGAGATTACCCCTGAAACCTTCAGCAGCGTTCTTGGCCCTATCGAAGAAGCCGTCGTGGCTGCTTCCGAAGCCTCGAACCTCCACAAAAACTCCAGCAGTATTGATTCACTGCACGTTCTTGGCGAGGCGCTAATCGCTTCGTACAACATTCAGACGCGCGGGAAAGTTTGGATCGAGCCTCCTGCTCCTCCGGTTCCTCCAGTGGAGGGCGAAGAGGATGAGAAGGCAGAGGAGAATGCGGAGAGCGGACAGGGGGATCAGGCCGAAGGTGAACCCGACGGAGCTGGTGCGAAGGATGCTGAAAGTGGTGAAGGAAAAATCGTCGATCAGAGCGAAGTCGGAAGTGAGAAAGATTTCGAAGCTCAGTCGGTCGCGCCAGAGGAAGATAAAATTGCGCAGCCAGAACTCGGACCGGACTTGATGAAACCTCGTGCGATTCGTGTCCTCGAGCAAGCGATTGAACTCGGGCTGAAGTCCGGGAAGTACAGCATCGTTTCAAAGGCTGCAACTCACCTTGCATGCGCGTACGGGAGCACCGATCACGTGAACGCTGCGGCATCTCTTGCGCTCGCGCAGTCCTGCCGTGTCGTCGAGGCGCACCTATCCTTGTTCAAATCTGCCGCTGGGGAACAAGACGTGGAATCGCTTATCATCCAAAACCAGAAGACGATGGACGAAACCCTTAGTGATTCTTCCTCCAGTAAGTACAGCAAATCCCTGATGGAACGATTGCAGTCTTCTTGCAAAGCATGGAGAAGGCTTTCGATTAAACCAGAACAATGCTTGACGACGCCTCCCGCACTACCGGAAGGCTTAATCGTCTTTTCAGTTCAGTGGCTCGTGGGACGTGGAGGTGAAAATTCGCTGGCGATCACGTGTCACAGTGATAAGGACGGTGAGTCTGGCGCGTACGTCGCACGCGCAGACCTGACGCAACTTTTAGCTGCGACCGAATTGGTGACGAACTATCGCGCCGCGCTCGAGAAAGAACTCTCTGAAGTCGTTCACCCGAAAGAGCACGACGCGGTATTCGCTACTTTATCCGTACAGGCTGGGTGGGGTGAAGTGTGCAAGGCGACGGAATGGCTACTCGCGCCCATCTTGAACGCGTGGAAGTCTTTCCTTGGCGCAGATGGCGCGGTTGGGAGGAAGATTGTCATTCTTCTCGACGAAGTGCTAGCTGCGCTTCCCGTCGAAGCTTTGGAAGTCTTGAACGGCGCCGACAGCGTGTCACGTGACTTCTCCTTGCATGTTTTGCTTCAGCGGATAGCGGAAACGAAAGGACAATCCGCGATTCCCGCGACGGAGATGACGTATATGGTCGATCTTCGTTACGAAGAGGCTCCTGGTGCTGCACTGGAAGCCGGCGCGGAAGAAGACGCCGAAGCGACGTCACCTTCGTTAACGACCCGTTTCGAAGAGCTGAAGAGTCAGTTCGGATCGAATTGGTCTGGAGTCATGGGAAGTTTGGACGGGATTCCAGGGGAAGGGGAGTGCCAGAGAGCGATGATCGGTGCGAAATCGCTATTGTATTACGGCCATGGACGCTTCTTGTCGTACGTCCCGCCTTCAGCGATTGCGTGTGTCGATTTGTCCGCTTGTCGGCTCGCGATCTTGGCGGGTAATTCTGTGAACGAGGCCTCGCATAAGAAGCAGGATCGTCTCGACGGCAGGAAAACACAAGAAGAGCTGGCTCTCGAGAATCCGTATAAGACTGCTGCATTGCTGTCCCTACGCGGCGTGAACACAGTCGTCGTCCCGACGTATTCGTGCACCGCCGCCGGTAACGCGAAGACGTTGGCTTCGGTGTTGAGCGCGAGAGGGACGGAGGATGTCGTGGATATATCTACAGCGGTATGGAAGTCGTCTGACCCTGATCCTGAAGAAGAAGCAGAAGCAGCCGCTGAAGGCGAGGCTGGAGAGGAGGGAGAGGTGGCGGACGAAGCGTCGGGTCCGCCGTTTTCGAAGTTCAACTTCGTCGTCTACGGCTTGCCCTCCGTGTCGTTTGCGTGAAGTAGCGAAGCATTTAGTAGTAGGAATACGTAAATAGCATACTGAACTGCGAAGGAGCATCGTTCGTTCGTTCCGCGAGGTTGAATTGTCTTGGAATTACTGTATTAAAACACGAGGACCTCGTCCAGGCCTACAAAAAAACTATTTTTTTTCTGTCTACTGCTTGAGGCGCTGCGAGAGGATGTCCATCACCTTGCCAAAGTCCTCGGGCACACTGACCGGAGGGTTCGCGTACTTACCAACGATTCCTTCAATCTCACCGGCGTGGTATGCCACCTTGCTCTGCGCAAACTTAAGACCGTGCGCGGTGCTGACGACGACGACGCGATCGTCGGGGCCGATCGTTTGCGCTTCCCTCAGCTTCTTGAGAGCCGCGAGCGCAACACCGGTGTGGGGGCAGTTGAACATGCCCGTCAAATCCGCTTCCGCGGCGGCGTCCATGAGTTCCTCCTCAGTCGCCTCCTCCACGATGCCGTTAGTCTCCTTCAGCGCGTAAATCGCACGGTCGATGGAGACCGGGTCGCCGATCTGGATAGCCGACGCAAATGTAGGCTCAGCCTTGACGGCTTCGAAGTTTTCGAACCCGTTCTTGTACGCGCGGTAGAGGGGGTTCGCGTTGTGCGCCTGCGCGACGACCATCCGAGGCATGGAATCCACGAGACCGAGATCCTTGCACATCTTGAAACCCTTGAAAAACGCGTACACGTTCCCGAGGTTACCGCCCGGGATGATGACGTAGTCAGGAACTTCCCAGTTGAACTGCTGAAGAATCTCGATCGCCGCGGTCTTCTGCCCTTCCAGGCGAAGAGAGTTGAGCGAGTTCGCGAGGTAAATCGGGAGCTCCGCGGTGACCTCGCGAATGAGACGCATGCATCCGTCGAAATCGGTGTCGATCGACAACACGAGGGAGCCGTTCGCGATCGGTTGCACGAGCTGCGCGAGGGAGATCTTGTCCGCGGGGAGGAACACGATCGACGGAATGTCCGCGGACGCCGCGTACGCGCTGAGCGCCGCGGAGGTGTCGCCCGTGGACGCGCAGCCGACCGCGGCGAGGGGCTTGCCCATCTTCCTCATCCGGTTCACCTGAGAGACGAGCGCGGTCATTCCGAGATCCTTGAACGAGCCGGTGTGGGAGTTCCCGCACTGCTTCACCCAGAGATCGCTCATCTTGAGGTTCTCGCGGCCGTACCGCTCCGCCCAGAAGAGGTTGGAGTTACCTTCGAACATGGAGACGATGTCGTCGTCGGAGATACCCGGCAAAACCCACTCTTTCTTGCTCCAGACACCGGATCCGTAAGGCCAGACCGTCTTGCCGACGCGCTCGTCGAAGAGGGCCTTCCAGTACTCCGGGGGGTAGATCGCGAGAGCCTCCATGTCGTGCTCGACGTCGAGGAGGCCGCCGTTCTTGCTGCGGTAGATGACCTCATCGAGGGAATACTCTTCCCCGGAATCGCCTTTGTTGAACGGGGTGTATTTCGCGTTAAAGAGCGAGTTCTTCTCGAGGGGGACTGCAAGAGGAAGGGTGGGAGGGGGTGGTGAGCGACGGTGTTTAATGAATGCCATGATTGAAGGGTTTTCGCGCGTCGACTGTCGTGGGGGCGGGGGCGTACCGCGACGGGCAGCCTGCTCGCGGATGTTTCCGACGCCTCCAGCCGCCGCTTCGGCGCGAACGCGAAGGGTTGCGCGGCTGCGCGGCGCAGCGCGCACGCCGGTGCATCCCGGCACGCGTTCGGTCGTGGCCCGGGAGCTCAAAGAACGAGCAGCCAGGGGCACGGCGGAGTTGATGATGGCAGCCATGACGCTGGCGGTACTACCGAGCGCGCGCACGAAGGATCGAGCGGTTCTGTCGACGACAAACGATGCGAAGGATGCGCTACGCGGATACGAAGTCACTCCGGCGACGCGCCGTTGCGGACTCGCGCGCAGAAAGTGCCGGCCGCCGTGTGACACGGCCGCCCTTTCTTTTTCGTCATATCCAAAGTCCATGGAGATCCTCGGTTCGTAGACCGTCGAAATCCTCTCGTCTGCTGACGCGAAGCGAAGTCGGCGGCGTGATTTTCGTTGTTCGGCGAATTCTGTTGCGTTCTTTGCGCGCCGTCATCGTCACCAGTCTTCGCCAGTCACCAACGGCGCACGAAAGATGCTCCGCTCCTCGCTCAGAGTCGCGAGAAAGGCGCTGTCTTCGAACGGCGCGGTAGCATGCGCGTCGTATAACAGATCGCTCCCGATCGTCTCGAGCGCGCTGCTCCGTCGCGGCGCGTTCGCGCGCTCGGTCGCAGTGCGATCGGGATCAGATCTCGCGGGGCGGCGATCGGAGCGAGCGAGGACGACGTTCGCGAGCTCGGTGCGCGATTTCTTCAGCGCCGGAGCGAAGGGTGGAGAGAAGGAGGCGAAGGAAGGAAAAGGCGAAGAAGAGCCCGTCGAGGCCGAGGCCACGGGCGAGGAGGCGGCGGAGGAGGCGACCGGCGAGGAGGCGGAGGGCGAGGGAGCGAACGAGGAGGTGGAGAACCTGAAAGCGGAGGTGACGGAGAAGACCGCTCAGGTGAAAGACCTGAACGATAAGCTCCTGCGAACGCTCGCGGACATGGAGAACCTGCGCGAGAGGACGCGTCGGCAGGCGGAGAACGCGGAGAAGTTCGCGATCCAGGGTTTCTGCAAGGACCTTCTAGACGTCGCGGACAACCTCGGCAGGGCGGCGGCGACCGTGGACGCGGACGCCATCGCCGCGGAGTCGGACGGGGAGAAGCTGAAGAAGATGCTCACGTCCCTGCACGAAGGCGTGCTCATGGTCGAGAAGCAGTTAGGATCGACGTTCGGGAAGCACGGCGTCGAGAAGTACGACCCCACGGGAGAGGATTTCGACCCGAACGCGCACATGGCGTTGTTCAACGTACCGGACGCGGAGAAAACCGCGGGGACGATCGCGTCGGTGACAAAGGCGGGGTACAAACTGCACGACCGGGTTATACGACCCGCGGAGGTTGGCGTGTACCAGAGTCCGTGAGTGTGTTCGTTAGGTTTCTATGATTCATTCGAGCACGAAAGCTAAAACTCGCTCGAGTGAACTTTCAACGCTGTTGCTCATCGCAAGCCAGTCGCATGAAACTCGCCACCAAGCCCGGTGGTGTATTCCCCATTCGAACGTTCTTCGGCGACGTAGTTCTTCGCGATCGAGACAGACTCTACGTCCGGGTCGTTTCGTAGAGTGCGGATCGTGTCCAATACGTCGGGGATCCCGGCGAACGATCGGTCTCCGTCGAGACGAGCGAGCGACCTTGCGAGCTCTCGCTTCACATTCGGAACGGCGTCGTCCACGCACATGAGCATCAACGGGAGGAACTCTTCTTTGATGATGTTCGCGTCCACGACGCCGACGAAAGCACCGCACATTTGGACGTACGCCTGACGGTCCAACCACCGTGGGTTTGTCGCCATGAGCTTTATCTCCGCGACGACGTCGCCAACTTTTCCGGATCTCCACCGCAGCGAGGACGCCTTCGCGGTGTTGTGCAGGACTCCGCCGACAGCGTCGATGCTCTTCGCCCTGACCGCGGACGCGGGGTCTTTAAGAAGCCGTAGAAGTAAAGGAAGCAGAGCGTCTTCGTTCGCGTCTTCGGGCAGAACTTTCGATAACGCACCGAGTTGCTCGGACAACGCCGCGCGTAGGCGCCAATTCCCAATCACATTCTTTCCCTCCGCCTTTCCGACGTCCTGAAGCAAGTACAACGGCCCGGTCCGCGCGTGAGGGGCAACTTGACTCATGAACTCCGCGAGATGATCGATAACCCCGACGACGACCTCGTCCGTGTCGCTCAGCATCGCTTCGAAGATGGGTAATAAATCGCGTTGCGTCGTTTCTTTCCCTAATATTTTCGCCATCTCGTGCAACGAGCACGCTAACGAGCGTCGCACGCGCCATTGCACGCTGTGCGCGAGGACGTTATACGCGGGTCTTATCTCGTGCCATCGCGCGTGCCCGATCGTGTACGCCACGCCTGGAATGTTGAACGCGCACGATAACTGCAGCCCGTTGTTACCTCCCGTGCTCTCCGACATGCTCACAAAGTGATCGACGAGCGCCGCAGACGTGTGCTCGCCGCCGAGCTCGGCGACGAGCGGGCCAAGCTTCTCCAGCGCGGCGGTCCGCACTTGAAAGCTCACGTCGTTCGCTAACGGTTCGAAAAGGTCGTGAGCGACTTTCACGAACGTCTCTCTCGAGAAGCACTTGGACAGCTCCACGAGGTTTTCCGCGCACGACCTTCGCACTGACCAAATCGCGTCTTTCGCGAGCTTCTTGAACGACGGCAGCAACGCGTCCTCCGCGATCGCGTCGTCCATCACCTCGGCGACCTTCACGATCGCCCTCGCAGCCGCTTCCCGAGCCTGCAGCGCTTCGTCCGACGCGATAGTTCGCAGAATCGGCGCGAGCGTCTGTTCCGAGACGCCGCCGCCGACGACGCGCGCGAGCCCGCCGCAAATCTTCGCCGCGGACACGCGTATTTCTTCCTCCTGCCCCTTGGCTAAGTTCGCGAGCAGCGTTAACAGAAGCTCTACGTCTTCCTCGCGATCTAAAACGGTCGCGACGGTCGACACCGCGACCTCCGCGGCCTCCACGACGCCGTCCGCGTCGTCTTCCACGAGAAGAAACGCTACGTACAGCAGCCCGGTCGCGACGTCGGTCTCTTGCTCCCGTCGCGCCGTCTTCAGCGCCTCGATGAAGACCCCGAGCTGCTCCGCGACGATCTGCCTCACTTCGCTGTCGTCGTCCTGCGCGAGCGTCTCGACGAGATCCAACGGGAACGCCTCGTTCCCGGTGCTCAGCGCGCGCGTGCACACCATCCCTAAGCTCTTGACGTGAAACAGCCTCTGCACCGAGACCGTGCACGCGCGGCAGTACTGCTCGCAGAGCTCGAGCTCGGTCAACCCGACCGCGTCGTAGTCGTCCGCGGACGTGTCGACCTCGACGTATTTCTCCGACACGAACTCCTTGAGGTCCTTCGGATCGACCCGGGCGGTCGCTCGCCCATCCTCGCGGCCGAACTCGCCGTTGTGGCTCATCGTCGCGGTCTCGTCGTCCGCGGGTCACGCGCGCATCGAACGCCGGTTACTCGAGCTCGCGCGACGCCGCGGGCGAGCCAGACGCGACCGTCGTACCCTCGGTCCTATCGCGCGCGGGTCATCTCGCGCGTTCGTCACCGCGGCTTCTCGTCGCTCCGTCCTCGTGCGAGTGACTCCACGAACGACGACGACGCGGTGCTTTGTTAGCGGCAGCGGCACTCTGCTGGCAGAGAGCGAGCGATGAAATCTACTGTATGAGGCCTCTCTCACGATGAATCGTAGGTTCAATCATCGACGGATCGATCGGAGAGGGCCTAGCTAGCCCTATTGATTTGACCCATCGACTGACCGCTGGACCGCGGAGTTCCCGATTTGGCAAGCACAGGATTTTTTTCGCTGATAGATACAGGGGCGAAGGGGCGATTCCCGCGCGTCACCCGCTCACTAGTTGTGGCGTGCCCGCGACGTTAACGACGGCGACACCGCCTTTGTCGACGAGTGAAACTCGTTGTAAAGGCACGCGTCAGCGCGGCGCGATACTTGACCGGCGGCCTCGTCACTCTCGTTTCCGAGCGTGGGGAAGAGGTGTGGTCAACCGAAAGTTGATTTCGCTCCGCGGCCAATTCTGAGAATCGGCTCACGGCGCGATACGAAGCACACGTGAACTAAAGGTACGCTGAGGATGTCCCTCGAACAGCGCACAAAGTCAGTCGCGCTCGATACGCGGACGTTGGATCCTGCTCGGTGCTCGCGATCGCGCCGCGCCGTCTCCGCCGCGAGCGCTTCGATCGCGACGGACGCGATTCCGCTCCGATTCGATTTCCCCCCGTAACCCGATTACGATTAAAATTCGGGGCGCCTCGTCCACCGCGTCCTGACGCTCTTCCCCTCGTTCGTCCACCGCGTTTCGCAGGAGTGCTTCGGTAACTTCGGACGTAACGCCAGCAGAGCCCTCGGCGCGATCCGCACCCCGCGCGCACAAGGTGGACATGGACACGACTAGGATGCAAGATCTGGAGGAACAAGCCCTCGAGGCTCGTTCCAGGAGGCAGTTCGAGAAGCTCGAGGAGAAGATCCAAAAACGTCAGCTCCTCGAGGGCCGCCTCCTCGAGGCGGAGCGCGAGTTCAGGGAAGAGAAGAGCGTCCGCAAGGAGCTCGAAGAGGTTCGCGACGAGATGAACCGGCGACTTACGGAATCCACGAGCACCCGCCTCGGCGCGGAGAAGACCGCGAAGGACTACAAGCACCTCGAGAGGGAGATTGCGGACGTTCAGAACTCGATCGCGCATCTCGAAGGCTCCGTCATGCCCGAGTTGCACAAGGAACTCGCGAGAATCCGCGCGAAGGCGAAGCAGGACAAGGATGCGCTCGCGAATTTCGACGGCGGCTCGCACGAGCGACACGTCCTCGAGATGGAGCGGATCGAAGCGAAGCGACAGATGGAAGAGCAGCTTCACGCGCTCGGCGTGCAAGTCGCGCGCCTCGGCGAAGCCGTCACCGCGAGCGATAAGATCAGCGAGAGAGACTCCGAGACGATGAAGGGTTTGCTCAACGACGGCTCGAAGATGCTGAACGCCGCGCACGCGGACGTGCTGACGCGAAAAGGCGAGCTCAAGAACATCGACGAGCGGCTCGTGAGGATCATGAAGAACCTCGATCGCACCACGGAGGCGCACAAGGAAATGAGGAACAACCTTGTCAACGGGCACCAAACCCTGAACGACTTCAAGGAGAAGGATGAGCTGGAGGACCGTTACATGCACCGCCGCCTCGCGCAGCCGTACATGCGCGAGGAGCTCAAGGGCACGTCGCTCCCGAAGATGATGGCGACGTTGAACATCGCGTTGCCGAAGAAAATCGAACCGATGAACATCAACGCCCTCACCGTGGATGAAATGATCGAGAGGCAGATGGCGGAGGAGCAGCAGGACAAACTCCAGGAAGCACTCGACAACGCGCTCGCGGATGTCAAAGTCCCGTCCGATCCGTTAAACGAGCTGAACGGCAACACCGTGGCAGGCACGCTCCAGGATACGCTCAAACCGGACGTCAGCGAAGGCGAGATCCTCGTGGGCAAATCCCTGGAGCTTCTTCAGAAGATGAAGGAGACCGCGAGCGAGTCTACGTCTCGCGTGAACAACCAGGTTGACTATTACCAGCGAACGCTCGCTCAACTCGACAAGGAGATCGCATTGGCTTCCAAACACCTCAAGGATGGCGACCTCACGAAGTGGGACGAGCAAATTCCTCAAGAAGTCGCGATCGACGCCCAACTTACGAGGCTGGGCGGCGGTAAAGCGAAGAAGCACGTGAAGGGCAAGACCCTCCTCGAACTTTTCCACTACTACGATCAAGACGGGAACGGTTTCGTGAACAAGGGCGAGCTCATTTGCATTCTTTCCGACGTTGGCGTTTTGGGAGGTCTCACCCCGGACGACGCCTCCAACGCGGTCGATATGGCATGGGCCGCCGCGGACGACAACGGAGACGGAGGTATCACGTACAAGGAGTTCGCGAAGTTCATGTCTGGTTTCAAGAACGTGAAGCCGCGTAAGACGCTCCCGACCAACATCCCGGAAAAGTTCCTGAACGAGGACGACTCGCTGTTCCAGGTGTACCTTCAGCACTGCTCGAAGAAGTACCCCCAAGAGATGGGTTCCGCGCAGTTCGTTCGCGCTTGCCGCAAGGCTAATTTCATCGACGCGATGTGCACCGCGAGCGCGTGCTGCATCGTCTTCGCGAAGTCTCGCGAGGAGTTGCAGAAGCGCATCAAGTTCCCCGGCTTTCTTCGCGCGCTTGCGCAGATCGCGTCCATGAAAAGCATGAATTTCGAAGCCGTCGCGAATCAATTCGAACGTGATGCATTGTTGTACCCCATCGCCGTGCACAAGGACCGAAAATTGTTCGAGGGTATGAACGACGAAGCGCCCACGGACGATGACGCGCCCTTGACGACGACGAGGTTCCGACCAGAAGATGACGATGCCATCCCCACGCTCACTCCCGCGGCCGGCCCAATGGCGTCTACGAAACCTAAACCGATCCCCACTGTCAAGGCGACGCCGAGTTCCGTCGCGGACTCTACTTCTGAAGCCCTGAAGGACCTGCAAAAGCGCTCGAAGCCCGTGGACATGAAATCCTGGGACACGAAACAAGCGATCGACGACGTCGGACAGGCGCCTGTGCCGAAGTCCATGGTCGAGGCGTCGGGGAAGAGGATGTCCGTCCGCGACTTGTACAACACGTACGACAATGACGGCGACGGAGGCCTCGACATGGATGAGATGTCCGCGCTCATCACGGAGATGGAGCTCGTGAAGGGTTTGTCCGCGGAGGACGCCCAGGTTGTTCTCGGGGAGTACTTCAAAAACGCGGATGCGGACGGCGATGGGAAAATCAGCTTCGACGAGTTCGCGCTGTTCTACATCGACCTTCAGAAGATCAAAAAGTCAGGAACCTCGAACCTCGCGGTGAAGATCCCGAAGGGACTGAAGCAAAACGCGGAGTTTAAGGCGCTGTACGTTGACCACTGCTCGTACGGGAAGGGGCTCAAGAAGATCGACGAGATGGACGGCGCCGCGTTCGCGAGAATGTTCAAGAATGCCAACATGCTCGATAAGAATTTCACGTCGACGGCCGTTGACATCATATTCACGAAGTCGAAGGAGAAGACGAAGCGAAAGATCACGTACGCGCAGTTCTTGAGCTCCCTTGGCCTCGTCTGTGCGCACAAGGGGATTGAATACACGGACTTGGTGAATGTGCTCACCGAGACTGGTCCGCCCACGGCGAGCGGTGCGGCCGGGCCGGGGGTTTCCAAGCCGGAGCCAGCGAAGAGAGCGAAGCCAGCGAAGTCGGGCCCATTGCACCCGAAGCCCTCCGCGCCGGTCGCAGCTTTGATCGCCAAGGTTGGTGAGGAGGGAGATGCCGCCTCGGATTTGCCCGAGCCCAAGCCGGTGTTGAACAAGGCTGGCAAGCGGATGTCTATTCGGGAGATGTACAACGCGTATGGACCGGATGGTCTGAAGGAGCCTGCGTTCGCTAAACTTTTCCAGGATTTGGGGCTGCCCGCGGACAAGGCGTCGGCGACGTTCGTGAAGTCTGACGTCAACGGCGATGGCCAGCTCGACTTCAACGAGTTCACGGCGTTTTACAACAGCCTCAAGGGTGGTAAACAACGACCGGGAAGCGTGCTCGCTGCTCCCGTGCCTGTCGAGTTCAAAAAAAATAAAGAGTTCAAGGAGTTGTTCATCGCCCACTGCTCTTACGGGAAGGGGCAGAACAAGATCGAGGAACTGGACGGTGCGGCGTTCTCGAGGATTTTCAAAAACGCGGGTCTTTTCGACGCGAAGTTATCCGCCACGAGCGTGGACATCATCTTCACGAAGGTGAAGGCGAAGTCCGCGAGGAAGATTAAGTACGACGAGTACTTGAGCGGTCTCGCGCAAGCTGCGGCGACGCTTGGGATTACGTTCGAAGAGCTCGCGGAGAAGCTCACCGCGAAAGGTCCGCCGTAAGCACGCTTCGTAGTTCGCGCATCTGAAGCGACACGGTCAACTCGGCGCAGTTCAGCCTTCGCTCGATGCGATTACTCGGTTGTGTGTGTGCGTGCGTGGTCGAGCATCACAACTTAAGAGATAGAACTGAGTATGTAAATATATAATCGTCCAATTTCATAACTCGTGTCTCTCTTAAGGTACCCGCGCCACCGACCAACAAAGCGAAGGCCCGTTTCAGCCGCCCCCGCAGGACGCGGTCATATTTTTTTCGCGGAATAGGAATCGTCGCCAGATCTCGCTAGCGCTCGACATGCAGACAGCTAAGACTCCGTTCGTTCCTCCCGAAGACTTGCCGTGCGATGTATGCAAACAATCTACGGATGATGACACGATGATCTTATGCGATTCCTGCGACAGGGGATTTCACATGGCGTGCTTGAACCCGGTGCTGAACGAACTGCCGATAGGCGACTGGTTGTGCGACGGGTGTTGTGCTACGGGAGCGTCCGCGAAGGGCTTCGTTCGAACAATCCCCACGAATAAAACTGAAATCCAACTGGTCGAACACGAACGAACGACGTCGTGCCGACTGTCCTCCGTCGACATCGCCGCTGGCCTTGCGCTCAAGGACGACGGACGAGTGGCGCTCGGAAATCTCCCCATTTCCGGCTACAACCCAGGGGGATATAGGAGCGTAAGAGCAACGCGAGGGATCTCCGCGGGTTCATATTACTGGGAGGCGCTGTGCGTACACGGCATTAACGGAAACTCCGGTCACTGTCGCGTCGGGTTCGCGCAGCAGTGGTCCGACCTGGAACTTCCAGTTGGCGCGGACGAACTCTCATACGCGTTGAGCTCGTCCGCAGGGTGCGGCGTGCACCTAGGAGTGCGGACACCGCTTGGGACTCCGTTCTCCGACGGCGACGTCGTCGGGATGCAGCTTTACCTCCCCCCCGGAGGAAGGGAGCGAAAACGCACTCGAGAGGCGGTGTACTGGGGGAACAAATTGTTTTGGATCGAGGAAGGGTTCGCGGACGAGCCGAAGGTTGTCAAAGGATCGTTCATCGCTTGGAGCGTGAACGGGCGAAATATCGGGAAGACCAGAAACCTTCTGGAAGGGACGTACTTCCCGTGCGTTTCTATCTTTACCCTCCCGCAATCAGAGCCTGTGGAAGTTCGGTGTAACTTCAACGCGCAAGAATTGTGCACGCAGCCTCGGCGCTCGAAGCCGTGGAGCGAAGCGAGTTGACGAACACGAAAGCGTTTTTTATCAACAATTTTTACGATCACTCACGAGTACCACTTCGTCGCTTTCCGGGCGTAGTTCGGAGCGGCGGGTTTCGCTTGTGCGGCGTCGTAGTCGATCATCTGCTGATACTCCTTCTCCGCTTGTTGCGCCCCCTCCCAAGCTTGCTGCGCCTCCTCGCGCTTCTTCTGCTGTAGACTCTCTTTGTAGTGAATCTGAGCCTCGATGTCCAACCGGTTTTGAATGCGTTGCGCGTTCGCCTGCGCGGTGTACTCTCGCTCGAGCGCGGTCATCTCGGCGAGCTCCGCTTCCATGCGCTGACGCTCGTACTCTTTTTCTTCATCGAACGCGCGGCGCTTTTCCGCTTTCATCCCGAGCTGCCTCTGGCGATCCGCGTCCACCTCGCTCCACAGCTTCGCGCGCGCGGCTTCTTGTCGGTCCTTCTCCGCCTGGCGTTTCGCGTCGTACTCGAGCTGCTGCTCTTCGATGAGACGGTCTCTCTCCTCTTCGCTCACCGCTTCCTTCACCATGAGCGCGGCGAGGTGCACGCGATACTGCGCGTCTTGCTCCTTCTTCCGCGCCCTGAGCTCTCTATCCCTAGCATCCTCCTCCGCGACTTGCCTCGCCGCGTCTTGCACGAGCTTCAAGTTGAACGCCTCTTCCTCCGCTTTGACGACCGCGTCCGCTTTCCTCTTCGCGTCGTTGAACGCTTTAACCTCCTCCAGACGAACGCGCTCTTTTTCCGCCTTCGCCGCGAGGATCACTTTGTGCGCATCCTCCTCCTCGGCCCAACGTTGCTTCATCTGTTCGACTTCGCTCTTCGCAACCTCCACTTCCGCGACGCGGCGGGAGCTCACCTGCGCGACTTGCTCGTCCAACGCCCGGATCGCCTCCGCCTTGAGTTTCTCCTGCGCCGCCACGTCCGCGAGAAATCTCTCCTCTTTCTTCAACCGGAGCTTCTCGTACTCCGCGTCGTAGTATCGCTTCTCCTCCTCCTCCGCGCGCTTCTTCGCGAGCTTCTCGTCGAGCTGCGCCTTGCGCCCTTCCACCGTGGAGACGGTTTTCGCCTTCGAGTCGCCTTGTCGGACGCCGTCGCAGCCTTCGCGCCACTGGCGATACAACATCTCTTGCGCGAACTGCGCGCGCTCGTCTTCGCGCTGTTTGAACAGCGCGCGCGCTCGTGCTTCGAGCGCGTGATGTCGCTCCTCCGGGGTCTGCTGACGATCGACGAGCTCCTGTTTCAGCGCCGCCTCCTCCGCGAGAAGCATCGCCGCGAGCTTCTCTCTTCTCGCGTCGAGGTTCGCCTCCGCCTGCGCCTTGAGCGCCTCGAACCGTTTCTTGAACTGGTTCTTCGCGATCATTTTGTCCGTGTTGTTTTCCCACTGCGCGTACCCTTGACGCGCGTTGCACGACTGAAGGACGGAATCGGGGGAAGCGAGCGTGAGCACCAAAAACAGAAGAAGAATTCGATGCCGCGGGTAGGTTCGAGGGGCGACGATCGGGAAGCGACGCGCACCTTGATGTAGTCGTTCATGTCCCTGCTTGAATCCTCCGCGGCGCGCATTTTCAAGACGCGAAAGTCCGCGGGCGGTCGCGTCGTCTGCTTAAACATCGCGACCTGCGAGCGACGCGCGGGGGGATCCGCGTCTGCTGCTTTTGGCTCGACGGGTTAGAACCCCTGTGTGATGCGTTGACGCCGACGCGAACGCGTTCGCGGTTGACCCCTGTGAAGGACACGGGCGTGCGCGCGCGAGATGGCGACGCTCGCGATGCAACTGCGCGCGGTCGAGACTGGCGGCGGCGAGGCGTCCGCGCGTCGTTATGACACCGCGCCCCCTCTCGACGATTGAAGAAGCAACGGACGGAAATTGACTTGGTCCGCGGGCCATCACTCACCCTGCTCTGCTCACCACCAGACTGATAAATCCTCGGCGCCTCCCAGATCGAAACGCGCTCGTCTTGTGGCCTCGACGTCATGGCCACCTTAGCGGACTCGTTCCTCGCGGACCTGGAGGATCTCAGCGATGACGACGTCGCGGAGGAAGAAGTCAAGGACGAGAGAGAGGAGGGCGGGGTGTCAAACGCGCAGGCGGCGGGGGATCTCACGAAGGCGGATTTCTCCCTCGACGCGGTCTCCAAGCTCGTGAACTCGGAGCGGTATCAGAGAGTGATGCGCCAGGTGGACGAAGCACTCGCGGCGGACAAAGCCGCGGGCGCGTCCGGCGCGTCTACCCTAGGCGTCGTGGACGACGGCGCGTACCAGCTCATCGTCGACTCGAACTCGCTGAGCGTGGACATCGAGAACGAGATTCAAGTCGTGCACAACTTCATTCGCGACAAGTACCGGAGAAAGTTCCCCGAGCTTGAATCGCTCGTGATGAACCCGATGGACTACGCGCGCGTCGTCAAAGCGATCGGGAACGAGATGGACATGACGAAAGTCGAGCTCGAGAGCGTCATACCCTCCGCGACGATCATGGTCGTGTCCGTGACCGGGAGCACGACGAACGGTGAGCCACTGTCGAGCGAGGATCTAGACAGCACGTTCGAGGCGTGCGATCGCGCGATGACGCTGGACAACGACAAGCGGAAGCTCGTGGCGCTCGTGGAGAGCAGGATGGACAAGACCGCGCCGAACCTCAGCGCGGTGCTGGGCCCGGAGGTTGCCGCGCGTCTGCTCGGCGTCGCCGGCGGTTTGACGCAGCTGTCGAAGATGCCGGCGAACAACGTGCAGGTGTTGGGGCAGAAGAGGAAAACGACCGCGGGAATGTCCACCGCGACGCAGGTGAAAGCGGGAGAGATGCACGTCGGGTTCATTTTCCAGTGCGACATGATCCAGAGGAAGACTCCGCCGCCGTTGAGGACGCGCGCGGCGCGTTTAGTCGCGGGGAAGTGCGCGCTCATGGCGAGGGTGGACGCGTTCGGCGAGGACCCGTCGGGGGCGACCGGACGGAGCATGCACGACGACATGGTGAAGAAGATCGAGAAGTGGCAGGAGCCGCCCCCGGCGCGGACGGCGAAGCCTCTCCCCGTTCCCGGCGGCGAGGCGAAGAAGCGACGAGGGGGGAAGAGGCAACGCGCGATGAAAGAACGCTTCGGCGCGTCGGACATGCGAAAAGCCGCGAACAGGGTCGGGTTTAACGTGCAAGAGGAAGATTTCGGTCTCGAGGGCGAGGGTTTGGGGACGCTAGGGACGTCCGCGGGCATGGCGGCCGCGAGCGGGAAGCTGCGGATTCAGGCGAAACCGGGGAAACTCAAGGTGAACGCGAAGGATAAGTACGCGAAGTTCAACCCGACGTCCACGGGCGGGGGCACGAGCGGGATGGCGTCGTCGCTCGCGTTCACGCCGATTCAAGGGATCGAGCTCGCGAACCCGACGAAGGAGAAGGACGCGACGTCCGGGACGGACTCGGTGTTCTCCGAGCTCAGAGGGTTCAAGAACGTGCAGAGACAGCTGAAGAGTTTGTAAACAAATGCGAAGTACTTCCGGAATTACAACACAACGGTACACGCTCGCGACTACAGACCGCGGCGTCGCGAGGAAACGCAATCGATCTCCGCCCGACACGAGACGTGCTTTATCGGCGGAGACGTCATACGCGCGTCCCCTCGCGACCGCGGTCTTCATCGCAGCTCTGCTTTCGCGCTCGCTCCCCCCGACGGAAACCCGTACGACGCGAGCAGATCCTCGACGGCCTCGACGCTCTCGCCCTCGACGTTGATTCTATCGCGCTCGACGCCGGCGGTGTCGAACAGGACGAGCTCGGGGGGGTTCCCGGACACGTAATTCATGCGAACGCCGCGGATGCCACCCGTCTCGACGCGCTCTTTGAAGAAGGCCTTGAGCTCCGGGTATCTGTTCAGCTTTCACCCAGAGCAGCTCTGGAACTCCGCGCGCGCGACGGGCCCGGCGTACCTCGTAGAATCCGCGCCGGGCTCGCAGTGCACGGACGCGACGCCGAGGAGGGCCGCGACGCACACCGCGAGGACGCGGAACGACCTCATCGCCGCGGGCCGCGTGCTCGTGCGCGGGGGACACTGTCGCTTCGTCCAAGGTGGCTGGGCGATCTAACAAGATGTGCGATGAAGGGGCACGAAACGTCATTTGTCGCCCGCGCACCGACGACGAGAAGCACGACAAGATGCTTCGCTCCACCGCGTCCCGTCTCGCGTCCCGGATCGGCACGGTCGCGTCGAGCCGCACCCTCGTCACAGCGAAGCTCCCCGACCTCGCGTACGACTACGGCGCCCTGGAGCCGATCGTCAGCGGGGAAATCATGCAGCTTCATCACGCGAAGCATCACAACACCTACGTCACGAACTTCAACCTCGCGATGGAGAAGTACGCGGAGGCGGAGGCGCGAGGGGACTACTCCACGATGATCTCGCTCCAAGGCGCGATCAAGTTCAACGGCGGCGGGCACGTGAACCACTCGATGTTCTGGAAGAATCTCGCCCCTCCGAAAGATTGTGAGCCGCCGTCCGGGGAGCTCCTGTCCATGATCAACCGCGACTTCGGGTCGCTCGAGAAACTCCAGGACAAGTTCTCCGCGCAGACAGTCGCGGTCCAGGGCTCGGGATGGGGCTGGCTCGGCCTGAACAAAGCCACAGGGAAGCTCGCGATCGCGACGACGGCGAATCAGGACCCGTGCGTCACTACCGGGCTGACGCCACTCTTGGGCGTGGACGTGTGGGAGCACGCGTACTACCTCCAGTACAAGAACGTGCGGCCCGATTACGTCAACGCGATCTGGAACATAGTGAATTGGAAAGACGTCGCGGCCAACCTCGCGGCGGCGAAGTAAAATGAGCGAGCGAGAAGAGTGAAGCGAACGTTGTGATAAAGTGAACGGGCCGAGCGGCTAAGTCTATCGCGTCCCCGTCCGGTCGATCACCGATCCTCGTCCGACTCCGGACCCATATTCTCCATGTTCTCTCCTGGAACCTCTATGTCGTCCACCTCCTGCGCCTCGTGCGCCCCGGACGCTTTCATGATCGCGTCAACGCACGCCCGCCTGTCGTTGTGCATCGCCTCGTCCAGCGCCGTTCTCCCGCCGGCGTTGACCACGTTCGGCTTCGCGCCCTTCTCCAGGAGCCTGACGACGACGTCCTCGTGCCCGTTCACGCACGCCCAGTGCAACGCGGTGTTCCCTTGCGCGTTCGTCATCGTGGGGTCCGCTTTGCTCGCGAGCAGGATGTCGACTATCTCGAGATGCCCGTTCGCGCTCGCGAAAAACAGCGCCGTCCTGCCCTCGACGTCTTGCGCGTCGGGGTCCATGCCCTGAGATATGTGCGCCTGCACGTCCTCTGCCTCGCCGTACCGAGCGGCCTGTGCACGGGAAGAGCGAGTGTCGAGATGTTAATCACGGGATGAGCTCGATAGCGTCGCGGAAACGAGAGGGGCGCGTTCGCGGCGGCGGTCGCGGGGTGGACGTTCGATCGATCGTTCGATCATAATCGGAAGGCAAAGGTGCTCACCGCGACGAAGTCGTCGACCGTCTCCTGCGCTATCTCGGTCGTCATCTCGTCCTCGCTCGCGGACATTTCGCGATACTACGCGCTTTGTGCGTGTGCGGCGCGAAGTGCTGCTCGCGGTCCCGATTGAGCGACGCGCGGGGGGCGCGCGGCGTAGTGTCGAATGTGCGGCGCTAGCGCTTTTCGGAAAAAGACTTGAAAAAGAAAAAGCAGCGAGAGAAAAAGCACCAGCAGATTTGACCCCGGCGCGGAAGAGACGGGTGTGACTTAATCGTACGTGTACTACAGTTCTCGTGAGTACTTAGATTCAGCCCGACCCGGGAGAACCGGATGGGGACGGTCGCGTGCGACGGACGCACATTGCGTTCACTGAAGCGCGTTGACGTTCCATTACAATAGCACAACGCGCGCGCCACACCACGCGGTTCGCGACTAGACCCCCTTTGGTCCGCCGTTCCCCGCGACTACACTCCAAAACCCACCGCCACCGGCGTCGCTTACTCGTCTTCCTCCGAACGGAGACGAGCGTTCTTGTTCACGACGTTCACGTTGAGCTGCGCCGCGCGCTCGCAGATCGCCTTGCGGTTAAGCGTGGACACGTTGTGCGCAATCTCCGCGCAGTACTTCCGGTTGTGCATCATAAGAAGGTCGAGGTCCGCGACGTTGTGCACCACGAACTTCAGGAAACCGTTCGGGAGAAGGTGCTTCGTCTTCTTGTTCGACCCGTAGCCCACGTTAGGGTGGGGGGGGAGGCCCTTGAACTTACGACGATGGCGACCATCAATACCCCGGGGCTTCCTCCACGACTCCTTGACGGTGACCTTCCGGTCGCTCTGGTAGCGCTTGAACTTCGCAGTCCGCTTCTTCACGATCTTATGCTTGACGAGCGGGGTCACCATGGCTCCAACCGCCTGAGGAGAACGTTCGAGGGATGCGCGAGGTCAGAGGTTGGCGAAGAGTGGGGCGAGAGAGAATAAGCTCGAACGAAAAACCCTAACGAGCGCGCGCGCAAAGTGCGCGCGGCGACGCGGCGCGAGCGACGCGCGCGAGTCGACGCGACGGCGCACGCGCTCCGACGACGATCGCGTCGGCGCGGGGAGCGCGCCGACGCGACGGGGGACGAATCCTCCGCCGCGTCGACGGCCGATCGCCGGCGCGGACGCGGCCGAGTTTCGCTTTCTCCGCCGCGGCAGATGAAGAAAATCTAACCCTAAGCGCGCCGGAGTCGCGCGATGGTGACGTCGCGACGCGCGCGCGAGCGCCGCGACGAGGTCGAGAACGACGCGAAGACGTGTTGGATGCGACACGCACCTTCTGGTAGCAGGCTCACCGCGTTGCGCGTTGGAAAAGGGCGAGAGCGCGCGACGCCGACGAGCTAAGACGGCGAAAACAACGCGCGAGAGCGTGTGTGCCACCGACCGCTCTTGAAACTGCGTTGCTTCGCTTTCAATTGATCGGTATTTATTTCTTGAACCGTAAAAAACTTTTTTGAAAGACTCGTCGCCGATCAACCGGCAAGAGGCCGCGGACTTTTGCACGAATTTCAAGTGCTCGCGATGCCTCCGCTCCGCCGTCATAGCGCGAACTAGCCGCGCGAACACCCACCCGACGAGCCGACGCACGGGC